AGCTATAATACCATGTTTAAACAGCCCTTAATCTTAGTTTTATGTTTAGTAAAATTTAATAAAAAATTATATTTACCTAGCGTGTTTACGCCTAATAGCATGTTTACTATTAAATTATTTATTAAATATACTTTTATGCTTACCTCCGCGTATACTTTTTTTTTATTATACTTTATAAAAAAGTATACTAAAAGTATTATAAACTTAGTACTAGTAAAACTATTCTTAATTTTTTTAATTAATATTAGCATGTAATATTAGATTTTTATTCCTAGGGCATGCTTTTTTAAAAACTTATAATTTATTATAATTAAAGTGCATCCTAAATTAAGGCATACTATTATTATACACTATTTAATATAAGCTCTTATTATTATATACTTTTATAAATAAAAATGTATTTTTAGGTTAGTTTTAATAGCTAGTAGTATAGTAGAGCGGATTACAGGTAATATTACCTTTTTTTACTTATTTTTCTTTTTTAGTAAAGCGTCCTTATATTTAAGTAAATGCTTATAAAGAGCGTTGTTTAAGGGCATACCTATAAAATAATATTAATAATTTATAATATTTGTTAACTATACCGGAGCTAATATAGGATTATTTTAATATATATTACCCTAATAGTTATAGTATAACTTTATATTATAAATAACTTTGCTACTCTGCTCCACATTGCCATAATATATCTAATTCTTATAAACAACTTTGTAGTTTTGCTCCGCGTTACCATAATACACCTAACTATCCTTTACCGCGTAGCTATAATACACCTAATTAAAAGGTGCCTTTTTATAAACTACTTTACTATCTTATAGCGTGTTGCTATAATATACTTTATATAATAAAAATTTAGCATTAGTATATACCTAATTTTATATATAATTATAGTATTTCTCTAGAAACTTGTTTAGTATTATATCTTTTTTATTATAATACACCCTTTAATATTATTAGTTATATTTCCGCGGCGGTGGTTAATAACTGCCCTAGTTTTAGTTAGCTATATAACCTTGTCCTTTTTATAATTATATATTTATATTTATAAGGGGCTATAGCTTAGTATAAACACGTTATTTTTATTCTTCCTGCCTTAATTATTATTACTATAAAACCCTTTATAAGCTATTATATTCTTGCACGTTTTACAGGGCCTGTTATTAGTTATTAAATTACTATATTTAGGTGTTTAAAAATAAAAAAAATTAAGCTATTTAGGGTGTCTAGGGTTAATTATACCGCAGGTAATATAATAAATACCCTTAGGGTGGTTAGCTATACTAACACTTTATAAAATATTATTTAAATTATTTAAAAGGGCTGTAAATTAAATTAAAATCTTAAGGCGGTAAGGTTATTTTATACTACGCTAATATTAATTTAGGAAAAGTATTAGTAGTTAAATATCTTGGGAATTAGTTAAACTAATTTATTTATTTTTATTTTAAGATTTTTATAAACTACTTTACTATAAACCCCTTTTATAGCTTATTTATTATTACTTATAATAAAGTATTTAGACCTTTTTAAGCATGTAAGATTATTAGGAAGTTTATAATACCCTTTTTGCATTACTTTAAAAATAATAATATTATATTAATATATTATATTATTAATATATAATTATATATATTATTTAAGGTATAGTATATTACGTTAAGCCTCTTGCGGGCTTAGCTAAATAATATTTAAAATTTTATTTTTATAATTAAGCATTAGTTTAATATATTATATAAATAAATTAGCCCGCGACGTGTAATATTAGTTAATTTATTATTATATTAAGCTAAAGTTTTTTTTTTAAAACATGTTTTAATATTACGTGCTAGTTGCTAAATAAACCTTGTTTTTACTATTACTTAAAAATGTTTTATCAATAGGTGCATTAATTAATAATATATAAACCTATTTTTATTTACCATGTTTTTAAAGCTGTATTTAGCTAGTATATTTAAAAAAAAAAATCCTATATTAGCAGCCCTTTATTTAGGATCCTAGGGCCTGTCTTTATTTTTTAAGTAATATTATTTACCCTTATATTTATTAAAATTTTTATTATGTTTATTACTATTACTGTTATTATGCTAATTATTATTATTTAGTAATAAGTTACTATTATTATCTAGGTTACCTCTTGATTTTTCCTAGTGTTTTTTTTAAACATATTACTTTTATATTTTTTACTTTTTTTATTATAAATAATTTAGCCTGGCTTATTTTTTATTATAAGCTTTTTTATTCTCTAGCTTTTACTTATATTACTACTTAGTTTTTTATTTAGTAGGATAGGGCAAAACCGCCTTTAATATATAATTAATTATATTATTAATTAACCTTTATAAAATAAAAGTTTATATATTTATAAACGCCATGTCCCCTGTGGCTAGTTATTAATTATTTTTAGGTTATTTACCCTATTTTACTAGCCTTTTATTTTTTTTTATCCTTGCCTCTTGCTTTTTTGCAATGTAGTCTTTTAAATATTTTAATAGTTAATTTACTTTTATTTACTTTATATAAGTAAAAGGTTTTATAGGAGTAGGTACTATAAGTAAATTTATTAAAGGCCTAGATTAAAAAGGGGGGTATTAAAATTATATAGGTAGTATAAAGTTTAATCTAAACCTTGTATAAGAACTAACTAGTTAAAAATAATAAAAAATATTATCCAGCGTTCCGGGCGGAATTTTAGTTTATTATTTAGTTTATAATTTTAAAATTTTAGTTTATTATTTAATATTTAGCTTTAAAGGTTCCGGTTGCTTAACTAGTTAAGAATAAATATTATTTAATATTTTAAAAAGTAGAATTTTAGCTTGTTATTTAGCTTGTGGTTCCGGTCTTTTTTATTTATAAGGTAGGTTAAAGGGCTGGTTAAAGTAGTAATCTAACTATTTTAAATAGTATTATATTACTTTATTTAGTTCCCTTAATCTTGCTTGCTATTTTACTAGTAAGCTTATACTTAAAAATAGTAAAAGGGTAAATAAAAAATAACTTTATAATAGTAAAGGTATAGGGTCTTTTAGTAAAGTATAATACTATTATAGGCTAGGCAAAGTAAAAAAAGGCAGTAGGAATATATATAATAATTTAAAAATTAATAAAATATTTTTTAATTTTATAGCTACTTATTTAACTATTACTAGCGCTGCTATTACCTTTAAAGTAATTAAAATAGTAGCTTTAGTATTCTTTATTAGTAAAGTAAATAGTAGGTTAGTTATTTACTAAGTAAAATAAAAATTATATAAAACTTATTTAAATTTTTTTATAAAGGATTTTAAAGCTATATTAAATATTCTAGTGTTTTTAATTACCTAGTCTAATAAAAAAGGTAAAGGCAGGGCTTGCTATTTTTAAGCGCTATTTTTTATAACTTATTTAAATAAGGCTATAAAGCTTACTAAAAAATTAATTTTTTTTTATATTAATACTATTATGTTCTTGGCTTACTTATAACCTATTTTAATAAATTTTTTAGCTAGGTAGTAAACTTAATTAGCTTGGTTATATATATAATAGCAATCTTATTTTTATTTTTAAGCTTTGGTATTATGGGTGGTTTTTAAGGTTTTAGGTTTTATTTTTTAAACTACCTTACTTTACTGCCTTTTTATTTATAAAATAAATTATATAATCACGCGTTGCCATTGGTAAGCGTGTGTTATAGTATAGCGTAGTTGCTTTATAAAAAAAGCTGTTGGTTAAACTTATAAAAAAAAAGGGGACTGTAATATAATAAAAGGGAAAGGTTTAAAAAAAAAGATTTATAAAAAATAATAATAGGTAAAAAGCAAAGAATAGTATTTATAAAGCAAAAAATAGTATTTATAATTTTATATTTATAAATTAGGAGCTATAGGGTTGTAATATTTAGCAAGGGTAAATAATAAAAAATTTAAAAATAAGTATTAAAGTTAATTTACTTAATAATAGTAAAAAATATTAATTACTAGAAATATTTCTTAATAGCTGGTTAGAGTAGTTACCTAACTTTATTAAAAAAAGAAATTTAAGACCTTGTTATATTATAACATGCTATTATTTATGGTAGCGTATAGCACTATATATAGATATAAAAAGTCTTGAATTTTTAGCTAAGCCGTGGAGCGGCCGAAGTAGCTACAGTCACGTGCCTGGGGCGGTAGTACGGGGTAGAACCCGTACTCCGGGATGTGGCTCGTAGTCCGCCACAGAAAGGTAATAAAAGTAAAAATAATAAAAAAAATATTAGCAGCCGCGAATAGTGTTATTATTATTAAAAATTTATTAAATACTAAGTTAGTAATTAAAAATAGTATTAAAAATTAAGGCCGCAAAGAAGGCTATAAAAAAAGGTATATTAAAGTATTTATAATAATTTCTAAGTTATTTTTAGGAAGTTTTAGCCTAAATTAAAAAAAAAATTAAATCTAGCTATATTTTATTATATTTTTAAAAAATTTAAAGTTATTTTTAAAGCAAGTAATTAAAAAAATTAATTACTATAATAAAAAAAGCGTGTTATAAATATATATTTTAGTTTTTTAAAAGTATATTAATTTATATATAATTTTTTATATAAAACTAAGTACCCGCGCGTTAAAAACCTTTTTACTTTTTTTTTTTATATAAATAAACTTTTAAATAGCTTTAAAATTAATTTACTTTTAGGTACTTTTATTTATATATAATTTTTTATAAAAAATTATATACCAGCGCGTTAAAAGCCTTTTATTAAATATTTTAATAAGGCCAAGGGGGGGGGGTGTACGTAGTTACTAGGCGCTTTTTTAATTAAAATATTTCCTAATATAGCTTTGCTTACGTCAGGCGCGGCCCAGGGGGGTACACCTAGTCATCTGGGGGGTGTACGTAGTGCGACCCCCTGCCGTGCGGTATTTACCGGGAGCGGTTGCGATGCGGGGGATCGTCTGCCGGAGTTTCCCCGGTCCAAGGTTCTATTCGGGTTATTCTATGCTCTATTCGTCATTATACTTACTCAAGTCTCTGCCAATTCATTCTTGCCGGCTGCTGCCATTCCAGAACGGCAGCCCAGCCTGCATCCGGAGAACCCCGTACATCGAGCTGCTGTCCAAGCATTCGCCCCCGTATTCCCGAGCAGCGCGCATGTTGTTGCTTGCCAGTTCCAAGCCTGGGAGTTTTGTATTGGTTTTGTTCGCAATGGATAGTGCGTGGTCCGCGTCCTTGATGGCTAACGAGACGCCGAAGCCGGGGCGGGTGTTGAGCGGTGGTGCGTAGATTCCGGTCGTTAACCTATCCAGCGCGTAAGGTTAGCTTGTCGATTATCTATACCATGTGGAAGTAAACATACCTCTTGGAATATCCTCCCGCAACAGCCCCGAACGACTCGGTAATCAACTCTTCCATCGCCGCTGTCCCGAGACCCGTCCGCTCAGCGAATACCTGTGCTTCCCCGACAGCTTCCATCAGGTTCAGCGTGATGATATTCCTAGATACCGGTCAGCTCTCCCTTACCAAGTCTCTGTGGATTGTACTCACCCCCCAATCTTCAACAAACTCGCGCCCTTTGCCTCCTCTCCACACCCAATGACCTTCTTCCCCATAACGCCAACAATATACCGCCGCACATCAATCTGGTTCGCAGTCTGGCTCGGCCCGCCAAGCGCAAACACCAGCTGCCCTGTCTGCGCAACAGCGGGGCCCCCGAACACCGGCGCTGATAAGAAGACCGCGCCGAGACCGGAGAGCGTGCTGGACACTTGCGCTGTTGTATCCGGGTGAACGGTCGAGCAGTCGACGAAGGTCTTCTTATCTATGGCGGCGCTGGAGGAAGATATGGTGTTGACTGTTTCGGTGAGGATCTTGTCGTTGGAGAGCTGTAGATACGCGCAAGATTAGTCAATGGGTTTAGTCATGGAGAGATGGAGGCGAATTGGAGATGAGATAGAGGTACCATAGTAAATATGACATCGCACTTCTCGACCAGGTCTAGCAGACTCTCGGCAGGAGTCGCGCCGAGCTCTTTCAGGCTGTCGCCGGCGGATAACGTGCGGTTGTAGTATGTCAGGTTATGTTCTTCAGGATTCTTTGTCAGGTGTCGCTGGAGGTTCGTAGCCATGGGAAGGCCCATGGAGCCGAGGCCATACTGTCGCAAAGCAAGTATTAGCAAGTCTCTGCTTTCAATGGGTACAAAACGAGCGTTAGCTTACCCAGCCAATGCGTGGTGTTGTCGCGCGCTTGAGGATCATTGCGATAAAGCACTTCTAGGTTCTTGTCTGTCGAGATAGTCCAGATCAAGGCGGCGCGCAAAGCATTTGTACTGTAGTTATTCATCGTTGGAGTCGAGAGTTATCGCGATAGCGTCGGATGCTCCTCCGAGGGAATGTAGAATCGTAGATAGTCCTCCGTCGCATACCCCGCAGCCTCGGGCCTCCATCCGAGAGGGGTTTTGTATAATAATTCATGCGATGGCCGACGAAATGCTAAATCTACACTGCGAAGAAAAGACTGCGAAGAAAAGAAACTACCTTTACCTACCATTCAGCCCTCAACGACCTCACAGACAAACAAGATGTCTCCTCCCCACGTTCCCCCCGCTGGCATCTGGGTCCCCGCCGTCACCCCCTTCGACCACTCAACCGACACCCTCGACGTCGAGGCCTTCAAGAAATATACCCACTACCTATCCTCCCACCTCACAGGCCTCGTTATCCTCGGTACGAATGCTGAAGCCTTCCTCCTCACGCGCGAAGAACGATTCGCTGCCATCAAGGCCGCCCGCGAAGCCGTTGGCCCCGATTACCCAATCATGGCGGGAGTTGGCGCGCACTCCACAAAGCAAGTCCTCGAGCTTGCGGACGATGCCGCAAAAGCGGGCGCAAACTACCTGCTCGTGCTGCCCCCTGCGTACTTCGGCAAGGCGACCACCCCGGCTGTCGTCAAGCGATTCTTTGCAGATGTTGCGGCCAAGGCGCCTTTACCAGTTGTGATCTATAACTTCCCGGGTGTTACGAACGGCGTTGATATTGACTCGGAGAGTATTGTGGATATTGTGAAGGCGTCTAAGGAGGCGAACGGTGGAAAGAGCAACGTCGTTGGTGTGAAGCTCACATGTGCCCAGGTCGGGAAGATCACAAGACTCACAGCTGCTTTGACGCCTGAGGAGTTTGCGGTCTTCGGTGGACAGTCCGACTTCTTGATCGGTGGTCTTTCTGTTGGGTCCGCTGGATGTATTGCTGCGTTCGCGAATGTCGTTCCCAAAACAATTATGCAGATCTACCGGCTATACAAGGCTGGAGAGGTGGAGGAAGCTCTGGCTCTGCATCGCAAGGCTGCGCTGGCCGAGTCTCCATGCAAGAGCGGAATTGCGTCTACCAAGTATGCTGCCGCGATCGTGTCGGCTTCTAGGGCGGGCATCGAAGGCGCAGAGGAGAAGTTCAAGCCGAGGACTCCGTACGAGGAGGCCGGAGAGCCTGCAAAGGCCAACGTGAGAAAGGTCATGGCTGAGATCATAGCTATTGAGGATAGCCTGTAGTCATGTCTAGCATTAAACATCAATCATAAATCATACATATCTTAGAGTTACCAGATCTGGTTCTCAGTAACTGCATGCGCAACCCAGTCCACGTCGCCTGTGTCGATCGACTCCGCTACCGCCATGATTTCGGCCGTTGTCAGTCCGTCGCCCAGGCCTGGTAGGTCCGGAACGCGGTAGGCAGGTGGAAGTGGCGGTGACAACTCGAGCTCTTTTCCTTTGCCGGTATCATCAGGCTGCCGATCCGGTGCGAGCTGATACAAGAGAGCGCTCATCTGCTCAAGCTCATTCTTTCGGTACTGTGCAATCAAGTTACCGCGGGTAATCATATCATCCAGAATCAGGTAGCTCTTGTGGAGCCATGGTCGTCGGCTTTCCAGGAGGGCAGAGTCAATGGCCGGCGCCATCAGAAGAACAACGCTGGAGACAAAGGTCGACTCCAGGTCGAACGGAAGAAAACTGTCTGCGGGGGTCAGCTTGGCGTTGGTGAACAGATCAAGTTGCTCACCAAGAAGGCTTTGTTCGTATAAGCTGCTGAGGATGTTGAGCTGCTGCTGCGCGGAGTCAATGCACACTTGTAGCAGTCTGAGCACGTTTGCTGACGAGTTCAATGTCTCGAGACAAGTATCGGCGGACTGGAAGCGCATCTTCAAGAAACATAGAAGCAGCGGACGAGTCGCAAGGACAATGCACTACACATGTGAGCATAACTCTGCCTTCAGTGTACGGAACATACCTGATGGTAGAGCAGATGCAGATGGGCGGACATCCGGGAGACCCCGCTTATGGTGGTTTTGTCCAACTGCAAGTCAAACGAACGTTGAAGATCACCAGCGAGATCTGTTGTGCTAGCTAGGGCGGCTTTGGTTCTTAGCAAGAATTTCCGGTTGAGTCGGCCATCCGCTCCGTATACCGCTTAACCACCATTAGTACTTGTCTGAGAGTGCAGAGGGCAACTTACTGCTATTGATCTCCGCGATAATCTGGCACATGCGGATCTGCATACTCAGGGCTACCACCTTCTGAGGTGACCCAGGGAAGGAAGGAAGTTGGGGGTGAATGTGGCTGTCTTGAATCGACTGCGGCAATCCCATCAAGGAGGTCATTTGCCGGTCGAGTACATAGATCGTCCACCATATCTTGCGGCACCTCTGAACAAGCGCTTCACCGAGGTGCAGCACCGGCATGTCGGTATGCATGCCCTGGGCGAGGGCAATCCTCATCGCTTGACCGATCTAAACGGTTAGCGTATGAACAAAGGTTCAAGGGCTTTGCATACATAGTTATGTGCCGAATTTCGGTGGTCTAGTGCCTGGAGGTACAATGAAATGCAACACAGAATCTCTGTTGCGATAGTAGAGTCTCTAGCCAGGTGCGTCGTATCGGGAAGCAGTTGAAGAGCTCTGGTAAAGAACTCGCAGCCAGGAGGGCGGGTATCCCGATTTCGCTGAACAACAAGCGCTTTTCCAAGGGCGACAATGGCCAGGTAGTGAATGTACCACAGACCATCTGTTGCCATTTGCTGCTGAGGGTCTTCATAAAACGCATACAACCCGCCCATAAACGTCCCTTCGTCGAAGAGATGGTATAGCTGCCCGGCATGGAACTTGACCGCATTGATTAGATAGATTGAGTAATCCAGGGTTGGGACTATCGGCGCTTCTGCATAGACTGTAGTTCTCAGCCCATCCCAGCCCAAATCGTACGTGGAGCCTTCGAAGAGCAAGGTATCCGTTGGGAGCGGAGAGTTGTAGAGATGTTCATGCGTCATGCCCAATATCTTTCGAGCAAATGACCAGTTTGATGAAGTCCCCAGGTAGACTGTATCCGTAAGCTTCCGTCCGCCAGAAGACTCGGGGAGGTCTTACAAGTCTGTCCCGTCATTGAAGTCGTAAAGGCCGATGGTCCGGTAGACAATGGATTGGTGAGATCGGCGTCTTCGAGGTTCTGGCTATATCGGTCTTCCTCTCCACCTGCGACGGTCAGATGGCTGTTGAGGAATACATGCAGAGACGCGTACCATCATCAGGTCTTGCTCTTTCTTGCTCAACGTAACTATGCGGACTTGACAAGTCGTTCTCATCCCGTTCCAGTAAGGCAATTCTTCGCTGGAGGTCCTCGATAAACCTAGCTGGCGTCAGACTGTCCGGACAGAAGAGACGAAGCAACATACCCTCGAGTGACAAGAACCTTTTGATCTCTATCATCAAACACACAGGTCAACTTGCGTTTGTGGCATGTATTACAGGGCTGAAACCCCGAGCACTTGATCTTCTGCTTGCGGCACCGTTGGCATCTGCAGTACAACCAGGTTAGCACAGCCAAGGAAAAGCCACAATTAGCGTACGCATTTGTTGACCGCTTCCTAATGCCGTTCTCCTTGTGTGATCCGTCCATTTTGTATATTGTTGAGTATATTGAGGTGTCTCACGCAACGCAATCTCGCGAGCGGCACGACACGACATTGTGGGAAGCGGACGGGCTCCGAAATGCGGGGTGGCCATAGTGGAGACTGTCACCTGGTTATCTTATCATGGCAGGAAATGTTGCCCTGAATAGGAATCTGTTGGAGAGCGTGCATGAGTAGGCCAGTTCTAGCTCGTATCCGCCCATTGTGCTTGTTGATAGCAATGACCGGCAGCGCTCCCGGTTTGATATCAGGGAACCGGCTATGCTCCCGATGTTGTATCCGGATGACGATCAGCTTCCCCAGGATCCATTCAAACGTGCCCAGTTCCCCCATTGGAACTTGGCAGAATCCCCCGCATTGTGTCGAGCGGATCAGCCGATCAATTGTTTTGACCCCGGAGTTTGGGTCTCCGCAGTGTTGGTCTGGCTCAGCCGCTCAATCGGTGAACCTCAGGCGTACGGAGTAGGCAAAGACGGCAGATGTGAAGTGATTCGGTCTAATTCAGCCATCATAGTCAGTCTCCCTGTAAGCACTTGCTGGTGGGCTACTTACCTGTTTCTCAGTGATGAATAGTGTCAGGCAGAACGGAAGTGAGGAGTTGAAGACTTTAGGTATGGTTGAGTCGGATACACAGGGTCGACTAATTAGGCCTAGCGTGCCAATGTCAACGACACCTGAGGCAGCACGTCGCGCTCCTAAGAAGACACCCTGTTTAGCTTTCAACATCTCAATCCGTCGAGAACATCCCTCAGCCGTCTCGCTTAATGGAATCAAAGCCATTTCCATAATATCTTCTGCCTCAAGCATATTCTGCTCGAGTGTATAGGGCTGCTCTGAGCGCCCCTTCTAAAAGGAGGACTGTCGAGTTAAAGATCTCGGTAGCTCCGCGAGAACATTGTGCAGCATTCAACTGTCTCAAGAATTCTCGAAACATCTCCTTCAAGAGCTGATACAGTTTCCGGATGGTTGCAGGACTTTTTAGACGGTAACGGCCATGTCTCGCTCAGCTCATATTCGACTCCAACTACGAAAACACTATTCAGCCTCCAGACTTCCCTCACAAAACTATGAGAGGCCCATCTAGCGAGGTCAGCGATTGATCAAACTCTCAATCTATATCCATTTCTTGATGTTGTTTGCCTTCTCTCGCAAACACGTGAGTTCGAGGCTGCAAAAGGAGTACGCGGCGGCCTCACCAAAGGCGACCTTGCGCTCCCTCCGGCTCGGTGAGCGAAGTTGCTTTAACGCTTGGCTTATTGTCTCTAATGATTCTGTGTATAGGAAGGCAGCAGTTGTAGCATGCATAGATTCTAGGCTTGGTTCGTGTCATGTCTTCGAAATACCCTAAAAGCTGCTAATTGAGTATCTAGATCTCGCCAAAGCCTTGGGTCTTGAAGAAGGCGATTCGAGCCATCACTTGTCTACCCCTTTGGCAGAGCAGGCGGCAGCTTCACGCTTTCTTCAGTGCTGTCGTTTCAATACCATCTCTCGATAACACTTCGTGCTATACATTTGGCTACTAACACAAGTTCCCGAGCGGCAAGATAGTTCCTTCAATTCATTTGACCAGCAAATGCATCTATCTATCAGCAGAATTTACTCTGCACCGCTCACCTGCTCCTTCGACTCCAACCACATCTCACCCAACTGGCTAGGAAGAGACAACCAACAATCCTCAGCCTTATTCACAGCCTCCCTAACCTCCCTCCTAACAACAACCAACCCTTTCCTCTCCAACTCCTCCGCAAATATCTCAAACCACGGCTTGTTGCCTCCATTGGCTTTCCTCACACTCTCCTCCGCAATTCTTAGGATATCCCTCTTCCTATTCTCGAGCACAGACCCAACCTCGTGCGTCACGATCTTGGGGTTCGAGTGCTTGACTAGAACAGGGGAGATCGTGAACTTCCCGTCGCCCTTGTCCAGGTACCCCGTGACGTTCCCAAAGCGGTCGAAAACGTAGTAGTATATTGTGCCCGAGATTGCGAGGGGCCCGAGTGTCAGGATGTAGACTTTTGTGCGTGAGGTGTCGTAGATTAGGGGGGTTATGTGTAGGTTGAGGGGGCCTTGGGGGTGGGATTGAGACATTGTGCAGGTGGGTTTTGTTAGTTGGTCAACTGGTTTATGTTTAGACAAGTGTGAACGTTCCAAGGTTGATTGTTTGATATGGATATTCTAGCTGATTGCCGCTCGAGGAAAAACTAGGGCTTATATACTTATTACTTCTACCTGCTTTGGCCATGCTTGAGACACAGCTGAATGAATGGTTTGGTTTGGTTTTATCTTGTCTCATCGTCCATTGTCGCTCTTCTTCGATCCATTGTTATGGTGTTCTCCCCTGGTGGGCAGACGGACAAAGACGTAGCCCTAACTCTGCACAGGAGAAGTATCACCCTGAATGAACAAAGACAGCTGTCTTTGAACGCTCCACCTATCCATTAAAAATAGATAATCATTATGTTGCAGCCATGAATCATGTTTCAGAGAGGAATGTTTTGTAAGAATTCTGCTACAACTGAATGCACGCCAGCAGGCACCGAGGACATGGTAATCCTGAAATTGGGTATAAATACCTGCCTCCCTCGCTTTACTCTTTCCTTTCTTTTTTACCTTCGAGCATCTTAATGACAACTTCTTGTCGAGTATTTTTAGACTTTCTAAAAAACGCCTTCATTTAGCTTTCATGAGATGTGAACACCACATGGGCTGCCACCCCTAACTGGCTAGCATAGCAATAAATAAATAGATAAAATGCATAGCGGGGTATGTGCGCCGCCAGAGTATATATTAAACAGAAACAGTATTTACAGCTTGGCAAGCATTTTGTTGCCCTTGGCCATGAGGGCGGCCGCATCATCGACGAGTTCATCGACGATGGCCTTGGCGGACTTCTTCTCGTTCACCACGGCGGCGACCTTGCCCATCAGGTATGGGCGGGCGTTCTCAAGGTATTCGTCGTCAACGTCATCGGGAATGTTCTCCATGTCGTGCTCAACTGGAATGACACCCTTGGCGGTCAGGTCTTTGATCTCTTGCTGGCGGTTGTTCTCCCAGTTGAGGATGTATTCGTTCTTGCGCACGCGCAGGGGGCGGCCCTAGAAAAGTTAGCTGACTGAGCTAGAATAAATTTATCTCGAGAGACATACAGTGAAGATGATCGTGCGGATGTTGTCCTCGAAGCCGGCAGTGCGAACAGCCTCCTGGTGAGCCTTGGGGGCACCCGCCTCCTCAGCGAGAATGAAGCGGGTACCGACCCAGACACCGGAAGCTCCAAGCATCAGAGCAGCGGCAAGAGAGTTACCGTTGAACAGACCACCAGCAGCAACAACCTGCACAGGCTTGCCGGTGAAAGAGCTGATCTTGCCCTCGCAGAGCTTGGCAACGGTGGGAATAAGAACCGTCGTAGGGACATCACCAGTGTGACCACCACCCTCACCACCCTGGGCGCAAATCATATCCGCACCGATGTCAATAGCCTTCTGCACGTGCTTTGGGTGGCCAATCATGTTCATGTACAGAATTCCATGTTTGTGGAGCTTATCGACAACAGACTTGGGAGGAACACCGACGGCAGAGACGAAGAGCTTCGCGCCACTCTCGATGATGATGTCGACGAGTTCGTTAAGCTTGCCCTTTGTGTAGTCGTAACTGGAGGGGTCCACGGGTTAGCAGCAGAACCGACAAAAATGTACCGATGTGAGATTAAAATAGTAAACAACATACTTCGTCTTGCGCGCGCTTCCACCAACTTGAGGGAGCAGCAGATCAACGCCGAAAGGGGCGTTCTTGTCATTCAGGAAGCTCTTAAGTTCGGCAACCTGCTCGCGGAGCATGTCAGGAGTGTATCCGACACCTCCGATGACACCGAGACCACCCGCGTTGGTGACTGCTGCGGCCAACTTGGGCCCAGCAGCCACGTTCATTCCCGCCAGCAGGACGGGGTGGTTGATCTGGAGCAGATCGGTAAGCGTAGTCTTGATCTTCTCTGGGCAGAGTCAGCTCAGGTGGCCACATCGTCACATGCAAAGGAGGAACATACGGGGAGAGGCCATGATTGCAGGGAAGAGGCGAAGAAGAATGAAAAGACAGGGTATAAAAAAAAGAAGAGCGTAGAATATGAAGAGAAAATAGGAAACAAAGACAGAGAAAGCTGAAAGAACAAATAAAGAGCAAGGGCGCTGGTCAACCGAGGCGGAGACGCTGTCGGCGACGCCGTAATCAGAAAAGCCTCGGCTGAACGTGCGGATAACTATGGGGTAAGTCACCTGACACGGGCGGTGTCGGACGAGAGGTGGAGATCCCTTGGATCTCCGCGGTAAACTTAGTCGGATGACTTTAACTAACCTTTAAAAATAGGAAAAAAATTAACCTTTAACTTTGGCCGGATCTCATGGCCTAATTAGGAAATAAAATATAAAAAAAAAAAAATAAATATAGCTTAAATTCTTTTATATCTAGCTATTAAACTTTTATATTTTTATTTATTTTAAATCCTAAAAAATTTTATATTTTATTTACCCCTTAATTCTTATCCTAATTTTATATAACTAATTTTTGCCTAAGGTATTTATAACTTTAAAAGTTATAAGCCCGGCTTATACTTTACTTTTTTAAATATTATTTATATAATTATTTTTAAAGCTATTTATTACTTAAATTTAAACTTCTAAAGTTTTTTTTATTTGCTATATAATATGCTATAAAAAACCTTTAATTTTTACTTGTAAATACTTAATTTAATACTATTATTTTAAATAGCCCTAATACATGGCGCCTATAATATTAAATTACTAAATTAATAGCTATAAGCCTTATAATATAGGACTATATTAATTTTTTAGTTAATAATAAAAACCTACTACCTATTCTTATTAGCCCAAGGCCTATTCTTAAAAATTACTACTTTAATATTCCTAAGGAAGGCAAACTCTAGATAAGTTATTTAATAGCTAATAAACAAGGCAGATTTTATATTATTATAAAAAAATATTTTATTTAAAAAAAGAAATATAAAGCTTTACTAGGTATAATAATAGCTTATATAACCTTAACTATATTTAGCTCTTACTAGTAACTTTTATATAGCTAAAAATATCCGCGTGTAATACTTTAACTTTTTATAAAATATTATATATAATTTAATATTGCCTGCTAAATAAAAATTAAGGTAAAATAAAAAAAGATAGCTATTTACTAAGGTTTTTTTATTAAAAAGTAAATTAATAATTAGTGCAACCGCTGGGTTAGTGTATTTACTAAAGCTAAAAAGTTTAATATTTTTATTAGTAATTAAAATATTAACATACTCCAAGACTTTGTATATATCACTATAATTATTAATAAAAAGTTTAGTTAAAGGCTTTATATGGCCATTCTCTTCAAAAAAAAAAAAAACTTTACTAATGCTATTAAAAAGTTTAAAGTATTTTATACGCTTTAGGCCGTCTATACTACATATAATAAATTTAAATAACAGCTAATAAATAGCACCTTTACCACGCTTGGAGAAAATAACTTAATAAATAAAAAAGATAAAAATACTAAAAATAATAAGAAATCCAAGAAAAACAGTAAAAATAAAAATAATAAATTAAAGGTAACATGCCTAGTATATAGCTATTTATATTTTATTACTTTTTACTAGTATTTTAACACTAAAAAAGCTCTAAAAAATTAGGAGCCTTAAAAAAAAACTTTACAAAAAGTAAAAAAAAATATACAGGATTTAACTATTAAAAAAAAAGTACTAAGCACTTTTAAAAGATCTAGATTTAACACTATAATATTTAAAATTAAGGCTAAAAAAATAACTCCAAAGACCCAGAGAAAGTTATAATAATAATTACCTATTTACTATTTAATAGCTTATAATATAGCCTATATAAAAGTGTTATTATTAACTCTGGATTTTTTATATATATTACTAATAACTTTACTAAAATAATTAATATCTGCAACGCCTTTAAAAATAATATTATTTTTATTAATAATATTATTAATAAGATTAAAAAGTTTGGTATACTCCATGTTTCTTGCAAGGGACTAAATAGCTTAAAAAGGCTTTTAAAGCTTAAGAATTACGCCTACATTCCTGGCTTTTATACTACTATTATATCCCTTAATAAAGCCGTGTTAGTAAATCTATATTTTAGCAGCTGTAAAAGGACTCTTAAAGACTTAAAAAAAATAGACTTTTATATACTTAAATAATATTATAAATTATATATACTTTACTACAAAAAATTTAATATTAATAATAATAAAAAGATTAAGGCCTTTTATATTATAATAAAAATAAAAATTTAATACTTTATAACTTTAAAAATATTATTAAAAAGCCTAAAAATTTAGTATAAGCATATAGGCCACCTTAACGCCAACATAGTATTTAAACTTTTAATATTTGCAACTAGTATATAAATTAATCCGGCACCTTAACTCTTTAATAAAAAGTAAGAAAAAAAATCACTTTACATGCCATGTAAACTCTTGTAATTTCCTAAGTAAATATTATAAATTAAATTAACTAGAGCAACCCAACCCTTTAAAAGGATTTATTTTAATATTCTTACTTTTAAAGCATCTTAAAATAATATAAAATACATTTTTTATTTTTTAAATAATATTACTTAAATAAGGTGGATAGTACTACATGCTAAAAAAAATAATTACTAGCGTGTTATTTAATTACTTAATACCTACGCCTTTAGGTAATATAGCCTTTATATTTAGTTTTTTTATATAAATAATAAGATATTGCAGCTCTTAAATAACTTTAAATTTATTAAAAAATAATAGGGTTTAGCCTTTAAAATTATTATTTTTAATACACTTGAATAAAATAGTGCAAGTAAATAATTAGGAGGAATTATTTTATAAAAAGCCAGGGCGCTTTTATTAGCTACTAATATACCCTAAAATCTTATATTTAAAGTTATAAAGGCATTTATTTATATACTAAATCACATGCCTATAAAAAATAAAAAAAATAAATAGTTTATATTACTTTAAAAGTTTTAAGCGTTAATAGGTAATACTTGCCTAGTAAATATAGCTAATATTTTTAAGTTTAGATTACTTACTTACTAATAGCTAAAAATCCCTAACTTTTATAAAATAAAGCCAAGAGCGGCTATTAAATATTTTTATAAATATAAAAAAGCCTATAATATTTAAAAAATTTAGAACCCTCGCGCTAAAGCCATATAATATTTAGTTATTTAAGTAAGAAATATGGTATTTAATAAGGTAAGAACCTATAATAAAAACAACCTAATTTATATAGCTAGTTTAAAATATATTATCCTAGTATATATTAATAAAAAAAAAAAAAAAAGCTAGTTAATATACTATTTCTTATTAGCTTTAAAAATAATTTTCCTAAACTTAATAATAAAAATAAGCCTACTCCTAAGCTTAATAACATAAAAATAGGTAAAAATAAAAAGGTTAAAAATAATAAACCTTACGCTAAAATTAATGCTTAAAATAAAGCTATTTTTAACTTACCTAGTAATTTAATATTATATAATAATAAAAACCCTATAATTTTGCTTATTCCCGCTGCTAGCCCAAGCTTGGCAAGTATTATAGTTAATTAAAGCTTTTAAACCTATAATAACTATAAAACTATTTTAATAACACCTAACTAGGTAGTAAAAAGCAAGAAAAATAAAAAAATCCTTAACTTTAAAAATAACAGCGCTAGAGGGCTCCTATAACTAAAAAATAATATAAATAAAAATAATAATAAAAAAAAAATACTAACACTGCTTTCCCCTAAAAAATCTAACCTAAAATTATATAAAACTAATATAAAAAAAGGGAAGTAAAATCCTAATCCTAAACTTTTAACTACGCAGGTTAAATTAAATAAAAAGGCCTAATATAACCGCCTGCATTAAAAGTAAAATTTAAAAAATTTTATAAATAAAGACCACCTGAGATAAAGGCCTTTTTTTAAAGTTTTTTATATTAAATTTTTTTACTAGCTAGCAAAAGACTTTATTAAATATTATATTTTTTTTTACTTAGCAATTTCTAAGCCTCCCGGACCATTATAAAAGGCACTAGGTAAAGCTATTTATAAAAATTAGCTTTAAAAAGAACTAAAGAACTAGGCAGAACTTATAAAGTATTTATATAAGAACTAGTTTATAAAAGTTACTAAAGTTAAATTTAGTACTCTTAAAAAACTTTATATCTTTAAAATTATCCTTATACTAAAAGGCAAGATTATTATACTACTTATATAAGTATTTAAATATAAATTTAATGCTGCTAGCTATCTAAATAAATTTAAAGCACGCCTTTATACTAGGGGAGATTTTTAACCTAGTAACTATATTAATACTATAATAGCAACTTTTATTACCTAATTATTTTAATTTATAATGGCGCTTGTTGCTTATTTTAACCTTAATATTATTTAATTAAATATTATTAACACCTTTATTTAAAGCTTTATAAATAAAAAAATATATATTAAAACACTACCTGGCCCCTGGCGCGTTAAAAGCAGAGTATTTAAGTTAAATTAACCCTTATATAGCCTTAAATAATTACCACGTATTTAGTAAAAAAAAATATTTTTAATACTTTTTAAATATAGCTTTAAGCTAGTGCCAGAAGAGCCTTGCCTTTTTATTATAAAGTATTTTATGGTTATTTTTTTTATTAATAATATACTTGTTATAAGCAAGAAATTAGCTAAAGCTAAAAAGAAGGCCACTAACTTTATTAAATATATAAAGTGTATATATAAATTATAAAATCTTAGTAAAGTAAAATAGTTTTTAAATATTAAAATTATTTGTAATTATTATAATTAAAAAATCTAGTTACTTTAAGATTTTTATATTAATAATTTACAGGCTAAATATAACCTCACGGCACTAAGTAAAACATTAAAAATATTTTTACTTACTAAAAAACTAACGCCTACACCTTTAGATTATACACCTATAAAGCAAGATATTCTTCTATACTAATAACTTATTAGCTTATTTTTTTATCCTATTATAATAACACGCCTTAACGCCTTTAAAGTAGCCAGCAAGCTTGCTTAGCATATAATATAGCTTACTAAAACTTATATTAAAATAGCTAAGTACACTATTTAATATTTTATTACCACAAAGGACCTAAAAATTAAATATTTAGTTAATACTAAAAAAATTATTACCATGGCCTTTAATGCATCCTTTAGTAATAATCCTAACTAATATAGCTTTAATAAATAGCTTATAAAGCTATTTAAAGGTTTAATTAACTAAAACACTTGTAAATAAAAAATAGTTACCACCTTTACTACTAAAGCTAAATTACTTGCTATTACCAAGGGAGCAAAAAACCTTATATAATAAAAAAAACTTTTTAACACTATAAAATTTAATTTAAAGGTTAAATTACGCCTTTTTTATAATAACACCTAAATTATATAATTACTTAACTTAAATAATCTTATATTTACTATATAACTTTAACATGTTAATATTTATTATTACTAGCTTTGCAAGAAGTGTTAAAACAAAGAAATTAAAATTAATTAAATAAAAATAAAAAATTAACTAGTAAATAGCCTTACTAAACTTTTTAATAGCCCTTGCTATAAAACATTTATTTACTAACTTAGCCTTATTAAAATTAAAGCTATTTTTAATACCTAGTATTAACGCTTTTATTCCTTTAAGCACTAGGGGATGTATTAAATAAAAGGTAAAAATCCCTTAAATCTTTATAGTAAACTTAATTAAATAACTTTAACTAATTTTTAAAAATAAAAAAAAAATTAACCTCTAACTTTGGCCGGATCTCATGGCCTAATTAGAAAATAAAATATAAAAAAAAAAAGGGATAAATACAGCTTAAATTTTCCTGTATCTAGCCATTAAACTCTCACATCCTTATTTATCTTAGATCCTAAGAAATCTCATGTTCTATTTACCCCTTGATTCTCATCCCAATCTCACATGACCAATTTCTGCCTGAGGCATCCGTAACTCCGAAAGGCGGGGCATGGCCTGACGTTTCTGCCTTGATGCCTTGACCTTAAGGCTTTGAGGATTCTATCACGTGCCTTGTGACATTTTCGACGACATGACGTATCCGTATCCATCAATTCTATAGATCCAAACGACACAATTACGAGATGAGGGTTCTGTCAGTGGGCCCATGGCAAGGCTGTGCTATCTCTCGAAGCCCAGCCCTTCGCGCTCGCTTACTGTGTTCAAGAGCATGCAGTGCAGAGCTGTCGGACAGGTTGTACGGGACCTTGCATAAGAGGTGATTTCTTAGCCATTGTACATACAATCCAATTCTAACTGTAATAGAGACCATAATCTTGGTATGTGATGCTGTCCGACACTTAGTTGCTTTTGACAGCTTTGTCGTGCAGTCCGCCAAATCAAGCCGTAAGCTGACATCCATCAGAGCTCTCACAACATACTGCAAGTGCATGCCCTCGGCGCCCGGCTTTCAGGCTTAACACCGTCATTGCTCACAATGAGCGTCTGAAACCCTTGTCGAGCATTCGGCACTTCTCTGTTCGATCAGCTCCGCTCAAAGCTGCAATGGATGCTATCAGGCCTACGCATAGGGCCTTTATTGCTCTAGGCAGTAATGTCGGGGAGCGGGTTGAGATGATCGAGAAGGCGTGTCTGGAGATGGACCGCGCCAATATCAAAGTCATAAGGACTAGTTCTCTGTTTGAGACGGCTCCGATGTATTATCTCGACCAGGAGCCTTTCATGAACGGCGTTTGCGAGGTGCGTCTATCCCCCATATCTACCGAACATATTCTGATTGCCGCAGGTCGAAACAACCTTGCAACCGCTGGAGCTCCTCGATGCTCTACAAGCCATTGAGATCGGCCTAGGGAGGAAAAAGCTGATAGATAAGGGCCCGCGGTCAATCGATCTCGATATCCTCCTTTACGACCAAGATACCTTCACCCACGATCGACTCAACATCCCGCACAAGCTGATGTTGGAGCGAGACTTCGTCCTGCGACCTCTCAGCCAGTAAGCTCATAACCCCAACCTCTCACTGCAGGTGAAAAAAGCAATCTAACAACTTCCCACAGACTAATCCACAACGAAACCCCCCCTTTCAAAGGCCACAAAAAGACCTACGCTTCCCACCTATCCTCCCTCCCACCCCCCTCACCCATCCCCATCGCAACAACCTACATCTCCCCCTCCTTCCCACCCCTCCGCTCCACCGACCCCTCCAGACGAACCCACATAATGGCAATCCTAAACCTCACCCCAGACTCCTTCTCCGACGGCGGCAAACACCCCGCAACAGATCTCGAAACCCTAACAGCCACCGTCCGCTCCTTCATCGCCTCCGGCGCAACCATCATCGACGTCGGCGGCGAAAGCACACGGCCCGGCTCCGTCCCCGTCAGCTCAGACGAGGAACTCCGCCGCATCATCCCCGCCATCCGGCACATCCGCACGTCCATCCCCGAAGCCAAGAACGTAGCCATCAGCGTGGATACGTACCGCGCGCGCGTCGCGCACGAAGCTCTCGCCGCTGGCGCAGACATCATCAACGACGTTTCTGCGGGCACCCTAGACCCGGAGATGCTGGGGACCGTCGCGCGGTCAGGGAAGTCAATCGTGCTTATGCACATGCGCGGGTCGCCGTCCACGATGACGAAGCTGACGGAGTATCCGAATGGCGTGATTCCCGACGTGAGCAGCGAGCTTCTTGAGCGTGTTGCGGCCGCCGAGGCAGCGGGGATACGCCGGTGGCGGATCATCCTCGATCCTGGGCTGGGCTTTGCCAAGAACCAGGCGGAGGATCTGGCTATTCTTAAAGATCTTGCTGCGTTCCGGGCCGTGCAGGGGCTGGAGTACTTTCCTTGGTTGATGGGGCCGAGTCGGAAGAGGTTTATTGGGAGGTTGACTGGTGTTGAGAAGGCGAGTGAGCGTGGTTGGGGCACGGCGGCAACGGTTACGGCGAGTATTGCTGGGGGTGCGGATATTGTGAGGGTGCATGATGTCAAGGAGATGTGGCAGGTTGCTAGGGTTGCGGATGCGATATATCGGGGTGCGGAGTAGGTGGTGGGAGACCAACAGTGTGTATAAACTAGGGTCTATGGTTTTGTATAAAAGAACTAAAGCTGTATCTTTGAACAAATGTACAGGAGCTTGGAAGAGAATATAAAAGGCCAACGGTGGTCATCAAAGTGATTCGAATATTTTGTACTAGTTTGCGAGTAGAACAAGTGACCCATAGCCGTTCGGCAAGAAGGCTACCAGGTATGAAGTCGGATTGCTGCTTCGAACGCCTGGGACAGAACTACGCGTGCCAAGTGAGGGATCAAATAAAGGAAACAGGCTGACTAACGCGATCGTAAGCTGAGGATATCATCGTCGAATAGAAACTCTAGCACATTTAGCTGTTGAGATAGCTGCGTATAGCACCTGCATACACGTTAGTGGAAGTTAGAACCTGAGATACAAGGGACTGACCTTGCAACTTGCTTGCACCGTCACCCACGAGCTGCGTCAAATTCTCCAGGTCGTCTCCTGCAGTGATGCCGAATCGTCGAACAAAGTCCTTCGCTGCTGTCTCGAGGTCACCATACGTGTCTTCGACAGGAGGATAATCATCTTCAGGTCGACCGAAGTACGAGTTGCTAGAAATAGCCTGGGCGCCGTCGAACTGGCGAAGACGCTCCTTGGCCTCTGACTGCGCAGCTGGGTCGAAACGGTCACGTCCGAAGAACTCGTCAGATGAGATACCCTTTTGAGCTCCGAACTTGCTCTTTGTTCGTTGAATTTCTTCTTCTGCTGTATTATTAGTTATGCGTGGATAATAAATGTTTGCAGACGCACCATCTTCAGCGGAGCGCGCGGCACCAACCGCACCAAAGCCGAGCTTCTTGGGCGCGGGCGGCTTCGAGCTAACCGTTTGACCGAAGCCAAGCCTACCCATACCCATTCCGAGACGCTCCACATCACTGGAGTTCCGTTCGTGGGTAGCCTTGGTGGCACCAAAGCCGCCCTTGTTAGGGCTAAGCGGTGTTGGCGAGGCGATAGCAGTAGCTCCCGCGCTGGGGGCCTTGGCCTTGGCCTCTGCCTCTTCAGCTTCGCGATCATAGCCGAGCTTCTCGATGCGTTCCGCCTCCTCCTTGGCCTTCCTCTCAGCCTCGTCAAAGTCGATCAGATCCGCTCCGCCGACCTTCTTCGCACCGAGCTTGGTCGGCTTCTTGGCTCCAAGAACACTGCTCTTCTTCGCGGTCGTCGCTCCAGACGTTTTCCGAGCAGCAGCGCTAGCTCTAATCGCCGTCGGCGCCGTTGAGACAGGGGAGGATTCCTTATCGGAGGAAAGAGGCGACTTCGAGCGGGAGGTGTTCGCGCCTGCGTTCAAAAAGGGGGAGGAAGTACGGCTGACGACAGGGGGTGTGCCAGTGCGTGATGGGGGATTGCTGGGTCGCTTGATGGACGGCTTGTCCCAGGATGAGAAGAAATCGTCGTCATCGCCGGCAGGCGTGCTGGAGCCGTTGGACGTCGTACCAACGGCGACATCTGTAATCACAACCTCTTCGGGGTATCTAAAAAGGCGAGGGGTCAGCGTCTCTGGGAGGTCAAGAGCTCAAGCAATCACTTACTCTTGTGCATCCAAGGCGGCGCGCCTCTTCAATTCCTCCTTGTACTTGACAGCGGCGTTGGAGGTGTATTTGACCTTCGAGTCCTTGCTAGCGAGGGCGGCGGACCCTCCGTTCGATTGGAAGTATTTCGTGGCGGACTCATTTCCACCGACTTTCATAATACGAAGCTGTTCCCATTGCCATTCTATCATGGGTGTTAGTTGAGGACAGATATCATTTCGAAGATAGGCGGCATACGGTCGAGGTTTGTGGAACGAACAAAGGAGATGTGGACACCGAGGTTGCGGTGGTTCGCTGAGCAGTCAAGGCACAGGTAGATTCCGAAGGGCACAGACGACCATGTAGGGTTCTTTGAGCCGCAGTCAAAACATATCTGGGGATTTCCACGAGCACGGGGTCAGTCTAGGAAAATGCGGTATATGGAGGGGCTCTGGCACCTTGTTTGCGGGTTTTGTTTTGAGCTTCTCAAAGATCTTTTGAGACTCCGCCTTGGTGGCAGTCATTGCGGCGGTAGTAAGATATCAGCAAGTCAAATGATGACTGGAATGAAAGTGTCCGAAGTGTTCGTGGGAGAGTCGGAGGGAACTTGAAGGGATCCCCGAGTCGGGAGGGCGAACGTGGTCGGAAAGGGTCTGGCGCCTAACCGTTTTTGCATTCTGCTTCCGCTGCCGCCACTGAAGTATACAGCGAATTGCCAAGTTACTGTAGTAGTTATTATTCTGCTCTGCTTGAGAACTGTCCAAAATATACCAGTCTTAGCAGTATCATCCTGTCTGGCTTATTGACTTCACAAATGCATACGATTTTGACCGTACAGTGTGGTATTGCAAATACATAGTCGCGCTCAGGCACGTGACCCACCTCCTCATCCCCACATCCAGGTCCCGATACAGAAAAGAATCCAGTTCCAGCAACAGTTCAAAAATATCTACGGAGATACAAAGCAACACTACACCTAGTACGCTTCACACCCCAATTCGTGCCTGCTACAGTCGCGCGATTAAGTTCCCGTCAACCAATCAGCGGGTAACCGCGACAGTTTCATACAGCCGGCGCTGAAACCCTACCTACGAAAGCACTCCAACGTCCAAAGACCGAAAATGAGCCTCGTTCACCTCCGCCCCTCTCCGCTCCTCCGTCCGAGTCTCCTCCTCTCCCATCCCCTCCTCCCCCGCACATCCCAACACACCTACGCCACACAAAATTCCTCCGCAGCGCCGCGACGGAGAAACGTCACAGTATTATCGGACGATGGCCGGTATACATGGGGCGAGCTGAGTGGGAGGGAAAAGGTTGCGCGGGCGACGCAGCAGTCGATTAACTTTGTGGTGGTGTTGGCTGGAGCTGCTCTTACGGTAGGCGCAAGCGCAATCGGAAGCCGGACTGCGGAATGGTGCTGATCAGTTGCGATAGGGCGGCGTCTTCTATCTGTTATATACCGAGGTCTTTTCGCCAAATAGTAAGACGTGGCAGTTCGAGAAGGCTGTTGAGAGGGTCAAGAACGATGCACGGTGTACCGCTCTTTTGGGTGATCGGAGGGAGATCCAGGCGTACGGAGAGAATACTTGGAGCCGGTGGGCGAGGAATAGGCCGATTGCGTATGTCACATCTACTTGACTACGCGGTATGTGACTGGGAAGCTAATCGATGGCAGCACAACGTTTGAGAAGGACCAACAAGGCCGCGAGCATATGAGGATGAACTTTCATGTATGTTCTTGAAGCGCAATGCATTGAGGTCGGAGTAGACAGACTAACTAACTTGACAGGTTGCGGGACCACGAAACTCTGGAACTGTCTTTGTACACATGGTGAAGCCAACAGACACGAACGAGTGGGAATATCGACTTCTTGCGCTCGAAGTCAAAGGTTTGTTTCGTCTTCTGCGTGATATTCTAGGTGTGCTAACGTAGCCGCAGGCTACTCCCGGGTCGTTCTCGAGGAGCGCCACGACCCCAAAGTTGGCGGAGAGCTGAAGATTTTCGGCATCCGGTGGAAGTAGGATGCTTCTAGCTTTCGCCTAGGGATGATATGCTACTGTATTATATGATATAAATGCGATTCGTATACCCTGGCCTACGCGCCTAAATTGATATCCCTATGAGGCCAATCTTTCTGTGTGTCTATAAGATGAACTAGCCCAAACACGGCAAAATATCAGATGAACTATCCAAACCAGTCTATACTATCCTAGGTCCCTCCAAAATGACCTTCGCCTCTTCCGACTTCCACCAACTCTTCCCCTCCTCACCGGGGAACGAAAACTGATCCATACTCTCCGGCTTCATCTCAACACTGTATCCAGGCTCCAGTGGCGTAACATAGTACCCATCCTTCACGCTAGACGGGTGCAAGAAGTGCTCATGCAGATGGTCCACATACTCCAGCACACTCCTCTTTCCACTAACAACAACATAATCAATCGTGCTCAGGTGCTGAGTGTACTCGGGCAGTCCGACACCACCGGAGTGCGGCACAATCGGCACGCCGAACTTCCTCGCAAGCAGCAGGATAGCGAGGACCTCATTTACACCGCCAACTCGGCAAGCATCCGCTTGCAGGACTGTCAGAGCGCCGGCCTGCAGAAGCTGCTTGAAGATGACGCGGTTCTGGCACATCTCGCCGGTGGCGACACCGATGGGGCCGTGGGGTGTGTTCTCTAAAGCCTTCTTGATTGCGGCGTGGCCGAGGATGTCGTCGGGGGAGGTGGGCTCTTCGATGAACCAGGGCTTGAACTCGGCGAGGTTGTTCATCCATTCGATTGCTTCGGGGACGGACCAAACCTGTTGCAACACTCTATTAGCCTCTGCTCTCTCTAAGAAAATGGGAGTTGTAACGTACCTGGTTAGCATCAACCATCAGGATATTCCCCTTATCATACCCAATCGCCTCGCGCGCGATTGACAATCGCCGTCTGTCATCCTCCAAGTTCGCGCCAACCTTCAACTTAAAGTGCTTATACCCCTGCTCAACACTCTGCTTGAGCAATGCCTTGAGTTTCTCCTCTCCATACCCAAGCCAGCCGGCACTGGTAGTATAAGCAGGCACGGCCTTACTCTGCTCAGCCTCCTTGATTCTCTCCGCCTTGCCGCCCTCCACCTCCTTCAGCAGCGCAATCGCCTCCTCCGGCGTAATCGCATCGGTGATGTACCGGAAGTCAATGCAGCTCACATATTCTTCGGGGGTCATGTCCGCGACGATCCTCCAGACGGGCTTGTTAAGGACCTTGGCCCATAGATCCCACAGGGCGTTTACGACGGCGCCCAGCGCGAGATGGATAACGCCCTTCTCGGGGCCGATCCAGCGCAGCTGGCTGTCGGAGACGAGGTAGCGCCATGTAGCGCCCCAGTTTGAGGTCAGCTCGTCGAGGTCTTTGCCGACTATTAGTGGCGCGAGGAGGGAGATGGCGGAGCAGACGATTTCGTTGCCGCGGCCGATGGTAAATGTCTGTCGACACGGTCAGAGAGGTATATTAGCGGATAGACGGGCTGCGTCCAGGGGTAAATACCATGCCATGTCCGGAGTAGGGAGAGTCTGTGTAGAGGATGCAGTAGGCTGAGGAGTAGTCGCCGGCAGCGTTCATAGCATCGGAGCCGGTTTTGTCGAGGGAGGTCTATGGTCTGTCTCAGTATCGATTTCTATCATTGAGATGGCATCGACGTCTTACCGGAAACCTCACGTCTCGCGTGATGAAGCCTGTGATCTTCACCATTGTGCTGTGGTTGTCTTGTAATTGTCTGGCTGGTTGTAGTGTTAGAATGAGCAATCGTCATCAGAAGATTGTACCTCGACTTACATCAAAGGTGGCGAGCGAGATCAATGCGACGCAGATTATTCAATAATCATACAGAGAAGTACTCAAACCAAGACGAAATAGATTGAGAACAGGCAGGGCAAGGCATGGTATAAGTAAAACAAGCCCCTCCCCCTCAGGCTAAACGGGCAGAAAACCCCGCGGAACAATTACAAGGGCTCCCCTCATCGCTCGAGGCAATCCGGCTTTACAAACGGTATAGTCTGGCTGTCAATGGAGAATGAGCCGATCCATAATTACTACTGGCAGCTATTATCCAGGCGTGGGGGCAGAGGCCGCTGATGTTATTGGCGGAAGAACTATTTCCATCACTGAGAAATAATCCCGTCCGGTCCCAGTGCATCGGATCGTCTCCGATATAGTCTTCCAAGGTTGTATCTTCATGTGCAGCATGGATTTATAGACATATTGCAATAGGTAGTACAGGGGAGCCACGATGATGTCCATTCCACCGCCAGCGCATCGCTATTAAAAAGGCCAAGAGCATCGCATCTATCCCGAGAGGCCTCTCTTCTCGCTTTCGGAGAAGAAGATGATCATCCGCCACAGCTTCCGCACAAGGACTTCGGCTTCTTCGTCGAGGGCCTAAGTCGGGTTAGCTATCATGCATCACAAAGACAGAGTTAACTCACCTCTTCCAGCTGCTCCACAAGCTCCTGGGGAGTTCCACGCTTGCGAATGTGCTCTTCCACCACGTCCACTAGCATCTGTTCTTGAACACCAAGGTACTCCACGATCTTCTTCTCCACAAACGGTTTGAGCTGATCGCTGACCACAGACTCGTCCACAAACTCCCACTTGACTTGCCACTTCCATAGTCCCTCCTTGTCTGTAGGAATTTCTGCCGCAAGTTGTCGGGCAGCCTGTGCTCGCTCTTCCTCGGTAAGTCCGGCAGCTTCGGCAGCGCTGTCGAACTTGATCGGGATGAGTGGTCGCCTCGCCGTAGCTTGAGGCTCTTCCTCGTCCTCCAATAATCCTTCGACTTCGGCAACGGTGCGACGGCTGGTGGCGGCCTGGGCCTTCTGGGCAGCGGCTCCAAGTGAAAGCTTGAAGCGTTGGGGTTCGCGTGGGGCCTCCATCCTGGTTTCCAGCTCCTCTGCCTGGCGGGCAAGGAAGTCGTCCGCCATACCCCGAGCTTGCTCCCGCTGTTGAACGGATCGTGCCCGTTCCCGCTCTTCGGCTGCACGGTCTGCCTCGTCCATGCTAACCTCGCGCGCTCGGAATGCCGCACGGCTGCGCAGCCAAGCACCCCGGTCGGCATAGTATTCGCTGTTTTTCCGGCTAGCCTCGATATCATCGTTCCACTCACTCAATCGCTTGTCCTCTTCATCGCGTACTTCTTGGACCTTATCCTCTTCCTCCTGGTCTCGTTTCTTCTCACGCTCCAAGGCTGCTGTTCGGCTCCGCTCGCGGTTGAGCCAGCGTCGCTCTTGGTCAAGGAATTGCTTTTCGAGCTCCGCTTCACGCTTGGCTTGTCGTCGTCGCTCGAGCTCCTCATCGTCGGCGTCGGAATCCTCATCTTCGCGGTCGATATACACCGTAGTAGCACCATTGACCGAACCGCCATTGACAAATGAAACGCCCTTCTGGTAGTCCTTCGGGATTTGTACACCAAACCCTTTCGGTCCAGATGGTGCATTGGGCATTCCACGATCTCGGCCGCCCAAGGGAACGCCATTTGCTCCAGCAGCAGGTCCACTTGGCGCTGAAGCAGGAGGCGAAGCTAGGCGACTGACTCGAGCACCAGAGTTTCGAGCTCGTTCCATAGACTCGATCTCTTCCTCTCTCTTCAAACGTTCAATATCCCGGCGGTTACTCCGATCGCGGAATGCGGCAATCTCTTTGGCAACAGTTTCCCGCATCTCGGGAGGGATATCGGACAGCTCATCCTCGACTGTTATTGGGATGGTAACAACTTCGGCGGACGTACCATCCTGGCCTTCGGCATCCTTCATCGTAATATCTCCTTCCCGATCAATGGCGGAGGCGTCCTCTCTCTGAGTAGGCGATGTAGGGTGGAAAAGATCTTGAAGCACGCCCTTAAGCGCCTGCTTTGCAGCATCCAACTTGGCCTGGCGCTCGGCCGGATCCTGATCGCCTCTGGACGCTTCGTATTGTTCGAGGTACGTGAGCGAGCTCTCGTCAACGACAACCTGGATAGATATTAGTTTACCCTTTATGCTGATTATAGAGCACATACCAAAAGCGTGCTCTTCTCCACTTCCTGTTCTTCTTTATCCTCTGAGTCGGACGGCGTCTGTCTCTTCACAGGAACTTGCACGTCCTTTAGCACTTCCACAGCTGTACCTAGACTCTCAGGGTCCTCGTACTCTGCGAAACCGAACTTGCACGGTTTTTCATCGGCATCCGTGGCGCGGATCCAGCGTCTTAGATTACCCGCTGACCGCAGGATTCTTTCAACGCCCTCGTCACCACCCAGACCCTCCGTAATCCCTCCAACAAATATGGTCCTCACAATCTCGTCCCTGGTAGGAGGCTGTAGCTGCATCATCGCATCCCGCACGTTCTGGCGCTGAGACTCCAAGTTTGAAGCACCCAAACCCGCGCGCCGACCCGCATCCCCACCGCGCTCTTTACTGATATCCGGAGTAGCAGATTTCGAAGGTCCCGAGGTACCGAGTCGAATCACAGGAGCTGAGAAATTGATGTTCGGCATGTTCGGTGGCGGTTGGAAGTTCGCGGGGAATCCGGCCGGTCGACCAGGCTGTTGCATGTTGGCTTGCTGTAGCCCCGGAGGAGCAGTGCCAGGAGCGGCCATTCCTGGTGGAGGTGCTATATATTGACTTAGGATCGCGACGCGTGAATCAAGAAGCAGAAAATAGTCAAACTTACCCATACCTGGGGGTGCTCCGGGATAAGCACCATAGTCGGGGGCGCGGCCATACATGCCGGGAGCTATAAAATCAGTCAGAACATCTAATAAACGTACAATATGGGATGCTGACTGCGGCTGCGTACGTTGGTAAGGATTATACATTGCGACGGCTGCCCAGCGCAAACACTGCGACAGATATCAACGGACAAAAGCTTCAAGCGGCAAAGCCAAGAGTCGTTCAGGTGGTTATTATGTAAGGAGCGGCACCTCCACAGACCGCTGATACTTGGAGGAGCAAATGGTGTTCTTTGAGATAAAAAGGGCCTTGCGTTTGCAAGTCTGCATCGTCCTTTCGGCGGATTCGCGGCTGGAGAAAAGTCCATGTGGCCCGTGCACGTTTCTTGGCAGCATCAAAGCTCCCCTTCAACATGTCAACAACCCTTGAATGAATATATCTGTAAAGTATTCTCAAGTCGCTTTACTGAGACTCGGGTCTTCTTGCTCTCTTAGAGCTAGCTCTAGTAATTGCAATGAGAGTACTGGCTAGAATAATAGGTGAAAATTTAGGTGCGGCTTGGATGTATATATTGCTGCCGCCGACAAGTATAGATAGCCGTTTTTTAGAGGCCATTGCGTTCGCTACTCTTCATCCGGTCTAAACAGTCCAATGGCTCACATAGACCATACAATACCAATCCCTTTGTACTTAACCATATTTACAAATAGAAATCGACTTGTACTTTCGTACGAATTGCGATGACTACTCTGTTTGGGAGGACCCCACGGAGCACATACAACAGTCATGATTATGTCTATTTTTGTCAGCACTGAGCAAGCTTGAGTAGCTAGACAGACTACGCATCAGTTGACAAATGAACAATGTTCTTCTCTTAGCCGGGGACAACCGAATATCTGGGTGAAACGGTGACAAGCCGGCCACGGTCAATTCGCGGCATATAAAAACGGGGGCAGATTTCCGAGGAATCCGGGTCTCCGCTGCTCGATGCGAGGAATTGATAATGGAATCCAGGAACTGAAGGTCATTGAGTGTGGTTATCCGGATCTTGACGGTTGTGGTGGTTCAAGTCTAGAATGCAGGTCTGACAAACGATGCTACTGCCGGGGCCTGATCAGCGCTATACAGCTGCAGAGGGTTAGCTGCAGGCAGTTTCTGATGTCCAGCTGACCCGTTTAATATTAGTATTATTGGCATTGAAGAGCTAGAGGTTGCTCGCATCCGCCGGATGATTGAACGCCGTAGAAGATCTGGAAGGCAGAACGTGCCCCACGGCCCCTCCACGGACCTCAACAGGCCGGTTACGCCATCAACAGCTTGAGCTTCCCAGAGCGTCATCGCCTAGGTCCTGTTTCAATTCACATACAATTATTTATTTGTGAACCATTCCCAAGTCATCTCTGCCGCTTTCTTTCTTCAACTTTCAGCTTATACTCAGGTACGAACCCTACCCGTGTCCTTGGGAACCTGTTCCCTCGAGCACTGTGCCCTTGAGCCCCGCACTGACGTTGATTCTTCTTCATAGGCATCCTACAACCCTTCCATAACTCATTCCTTCACTCCTCACTACCCTCACATCACAATGCCTTCTTTCTCCCAAGCCGTCGAGCTTCCCGCCTGGAAGGAGCTCCAGGACCACCATGGCTCCGTTGGCCGCAACATCGTGCTGAAGGAGTGCTTCGAGAAGGACCCCCAGCGCTTCGAAAAGTTCAGCCGTGTTTTCCAAAACACCGTCGACAACAATGAGATTCTCTTCGACTTCTCCAAGAACTTCCTGACTGAGGAGACCGTGGCCCTTCTGGTCAAGCTGGCCAAGGAAGCCGGTGTCGAGGAGCTCCGCGATCAGATGTTCGCTGGCGAGCCCATCAACTTCACTGAGAACCGCGCAGTCTACCACGCTGCTCTTCGCAACGTCAGCAACCAGCCGATGCAGGTCAACGGCAAGAGCGTTGTTGAGGATGTCAACTCCGTCCTTGAGCACATGAAGGAGTTCACTGAGCAGGTCCGAAGCGGCGAATGGAAGGGTTACACCGGCAAGAAGATCAACACCATTATTAACATTGGTATCGGTGGTTCTGACCTGTAAGTCCCTAATCAATATGTTAGCAGTGGCGATATTCTAATGCGCGTATCAGCGGTCCTGTCATGGTCACCGAGGCTCTGAAGCCTTACGGCCATCCTGACCTCAAGCTGCACTTTGTCTCCAACATTGACGGCACGCATATTGCCGAGGCCCTCAAGAACTCAGACCCCGAGACCACTCTGTTCTTGATTGCTTCCAAGACCTTCACCACCGCCGAGACCACTACCAACGCCAACACCGCGAAGACATGGTTCCTTGAGACCGCAAAGGATGACGCTCACATCGCCAAGCACTTCGTTGCTCTCTCTACCAACGCCGAGGAGGTCGCCAAGTTCGGCATTGACACGAAGAACATGTTCGGTTTCGAGTCATGGGTTGGTGGTCGTTACTCCGTCTGGAGTGCCATTGGTCTCTCCGTCGCCCTCTACATCGGCTTCGACAACTTCCACCAGTTCCTTGCTGGTGCGCACGCCATGGACAAGCACTTCCAGGAAACCCCTCTGGAGCAGAACATTCCTGTCCTCGGCGGTCTTCTGAGCGTCTGGTACAGCGACTTCTTCGGAGCTCAGACTCACCTTGTTGCTCCTTTCGACCAGTACCTGCACCGTTTCCCCGCCTATCTCCAGCAGCTTTCGATGGAGAGTAACGGAAAGGCCATCACCCGCACCGGCGAGTACGTCAAGTACACCACCGGCCCCATCCTGTTCGGTGAGCCCGCCACCAACGCCCAGCACAGCTTCTTCCAGCTGCTCCACCAGGGCACCAAGCTCATTCCCTCCGACTTCATCATGGCCGCTGAGTCGCACAACCCTGTTGAGGGTGGAAAGCACCAGCGCATGCTGGCCTCCAACTTCCTTGCTCAGTCTGAGGCTTTGATGGTCGGCAAGACCCCTGAGCAGGTCAAGGCCGAGGGTGCCCCTGAGAACCTGGTGCCTCACAAGACTTTCCTTGGTAACCGCCCCACGACTTCCATCCTGGCTCAGAAGATCACCCCCGCTGCTCTGGGTGCTCTGATCACTTACTACGAGCACCTGACCTTCACCGAGGGTGCCATCTGGAACATCAACTCCTTCGACCAGTGGGGTGTCGAGCTGGGCAAGGTCCTTGCGAAGAAGATCCAGAAGGAGCTGGAGACCGAGGGTGAGGGCGGTGGTCACGACTCTTCCACCAGTGGTCTTCTTCTCGCCTTCAAGAACAAGTCCAAGCTTGCGTAAAGCGTCTTCGTTGTTTTGGAGGAAAAGCGACTTGAAAATGTGAATAATTGACGAGAACATGAATGGGACATCTTCGGTGTTTTTATTTTAGTCTTCATATCGAATGTTTAAGAATACCATAGTATGAATCAATCAAACATTTCATTGAAATCGAAACCCTTTCATTGACTCCGCACGAACTGGTGGCGGCATGGCGGCTCCGTTGCAAGACCGGACTTAGCTTCAAGCGAGCGGAGGATCGCCGACCCCAAGGTAGCTTGCTGGTCAAGACCACCGTGTCTCCTCTACATCTTCAGCGCCCTAGCTAAGCCCTTATCTTTGCGAAATCCTCACACTATATATTAAACCTTTAACCATTTGCCAAACCGGCGGCGCGCCGTATCCATTATGATCTCTCAGGGGACAAGCATTCTTCCCTGGGCGCTGGTTGCCTCGTGCTTGTTTCAAATTTCGGCTGCGGGGAGAACCGATGGCTATACATATGGGCAGCCTATGCCAGTAACGTGTCTGAATCGAACGATGTGAGTGCATTAGAAACCCAGGGCTTCAGAAATAATTTCTCAATGTCCAGTGCTAACGCCGTTCTCCGTCAGCGACTCCGGTGAACATGTATGCCAGCCTCCTCGCCTCCCTGATCCACCCATATCAATTTCAGCATTTCAGCTCGAACAGCCTTAGAACGGACTATACAAAGCAGAACTAAACGAATGCTCTTAGATAACCGACGATCTTGGAAAACTTCAATTCATTCCCTTCCCGACATGCAAAGAGACCTCCGCGCCGCTCGCCCTCCGCTACGGCGTTTCCGAATCAGTCAATTGCACAATCGAGGCCCTCCCCGATGAACTCTACCACCTCCTAGAATATTACGTGCACTCGGATGTGCCGATGACCTGCCGCGTGCCCACGGCACCCCTCGACTCGAGCTCCGCGACGGACTCCAAGTCTGACGACGAGACAGCCGAAGAGAAGAATAGTGTCGATGTCTCGACGCTAGACGACAACGGACCGCCCTACACGCCCATAACGTTCGCGCTGCAGGGAACCCTGCAGAAAAGTCACCTGCACATCTGGACGGACATGAATGTCATTGCGCATAATATCCCGCAGATAGCGGCCACGAAGAAGTCAAAGGGGGATAAGGAGAAGGGGTACATAGTCGCAGGGACAGCGTACTCGGTTCCGGAATTCGAATACTCGCTTCTCCACGGCAAGGGGAGGAAGAAAGACGACGACAAGAAAACAGACGAGGAGAAGGAAGCCTCTGCTGTTGCTGAGGCGGCGCGCGAGCCGTGGACGGAGGGACACGGGACGAAAGTCATTCGCGGCGAGCCGCTGACCTTTTCGTTCCATGTTAGCTGGGTTGAGGGTGGAAGGGGAATTGGATGGCCCGGCCGTGATATCTCGCAATCTTCCTCGTCTGGGCTTGGGTGGTTCTTCTCGAAGGTGTTTTTCTTTGGGATTGCGGCGTCAGTGGGTGCGCTGGTTGCGCTTTGGTGGGAGCGCAATGGGAATGGAGTTGGTGGGAGACGGGGCGGGTATAAGGGTGATGGCATACTAGGTGTGCCGGCTCTTGGGAAGGGTGCTGTGGGTGTTTCGTTTGGGAACGGGTCGAAGACAAATGGTTATGGGTATGGAGGGTATTCCGCTAATGGGTCGGGGAGCGGATACGGAGGCTTTGCGAGTGGAAAAAGGGATTGATATACTTGTTCTATTATTATGGTAAATATGGGTAGACATATGATATAGACCGTTGGATACCTTATTTGTGACCCATACTAAAACGACTGTTTATCTAACGTACAATGCAAGGCACTTGAATACATGATGTTCTCAGAAACTGGTAATATACACGCCAATTTGATATTCTCCCGTACAAAGCAAAAGGTGCAGACAACCAATCTACCACCCCTGCGCCCTCATCCTGTGAATCTTTCCAACCGTATGCGCAAACGAATAAGCGAACAATTTCCTCCACCTCTTGATCCGCAGGTTCTTCCTCATCTGGCCTTTCCGCACATGAAACTTCTGCGCCACCTGTTGATACTTGACATTGTTATCCTTAAGAATGACGTTAAGCTGTTTATGCGCCTTATCCAAATCAAATCCCCGTTCACTAGCAATAGTAACCTCACGACCCAGCGTCGGGTTAAGCTTCAGCTGAATCTTGCTTTTGCGCTCATGATGCGAGAGCGTGGGTTCCTTTTCCTTGTTGTTCTGGGCTTTGGCTGCCACGCTCTTGGGGTTTTTGGCGGCCAAGTTGAGTTGGTCGAAGATTCCATTCATTTCGGCGGAGACATTTGGTTGGAGCGGTGCTCGCTGGGGTCGGACAAAGTGAGATGCGGTAGTCGTGGTGGTGGTGTTGCGGGTGTTGCGGGTGTTTTCGGCGTTGTTGATGGGGATTGAGGAGTTGAAGCGGAGCAGTTGCAGGCCTGTTGACCGCGCGAATAGCGGCTGGTTTGTGAGGTTCGACTGACGGTTTGAGAGGAGGGAGGTTGTCGGCCTCGACCGGAGGCAGCGGGTTAGGGATCGCTCCATCGTGTTCTGCTTGGAGGCTGGGCCGATGAAGATAGCCCGATTGTGTTGGCTGATATGGACGGCGCTTCCGAGGTCTCCCTCCTTCTGTCAAACGTGAGGGATGGCGAGGCGAGGCGATCTCGGGAGCGTGGTCGACACGAGATGTTGTCCAGCTCCGACTTCATTTTTCCAGATCGGAAGCCCGCAAACCACGTGACCTTGAAAGAAGTACCTTCTCAAGAACAGAACATTTTACATCCCATCTCAGGAAATACAACTGTACAAATCACCCAACATGTCCTCAATTACCATCGCTACCCTCCCGCGCATGAGCCGAGATGCTCTCTCAGCCCTCCTCCTTTCCACATCCACCCCCGGCAAACTAGCAATCATCGACGTGCGGGACTCCGGTCAGTAACCTCCCCCACCTACCACTCTCCCCGTGCAAACACTAACCCCATGCTCAGACCACATCGGCGGCCACATCCTCTCCTCAACCTGGGTCCCGAGCAGCACACTCGACGTCCGCATGCCCGAACTCGTGCGCACCCTGCAAGATAAAGAGAAAGTAGTCTTCCACTGCGCGCTCAGCCAGCAGCGCGGTCCTTCTGCGGCGCTGCGGTACGCGCGCGAACGTGAGAGGATGCTGGGGAGTGACGAAAGCCACAAACAGGAAGTTTTCGTGCTAGAGGGCGGGTTCGTACAGTGGCAGGAGAAGTATGGGAAGGATGTGAGGTTGACGGAGGCTTATGTGGAGGACATCTGGAGGGAGTATTGAGTGGCTTGAATAGACTCTACTTGGTGACCAAGATTTGCGATAGAACTTTTGATACCCTTGTGCTTTGTGGTTGATTGTTGGTGGGTGCATGTCATAAGCGTTTGATGTAGATGACCGACTCGACCGAGTCGAATATATGCTTGATCTTAATGGTGAACTTGAAAAGATGGTATGTATATATACACTATGTTACACCCATACGGCTAATCTAGAAGCCACTCTTATACTGGGACTCCACCTCCGAACCCGACGGGGCGTCTTCTGCCACCATTTTCTGGGATAATACTCATTACCTTGTATAGCTTGCCCATACCACCGCCGCCTCTCTCAACAAGTCGCTGCCACCCAGTTTCCAGGACCTTGCGCTTCTCTTCATCTTGAACGGTGCTGAGTAGTTGCTGCATCCGCTCCGCAATTCCCATGGCCTGTAAGAATTGGCCCTGCTCGACGGGCCCATGGACCTCAACGCCCTCGCTAGCTTCAACGGCCGCCTCTGCAAGCGATGTGAAATCCACGTCGGCACTGACGTCGACTAGACCAGGCGAAGAGAGCGCCGGGACGACTTTATGGTTCTGGATACCGCGGAGGGAATTGATTGGAATGGTTGACATGGTTCCATAGTCCATGATCAGGGCAGCTCCTGAAGGAATGCGCTTTGCGATTGGAGAAGGGGCGGGCGCGTCTGGCTTTGCTGCTGTGCGCGGCGGTTGCGACGAGCCGCCGATGCGACGCGCAATGTCGGACGCGTAGATTCGGCTCTCCGGGCTAACTTCGATGGCTGCCCCGGGTTGGTTCCTGAGGGCTCGGTATCGTTCCGAGATCTCAGGAATGACAAGGGATGAAGGTGTAGATGCTTTCGCTAGAGTTAATTTGAACTCTGGCTCGTCTTTGATATTCTCGTCGACTGCTTTCGGGTTAAGAGTAACCATGAGTTCGCGCCATTGGGGTGTGTTTGCGGCCTTCGGCGGTCGCTGGAGTTTTGTAGGGCCGGTTGGCGTCATGATCTCCTGCTCTTGCTGCTGACCTTCGGGTACGGGAGGAATCGACTCGAAAGCGTGGATTGGGAGGGCATCGAAGAATTCGTGGGCAATGATGAACGGTGTCTTATCTTGCTCTGTAGACCGACTTAGCAAGAGGACATTGACAGGATCACTGGGCAATATTACCATGAGGCAACAATCGAATGTCTTCCACCCAAATTACGGGCACGTTAAAGTACTTGCTCGTACTCCGATGTCCAATGTCCGTCTCTTCCATGACTGCATCACCGCAGAGGAGCTGCTTCTGGACCTCTCTCAAGGTAGGGCTAGCTTCCACCAGATAGATCGCCTCGAGGCTCGATGTGAAGGGCTTGAAGTTCCGGAAAGTCTGCCATTACTGAGCATTGTGCATCTACAAAAGCCCACGAATAGATGTAGAAAAAACATACCCGCAACATATCATCCATCAACGTTCCCTTCCCCGGCCCAATCTCCATGAGCTGCACTCCGCTCTTCTTCCTCCCCTGCGCCATCCATTCCGCAATCGTCCATATGCCCACCAATTCCCCAAAGACCTGCGATATTTCCGGAGACGTAACAAAGTCGCCCTTCTTTCCGAAAACTTCTCCGCCGCCTCCTGGTTTAGTGGTATAATATCCTCCCTCTGGCGACGTGAGCACTTGGCGCATGAATGCCGCGATGGGTACCGGCCCCGTTGTTTTTATCACATTCGCAAGGGTGCGCGCAAGAGGCGTCGACCACTCCCGAGTCTCGAATGTGGAGTTCCATCGGCGCGATCGACCATTGAGCCTCCGTCGGGCAGTCTGCCTCAGAAACTGGCCGAGTATGCGCTGAGTGCTGGGATTCATCTTGGAGATTGCGCGCTCGGCGCTCTCGGCGATGCTTCAAGCTAGTGCAAACTGACAAGAAATGATATAATCAGCCAAGCGACTTCATATATCAAAACATTGCGCAAAGGTCATTGTAAGCTTGAGGCATGGGACGAAATTGTTCATGCCCCCGAAATCCCCGATCTCCGCTCACACGTGATGCCGGTATCTCTAATCGATAAGGAGCTTGGAGTTTTCTGAAAGTCGCAAAATACTTAAGATGAGTTGACCTTCTCATGATATTATGCTGCGTTTCATGGTGACCTGTTCATCAATTCTCCGCAGGTCTAATGTCGGTAGTTTCACTAATTGAGAGAATACAATATCGTACATATCATTAGATAACTTTCTGCAACCGAGTACCGTATCACTGTCGCCGGTTACCTCTGTTCCTGGGGCCCTGCGGAGGAGCGTCCGTCATCATCTCGTCGCTGTAGAGCCCATTTGCTTGAGCTCCCTGGTTCGCGCCCCGGTCGCTTCTGCCAAAGTTCCTCCTGCCCCTGTCACCTCTCCGGCCGCTGCCCCGGCCGTTGTACCTGAAATCCCTGGGGTCGACGGGCTGGTTGTCCTGCTCGTTGAATCCATATCTGCCATCTTGCAGAGCAGGGTCCGCCGTCCGTTGCGCTCGCCGGTTCCGATCTGCCTGTTCTCGTTGGTTATCGAAGGAAGACACCGTTGATATCGGACGACCAAATGCATCACGGTTGGCAAAGTGGAATGAAAGGATCCGACCATCGGCCTTCTTAAAGTTAGCGTAGAGTTACCCTACAGTATTGGTTCACCTACTCTTTGGTTGTGAAAGTTGGCTACAGCCTTCTCAGCTGACGATGTTTCGGCGAAAGTGATCTCCGCCGTCACCGTTGGATTTTGCGATGTAACCCAACAGCTCATGATCTTTCCGGAGACGGGCTCAATGGCCGACTGTATATCAGCGGCAGTTGTCCCGGGAGCAAAATTGCTCCCGATGACAACAGGAGGGCTTGAGCTAGCTCCCTTGATGTTCAGCCCTCCGGCGTTGCGTACTGTAGCCTGACCATTCGCGGAATTGATCGCTGACGCGAGGCGATCCTCGTCGGGACGACGTCGGCGCGTTGGCTTTGTGCCCGCTGTTGTGTTTCGTCCACGCGCGGCGGCCGCGGTGGAGGAGGCTCTGCTCCCCGTCTTGGAGTTGAGGTTAACGGATGCGGAACGCTAGAAGTAGCAGATGATTGGATGAGCTTGTGTTCTTCGTAGGATAGGGCATGTAGAGCGCAAACTAATGTTATTCTGTTACCTTTGTCACACCAATTCGGCTCGCAAGACTTCCACCAGGTGTCGCATTCTGCGCCTTTCCAGCCCCCGAGCCGGGCGCGCTGGCCCTCCTATTCTTACCCAGAATTTGGTTCGCGAGGTCTTCGTTCTTCTTCTTCTGGCGACCTGGGGGAGAAAGGATGTATAAGCCTGGGACTCATATGTTGAGGAATATGCATGCACTGACTGGTTTGAATAATGGCGTTGAAGGAAACAGCCTGGGTCGCAGCTGGAGCCATGACGGAGAGGCCTTTGGTGGTATTGCTAAGAGACGGTGATGAAGTGTAGAATATAATGAGAATATAAGCAGAAGCTGCAAGCAAAGATCACATATATTTAGAGAAAAAAAGAACTGTCAGATGGCATCGGTAGAACGCCGGAGAGTTGCAGAAGGAAAGCTAAGTCGGTTGCGGCTGCGGCTGTCCACCAACGAAAGTTCCCTGCACGCCATGCACTCGTCTAACACTGTACTCTAGACGCTGAACACAACCTGATTAACATTCTACCTGGCACATTGGCTGGATGTGATGCAGTAAGCTTCTTTAGGATTTTCCTGGCGTAGAAATTGCTGTTGAGTTGCTGTACTGAGTACTAACCACTCTCCTAGATGCCTTCAGCCCTGAAATGGAAGCTGCAATGCAGTCCCGAGTCTCCTTGCAGTGCTCCGGCCAGTGCTTCTTTGGCCTGTCCGACACTTGCAAGTCAACCTCAACCGGACCAGATCCTTCTCTGTCCGTGAGAATCCAAGAAGGACTGCAACTCTAGGTGCTGCTACCTATGCCAACTGTTGGTTCCGATTTCTTTTAGATATAACTCTTTTCTGCAAGTCTGCATATATCTTGATATCAGTCCTTACTTCGACACCGTGAGCTCACAATCATTTGGAGTGCCTCTGCAGCCTCTAAAAACAATGGGTTCATCGTCGGAGGAGTGTGGTGACTTGTCTAGCCCGCTTTCGCTGCGCCCGTCAAGAAAGGGGAGCAGGTATGGCTTCATACGATAGTTAACTTTGCCATGATATTGACGTGACACCGTCAGACCTGCGAGGCCTCCAAGCCCCCCGTCAGCATGCGAAGAAAGCGTTCATTATCCGATCTTCAATCCAGAAGACCCGCGGCACAATCCGGCACTCGAGAGCAGCCTTGGCCTGGAAGATGCCGACAGCCTTCCCCAAGCGCCCTTCCCCGCTGGCTCGATGCGCTGGATGCAGGGTCTTCCCGGAAGGTCTCTCCGCAGAGCTCGCTCTGGACTTCACGCCTTAAGATCCGGGTTACAAAGACGGCCTGCGCGGAGTGCTGACGGGGATCATGTCAGCGGTGAACTGTGGTCTTCGTCCAACTCTGCCGAGGGCTCTTCTAGTCCGAACGAGAATCTCTTCTCATCAACTGTCTCTGAGGCTAGCACCGAAGAAGACTATGAGTTTGGAACTAACCTTTATCGAACGGGTTGCCACCATCCTTATCCCAAGGATGAGTATAGAGAAGACATTACTCCTCCGGCTTACATTGCGCCCTATATCCCTGCTACTTCAGCAAAGTTGAGCACGGTAGCTGAACTCCCTCTCGTTTTCCCGGTGATAGTGACAGATACTTCTTCTGATGAGGGCGTGTCTACGGTTCCTACGCCTGCCGATGCGCCTTCTACTATTTTGAATGGATCTTCGGCTTCTGACGACGACTTTCAACATGGCGTAAAGGAATCGGGTGTACTTGATCTCCCCATACCGACCACGACCCGAACGGCGAACCATTTGGATGTGGCTGCGTCGGATATGGCCGAGTCAGACGTGGCCGAAGACAATGCTTCAGTCAAAACGGAAATGAGTGACTCCTCTCGCAGATCATCTCCAAGCGCATTACCACAATCTCTAATCGAACAAATACCATGTGGCGGGACTGAGATTACTGTAACGACAAAAGAAATTGAGAACCATGGGGCTGAACCTGTCGAAAATGGCACTGAACGTGCTCCAGAGATTGAACTCGGAGACCTGGGGGGTAACGACTATTACCTATCGCTGAACGCATTGGACAATAGTGAGGCACATGAGAACAACACTAGCGAGGACCAAAGTCCTAATAGCCCCAGTGAGGATGGCAGATACGTGTTGTTAAGCCCTTGGCTGCCGGTTGATAAGAGCGACCGTAGGTCTTTGCTCCGTGATGAGTATTTCGTTGACGGCAAACCATCCGATCGCCGACCAGACGGCGGTAGCAACGCAGTTAAAGCAGAACCGGAGCTCACTGGCGACGGCCGGCTATATATCGACCGGGGTCTCGACCGAAATCGATCATTACGCCATGAGGTTCCGGAACTCATTGGGCCAAGGGGTCCGATAGGATTCCCCGGGCCACAAGGAGTACGAAGAGACCGGAGAAGTGAATCAAGTGAGGAAGAATATCTCGTGACTTATGGTCTATTGCATCGACATTATTTTTCATGATTGCGTGTCCAAACTTTGGAATGAATCATTCGTTTCTCAAGTGGGTATGTGCTGTTTATATTGTTAAAGCATTATATATGTACATTAGCCAAGATGGTAAAAGGATTTGGCCTGAGCAGCCACACTGCGATAAAATCTAGCCTCCGTGTTAAGATTAAGAGAAGAGAAACTGCCTAGCCTAGGCGCAACGTAAACCCGGCCCCAGTTTCCCCGGAATCAGCACCAGCCTGACCACCAAACACACTGGCAAAGTCCAGCTTGGGCGCCTCCTGTCCCCGTTTCGGCGCCTCGGGCGTTTCTCGACGCCTTCTCTTTTCCATACCAGCCTTGGACGGGAACGTCGGGAACATCTCCTTAGGCTTAGGTCGGGGATCTTCCCTGAAGTACGGATGTGTGAGACATTCCGCGGCGGTAGGCCGCGAGGTCGGGTTGAGCGCGAGCAGCGAGGAGAGAAGTTGCAGGCCAGCATTCGTGAGGAATGGAAACTTTGACCGGGGGAGGAGTGTCGATGATGATTGCGTGGGTGGGAGACGGAGAGACTTTGCGTTTGGGAGGGAGCGGAAGCCAGGCCAGGTCTGTTGTGTTGGAGGGCCGGTTAGGGCGAATATCTAGATGTACTTGTTAGCTTGTGGTAGTCCCCAGGCCAGGAAGGTTTCTGGTCAGCTACGAACCTTTGATACCTGATCCACCTCATTCTTCCCCTGCAGAAGCGGCTCCTTCGTGAGAAGCTCCCCCAATATACAACCAACGCTCCATATATCGATTTCCGGGCCGTAGGTCTCGGCACCTAACAGGAGCTCCGGGGAGCGGTACCAAAGCGTCACGACGAGCTGCGTCAGCTTTGGCGGCGGGTCGCCGTAGTAGCGCGCCATTCCGAAGTCGGCGATCTTGAGCTCGCCACGGTTATTCATGAGAAGGTTTGACGTCTTGAGATCGCGATGCATGATCCACTGGGAGTGGAGGAAGTCGAGGCCGGATATGAATTGGAGAAGGAGGGTTTTGATTTCGGAGGGGAGAAAGGGCTCGCGCATGTCGTCGAGGAGCGTCTTGAGATCGTGTTCGAGGAAATCCATGACGAGATAGACTCTGCATAGTGGCTGAGGGAGGGAGGGAACCTCCCCCAGGATTCAATGGTTAACCTTGTGTATCTGGCACTTTTCAGGGTGGAGGGGATGCGCGGAGAGCATGGGTAAGATTCGGGGACAGGCCAAGTTAGGGCTATAATAGGAAGGCTTACTCGTCCATTCGATTTCCCATGACAACTTCGCGCAGGTAAACGACGTTCTGGTGACGCGCTTCAAGAAGCGTCTGGATCTCCCGGAGACCAGTTACGGGAAACCCATCGGGGGAGTTGTCCAGCTTGAGTTTCTTCAAAGCAACGATTTCGCCCGTCCCAAGCTCTTTGGCGCGGCTAACCCAACCATAAGAGCCCTCTTCGATATGGTTCAGGCGCTCGAAGTTGTCCACATGACGGCAGGGTCCCCATTCCGACGCGGGAAACTGGAGCAGTGTCGTCGGCTTCCCTTGTTTCGGTTGCTGCTCGACATCGGATCCGGGCTGCTGATGTTCATTCGAGAGCCGGCGACGTTTCTTCGGGGGTGCATCATTAGAGTCGCCGTCGAGTGTGGAATCACCGGATTGGTGTTGCGCTGCTGCTTGAGCTTGAGCTTGAGCCCTTGCTTGCTCTTCGAGCCGTTGTTTCTCAGCTTTAGCTCGGCGTTTCTCCTCCTTTTCTCGTTTGCGCTGGGCAATGAGCGCTTCCGCCTCGGGATCTTCATCGGCCCATCTGGACTTGGAGGTCGACATTGCAGTGACGGGTGTGTAGAGTCGAGACGTGAAGCGGAGAGCGACAGTTGAGGGTGGAAAATTGGAGGCATGACGCTATCGAACCGGGGAAGCTGTGTGGCCTGACGGCTCAGGCCTGCCGGCCTCGGTGATTTCAAATCATCCCCGCTTGTCCCGCCATTGCTCTGTAGTTTACTTCTTGACCAGCTTCTTTTTGTTATTCTTACTTGTGCTAGTTGGTTTAATTGCTAACAACTAGATTCATTATGATCGAACCTTTTCAAGTATGGGTTTCCATGTCATGCCCGGAGCGGCGGAGACTGACCATCACTAGACGACCTTTGCGGTCCCGATGACCTGCGGTAACTGCGTGAAGGACGTTTCGCAGGCATTGAATAAAGTTGAAGGTAACAGATCATGATCAGGCGCGCTGCTATACGTGCTAATGCCCGGTTGCTATTCTAGGCGTCAACAAAGTGGAAGCCAATCTCAAGGACCAACTCGTCTTCATCGAAGGCACCGCGCCACCCAGCTCCATCGTTACAGCTATCCAGAATACCGGTCGCGATGCGATTCTACGAGGCACCGGCGCTTCGAACAGTATGTTCCTTTCCCACCTGGGCTATGCACAATCTGTTTCAGTTTGTGGACTCCTACTAAGTTTGCATGGTCGATAGACTCCGCGGTCTGTATCCTCGAAACACACTCCACATCCGTCTCCAATAAGGTACGAGGGCTGGCGCGCATGGTTCAGGTATCATCCAACATGACGTTGGTCGACCTGACGATCAACGGACTGGAACCGGGAAAGTACTGGGCGACAGTACGAGAAGCAGGCGACATTTCTAAGGGGGCGGAGTCCACCGGCGGTATCTGGGAGGCGCTTAAGGCAAAGCTCCAGGGCGCCAATGCACAGAAGGAACCACGTGGGATATTTGGAAGCGTGGAGGTGGATACAAAGGGGCGAGGCAATGTGTTCTTGGATCGACCGGTGGCGATTTGGGAATTGATTGGGCGCAGTATGGTTTTGTCCAAAGGTACGGAAGGGCCGTTTCGACGCGAGGATCCCAATACTTTGGTTGGGGTGATTGCTCGAAGCGCCGGGGTTTGGGACAACGACAAAATGGTATGTTCCTGCTCGGGCAAGAATGTGTGGCAGGAGCGCCAGGAGCAAGTGGCTCAGGGAATGGTCTGATGCTGGTACCAAGACCAGATGAAGTTGGTTGGGACTTGGTGGACGACGAAGGGGTTCGACCTTGCATTAGTATTGAGTTCATGATACCTAGCAGAGATGATGACGAAGCGATAACGATAGACGATGATTTTGAGTGCGGAGAAGCGCAGACCGAGTCATGCGATGCTATTTTAAACTCCATCCTGCGAACTGAAGACCGCATCTTCGGCCTTAAGCTCTTCAGGGTTGTGGATTGTGACGGCTCGCATGACCGAGCAGGACCACTTGGGCTCTTGACTCCAGAAAGTAGGCATTGATCCGAGACTAGGATTGTTGCATGCGTCAATCAAAACACAGAGCAGGGCTGCAGCGTGAAGGCCGCGTGCTAAGGCCTATGACTACGAGCGTATGAGCGGATAGTATGAGGCCTATCGCGGCGGAATCCCAGCCTCGCGGTGATCGAGCAGAAGCGCCGTGGCGGGGCCACTCTAAAGTTAGTCCCGGTCACATATTTACATTTGGGCCAATGATCGTTGTGCGTCTTTGAAATGTGACTGTCTTCAACTTTGGAACTACTCGGACCAAATGTCTTTCGTGTCTCTTGATACTCCAGCACCAGGACTCGGTTAGGTACAATCAGATTATCGAGATGAATGGGCCTCAGCCAATGTGTGATGTGTCTATACCACCTGCAGGCCCTGGCATCATAGCAGAGTCGATATAGTGATGACAGGCCAAGGATCAACGTCTGCACTGTGATAGTTCCCCTGCAGCTCCAACAGATTATCACCAATGAGGCCGGCCTCTGCAGAGTCGAGACTGGCTGGGCGGTTACTGGCCTCTCCCTCCTCCTCTCGCACTGTCTTCACTTTTCCATCCAGCTCTTAGCGCTCATCCCTGCGCTTCTCCTTTCTGCCTTCATTCTGCTGTCTCGATTCCCAATCCACCGTTTCAGACCCAACCGCCGCACAGCCTCAAGTATTCGAGTCGAGTCAACACAGACAATTCTCCGATCCCATACCTGCAAGGCGATACTTTCCAATCTCGATTCGATATCTTCAGTCTTCAAAGTCTATCGACTTGCTAATCCCTACTAGACTATTGCTAGTGGCTGGTGCGCCTTAATTTATGGTCTAAATATATATCCGATCTATCTCGTCTCTCCACCCAACAGGATCCCCAAATCCATCCTTCGGCTTTTGCGCATGGTCCGTCCCCTCTGGCCTGCTTGCTTAATCTCTGCTTGATTGACTGATTCCGTAGCTTCCAATCCCAGTGGCATCACCACTCTCGGCCTGACGCTTCAATTCTCCCGCTCTCCGTGCCATCACTCTGGCTTCTCTTGGGTTTACTTGGCCCGCCAGCGTCTCTTCATCTGCCCACCCGGTCCCCTCCCCCGTCACATCTTGGCTGCTGGTTGGCCCATACATATATTTGCTGCCGTGCGCTCAGGCAGGGCCGCCGACTTCCCCTGTCAGTTGGAAAATAAATCTATTCTTCAAGCCCAGCCGGTGTCGGCCAGGTATCACGACGCGGGGGGCAAACAACTCCTCGTCGGCTACCCAATCGCTCTACTTAAGACTGTGACTGGCACTGGCAGCGCGAAAAGAAATGTCCCTCAAGCAAGTATGTCGCAATTAACGCATCCGGATCAAAGTCACCCAGCGGTTAACAAGAAATCGCAGGAAATTGAGACCTGGGTGCAGGCGTTGGATCATTTCGATAACCAGGAATACGATCTCGCCTTGCGATCTTTTGCTGGCATAGCCGATACGTCCAAAATTCTCTTCAACTGCGGTGTCATTTACGCAACATTAGGCGAACATGAGAAAGCAGTATGTTCTTACAATCATTTTCCAGACAGCAGCTGACAACCGCAGGTTGAGTGCTACCAGAGCGCTGTGAGCCTGGATCAATATCTCGCCATTGCCTACTTCCAAGAGGGAGTGTCCAATTTCCTACTCGGCGACTTTGAGGAGGCATTGGCTAATTTCAACGACACTCTGCTCTACTTGCGAGGCAATACTTACATCGATTATGAGCAGCTCGGGCTGAAATTTCGATTATACTCGTGCGAGGTTCTGTTCAACCGCGGCCTGTGCTATATCTACCTGCAGCAAATCGGCCCCGGCATGCAAGATCTAGAGTACGCTTCCAAGGAGAAAGTCACACCGGACCACGATGTTATCAATGACGCTATCCGGGAACGGGCAGAAGTAAGTACTTTGCCATGCCTGCGAACCAAGCTAACGTCCCAGGGATACACTGTGTTTTCAATACCGGTAGGAGTAGTCTACCGACCGAACGAGGCCAAGGTCAAGAATCTCAAAACCAAGGACTATCTCGGCAAATCACGCGTGGTGGCTGCCAACCGACTGAGCACACCCGTCGATACGACCCAAAGAAGCATAGATGCCGTACCATTTGCGACATCACACCTAGTCCAGAAGAACTTGACCAGCCGCAGCCGCCAACAATCAGAGCCCCCGATGCACCGAAATCTATTCCCACCTACTCCACCTCCAGATGCAGACAAGGCAAGCCTCAGCTCAAATGGTAGCAGCGGCACGGCCCGCGCTCCGACTACCAAAACACAGCGCCCACCGAAGCTCGACTTGGATCGCCCTGGAGCCCAGCCTGCTGGACGAAGCACGACGGATCTCAATGCGCCAGAGAAACCACGGATAGGAACGACCCGCACAGCATCGGAGCCCCGAGGTCCGGCACGGCAACACCGGGGATATGCTCCAGAGAGGCATGTTTACTCCGGAGACAGCTATGCGCACCGCAGAGGAGCCAGTGATACCGGTTTTGGGACGTCAAACGGGTATTCCGATGACCCCTACGGGGTGTATGGAGAAGCCCGAGCAATGGCGCTAGCGAACGGTGGACGTCCCTTCCATCAACAAGGGTACATTGACGAAGAAGAGGAATATGGGAGCTCTCCATGCGACGAGGAATTAGTGCCAGACGCCGGGTTCGAGATCATGGGAGCGCGACCACGAGCACGATCATGCAGCCGCGGCCCTCCACGAGGGTTTTCACGCCGGCCGGAGGTGCGCAAGTTTCGAGTCAAGGTACATTCATCAGAAGATACACGGTACATCATTATTCCACCGACGATTGAATTTTCAGAGTTTGAGACGCGGATTCGGGAGAAGTTTGGCTTCCAGATGGCGTTGAAGATCAAGATGCAAGACGAGGGCGATATGATCACGATGGTGGACCAGGAAGACCTAGACTTGTTGCTCATGGCATCGCGAGAAATCGCGCGACGAGAAGGAAGTGAAATGGGCAAGATGGAGGTAAGCACTTCCTGCATCTATATTAATGTCAATCAGTCCACTAACTTGATCTAGATATGGGTTGAAGAACGACGGATGATTTAATGATAGCGCTATACCCTGCATATGTCTTTGTAAATATTAGCATTTATACCCATAATGATACCGTGTCTCATATAGACCGTCAGCAAGTTCCAGAACGTATATTTTCTGCAGTCCATGGTAGAATTGGTCTTGTAGGGCACGGGGATCACGGGATCGACCCGTCCGTTTACTTCCAGCTCAGCACTTCCGCATCTCCACCGACGTCAACATCAACATCACCATTCGACCTTCGAACGATGCGCCGATAGCCAGGCAGGCTTTAACCAACATGACAGACCTAACGCCGCTATTCACCGATCTCCTCCACAAACAGGACAAATCCCTGTCTCTGCCGCGGCCCCTCACAACTCAAACCGCCGACGAGTTCCTCAAAGAAGCCTACCGCATCGTACGAAGCACAGCTCACAACCAACCCAATCTATACTAACATCGCAATCAGAACACCCACATCTCCTCGCTCCTCACACACCTCCACAAAATCCGCCCATCCTTCCTAAGCATCTCCACGCACTCCACCAAATCCAACAAACACCGCAGCTCCCCCTCCACCATCTCCGCAGCGAAAGAAAAAGACAGCACCCATCTCTCCCCCGAAGAACTCGACACAATCACCTCATCCACCTCGTCCCTCCTCCACACCCTCTCAACCTCAATCTCAAACCTCTCCTCCGCCGAGTCCCTGCGCCAAGAAACGCACTCCACCCTCCTAGACAAGAAATACGGACGCAAGCGCTCGCGCGCCTCGAATCTCCTCTTCCAATGGGCATCCGGCTCCGCGCTCACCGATAGTGATGCCGCCGACGACGCGGGAAAAAAACCGGAGCAAATCACCGAAGAGCAAATCGAGCTCTCGCTCAAGGCCGTCCGCGAAAGCATCCTCTGGTTTCTTAGGCGCAGGTTAGAGGGGACGATTGAGATGCAGCGCGATATGGTGGAGAAGCGGATCGAGCGCGCGAAAGAGCGCGAGAAGAGCGTTTTGTATATGAATGCGACGTCCGCTGGAGCTTCAGCTGGTGCTGGTGCTGCAGCTAGTGCACACGGTCGCGGGGCCTCGGTTTCGGTCTCCGCACCCTCGACGTACCCCGACGCAGCCATGGAATCGGCGACGGCCGGTGTCAAGGGGAGCACGCTTGATGCGGCCGAGGTCGCGGCCATCGAGGCCGAGCTGTCGCCCGAGCAGCTGCAGCTCTTTGCGGAGGAGAATGATTCGATGGTGCGGTATTATGAGGATACGTTGAGTAAAGTCCAGTGCGTCCCTCTCCTTCCCTCTTATATACAATCAACGACCGCGAAAGCAAGCGCAAGCTAATGTCTACCGCTTAGGAACGCCGAAAAATCCCTCCTGGAGATCTCATCGCTTCAGCAAACACTTGTTTCGCACCTCTCCACGCAGGAGGAGTACATTGGCATGATGGTCGCGGACGCCTTGAATACAGAGACGAATATCGGGCAGGGGAATAAGGAGCTTAAGCGTGCGACTGAGAGGCGGAGCGCGGCGCAGGCCGTGTTCTGGGGGACGGTTGGGCTGTGTACGTGGCTTGTTGTTTGGGACTTGGTCTTTTAGTACAGCTCAACTATACATAGGTTCTGGAGATAGGGATGGCTGTGGTTCTATTCGTATTAGATCAGGTCTAGATCTAGGTATATCTAGCTTATATTTTATGGCAGACAGACAAGACAAGACAAGAGAAGATAGCGCACGTTTATTTTGGTACGAGGTACGAGGTATCAGACCACCCAAGCCGATTTTGTGATATGAAGCAGACCGAAATGAGAATGACAATGACATGACATGACCGACCGACCGAGAAACAGACGGGCTTAGATATGGAACTGGTAGAGGGGAATAAGTAACCGAACGAACCACTTTACTTTGTGGTAGACATGAGAATGGGAGGTGGCATTAGAGACGAGAGGATAGGATGGATGCGATGAAAGAGTCGAGAGAGCGAGAAAGAAGCAGAAGCAGAAGCAGATCACGACGTCTCCCGCACAACACTGTCCACAGCTTCGGCGAAGTAGTCCAGGTTATGGGTATTGAGGCCGGCCATGGAGATACGGCCGTTCTTGGTCTGAAGGCATTAGATGTTAGCAATCGAATCCAATCCGAGTACAAGGAAAATAAACATACCATGTAAACATGCCACTTATCCCTTAGCGCCTTAACCTGGCTCTCACTCAGCCCCGTAAAGCTGAACATGCCAATCTGGTCGGTGATATGGTTCCACGTGCCCGGCGTGCCCTTCTCCTCCAGCCTATCCCGAAGCCCCTTCCTCATCTCCGCAATCCGCCCGCTCATCGTCCGCAGATCATCCTCCCACTGGCCAAACAGCTCGGGGTCGTTAAGCACCTTGCTCGCGATGCGCGCCCCGTAAGCAGGCGGGTTCGAGATCTCCGAGCGCTGCAGGATAGCAAGCTGCGAGGCAACGTGAGCGGAGCTCTGCGCTGCGTCGGGACCCGGCGCAGAAACAAAGTGGAAGGCGCCCGTTCGCTGGCCGTAGAGACCGAAGTTCTTCGCGAACGACTGCGCAATGCATAGCTCGAACCCCTGATCCACGAAGTACCGAATCGCCCAGGCATCGCGCGCCAGGTCACCCGATGCAAAGCCCTGGTACGCGGTGTCGAAGAACGGGAAGTGCGAGCGCTGCCGCATCACGACCGCAACTTCCTTCCATTGCTCCTGTGTGAGATCTACGCCTGTGGGGTTATGGGCGCAGGCGTGGAGCAGGATGATTGAGCCGACGGGGGCGGCCTTGAGCGCGCCCAGCATGCCATCGAAGTCCAGGCCCTTCGTCTGGGGGGAGAAATACGGGTAGTTTGCGAGGGAGAAGCCGACGTTCGTGAAGATCTGGTGGTGGTTTGCCCAGGTGGGGTTGGAGAGGTAGAGGGTTGGCTTTGGGGAGGCTGGGTGGAAGCGGGCGAGGAAGAGGGCGCCTAGGTGGACGGCGCCTGTGCCGGAGATGGTTTGGAATGTGGCAACGCGGTTCTCTGCGATGGCGGGGGAGTCGGCGCCCACGATCAGTTTTTGGGCGGCGCTGGTGTACTCTGCTAGGCCTTTTATTGGGAGGTATTCGTGGTTGAGGTTGGGGTCGTTGCGGATGAGGTCATCTGCCTGTTGTTGGGTTAGTTTTTGATAGTTAAAAGATCCGGGGTTGGAGGGAGCTCGTGGTCGCGTGAGAAGCTCGCAATGAACCCCTGGTTGGGAATTTCAATGGACGTAATGGGATGGAATGTACCTTCTTGACCACAGGCAGAACCCAAGGCTTCGCATTATCGTCGCGATAAGCACCGATGACCAGATCGACCTTCTTGTCGGAGGGGTCCTGGCGATAAGCCTGGGCGAGACCGAAGAGCGGATCCTCCGGTGCGGAGGGGACAACGGCGGTCGAAAAGACGGGGGAGGCTGACGAGGAGCCCATGATGTGCGAGGCAAGGGAAGCAAGACGGGATTTGGCGTTTGCGATGGAGAACGAAGAAGACGACGACGACGACGATGGAAGAGTGGAAGGAGAAGAAGATGGAGTGGACATTTTATTTTATCAGAGCCAGCTCTCGAGTCACACCACCAGGCTGGATTCGAAATACGTAAGGTCAATGCTGCTTGTGTTCACCGGCGATCAGCTCTCCAATTATAGCAGGCAGATTGAGGGGGAGTAATGTGCTTGGTTAGTTTAGAATAGACCCAGAATCAGTCGGTCTGGCATGTCATGCATGGCATGGCATGGGCTCGATTAAATAAATGCCGCAGAGCTTGAAGCTCATGAATGAATGACCCCGGGGCCAACCGAGGTGTTCTGGCTCATGGCGGTTATGACGACATCACATGTCTAGCTATTATATCTATCTAAGGCACATGAAGCTTCATTCATTCTGATTCTCACATAGATACACTGATGAATAGGTGCAAAGCAAAGACAGCATGATGGTGCGGGGAAGCCTCAACGGCTCGTCAGACTCAGACTCAGACTCAGTCCACCCCTCGCAGAAAATCTCCGAATCCCCAAATTCCTTTCCAGTTCCAGCCTTCCAGGTTCACATTCAGCAAAACTAAAGAGCCCCGATGGAGCCTCCAAGCCGAAACAGCCAACCACCTCGGCCCCAAAGTCATCGCCCGAGTCCAGCCGTTTCGTTTCAGCCCTGACTGACACATCGCTCCCCACACTGCCTCGTCTCGAGAGTCAAACTGCAACCCTGCGGCAGACCTGCAAGACAAGGAAGGTCACGATAATAGAACTATTATCCGGGCACCGGATGTTTTCCGATTCAACACGAGATTGTCCACTGAGGTTATTCAGGGGCCATTGGGATCCAGCACCGGCATCGTCATCGTTCCTCGGCGTGTAGCCGAATCTGCCCGCGCCCGTGCAAGTTCGCAGTTCGACTTCGCACATCTACCGGGTTCCGGGTTCCTGGATCTGAAGGTTGCCGGTGGCTTCGGTTAATTGACCAGGATAGCCGTGGGGTAGTCTAGGGAAGGATTCTGATGACGATAGTCGAGGATCCCCTCACTGCGTTCTCGTCTCGGAGACTTCTCCTCATTCGCGTCTGGTTCTCCTCTCCCGAGGCAGCCGGCTTTACCTGCTTGGGAAGATTTACCCCATGGGGTCCACGCGGTGGGTTCCCCTCACCCCTCCTTCTCCTTACATTACATTTGCGTACTCTGTCTCCCTAGGATTAGTATATAAAATCAAAGGTAGAATGCACATATCTACAAATCCCATTGATTCCTGCAATATAGACAAGCATAGGAGAGACCAAGACATATACAAGATTGAGACTCCCTCTTTTAACCATAGGTACAGCCTGCCGCCCGTCTGAAACGCCTGTATCCCGCAAAAGCAAAACAATAATCAAACCGAGTCGTCAAGTCAGATCGTGAGAATGTCAAGCAAAAATAAAATGCAGGCCGGCCATGCATCCCAAACAATCGTAAATACGTTTACCCTCCAAAGGGAAACACAAAATCATGGACAAGAAGTAAACCGAAAATAGACAGCGCGCATGCGATGCTTATGTCGACGTAGGGGTAGCCGCGCCCGCATTCAGGTTCGTCGCGTCCTCGCCATGCGCCCGTGTGCGGATGCGGAACCGCTCCCTAAATCGAGCGGTTAGCCGATTCCGACGACTTCGTTGCTCGTTCTCGTCGTCGTTGGCTGCGTCACGGTTTGCTTCTTCGCGGACGCTGCGGAGGGCTGCGAGGCGTTCTTCGACGCTGGCGTCGCGCATGCGGCGGGCGTTCAGCGTGCTGGTGAGGTAGCTGCTTAGTCGGTGGCGGTGGGTGGGTATTTCTTCTACGGGTGGGCTGTTGGTGGTTTCGTCGTGTCCTTGGGGTTGGGCTTCGCCTTCTTGGCCTTCGGTTTCGCCTTCGCGTTTGGGCGGGTTGAGGTCGATGCGGCTGTTCCGATTGGGTTAGTTATCGGGGCGATGTGGGTGGGTGAGACATACCAAAGAGGACAGGTTCCTGACACATTTACCAGCCATGGATCGATACACTCAGGGTGGAATTGGTGGTTGCAAGGGAGGACACGCAGGTCTTGGCCCTTGACGAAGTCGTCTGTGCAGATTGGGCAGGAGAAGTTGGGATGCTCTGTAGGCGTCTCGGTCTCGGTCGTACCAGTTCGTCGCTGTTCTGCATTTGCATCAGGTGAAGACGTGGCAGCATTCCGTGGCGTCTCGTCGGGTGTTGGCGACGTTGTGCCACCGGTAGCCATTGGCTGGTGGGTGTCCTCACGCAACTGCGAGTTCGTCTCCGAATCAACAGACATCTCCACGTCTCCCTTGTCGGACTCGAGCTTGCCATCAGCGTTGTCGCCAAACTTGACGATCGGAATCGTCTCCAGCATCGCCCTTGCTATCCCTCTTGCGCGACTTTGACGCGGGCGCCCTGGTCGTTGCCGTGGACCGTATCGTTCTGGATGACGGTGGGCACGAATTGCACCCGTGATGATGATGGAGAGAAACAACGCTGTGATGATACCAGTAATGCTGTAAAGGATGATCATAGCTGCTGCAGTAATTAGCGACAACACGTGGGCACGGGCCGTGGTGCTGACAACACATACCTGTGTTAGGGCTGTCGCCCCCTCCTCCGCCACCATTATCGCTAGGTATACTTGCCGGGCCGAACGTCGACATGTCGCCCACAATAGATGTTGATCCGGTTTGGTTTCCTGATGCGAGTTGTCTTTCAACTTCTCTGGCAGTCTCCGAGTTCAGTAACGTAAAGACGAATCGGTAGTCGCTCTGGTCATTCGTATAGTTGCAGTGTGACGCAGAAGTGCTATACAGCAGGACGGCCTCCGGTCCCCTGATCAAGACGTTGCTCAGAGTCGCATCCGCATCCAAGTTTCCTGTATAGGCGGCAGGGTCGCAGGAGATGAAGGCTATATCACTACTCTGAAGCGACAGCGAATTGCTCGGTCCCACCTGCACCAAAGTCCCAGTCCGGTTGGCGTTCTACGTCTTTTATTAGTATTCAGCTTCACCTTCACAGCCCCCGTAAGCGGGCACGAGATCCCTAATACGCTGCTCACGCTGCATGGGAATGGGAGGACTGACATTAGACCAAGTCTGACGTTCTCCAAAGCTGACAGGCGACTGGACAAACGGGGCAATGCTGAGGTCCAAGTCCCGAGGGAGGTCCACTTGCGAGCCCTCAAGGTTGAATCGTATGCGGGCGATGGTAGGATCCTGGTCCACAGATCTATTCGACGGCAATACAGTCGAGTCCACAACCTGAACCGTGGAAAGAAGAGAAAGCAGGAAGAAAAGAAGAGAGTAAGAAGGGAAGAAGGAGAAGGAGAAAGAGGAGGGGCGAGAGGGAAAAGGATGTCGCAGGAGCAGCCCCATGGAGACGGTAATGATGGAGAGGGTCGAGAAGCGAATTGATTTCCCCACGGGTTGCGAGGCTTACGGAGACGTCGGAGGGTATGGGGAATCGCGGAAGATCATTAGGTCACGGATCTCTGGAGTGGGACACAGAAGAAGCAAAGAAAGGCCGAAAAAACGAGTCATCAACAGCTTCCAAGGCCTGCCCAGACTGGCGCTGATATCACCATCCGCAGCTGGTCGATCACTACTGACAGGCAAGGCGGTTAGTTTCACTGCCCACCCGATCGATGGAGATGGGGGATAAGGATCGAATTGTGCAGTTCCGGGCTTCCGGTGCAGCGTATTCGTACCTGATATGTCAACGATAATGAAGGATTGGGGCGCAGCGATGAAGTGAGACTGGAATTAATCTGAACCAAGCAAGCCAGTAGCAGCGGGTGGAGGAATTGCCAGGATATCCGGGCTGAAGATGGTGAGGGGCTCGGAGATGGATCGATGAATGGATGGATGATCCCGGGGGATCCGGCAGAGGGGCTGGTGATTGCAGTTATACGTATCAGCTCGCAACTGATAATTGATAATTGATAATCGAGGCGATCGAGGAAACCCGATCATCTCGATGGTTAAAAGGCAGAGCACGAGACATCTGGAACAAAGAAGAGAGTTTCGTCAGAGTTCAGGGCCGCAAGCGTGGTGACCACGAAAGCGAGATGGCCGGATCCAGTCTGACATCTCCGGCTTACCTGCCTACGTACTCGACCTTCTCTGTGTATGGTTGTAGACTACTTGTGCATTATTCTGTTTTGTTCGGTTTGAGGCGGCTTATCTGTTCTCACGGTTTTTATTTCTAACTGTCTTCTTGATAAGTGGCAACTCGCAACTGACGCCATCATTGTTGCTGAGGAGAACCGCCGAAGTCTCTCAGTTCTCCAAGTCCCAAGGCATATTCAAGCGCAAGCAGGACCATGGCTCACAATGAATGGCATCCAACCAAACAATTATTTGATTACGGCCGACGGAGCGCCGAATGCGTGGGCTGAGGGCTCAATGCGGGGATCGACTGCCAGCTGGCACGGACTTTCTCAGCAACTCCGCCGAAAACGTCTCTCCCTACCGAGCCAAGGAGTCAGCAACAACTCGACATCTCGAAGCATAAATAAACATTCTTAACCTATCACCAGATCATTAATCCAGCCATCGCCGTCTTTCTACATGCCGGTTCGTCGGTCGGCTTCTCTCACCCAGTGAGATTCGTCATTGTCAGCAGCGCCCCAGTCTGTCCGGCGGAAAAATCACGTGGTTTCGAGTCCTCGGTATCCTTGACCCTTGCCTATAGACGAAGTCAATGAAGTCGAAGCTACACGGGATCGGCCTTTGATTTCCAGTACTATGACGTCCAATCGGTCACTGTTTGTTGATCGGCTCAATGGTTCAATCATCAAAAATCATGAGTCACTACACGCCTCATGCATCTTGCTTATCCGACTGACAACCATCGTCCAATCTCTAGGATTGAGACCAGATCTTGAGAAACGTTATCTGCACCTGACTGCGATCAGTTACTCCGTACTCGGTGCAACCTTGTTGTCCAGCAAACGGAGTTGGCGACCAGCGATTTCTCCGGGATCGGAGGTCTGTCTATCAAGTCAGCTATCGCCGGCTGAATCAAACTCGTTTTATCTGATATCAGTGTCGGTATGACGGTTGGATGTCAGGTGGGGTTGCAGACCAGGATTTCGGCACAATCGGCAAAATAACAACAGCGAACGACAAGCTAATTGCAGGGTTCGTAGTTCTGCTCCAGTATATCCGCCTGAGAAGAAGAGCAGCGATTCCCGGTCATACAGGTAGGACATATCTGCGGATGCTACGGTCCCCAGCTCCTCATAAGCAATCTAATATAAAGGCGGCCCTACCCGATCTCAATATGGCGCCATCGCCAACCACCTAGCAGAAAAGCGGGGGATATCTCTTGTTTGGGAGGTTGAATCAACATATGGATCGCCAGTAGATCATCCCGTCTCGTCGCCTGATGCATCGTCCGTGCTGCGTCTGTACAATCACTGACACTCCGATATCAAGGTGCAGAGTAGCTGTCTGCACTCCGCAGTTCACGTGCCCAGTCCACACTGAAATATCAAACAATATTACTTAGCAGCCCTTGTCATGCAGTCTTGTTGATAATATTCCAGTTGCTCGAATCTCAAGTCGCGGAGTATGCATGTCGCCCACAACAGACTTCAACCCACTGCATACGGCTCTGGGCCTTGTCGTTCACTTGACCGACGGTGAGCCAAAGACGTCTAAGCGGTGAATTCAAACTTCAATAGCTCAGATATATCGCGACACGGCGTGATATTGTTTGATACAACCAGGAGCTCGAGCAAACGAATTTGAAGCGAGAAGTAACAAATCTCAGATCCTGGATAGTGTCATGGTTGATTCCCTTCGAACTCGTGGCTGAAAAGTCAATACTTTACTCGTTTCTCAGGCTGGCATGTAATACTCGCACCACGTCTGAACTCTGCTAGTAGTGGATTGGCGCGGACCGACCCTGCAACTGAGCACTGCGTGGATATCGGCATCTGAAAGCAACTTGGGATGGAGAAAGACATGAAACCTAACAGTTGCCTACACTCCAAACATCGCTCGAGGTCGGCTTCGGGTCGGTTCCAGTCTGCTGGACGGAGGAATGGAATGCCATCGGCCGTATGGATCGGCAAAGAATGTCTTGGACAAGAGATCCAGGGGTAAGGTGGCGGCGACTCCAATGGACAGAGGTCTGAGGGACAGCTAGAAGGGTCCAATCTGTCGTGCTGCGTGGTATGAGCGTGTTGTGTAACCATCTGATTCGTGGCGAGTATCCGGTTTCAGCTCGTTTGGCCATAGTTCGCTAGTAGGTTGCCATGGCGATGACAGAGGAATAGAAGCTGTTGGCGGCTCGGAAGACGTGCCGGTGGGGGCACCTTATGTTAATCGTAGATAGGGTTGATTAGACTTCGCTTGGGTTGGAACTCGGGAGTCGGGAGTCGGGACATCTGAGACCATTGTCGAGGTTTTATTGTCTGTTTGAGCTTGGATGTTTGAGGATGGAAGGGCCCATTCTCTGTGCTTGTGGCAGTCTTGGGGTAATCTCCACTGCAGTCTGGGGCGGGTTATTGGCGGGACGGGGCTGGGCCCAGACCCTCCGTAGGCAACCTTTGGTCTGTGTGTTAAGCCACATTGCTCAGAGAATACGTGACCGTCGTGACTGTGCCGCACAGTGGCGAGCAAAGATGTGGTGATACGTCCAAGGTCACGAAATTAGAGCTGTTCGCAGAGCGGTCGAGAGCGGAAGATGGAATACGGAGTATGTTTGATGATCTGATCAGCGACTGTACCGCAACGCCTAGCTACGGAGTATATCTCCGTAAGGGATGCCGTTCCAATCCTCAAGTGAGAAAAGCAGAAGACTGGCAAAGTCAAAAGCCGCGGCTGTCCGACTGTAAGACGCTTATCATTTCCATCCTGGAAAGCAAGCGTCCGTGCATGAGGCTGGTAAGGCGATTGTTGCTGGCTTGACTGCTGAACACTGAAAGCCGACAAGGTCAGTTGGGCGGATGACCTGGCAGCTGAAAATGAACATGACAGCGTCAGGTGGCTGTCGAATCCGGATATCTTGTTATATGTCTGATGTTAATGTATTGAAGGCGAGGAGGCAAAGTACAGAGCAGAAAAGGGAAACGGCCAGCCCGGCCGGTCTGGCCAAAATTAGGACAGCGCCCGCTCACTGGCCCAGACTGCCTGCGAATCCCCGCTTCCATTCAAGGCCTCGAACATTTGCTGCAGCCTGGCCCGCCCTCCATTGGCCCGTCTGCTCAGAGGCGTTCGGGGGGGTCAGTTTGTCTCTGGGAAAGGTCGAGTGCTGCTGCTCTGAAGAGGTCAATACCGGGGGCGGATCTGGCGTTGGGGGCAGAGAGGATGGTGCAATATATACAAAACAACCATGGCCATAAGATACTCGTTAATCTGTGAGAAGTCCGGAGAGACTGATCAAGAATCCTCATCAGGCAGTAGATAGACTTTGGACAATGGAAGAATAAATCCAGTGCAAATGCCCATAGTAAGCACACTATAGCAACGACCTTGCCCAAGCCCAAGCCTCCACTGGTGTGACTTCGTACTTTTCCGCTGCCAGTCTCTTCCCACTGCAACCTTCTCCCTCTCCCTCCCTTTGTCCCTTCAACCCCAGTGGTTCAGCGAGACCTAATTACCGGCCTTTATCCTGTTTGAGTCTCGCCTTTGATTCTATCCGTCCTTCCCTGCTTCGCTCGCTGCTTCTAGACACCTCCAGCAACGACAAAGAGCGGCCGAGCGGGCTTCCCGCGGAATCTGAAAAAAAAAAAAAACCACAATGCGCACCCTCAGCATCAGATAACCAACCGGCGAAAACTGTGCTGAAGGGGCCCCAGTACCACTCGGTATCTCTTCGCTGATGCTGAGTGGCCGATTCTCATCCCTACTTCTCACCCCTGACATGAGCGTGTCGGGCCAGACGACGAGACAGCCCTCGTCCTGCATCGCCAGCTTAAACAATGTCTCTTCAAGTCGTCTCCAACCCTTTGGCTGTCTCTCTAACAACGGAGGACCCTCAGTTCTCCGCGACCTACTGGAAGAAGAGATTCGACGCCCGGCATCCTTCGCCGTAAGTGATTCCTTTTCAACATCCATGTGCTTTATGGACCCATGGACCCTATCCAGCTGCCCCGCCCGCATCGCAACGCGCTCAGGCGGCCGAGGGCTAAACCGGTGAATAGGCACCCTGCTATAGCAACTCTTGATATAGAGTACAGTGAGCTGGCAAAGGCATGGAAGCGCCTGCAAGAGCTACTTCCTCTGTCAGAACAGGTGCTGTTCGAGGAGCGCCCGCAAACTTCGCAAGACGTGCAGGCCTTGATTCGAAGCATTCAAGCCCCGTGGGCTTCTCATACACAGCAACAGCTGTTCAGTCATTCATCGGCTCTCTGCGATGCTTTCTTGGCCACCCTCGACTTGCATACAATTCCACTAAAGGCCCTGCCTAGCCAGCACTTTTACTCCTCTCTCCTCTATGGCACTCTGCAAACCATCATCAAGGTTAGTATGAGCTTCCGCATATTCCACATTTCTGCTTCTGATGCAAGGCGCGGAGACAGGCATCGTCCAAGTACCCCAGGGTCATGGACGGGGTGATGAAAGCCCTCGTCAAAGTGAACCAGTCAATCAGTCTGCCTGAACAAAGCGAGCCGCTGCAGATCGCAAATGATTCGATACCCGCTCTTGCCAACTTTTACTCTCACCTGTTTTTCTTCTTGGGCGAATTGATGGACTGGTACGCGAGGCGGTTCAAGTGCCGACTGCTACAAAGTCCCCATGAAGATGTTTACCTTGACTTCTGCAATCTGATCACAAGTATACAGAATAGTGCAAGAGGGTTCACGCGCACCTTCGGCGACCCTGCCGTTCTCAACGATGGCGATGACGAAACGGGCGTTTCAATGATGCAGCATACCTACTTGTATCTGTGGGAGGATGCTAGGTTGAGTCAGATAGGCAAACGAAATACCGAGCGGAGATTCGCGGCCCAGAATGCCTTGACTCGGTTGCTGATATGGGAAATCCAACAGAGCGCCGAACAGCGATCGAACTTGAGAGATAGCAGGGGTCAGCTTCTTGCGCAGATGTTCGATAGGGCGAGCCAGCAACTACGACCGAATGGCGAACAGCACAGCGCGATGGTCTGCCTGACAACGGCGTCTGGACAAGACTTGCGTGAGTGAGATCTAATGATCGACTGAGGACATATACTAATTTTTTCTATCAAGTTATCGCGGCTACGCCAACGGAGAAACAGAAACACAAGTATACCCGTGTCGAACTTCAGTTAGCTTCCGCGCACCTCGAAGAATACTTCGATGATGACGATCAGCTGGTCGGCTATGAGCCTACAGACGTGGTGGTAGAGGAGGATGTCATAGAATCACTGAAGCAATGGTCAACCGACACATATTCTCAGATCCTGGCCGTGGGAAGCGTGCCGAAGTCCGCTTCTGCGAGTCCTTTTACTCTCATAGCAACCTGCTACGCCAACCTCGCGCGAAATATAAAACTGCCTGTTATCGCGTGCTCGTGTTCCATACCGCCAACGGCCAAGGATGGAATGACCCTATTTCAACAAGGGCTGATAGCGCTTGTATACAGTCTGATCCGACAATTACTTGAGTACCTCCCTCCGGTAGTGAACGGCTCGTCGACGCATACTGTCAAGGCAGAAAACTTTACTCTCCTCGACGGTACGCTCGCGTCATGGAAAGAAGTGCTCTCCTTGGTCGATACCTTGCTCAACTACGCACCGCCACTCCTTATGTGCGTTGTGGACGGACTGGATCAATTGCAAGACCCGTCCACCGACGGGTACATACGGTCGCTGCTTCGAATTCTTGTGACCCATACCCGACAGCCATCGGACTCGACTCCTGGACGGCAAAGCGTCCTGCTCAAGATCCTCTTCACCGTTACTGGACGACTGGAGTCGCTGGCAGAGACTCTGTGTGAGAACCCGCTTACGCTCACTGAAACAAAAGCGATCGAGAGAAGCAGCCCTAACACCCCGTTATGCTCGGACACCGACGTCCCAATGGGCGAATAACATGCCGAAAACGAAAATGGATACCCCTCTTCCTCACACTGTGCTCTTGATCACGTCCTGAACTTTCTGAACCCCCAGTCTTTTTTTTTTATTTCTTGCTGATCTGTTTCGGGTGAAAATTGCTATAGAATTTGGCGCCGGTGGTTTGAATGCAAATGATACCAATATGCCAGATGTCCATGATCGTTTTGAATTTCTTGTAAGGTGCGGTTGGAACTCTAGAACTGTTGAATGATTCAAGACGGAAGAGCAAGCAGACTGATGTATATTTATCGTCGAGATCCAGTTTTGTTGATGGCGTTAGAAGCACTTCCCACCGCTCCGTCTGTACTTATTTTTCATATCTATCCTCAGTGAATAGATGAAGTCATCCATACTTCTACATGTATAATCTGAACGGGATTAGGTTTCCGATACTCACGTGGCCTGAATCTGGGGTCATCTCCAGTTGACTTTTTGCCATTCATGCGTTTAGCAGGTTAACTAAACTGGTTAACCCATTGGTCTGGGTCTGGACGACTCGGTGGTGTTTCCGGACGCCATTCGGAATCCTTGGTCCACTCATGGGATTTATACCCCCGCTTTCTCTCGAGACAACAACATCAACATCAATCAAGCACCATGACTCAAACCAACGGACAAGCAAACGGACAGTCCCCCTCCCGCATCAGCAGCAGACTCTTCCACCCCAAATCCTCCATCCAACTCTCCGACTTCCAGAAGATCTGCTCTCGCACCACAGACCCATCCACCTACCCCCTCGCCTCAACCATCGCCCAAAACATCCCCATCTACGACGCAAGCGCCTTCAACCCCCTAGACACAGCCGAAGCTACCGCCCTCCAAGATGAATGGTACCACATCCTCTCCTCGGGCCCCGGCATCTTCGTCCTAAAGGCCATGTACGACCCAACCCGGTACGCCGAAACCCTCTCCTCCACCAACGCCGCCTTCCAAACAATCATCACGAAGGAGCGCGAAGCCGGCGGAAAAGTAGGCGACCACTTCGCAGCAGGCGGGAAAAACGACCGCATCTGGAACTCCTTCTCCAAGCACGCCTTCGCCGACCCCCTCTCCTTCACGGCCTACTACTCCAACCCGTGGCTCAAAACCGTCAGCGAGGCCTGGCTCGGCCCCGCATACAGAGTCACGGCGCAGGTGAACATCGTCAAGCCCGGCGGTGCCGCGCAAGACGCCCACCGCGACTACCACCTCGGTTTCCAGGACGAGGACTCCTGCGCCGCGTTCCCGCGCTCCATCCAGCTTGCCAGCCAGTACCTTACGCTGCAGGGGGCGGTGGCGCACAGCGATATGCCCGTGGAGAGCGGGCCCACGAGGTTCCTGCCCTTTAGCCAGACGTACGAGCCGGGATATCTTGCCTGGCGGCGGGATGATTTCAGGGCTTACTTCCAGGAGAAGTATGTTGCGCTTCCGCTTGCGCTGGGGGATGGGCTGTTCTTTAACCCGGCTGTTTTCCATGCGGCTGGGGCGAATGAGACCCGCCCTGCGGCTGCGCCTGATGGCGGGTTCCATCGCAAGGCGAATCTCCTGCAGATTGGGTGTGCGCTGGGGAAGACGATGGAGACTGTTGATGCCGTGCCTATTGTGGAGCGGTGCTGGGGGGAGATGGGAAAGATGTTTGAGGCTGCGGGTGGGGTTGTGGATGGGGGGTTGGATGCGTTGGTCAGGGCGATTGGGGATGGGTATCCGTTTCCGACGAACTTGGATCAGAGGCCGCCGGCGCCGAATGGGATGGCGCCGGAGAGTGAGCAGCAGGTTCTGAGGAGGGGGTTGGAAGAGGGATGGAGCAGGGAAGTTGTTGTGGAGGAGTTGAGGAGGGTTGGGAGGGAGTCTAGGGCTGTGGACGGGTTACCGGTTGTTTAGGTGCTCAGTTTTATAATGTTAAAGTACAGAAATCGATGTTTAACACTCAGTGAAAGGAGTTTAGTTCCTGATTCTAACAAGCGGGCTTGTGCTAGGTAGGACGTGTAGGTAGCAAGGCTGTATGATAGTATCACATGCAGATGAAAGTGTCCAGGCAAGGCGCATTTTTACTCAGCCTCTTACTGTTATCTCTACTAGGTAAACTTTCAACTCGTTCAATGCTTTCTTGATGATGTATCCCGCGCGCTTACAGCAACTGAGACTGTTCAAGCCCCTTGCTTAACGGTTGGCTACCGTCATCCCACCATCAACAGAGTGCCTGACCAGTGGCGGCGGTACAACAAAGACCGAGCCGCCCACGCCCAACGCCGGGTACTACGCCCGGTCCATTGAGGCTCCTCAAAGGGAGTGGACGAGGAGTCTCTGGAGGGGCAGCATATTGTTCCCATGTAGTTGGGTTCGTAAGGCACCTTTGCGCCGGACCTTCCAACTGGACGTTACAGCGCACCGCCCTATCAGTCACTCTGACCATGCCACCCCTCGCATCTTCCGTGGTGGGGAGTTAGATGGATACTGCACATCTCTAATAGCCAGTCCCGGATTGTGGGTGCGATTCACTGCGGTACATGACAGTGCCAGGCTGACTCGACATTCATTCATTCACTTGATCCAACTCAACCCTGCTCAGATCATTCACTGGGAACCTCAGAACAACACTATAAAACTCCCATCCTCACCCAACAGAAACATTGTCCCAATCCATCCTAGATCTCCATCCCCTGCTCCATCATGTTCACGGCAATCCCCAGACCCGAACGCACAATGCCACCCGCTTTACTCGACCACCATCCGCTTCTCGACTATCTTTTCTTCTTCGACACTTCCCTCGACACACAATGTGCAGGCTATGACTACACCCACAGCCGCCCCCGTCGCTGCAACGCCATCACAAGCGAGCAAGACCAGGCCGAAGCCATCAGACTCCTGACCAAAGCAGCCGCAGACTTCCACTCCGGCAGAATGGAGCGCATTGGCTCGACCCTCGCAGAACTAGCGCCTCACGTCCTCTGTCCCAGGGTAAGCCACCAAGCTCAAGCACCGGGCCTGGTGGCACGGTGGACTCGGGATGCCGAGATGTTCATGGCGGGGTATGGCGCCATGTCTGAGCTTAGAGCTCGGGATCCTTTTGCGGATACCTCGCGGATAGTGGGTGGTGCTGACGCTGATGCCACAACGAGCACGAACGAGACCTGGCGCGAGCGGGTATTTCGAGGCGTTTGGGAGATCCTCGACAGGGTGAGATGGACTCACCGTCAGCTTGTTCCGAGGCTTCCCCGTTTTACCTCCCCGGAGCAGTCTCGTGATGAGCACGAGCAAATGCCCGTTTCGGACTTCAACTGGGATTATAGCCCTGAGTATGCCTACGAGAATGGGAATGGGCATGAGCATGACTACAGTTACGAGCACGAGTCCGAGTCCGCATCAAACGCGAGAGCCACCACCGTCCGCACCAGCACCGAGTCCGATCCAGAACCCTCCCACACCCCCGCTGTCCCCTGGGACATCCCGGCCGAGCCCACCCTGAGGCTCCGAGACTCGCAATGGGGACTACCACCATCACCCCCGCGGGCTTCTGCTCTCGTGAACCCCCCAAGTCCGCAACGCGATACCGCGTCAAAGCCAAACACCGTCTATGCCCTCCGCCACCCCATCGACGGCGACTGCAGCATCTGCTTTACCTCGCTGTTAGAACACCCATACGACACCGACTCCGACTCCGACGCGGACGCTCCATCGACCGGACGAGACATGGCCACAGACACAGGCACAGGCACAGACGCAGAGTCGGAACAGCTAGCCATCTCACTCTCGCCCCCGCACTCCATCCACCGATGGTACGATACAGACACAGGGGAATGGGGGTACACCGATGCCACGGGTGAACAGTTCGCTTTCCATGCGCTATCGAGCCGCCCTCATGAAGTCAAGAATACACAGGACGCACTGTCCGCGAAACCGTTGGTGCCCGAACTATCATGGTGCCAGACTGGCTGCGGCGTGAACTACCACAAGCAATGCATCGATCGGTGGACTGCGTTGGCGCCGCTCGCGACGTGCCCGACTTGTCGTCGTGCGTGGGTTGGTCAGGGTCTCGGTCGGACACATACTCATACTCATGCTCATACTCATGGATCTGGATATGGACACGGTAATCGTCCTCGTCACCGGGCAATCTCCTACTCGTTTCCTTCGCCCCCTTGGCAGGGGTGGTAGGGGCGTCGAGGTGCAATGGATCTCTAGAGACTAGCATAGTGTTTGGCGTTTGGGAGGCATGATGGTGATACTTGTATGATTAGCGCTTAGATCTCCTAACCGATCTATACCGATCATGAAACTTTCTTATGACCTTCTGATTCTTAAGGGGAGGATTAACGGGCGATTTTTATCCTTGTTTCTTGGGATCATGCGCGGTGTAATATATATATTGAACCATCCTTAACCCTAAGTGGGTCGGTCTATCAATCCACCTACGGCCCTGTCTATGAACCCTCCAGAATATGCAGTGGCGCTTCCTGGAGTATTCAGCGCACGATAGATTTGTGGTTTATTGTAATTGAGTAGATAACCGGAAATGTGAGTAAAAATACACGGTCACTGACTTTGACAAGACATAACACGGCGTTGAGAGGTGTTTGCTTGCCTTGCAGGAAGATGCTCATCTGTCTCTGTGACCTGCGCCTGCCTCCAGGCAGCTAGGTAAGATGCCTAGAAGGATTCCTTTCCTTTCCGGTCCAAGGGTTCTTGAAGGCTCAAAGCTCACCATTCTCCAGTCGGATCCTACGGAGTAGAGTCGAATACGGTACGAGGGTGTGACTCCTGCGCCACAGGATGACACCAAAGCCTTCGAGTTGGGGTTCTGCTTGACTCACCCACGTCTGACCTCTTAACACCTCGAATAACACAACCTTAAGGCTGCCCTTATTCTACCAGAGCACTGTGATACTTCACCACCTACATCTACAGATACCCGACTCACCTCAGCATAGTCTATCAACGCCATGGCGACCAGAAAAGCCAAGCCGAACCCGCATCTAGCGAACCCCGACATCCGCGTCACAGACACGCACATCTACTTCATCCGCGGGATCCTCTCAAACTGGTACTCCAGTCCTCACCCCTTCACCGGAAAACGCGCGCTCGAACTATGCCTCGCGCAGCTCGACGAGCTGGCCATCCCGCACCCCGCCGAAAACGCGATATCCACGCGCCTGATCGAGTCATTCCGCTTCCGACGCGGTGAGCAATGGATGATGGCGATGAAAGCGTGGCTCTTTGAGCGCGACTCTTTCCCTCTCGGCGAGGTTGTTATGGACAATGACAGTCAGAATGCGTTCGACCAGCTTCGCACAGAAATGTCGAGCGTCAGGCCTCTTCCGGAATCGGCCGACCGACAGCGGAAAAAGCTCTGGGAGTCGGCGTTGTGTCGGATCATGCGTACGGATTCGCCGAGATCGCAGAAGGCGCTTGGTCGGAAGGTGCCGAACTTCGACGACGGGCTGTGGACGAAGGCTTCAGCGGTGATTGTTGTTGCTGGGTGTGTAGCACGCGCGGAGGCTGACGAGGGCCTGAGCAAGTTGTATCTCTCAAGTGGAGACCGGGTTTTTGTTGAGGGGAGTCGGGTTGATCGGGTTTGGGGAGTTGGTTTGGACTGGAAGAGTGATGCGATTCTGGACGAGGGGAATTGGCGGGGTGCGAATCGGTTGGGAAGGGCTCATGGTGAGGCAGCGAGGGTATTGAAGAGAGGACTCAGTAGCACGACTTGATGATATCGTCAGATGAGTAGGATAGATTACCGCAACGAACGGCTGTTCATCTGAGCGATCGGGATCGTGTTGACGACGCTACTTCGGTCTGGCGAGTGGCGATGGACCGGAGATCTGGATTTCGGTTAGCGCAGTGATGTTCGAGGCTAAGACGCACCACGGTGGGGATGTCTGCCAAATTTATATCACCAGGGCTGGCCAGGGCCCGATCCGAGTGCGATCGCTCACCTTGGCCAGTGATCTTTTCATCATTCCTTCGTCGCCATGAGTCAAGACACCAGGGAATGCAGGAGATAGGCTGGCAGAGCAGCGCGAATGGATCATCGCCCACACATGCCGCAAAGACCATGGTTCGTTTGTCAGCCTACCGTCCGAGCACAATAAAAACCAGATTGTGAGAGCCCGAGGTTCTGTTGCCTCATTGCCTGCATTATTTTCGTTCCTGGTGGTGGCGTCCGCTGAAACCTCCGAGTCGGGCAAGGCTGAAACGCGCGGTCGCTTTTCCCCGGCTGTTACCTGTCACTGCAGCTGTCGGCTTTCAATCTGCTCTTAATCTGAATCCCCTCGTTCAAAGTTTGTCTCGCACAATTCTCTCGGTGTCGAGCTTTCCTGTCGTTTGCCCATTCTCGTCTGTCTTTGCGTCTCCCCGACGATCGCTAGCAGGTCAATTGCATTATTGGTCCCACGCGACTCCAAACGAGTCGACGACCCACGACGCCTCACGCTCGCTCTCCACAAGAACCGCGATTTTCGAATCATTCTTTCGTAAGAGGACCATGGTCATCGATTAACTCAGTCTAACTCTCGTTTAGACCTCGCTAGCCGATCACCCCTCACCCTAATCCGCTCCTTTATGCTCTCTGAGCTCATTTCAGCTCCTGTGTTTCATCTCCGAGCTGTCGTCACTCTCTTAAGCTTTCAATGTCTGGACGGCCTGGCCTGGCAGAGAAGCGCCTGTCGTCCCATCGCTTCCAGCAAATACCGGACACTATGCCTAACCCCAACGACGTTACGATCGATATCCCACTGCAGAGCGTTTCCAGCCGCGGGCAGACTGGTGCGCGCAACAATTCCACCAACATCCCTAGTTCCCCGTCCGGGGGCTATTCAGCCGGAGGAGACCACAATGGCGGCGAGAAGGGCTTGACGTCCGGTCCTCCCAGTTCGCATGGATTTGGTCAACGTCGGCGGAGAACCATCAACGACAAAACTGGTCTTCCCGCGGAAGAGCCAGAGGATGGAACGGTCACTCGCTTGGGACGCTTCTATCAGGCTGTTCTCAACTTCTCCACCATCACTCGCTACATGATCTACATCGCTCCTCTCGCTGCTCTTCTCGCTATTCCCATTATTGTTGGCGCAACAGCCGCTCAAGATGCAAAGATTGGCGGAGTCTCGCTTCCTTGGTTCTTTTGCTGGATTGAGGTTGTCTGGGTGTCATTGTGGGTGTGTAAGATTGTCGCCAAACTCATTCCCTTCGTCTTCCAGTTCATCTGCGGTATTGTCAGTGCTGGAACGCGGAAATATGCCCTCATTTTGCGAAACCTGGAGATCCCTATCACCATGGTGCTTTGGATGATCGTTTCGCTCGTCACTTTCCTTCCGATCATGGTCTATAACCCGAGGAACAAGCGGGAGGGCGATACCGAGACGAAGAGTTGGGAGAAGTCGGTCAAGAACATCCTCTTCGCTTTCTTGGTCTGCGCTCTGATCTTCCTCGGAGAGAAGACCCTCGTCCAGCTTATCTCCATCAGTTACCACCGCAAGCAGTTTGACGCAAGGATCAAAGAGTCTAAACGTCACATCAACCTTGTTGGTATCCTATATGATGCCTCCCGCAGCATGTTCCCTATGTACTGCAAGGAGTTCCGCGAGGACGATGCGATCATCTCCGACTCTATCCTCCTGGCTGGACCCGAGTCTGGCAGGCCCGGTCATTCGCGGTCCAACTCTGCGGCTCCTCTGAAATTCATCCGTGGGGTAGGACAGAATGTTGGTCGACTTGGAGGAAAGATTACTGGTGCCATCGGAGACGTCGCCCATGAAATCACCGGAAAGCAAGTGTTCAACTCCGGCGCCGCGCGGTCCATCGTCAGCGAAGCATTGGAACGTCGTCGATCCACCGAAGCTCTCGCTAGGCGTATTTGGATGTCTTTTGTGATTGAAGGCCGTGAAGCGCTGTACCTTGATGACCTTATGGAGGTTCTTGGTGAAGGAAAGGAGGCCGAGGCCGAAGAGTGCTTCATCATGCTGGATCGTGATGGAAATGGCGATATCAGTCTGGAGGAGATTATCCTGGCCATCTCTGAGATTGGACGCAGCCGCAAGACATTGAACCACAGCGTGCATGACGTCGACCAGGCCATCCACGTCTTGGACAATCTCTTGGCCACCATTGCCTTCATCATCGCTCTTCTCGTCTTCGTTTCGTTCGTTACCAGTGGTTTCGGCACTGTCATCGCCGCCGGTGCTACCTCCCTTCTGTCCCTGAGTTTCGTCTTCGCCACCACCGCGCAAGAAGTGCTCGGTTCTTGTATCTTCCTCTTTGTCAAGCATCCCTTCGATATCGGTGACCGAGTCGAGATCGATAGCAAGCCTTACATGGTTCAACGCATTTCGCTCCTGTACAGTGTGTTCCGCAACGTCAACGACAATCGCGTCACTCAGATCCCCAACGTTGTCCTCAACACCGTGTGGATTGACAACTACTCTCGTTCCTCAGCTATGCAGGAGCGAATTACCATTGATGTGAACGTTGACACTACAACTGAAGAAATTCAGGCTCTGAAGGACGAAATCGAAGCCTTCGTCCGTAGCCCGGATAACAAGCGCGATTTCCACCAAGATGTTGACATTGAGGTATCGGGTGTAGGAGCTCTTGACAAACTAGAACTCACTGTGAGCCTCTTCCACAAATCCAACTGGGCTATTGAAACCGTTCGTGCCGCGCGTCGCTCCAAGTTCATGGTCGCTCTAGTTGCCGCCGTCAAGAAGGTCCCTATGCGCCTCCCAGGCGCGGCAGCTGAAGAAGCCCCTGCCGAAGACAGCGACAAGCCAGATGACAAACCCGATGACGCCGCGCAGCCTCCCGCTCATCAGCCCTCCACCAGCGAGGGAATGCGCCGCCCTAGCGCCCCAGACATCAACATCCCCTCTGACTCCAAGTCAACCGGCTTCGACCTGGGCCGCTCAGGCTCCGTCCAACGCCGCGCCGCCGCCGCCAGTGCTGCCGGTAACAACTCAGCCGGCAGTGCCTACAGCGAAAGCACTCTCAACAACACCAACCCCGAACTCTACAACCGCGCCAACTCCCCCAACCTGAGCGACCGCGACACAGACCACTACCGCGCCTCTGTCAGCTCGCCCGTCGCAGAGCGCCATCTCAGCGTCAACCACGGCTCCATGGCCCGCAAGGCATCCACAGCATCCACCGGTCGTCGTAGAGCAGGCACGACAACCTCTCCAAACCAACCGCTTGCATCTCCCACAAGCCAGCATTCCGAGTCTATGCTCCCTGCTCATCTGCAGCCGCCGCCACTTCAGCCCTCGCCGTCGGTGTACTCTCAACCGCAGCAGCCGCCGCCACTTCAGCCCTCGTCGTCGGTGTACTCGTATGCCGAGCGCTACGACCAGCCTGAGTCGTCGAGACAGTCGCTAGAGCACCCTACCCCTTACAGCCAGCCGCTGCCTCAGGTTTATGAGTATGCTCCGACGCCGGATAGGAACTCGCCTGAACCCCAGTCGCCGCGTGCTGATCCGCGGTACATGACTGAGGAGCAGAGGAAGAACTATGAGTCGCGCAGGCAGTGAGTAGGTTTGTGTGATTCTGGGATTTACGTGATATGATGTTTGTGCTATGTATCAAAATGTAGAGTGGTGTTTGGGTTGGCTGGTTTTTTCCCGTATGGATGGCAATCATACGTCACATATTAGGAATTTATTGTCAATATGACAACTTTGAAAGATTTTTGGCATGTTTGGATTTGAGGATTTCTATTATTGTACAGCAATTTACTATCCCAGACTGCTGGGATAGTACAACGGGTATCACAGTAGTGCATCACTAAATGCATAGCATACATACACAGCCATTTAGCTTCTTGTTATCGTACACTCGACGCCTGCTTTGATTCCGTTAACTCCAATTCTATCAAGACCCAGATCTAGAGCAGCAAAGACATAGAAGACCTCTACTTCGTCTCCCTCCACGGGTACCCAACGGGGTCATCCTTGCGCGTCCAGATCTTGCTCTTCTTCTTGCTGACCACATGCTCAACCCAGACCTCGCGCGTATACTGCGCCTTGTATTTCCGGATCCACCGCGGATCCCACAGCTCGCTGGCGATTCCAAGATCCTTGCAGCATCGTACAAGAGCGTTGGAGCGGCACCCCTCCGTGGCGGTGGGAATGCCGTCGGGCGAGAAGTAGTCTTGTTCGCCGCGGGCTACGGAGACGAGTCTGCACAAAAGAACGATTAGCTACACCATCACCTGCCCAAAAGATAACCGTTTACAAGGAAGGAAGCGAGAACATGAACATACCGCCCATTACAAACCAAAGCATACTCCCTCGTAACCGTCCTCGGCGTAACAATACTCTCACTCCTCGGAACAAGCCCCCACCCACCGGGCCCAAACGCGCGGTTCAGGATCCGTCGGTACTTGATCTCGGGCAGGTACAGGATGCCATCGGGCTTGATCTCGACCTCGTCGGGGTTCGTCTCGGCGAGCAGAATGTCCGCTGCTTCCTTGGGAAACGGCTCAGCGGAGAGTCCGTGGAACGAGCGCGTCCAGTCGATTTTCTCGCCCGGCGTGTTGTCTAGCTCGATTGGTTTGTCGGAGAGGCCTGTTTTTGAGATGTTGGGGGTCGTTGCGCTGGAGGGGGTTTGTTGGGAGGCGATGTTTGCTGCGCGGGTGGCGGCTGGTGTGGGTGTTGAGGGGGTCGCGGGCTTTGGTGAGGATGCGGATGCGGATGCGGGTTGTTGGGAGGCGGAGGTGCGCTGCGTGAAGGGGCGGGTTGTTGTTATGAGGCGGGGGGCGGTGCGGTAGGCGGATGCTCGCTGGAGGAGAGGCTCTGCGGCCTGGAGGGAGCGGAGGAAGGCCATTATGATTGGAATTGGGGGAGATTGTGAGGATGTTGGAGCTGTGGCGGTTTATGTTTGAGGTTGAGATGAGCTTGGATTGTGTCACGTGACGAGTCGGTGATATGTCGGCGATGGCAAGGGGGGATTTATTCGTGGATCAGGGGCGATATTTTGCGAGATAATTTGTCATATAGTACACTGGATACGAAATGATAGCTATGGTACAAGGTATGCGCCCTTTGCGTGCGTTATGTGGTAGGAGATTAGGAAGTTTTAGGCATCTTTGCTCTGGGTACGGACATCGTTACCCTGGCGCTTCCAGCACGCGCGGAATATTTCCATCTGTCGGAATGAGTTCGTTAGTGACCAGAGATCCAGATCGGAACTTGCTCATGAGTATATGCGGCTTGTTGTAGTAGGCAGAAGAATGGTAATGGGATGGGTTGGCCGACCTGCTCCTTGCAAGCTCTCCAGTCCTTCTTAGCCCAGTAGCATTCGTTCAGCTTGTCTTGCTCCACTAGATGCAGTCAGTAACCAAATGGATTTCAGAAGCTGTATGGTTGACGGCGAGTGTACCTGAGCAGCCGGTGCTGAAGATCCGCTTGTCCCTGGGCGTCGACCGGTCAGCATCTCCGCAACGAACAAAACGGAAAGAAACATTGAGCTTACCACTCATCTGGCTCGTCATCGTCGTCAGCTGTGGCCACCTTGGGCTTCTCTTCTCGTTTGGATATCATCGTGTTGACAGGCCGATAGTAATCGAAGGAGAAAAAGGGAAATTGAATCAACTCCGATCTTTCTTCCTCCGAACAACTTCCCCGCAGCAATAATTATGGCGACGAGCACGGCGAACCCCAACACCACGGGGAAGAGGCTCAATGTCCTCGTTTACTCTGGTTAGCAATAACTACATTCTACATCTGGCAACCAACTAATTGATAATTTAGGAGATGGAACCACCGTCGAATCCGTCCGCCACTGCCTCTACACGCTCCGCCGCCTCCTAGCCTCCCGCTATGCCGTTATCCCCGTTACAGCAGACATGCTAATCAAAGAACCATGGACTCTTACATGCGCACTACTCGTTATCCCCGGTGGCGCAGATCTAGGCTACTGCCGCGCGCTCAATGGTGCAGGGAATCGCCGAATCGAACAATTCGTTCGCCGCGGGGGCGCCTACCTCGGTTTCTGCGCGGGAGGATACTACGGGACGAAACGATGCGAGTTCGAGGTCGGTGATAAGACTATGCAAGTTATTGGGGAGCGCGAATTGGCATTCTACCCGGGGATCTGCCGCGGAGGTGCATTCAAAGGCTTTGTCTACCATAGTGAGGCTGGGGCAAGGGCTGCCGAGCTGACGGTTTCGAAGGAGGCGTTGAGTGCTGGTGTGGTTCCGACTAGCTTCCGGTCATACTATAATGGTGGAGGAGTGTTTGTTGATGCGCCAGCATATGCGGATCAGGGCGTTGAGGTTCTTGCGAGCTACGCGGAGCGTCTCAATGTGAATCCTGGATCTGGGGCTGCCGCGGTGGTGTATTGCCCCGTGGGCGATGGCGCTGCTATATTGACTGGGCCGCATCCTGAGTGAGTGTACCGCTCTTCACCTCTAGGCGAGTGCTAATGAAGCAGGTTTGCGGCTGTCAACCTCGATCCCAAGGCCGGAGGCCCGGAATACGCTGAAGTGGTAGAAGCTTTGGCTGCGGATGACAAAGCCAGGACCGACTTCCTGAAGGCCTGCTTGTCTAAACTAGGGTTGCAGGTAGCACAAGATACAACGCATGTTCCCTCTCTGTCGTCTTTGCATTTTTCGTCCTTGTCCTCAGATGATGCAGAACGGGTGCTAAGATCGCTCGAGGAACTAGCCGGCGAGGAGAGGCTCCTGAAAGACGAACACGACACCTTTAAGATTGAGAAGTCGGGTACATATAATATGGGCGACCTCACAGAGTCCCTTCCGCTATCCAAGGAGTCATCCGAGTTTTCTGAACATGAAGGGATTGTGGATTATCAGTCAATTGTCAAGCGCATTGTCGTCCACGATGACGTCCCATCATCTAAAATGACTCCATATTTCAACCATCATGCTTTCTATAGCCATCTTCGGGATTATCAGGCTCAATCAAAGGAAGGTGCTTCTCTTTTCGGCTCGAATCTTCTGTACGGCGAAGTCGTCACCAGCACCAACACAATTCTCGAAAAGTAAGTCTGGAAGTACTGCAGACATGGACTTGGCTAACATCAGTAGAAACGCTAAGCTCCTCCGCAAACTCCCCGTCGGCACGACCGCAACAGCTACCACCCAAGTAGCCGGCCGAGGACGGGGCTCCAACGTCTGGGTATCTCCAGCCGGTTCTCTCATGTTCTCGACCGTTGTTCGCCACCCCATGGAGAAAATGCAGTCTGCTCCTGTCGTCCTTATACAATACCTTGCGGCGATGGCAGTCGTCCAGGGAGTACGAAGCTACGACGAGGGTTATAACGCCATGCCAGTCAAGTTGAAATGGCCCAACGACATCTACGCTTTGGACCCCGAACAACCCGAACACAAGAAACAGTACACCAAAATCTGCGGCATTCTTGTAAACTCCCAATATTCTTCAAACGAATACACCTCCGTCGTCGGCATCGGCCTCAACGCCACCAACGCTTCCCCAACAACATCTCTCACAGCGCTCGCTGCCCGCTTTGTAGGCCGCAAGGCTGCCCCCGTCACGCTAGAGAAACTCCTCGCGCGTATTTTGACTGTCTTTGAAGACCTTCATACACGGTTCCTTCGTACTGGTTTCGACCGCAGCTTTGAGGAAATGTACTACGAGTCCTGGCTTCACACGAACCAGATCGTTACGCTTGAGGCTGAAGGCGGGGTACGCGCCAGGATCAAGGGTGTTACTCGCGATTATGGATTGCTGCTTGCTGAGGAGCTGAGTTGGGACGATCGACCTACGGGGAAGGTGTGGCAGCTGCAGAGCGATAGTAATAGCTTTGATTTCATGAAAGGGCTGTTGAAGAGGAAGGTCAATTGATTGCTGACTTGGGAATAGAGTCAATACTGTATAATGCGTGTTAGCTACGCTCACGAAGTGATATTGGTCGCATTCTCCACAACTGAGCTTTATCTTTTTGGAAGAGATGATCAGCTACCGATACAATGGTAATACTAGAGACCGGGAAGTGCTTGATGCAGTAATGGGGGTTACTTGCCCACGTGGCTTCAGGGGCACGGAGGATCGCGACTGGGTTTAGCCCGATCTAGGTGGCTTCAGAAAACCATGTCAAGGACAAGAAGACCCTTCTTGTACTCCCACTCGCCAGCAAGCTTAGTCCGACCTCTTGCACTGCGCATGGAACAAGTTATGTGCATCTTGCACCTTTTTTGATCAACAATCCTTAGATGAGTGCGTTTCACGTGCTTGGCAATGTGTCGACTTGTCTGCGTAAGCCCAACATAACAACGCTGCCTCTGTTGATTGCCGGCACTCCACAATATGGAAGCCTAGCGCAGCTGAGAAGGCTTCGAACAGACCAAGAAGTGATGACTACCAATGGGATGCGGGGTGGCATGGAGCTAGAGCGGCTGTGCAAGGCCGTTTGAGCAATAGCCTTCTTACTCCCAAATCTTTCTGAAGCCATGTCCTGCTTTCCAGAAAAGTTAATCACGATGAAGCAAGCTCAAACACGGACATATCTATGGACTGCAGCTTTTGGATCCTTGACTAGCGATGATAAGTGCCGCCTCCAAAAATACCTCACAGAAAAGACAGTGAGCAGCATTGATGAGACCTCGAAAACTGTACAAGCCGCACAGTCCTCCTGTCTGCAGAAGCGATGGACTGTAAATACACGACAGGGGCACCGGATTATCATTCGCGACATCCTTGACTTAATTGCTCTTTGGCTCAATGAGTTCAAAGAAGTCGGAGATGCAGTCGTCCAGTACGGCACTGCACATGCCTCGCTTTCATTAGCAGGTGTTTGGTTCTTGTTGCAGGTATCCATCAATGACCTGAACATTCGCATCAGTGGCGGAGGGATTGGAGATCGTTGCACGACTAGTGGCTGGGTATTCAATCTTCGAAGTGGTATACTTTCCAGATATTGGGAAGCAACTCACAACCGCGCAGTGCAAACTATGCGATGCACTGGTGCTACTGTATGCCGGCTTACTCAGATTCCTCACCGATATAGGAAGATATTATGAACGCTCAACTGGTACTCGCATACTGCGGAGTCTGTATGAACTGTCCGATCGCCTTCAAAATCCCCTCAAAGCTGCACCAACCAAAGAAGAAGAGGTCGAGAAGATTGCCCAAACGGTGCAGGCCGAAATTCCTCTGAACATGGATGTCAGCATTAGGACCCTCCAGGAGAACAGTTCCCAGTCATTCATGTCACTCGAGAGCCTCCTCAACTCGCTTGATGCGCCGATATCCCGTACAAGCGACGGTAAAGCTCTCTACCAGGATTTCTTGGAAATACATCAGCGGCGGAAACTGCTCTCATGACTACCGGGCCATAGCTACCGGGAGCATCATGAGTCGGATACAAAGGCCTTGTTCTGGGCACAACAGAGTGGATATTTTCGAACCCGCGTGTATCTTCAGTGGGAGTGGTCTAACGCAAGTTCTATTCTGTGGCTGCATGGGATACCAGGGTGCGGAAAACAAAACTGACATCCTCCATCATTCAATGTATTCTGGATAGGGTTGCAAAAAAGCTCAGAGTACCCCTGTCGCTTCTACGTTTTACTCCAAGACCAACAACGCGCTATCAACTAATCCGCTGATGGTCTTCCGGAACTTGCTAAGACAACTTGCAATGGACCGCCAGGGTGATAAGATTATAAAGCCAGTGTGGGAAGAGTTCATTAAATGGCAAATGACGGCTAACATGGATGGTTCGAACCATCGCCTTTGAACATTGAGGAATGTACAGAGATGCTGCTCGCCATTACCTTCGATTGCCCTGCCACTATCATCATTGATGGCTTGGATGAACTTGACGGGGACCGAGTAGAGCTCTTGACTGTTCTTCAAGATATAGCCCACCGATCAGCAAGTATCGTGAAGATCATGATTTCGAGCCGTGAACATGCAGATCTTGGACAGGAACTGCAAAGCGAAATATCAGTACCCATATCGCCCGCCGAAATCTCAAGCGATATTGCGAGATATGTCCACTGTCAATTTGATTCGGCCATTCCCGACAAGAAACTCCTTGGAGGGCGGGTCTCTGAGACACTGAAGCGTCTTCGCATCAAGACCTTGAATGAAGGTGCCGGTGGCATGTTTTTGTGGCCCGCCTTGCAGTTGGAGTATCTTTGTGATCGGAGGACATTCAAACTAGAAGCAGATATCATAGCTGCACTCAAGGACCTTCCGCCGGATCTAGTACGTACTTATGAGACCATATACTCGCGAGTTGACTCTTATGGTCATCCCGAGGCGGCCGTTGCCATTCGAACCTTCGCTTGACTGCTCTCGTCACCGGGGCCCCTATCGGAATCAGAGCTGATTACCGCAGTCAATGCGCCGCGAGATGAGGGCGCCGAACTGGTAAGTTGAGTGTCAGAAAGCCGTTGTTGAATGCTTGGTTGAGCGCGGTGTCGATGTGCAGGTCAAAGTCGACTGTCCAAAGGTCTGGTACCTGGAGAACAAAACGAGCCAAAGCGCAATTGAAGCAGCATTAAACATCTCCGCCTACATCCGAAAATGCTGTCTTAGAGACTTGCTTACCTCATTGATCATGGGGATAGTGAGGAAGACGCCGACGCTCTCATGCATGCTGCTTGTAAGCATGGCAATATGGAACTTGCAAAGCGCAAAGTCATCAGTCAACCTCCAAGAGACTCTGATCACAAGATGTATCAAGTTCTTGCAAGTTCCGGAAATCGATTCCCTCCAGGTCACGGTTCCAACATGGAAATGCAGAGCCAGGCAATAAAGGAAGGCGGCATTGGTTTTCTCTCCGCACTTGTCAGTGATTACAGACTACAGTTCGAATTCAACATGTTTCGAGATGTGGCATGGGATACCATCCGCAGCAAAGGTAACAGGACAGCGATCCTTCAATTTCTCATTGACAATTGCTCGTTCCATCTGGTCATGGTGTACTTGTACTCCTATACTAGCCTCGACATAATCAACTCCGAATCATGGGTCGTTGAGAAACGCAAGAAAGAGACCATCCTATACCAGGCTGCCTGTCTTGAACGCAGCCCTGAAGTTGTTGCAAGATTGTTGCAAATGGGAGCAAACCCAGATAGTCCAGGTCTCTCTCGCACACCGCTGATGTCCTTCATGCAAATGGCCCATAGGGGTAGAAGTACAGCTGAAGAGGCCATCTCCATCGTCAAGCTCCTCTTGGACCACGGCGCAGACCCGGATGGAGCAAGGGACACGGACCGGGAGCAAGATGGCCCCTTGAAACCAACAGTGCGAGTGACGCCCTTGATACTCGCTGTGGCGAGGACATTCACAGTGGCTGTCGATACAGTCAGACTTCTAATGGAGAAGGGCGCGGATGTTAACCATGAAAGTGTCATCGTTGCACCTTGCTTATCTCTGCGGGAACCAGCAGATTGTTAATCTGTCTTCTCCAGCATGGAGCAGTGGATCGCGGTGATCCTTCCTATACCGCTCATGGCTTTGTGAGGGATCTCAAGCACGACGACGAGGACGAGTGGGAGACTGTCAGCAGATCGCGACGACAACTTTAGGGTAACGAGGATGAGGGTGATTTCTAGCAGTTCCTCATAACGACAACGGCAACGACGTATGTGCAGGGCAAGGCGAATACCTGACTACGTATACAGGAATACATCGAGGGAAACCCTTCCGCAACTCGTCATTCATGCCAGTGGTTCGGTACAGACCGTCCTGTTCCATGCCAAATCAAGCATCCCCCTTATGCGTTGGAACGCCAAAACTGGGTCTCTACCCTGGTTGAGCCGATCGCATAGTCCATCGTTTAATTCTGACCAAAGACGCTTCAGCAAAATGAGTGTAAAGCTGCGCGAAACATATCAAAGCATAGCATCGACAAACAGGAGTCTCCAAGCATAACCAACTAGTCAGGAACAACCAACTGGCAAGACATCAAATACATCTCAGCTCTGAACAAGACCTATCGGAGCTCCCTAGATCGGAATAAATCAATTCATCCTCTCGATAGACCCGACATCCCGCCGGGGGACTAGGTTCGCGTATACGAGTGCCATCGGGACTCCTAGCGGCAATGGCAGCCCTCACTGCCGCGCCAGCTGTAGCGCGGGCACCAGCGTATCGCAGTATCTTCATGACTTGCGCAACGATTTCGAATCTGTGCTTCTCCCATTCCAGGAACCAGCAAGAATACTATCAAGAGATATATCAGCACAATCCAGCGTCCCTAAAGAAGAGGGGAGTCATACCCGACTCCCACCGTCAATATGCGCAAACTGCCACTTGATGCTATCAGTCGCAATGCCATAAATCTCACACTCCATGCCCTCTTTCTTGCGTGCGTGATGGATCATTGCTGCCGCTCTACAATCAGCCCACTGACCAATGTGAAAGAAGACAAGAAAGCATACCCATCATCCTCAAGCATGTCCAAAAACTCGCTTTCCCCCTTCTCCTTCCCCTCAGCACAACCAGCGCCACATCGAGTTCCTTCGATGGCCCCGAGAACACTACATTGTGCACTTTCCCCTCGACCTCGAGAGAGTCACCAAGTAGCTCATTGCTGGTAAACGGCATCTTGAAGATCCGCTTGCTGGTCAAATTGATCAGGTCGCTACCGCGGAGTTTTCTTGCGCGCGCCTCGTTCACTGCGTTCTGGAGGAGGATCGTGACGCGCGCTGGGATGAGGTTGTCGAATGTGATGGTGTCTTTCATGTTTGATTCGAGGCTGGTCCATTTCCTAGCTGTCGATGGGTTCACGTTGTCAGTTTACACCTGTTGAATTATGGAAGGCAAAGCAAGCGTACTGATATTCCCCATCAACCTCTCATACATATACCTCCTCCCAAAGGACCTCCAATCCCGCATCCTCACCTTCCATATCTTCTCCGGCTGGATTCCCGTGATGTCTACGAGCCTGTAGAAATAGGGCACATTATGATCGTCCGGTCCGGGGTCCTTGTGACCGTAGCCGAGCTTGCGCAGTCTCTCGGCCTCTTCCGCTTGTCTTTCAGATAGTTTGGACTTCTTCCGGTGTCTTATCAAGGCGCAGAGGCTCTGTGGGCCCGGAAGGCCGCATGAGTTCTTGCTGTTTGTCATTGCAATGGTCATTATGGGGTTGGGCTTGGAGAAAGGTTGGTTGACTTGGGATAAGGGATTGGGAAGACAGACTGGGAGGGAGAATATAACGACAAGAGGCACTGTCAACGTCGGAGTCATACTTGACAGTGGTTCTGGCTCTCGGGGAGTTGCTCCTGGCGTATCAAGGTATTGGCATGGTCCGCTCGGAATGGGATTCCATGGCACGTGTATGGAGGTATCTTGAACCGAAGCCTGGCTAGAAAAATGGCTATCTAAGTCTAGACTGAAAGTAGACATCGTCTGGAAAAGTCAGTATCGAGCGATATATAGTAGAGCTGTATCTGGGGGTCACGAAAGGACCTCCGGCTCTATAGAAGCCCTAAATGCCGTCTTCAGGCACTGACACTATCCCTACGGTGCTGACTTAGTATGATCTACTTACTTGTTGTACATGAGGTTGAACAAGGTTCGACTCAACTTCCGCCTGTCCGACTTGACTCTTTTCTCTTTACTATCCTCCTATCACCATGTCAATCCCAACTTCCTTCACTCCTTCATTTCATCACTCACCATCATCTTCTTCTCACAGCCATCAATGATGTTGTCAATATGCGCTATTCTTGCATTGGCGGCATGCCTGCTCATCCTCCAGTATGCGAGGTCCAACTGGATCCACGCTCGCATGGCCCGTGACTGGGGATGCGCTCCTCTGCCTCGTTATCCAACTGATGTTCTAGGACTCACTACCTTGAGGGAGTCTATACAGGCTGATAAGGAGAAACGTATTCCCTTGCTCTTACAGCGCCGCCTCGAAATGATGTCAGCCCGCGAGAAGCGTCCCGTCACGACCTTCGTCATCCGCCAGATGGGCCTTGACAATATCTTTACCTGTGATCATGCCAATGTCCAGGCTATACTGGCCACCAAGTTCAAGGACTTTGAGCTAGGCGCTGGCCGTCGACATACACTGTATCCTATGTTTGGGGTTGGCATTGTATGTTCTCCGTTGATTCATGGAGAGAACTTGTTCTGATACCTTCTCAGTTCACGTCCGACGGCGAAACCTGGTCTCGCTCTCGCGCACTCCTCCGACCTCAATTCACGCGAGACCAGATTAGCGACCTCGAACTCGAAGAGAAGCACGTTCAGCAAGCGATGCTCGCCATGCCCGTCGATCCTACCACAGGCTGGACCGCTAACACCAACATCCAAGACATCATCTTCCGACTAACCATCGACTCAGCCACAGAGTTCCTCTTTGGCGAGAGCGCCGGGAGCCAGGCAGAGGCTCTCCGCAACGGGGGCACCCTACCCCCCGACCACTTCTCCGGCGACTTCGACCGCGGCCAGTGGTACGTTGCACAGCGCTCCCGGTTCGAGAAGTTCCACTGGCTCGTCGACAACAGGGAAAGTAGGGCCGTTGTGCAGCGGATCCACGACTACGTCGATCGCTTCGTGCACGCTGCACTGGCAGCATCAGAGGCCGGTGCTGAAAAACAGTCCGAGTCAGACAACTACGTCTTCCTCGAAGCCCTAGCCGCCACAACAAAAGACCCCATAGAGCTACGCTCCCAACTCCTCAACATCCTCCTCGCCGGCCGCGACACCACCGCCTCCCTGCTAAGCTGGTCGCTCCTGATGCTCGCGCGCCACCACGCAGTCTTCGCAAAGCTCCGCGCCACCATCCTATCAGCCTTCGGCCCTTACACCACCCGCAAAACCATCACCTTCACCTCCCTGAAATCCTGCCGCTACCTCCAGCACTTCCTCGCCGAAGTCCTCCGCCTTTACCCCGCCGTCCCCGTAAACCGGCGCGTCGCAACAACACCCACGTCCCTGCCATCCGGCGGCGGGCCCACGGGCACGCAACCAATCTACCTCCGCGCAGGCCAAGTAGTAACGTACAGCCCGTTCATCACGCACCGCCGGAAAGATCTGTGGGGCGAAGACGCGGAGACATTCAATCCGGACCGCTGGGTTGATCGCAAGGTTGGCTGGGAGTATCTGCCGTTCAATGGGGGTCCGAGGATGTGCATCGGGCAGCAGTTTGCGCTTACGGAGGCGGGGTATGTCCTTGTTCGGCTTTTGCAGAGGTTTGATGGGATTGTGGATTGTTTTCCTGGGAGGGAGGTGAGGTATGGGCTTACGCTTACCCTTGCGCCGGGGGATGGGGTTGTTGTGAGGTTGCATGAGGCGGAGTGACTAAAGCTTTGTTATTTGGGTGCCAGATAGGGCCGGAGTCGACTGTACTCTAATGCTTGACTGCTGGTCTTCTTGTTACACGAGCTATGTGGTGGTGGGACGACTGGGGGTTCATTCGTGGATAGGCCCTTACGAGTTTCCCCTGCACGTAAGGGGGCCGGTTTTGTTGAGGACTGGGGCCGCGTGCATGGAAAGCTTGTCACTCTTGTCATGGAAAGGACAAAGGTCTTGGGATTGGGCACGAGATCTGGTCGAAGTCGGGCTTTAAGAGCTCTCCATCTGGCAGCGGTAAGTGGTAGGTGACGCATCTGCTGCAGACACACGTAGCAGCCGTGACCGCCACTGTCGAGCAAGGAGATCATTTTGCAAGTCAGCTGGAGACTGGAGTCGCAGGTTTGTGGATTCATGTAGGTAGTCATGACATATATCATTGTCTTTATCATATTGCTCATCGTAACCCATAGCCCGTTAATCATTATAGTCGAGAAGATATACGCCGATATAACTATAACACGAAGAGATTGATAAGTAACTGCTCACATATCTGGATTCATCGCGTCACCTGGAACTCGAAGGATCTGTCTCCCTGGCCGACGGGGACAGCTTTCGCCTCTCCGTCGTAGAGCGTCCGTTCGAAGTATCGTACTCGGCCATCCTTCTTGACGAGGATGACTGTTTGCTTCTGTGTCCCGTATGGCCCGTGCAGAAACGACTTGTCGAGCAGATCGTGTCCATCTCCGGCGTCCTTCTTGACGGGTACTGGCTCTGGGTCCGTTCCGTTGCTCTGTCCATGGGCATGGGCATAACCATCAACACAAGCCGTCCGTGTCGACTCCGGTGGCACAATATCCGCAGCTACTGCAGGAGCGTCCGATTTCGTCTTGTCCCCCGTCCCAATAAGCGGAATGAAGATGCTCCGCCTGAAATAAGGAAGATAGTCCTCCGCCGTCGCATCATCACCCAATTGCGGTAGGGAATCCGTATTCAACACCCCCAGCAACCTCTCAATCAGCTCCTCCTCCCCCTCCCCCTCCCCAACATGCCTCTCAAGCGCCTCATCAACAAGCCTCTCCCCATCCAAAATCTTCGGCCAACTCCGATCATCAAAAACAGTATTACTCAGCCCCTTCGTCTGCCCCGTCTCCCCAGCAATCCACGTAATCTGATCCATAGCACTCGACCGATTCGATACTATCGCCAGCGGCTCATTCACGTATCCGCAAACAAGGCTGAACCCGCCGACATTGCGGGCCGTCGGGCTGGCGACCATCTCCTCGACGTACGTTCTCGTTGGGTCTTCGCCCGTCTTCGTAGCCCTCGCAAGCCAGCTATTCGTGATTGCGCCGCGGGATTGCTGCCCCGTTGCGGCGTCGGTGGTCTTCTCGCGGTAGTTCGTTAGCACGGCGACTTTGCCGCTTGTTGTGACTCCCATCCATGTGCCCTGTGTTTTGCGCGCAAGGTCTCGTCCGCCTAGGATGTGGGTGTTTGGCTCTGGCCAGTGCTCGGCTGGGGCGGTTGGGCGGCGGAGGTATTCCTGGGGCATTTTGTTGGTTTGTTTGCTGCTTCGTTTTTTGTTTGCGGAGTGGGTTGGGTACGTACATCTCGGTTGTTGATGATTATTAGAGAGTAGGCAGGGTGGGCTGTTGAGATTAGGGCGATGCACATGATTGCTTGCGTTGTTGATGGGAGGGAGAAGGGCAATGGGGGGAGAATGATTAAATAGTGAGGCAGATGGGGAAGGCTGGGTGACAGCAGAGCAGGCCATGTATGTTGGCAGTTGGGCACGTGCAGGACAGCAAATGGGCGTCACCGTCACCGGTTGCTTGGGGTGGGACTATGCGTGAGCTGACACTATAGATCTGTAGTAGAATACCCGCTCCTAGTTGCTGATAGCGAGCATTAATTTTATAAGACAACAATTCTGAAAGCTGTATAGCAATCCTTAACCAGTCGGAGCTGTCGGTCATGACGTCAACCACGGAGCGCCAGACTACGCTACGGTAGGTATACAGAAAAAGCTGTGATATAAGGAAGTCTACCGCAAGTCGTTGGCCTGAATGACCGAAAGCAATTGGGAAAAAGTCCTCAAGTCATGCTGTTTACTGAGGCGTAGAAAGAGAGTCTCGCAATACTCCGGACCTGCAGGGCTGAGTGCTTACGGCGAGGTACCTACGCCCAGCGCCCGGATCGGTCACACTCCGCAATCACTCAGGCCCGCACGGAGGCTCCAATTTTATCTTGTCTCTTGTCTCAGCTTTCTCTTCTGCCTTCTGCTCCCATATCCACTATTCGCAGAGTTTTCTTCGCGCAGGTCGCTTCTTTCGCTATCTTATTTCCTCTCTATATCGGCGTCAATAGCATACCGTACCCCGCAGCTAGGCAGCGTTGAATAAGGTTGTCTTGCTCCGCATACTCACCAACAATTATTCTTCCTGCATCTACTCCGTACCTGAGACAATTCCCTCAATCTATCGACGCTCGGTATAGAAGAGCACGCAAGAGCCAAAGATGTTCTTTGGTATAGTTGCAGATCTACTCTCGTAAGTTCTACTGCCGAAGCCCCTATACTCCGCGGTGCTGATGAACCAACGTTTTAGCTCCATCCTTACCATCGCCCTCCCCATCTTCGCTTCCTACAAGGCCCTTCGTTCGTCGGATCCGTATCAGCTGGCACCATGGTTAATGTACTGGGTGGTTGTGTCCGCCATTCTCATGGCTGAGTCCTGGACGTATTTCATCATCGGATGGCTTCCCTTCTACAGCTGGATCCGGCTCTGCTTCTTCGCATACCTCGTTCTCCCGCAAACCCAGGGTGCCCGCATCCTATACCAAGACTATGTCGAGCCATTCCTCGCGCACCACGAACGAGAGATTGAGGAGTTCATCGGCCGTGCTCACGAGCGTGCCAAGGTGCTTGGGCTCCAGTACTTCTATCAAGCAATCGACTTCGTCAGGGAGCGCGTCCTAGGCCTTCCGCCGCAGCGACCTCCGACCCCTCCCCCAGCAGGCCCAGCCGCTTACGCCCAGTCGCTTCTGTCACGCTTCAACCTCCCCTCGGCTGTCGGTGGTAGCAACCCGGCTCCCGCCAACGACTGGTATTCAGCCATCAGCTCTGCGGTGGCGGCGGTGACATCCCCGGGAAAGAGCCATGAAGCTCGTGCAGAGGAACTGTCTGCAAGCGGATCTCTTCTTCCGCGGGAGTTCGAGTCCAAGTCCCGGGCGGAGAAGGCAAGCTTCTACTCCAAGCAGCGCGACATGCTCGACGTGCTCCGCGACGCTCTTATGAACGAGGAGCGTAATCTGGGACACGGCGAGGAGGACCCCCTTGCCTATGGCGGGGCATCGCTGAGGAAGAACCGCAGCGACAACTCGTTCGACCACATCGAGCACGAGGACACACGGGACCGGTCACCCCGCCGGAGCGGTAATTGGCCCAGAGAAGAAGAGCCGCAGACCGGGGCAGCTTCGGGTGTGGAGTTCGCAATGCGAGCCCTGGATGCGTACAACCGAGTGAGAGAAGGTCACTAGACAGACTGCTCAAGCAATTTTTACTATTTATCTCGGGTTAAGATTGAACGAAATATCTTACATGTGCTTTCTGCCTAGGATCTAGTCCGACACTAGATGCATGCATGTACGGAGTACTTCCACAAAAATAAGCTCAAGCAACATTTACTTTCGAGGCATGGAATCCGATGCCAACCGCACGTACGTCATGGTCTCCAAGTAATGCAAGACGGCCAGTAAAATGCATTCCAGCTCGTAATTTGCCTCGATATGGGTGACCATTATTACCGCCCGTGCTTTTTGCTGGATACTTTGGGTGTCGCCTCTCGCCATTCGCCCTCCTCGGATATAAGCCATCGGTCCGCTTGGGCAGGTATAGCCGTCCGCTGTTCCGGAGTGACATCAGATGTTGACCTTGCCAGCATGCCAGGTGGCTTGACAGGACACAGCCGGACTCTGGAGTTGTGCATTCTGTCGAACACGCGACAGTTCACCGATGGTCAAGTCACGCCAGATCGATTTAGATCATGTATGGCCCGGGAAAATGGTCCGAGGCGTTCTCCGTAGCTTACGCCGGGCTGAACCCCAGTGGCTGGAAGCAGTGTATCATGTATGACTCACGAACTCGCTCCTGCCGACTCATCGTACGTCCTGACTGCAACTATTCGATGACAGGCGTGGGATGTTGTGCCGCTGTCTGCTTGGTCTATGCTCGGACGAGGCTTAGTGGAAGGGTTAGGGCGGCGGGAGGGAATGAGCCTGGCCTACCTTCAAAAGTGGCACTGCAAGTCTGCACCAGCACTGACACAAAGCATGGACTCGGATTACCCACACCGTAAGCGTATATAATACGTGACGTGGGATGCTGCGTTGGAGTATATTTTGCGTATCTTACGCGTATGGTACAGTACGCTTTTGTGGCAATTGCTGTGAGGATGCATCTGGTGCTCGGATAGATGCTCGTATGCAAGATGACATTTATGGGATTTTCTTTCGAGTCTAAGCAGGCCGCGTTCGTTTCTCAAGAGACAGGGGAGAAGAGGCGAGCAGGCATTATTGAATCTTGATCCCTTCCAGAACAATACTCCGGCAGGTCTTGGCGGGCTGGGTTGCCGCCTCCACCCGATGGGCAGCTGTAGATTCTGGGAAAACAGTGAGGAAAATATGAAATCTAGGTTGTGTGGTAGAATTAGAATAAGGCCTGATACATGGCGATAATAATAATAGTTTAAGCTGAGACTGAACCAATAAAGAACTGCGGTGTTGTCCATAGTGTGTGTGTGCCTGCCACCCGTTTCGTGCGCCAAAGAGCACCACCACCGAAACGCAAAAAGAGTGTTTGTAAGAAAAAAAAAGGGAACCCGAAATCCTTTTCTCCCCCAGAAGACTTTGACCTCTTCTTTCCTCCCCCCTCTTTCCCCTCTACAGCTATCGTCGTTGACCACGACGCACAGTATACCGTTGGTGGTCTTCGTTTTCTCTCTTTCCCCTGCCGTGACATCTTTTTTGTCGCCGCCCTCGTTTTCCCTGCCTTTGTGTGTGGGAATCTTGGATGTGGGATTAATTCTCGAGCGTGTTCCTCCTCTTGCCGTAACACGCCTCTGACATCGCCTCGACCTTGTCACCAGCTCTAGCGATCTCTCTTTTGCGAGCATCGTCTTCCTCTCCTCTCTCGTCTTCCGACTCTACAAAATTCACCCTCTTCATCCCGAACCTGCCTGTCTAATGAGCTCGATCCCTCAGAAGTCCGGCCAACCTCAAGGACAGAGTACCGCAGCCCAGGCCGCCTCGCACTCTTCCACTCCTTCGCTCAGCGGGAAAGCCTCGCCAGCGCCCTCGACCTCCACCGCGGTGCCTCGTTCCTACGCAAACGCGACCAAGAAGTCCGCGACGGACTCTACCGCCGCCGCTCCCGTCACCGTGGGTGGCCCATCGCAACATGGGAAGTCGACCTCAACTTCAGTGAGCGGCAAACCCATGCAGCAACCTTCCAACCCGACCATTGTGAATGGCGCCCCGGCCTCTGGCGTGCCTCAAGGCGACCACGCGAAGAAGCCCTCGGTGACCATCACCGCAGACTACAACCCTAGCACTAGGGCGCAGGCCGGTCGCCCCAACAGCCTCCAGTTTGGCTTCGCCAACTCCCAGTCCTCCCCGAACATGGGCAATCCCGCTGCTCTGGCCAACCAGCCTCAGTCGGGTCTGGGTGTCACGCCGCAAGCGAACCCTCGTGCGACCTCACCGCAAACTTCGCCCTCGCCTATCCCTCAGCCCGCCTCAAGTGGTGGCCGCCCACCGCCATCTTCGTACGGTGCTCAGGTCAACTTTGGTAGCTTTGGGAATGCAGGTGATAATGTAAGTGTCTTTTTGTGTGTTTTACTTCAGACGGGTCCACCTGCGTTGCAATTTGTGATCTATAAATTCTGCAAGAAATTTTTAGAGATTGGGTCGCAGGGTAACCTTTTTTTTTGTAATATCTGCCTAACGTTTTTCTTTTTTTTTTTCGTATTCAGGCTCCCCTCGGTCCCGGTGCTCAGTCGACTCACTTGCGCCGCGAATCTTCTCAGTCCACGCACAGCGATATGAGTAACCACATGGGAGCCGGTCCTGGCCGTGGGGGCTACTATCACCAGGGTGGCCGTGGACGCGGACATTCGCAATCGAGCCATCAAGGCCCCGTTGCGTTCTCCCCTACTCCCGGTTTCCGTCAGCCCAGCCAGCCTCGAGGCGGCCACAACATGGGCCCTCAGTTCCACGGCGCCAACCAGGGCCGTCCTATGCCCGGATTCCCCTCTCCGCAAGCCCAACGCAGCCCGGCTTTGGCTTCCGCCCACCCCGTGACTCCCCAGATGAGCCAGGTCCCAATGACTCATGCACAGATGCCGCCTCAGCCCTACGGCGCGTATCCTCAACATATGGGACCCCAACCAGTGAGAACCCCCCACCCTAATTCTCAGAGACCTCCGCCGCGCCGTGGTCTTTACAACAAAAGAAAACCAGGGTCCCGCGGATTCCACTCCAGAAACCCAAGCTTTTCCCATCCCCAAGCCCATCATCCCTTTCCGCAACCAGCTTTGGCGTCCCCAAACCTGGCCCCAGAAAGTGGTCAATTTGAACACTATCTAACGCTGATGAAACATAATCAGGGCTACCCCTACGGCGACCCCAACTATGCCTACTACCCGAACTACCAGTACATGGCCCCTCCCTCGCCTCAACCCGGGCCTCGCATGCCTTACAACCAGTCGCCTTACATGCAGAACCAATACCCCGTTCCCCAAGCAGTGCCACAAGCAACTGGTTTGTCGCGAACCCCCTCACAGGTTTCTGACCGTCCCAGCTCTAGCTTAGGACAGAACGCACCCTCTGCAGTTCCCTCGACTCCTGGCCACACCCACACTCCTAGCCGGTCTTCTAACGCTTCCGCTGGAGGCAAGGCACCCGCCTTTGTCATTCCCCAGCCAGCCAGGAAAGCCATTACTATCCGTGACCCTGATAGCGGCAATGTGAAGACCTTCGAAAAGGCCCCAGCTTCTCCCGCTCGCGCCACACCTTCTCCCGTCAAAGCCGCCACCCCCACTCCTACCCCTCCGCCACGAACTGGTAGCAGCACTGACCATACTCGCTCCACCTCTGTCTCCGCTAAGACTGCCGCTGAGAAGAAGCAAGAGCTAAAGGACGCCGTTCTCCGTAAGATGGAGGAAGAGGCTGAGAAGAAGAAGCAGGAAGAGGAAGAAGCTGCCAAGAAGCAGGAAGAAGAGGAGGCTGCTAAGAAGAAGCAGGAAGAAGAGGAGGCTACTAAGAAGAAGCAGGAAGAAGAGGAGGCTGCTAAGAAGAAGCAGGAAGAGGAGGAGGCTGCTAAGAAGAAGCAGGAGGCGGAGGAGGAGGCTGCTAAGAAACAGGCTGCCGATGAAGAGGCCGCTCGCAAGGGTGTAGAGGACCTGAACCTCAAGGAGGAGAAGAAGGATGCTTCTGCTGAAGAACCCACGAAGCCTGCTGAACCGACTCCTGCGCCTGCTGATGAAGATGAAATTGACTACGATGCCATCGAACGTGAGATGGCTGAACTTGAGGCCAAGGAGGCTGCTGCCGAAGCCGCATACTACGCGAGGAAGCAGGCCGAGAAGGAGGAGAAGGAGCGCAAGGAGAAGGAGGAGCGCGAGGCCTACGAGGCTAACATGAAGCAGGCCGAGCGTGAGGCCGAAGCCCTCGAGGAGGCTAAGGAGAAGAAGCGTGCAGCCGGTCAGGAAACAAGCACTAAGGACGCATTCGCCTCATTGAAGAAGGGTGGATACACTGCGACGGAGGCCAGTACTCCTGCTGACAGTGGTACTAATACTCCTGTCTCGGATACCTCCATGCCTCCTCCCGCCAAACCTGCCAGCGCAGCCGGCAAGCCGAAGCCTGCGGCACTAAAGCTGGAAACCAACCAGCCTATTGAACCTTCTCAGCCCACAGCTGGTATGAAGTCGCTCAACTCCGCTCGATTTGTCGACGATCTCAGCAAGATCGCCTACCCCGAGTCGGTCGCGTCACCGAACCCTGCCCTCAACGATAGCGCGCCTGCCGACCGCAAGTTCCACTACAACAAGGAGTTCTTGTTGCAATTCCAGTCTGTCTTTAAAGAGAAGCCGTCCATCGATTGGGACCTGCGTGTTCGTGAAACCGTTGGCGACAACGACTCTTCCCGCCCTCAGTCTGCCCGCACACCGATGTCACGTAACCCGTCTCGTGGTGGTGCTGGACAAGACGGATTCCCGATGGGCGCCTTCGGTGCGCAATCCCGCCTACCCCCAGGAACCACATCCGAAATCCGTTTCGCTATGTCCAACAACCGCCCCGCTTCCATGGGCAGCGGCGCCTTCCAGTTCCCTCGTATGGGCATGGGTGCTCCATCGCTCAGCCGCAGCAACTCATCTCAACCTTTGATGTCTCCTCGTGTGGGCTCTGGCAGATCCGGCACCCGCTCGGGCAGCAAGCGCGATAAGCACCAGGCCAAGAAGGAGGAGGAGATGGCCAAGTCTATGCCTCTCACAGCTGGAAAGGAGGTTCAAGGTCTTCAGGTCTCTCAAACCGGATGGAAACCTCGCAGTATCGGCCAGACTGCTGCTGCTGCTGGTCCTACACCGGGCGGCCACATGCCTCCTGATGTTGTCCAGCGTAAGGTCAAGGCCGCGCTCAACAAGATGACGCCCGAGAACTTCCCGCGTATCTCCGGTCAGATCCTCGAGATTGTTTCTCAGTCTAAGGACGAGTCCGATGGACGTACCCTCCGACAAGTCATCCAACTTACATTCGAGAAGGCTACCGACGAAGCCCACTGGGCCTCCATCTACGCCAAGTTCTGCAAGAGCATGCTTGAGAGCATGAGCGCCGACATCAAGGATGAGAACATCCGCGATAAGAACGGCAACGTCGTTGCTGGTGGCAGTCTGTTCAGGAAGTACCTCCTCAACCGTTGTCAAGAAGAGTTCGAGCGTGGTTGGAAGGTCAACCTCCCTCCTAAGCCTGAGGGTGTCACGGAGGAGGCTGCTATGATGTCTGATGAGTACTACGCTGCCGCCGCTGCCAAGCGTCGTGGTCTTGGTCTCGTCAAGTTTATTGGTGAGCTGTTCAAGCTGGGCATGTTGACAGAGCGTATCATGCACGAGTGTGTCAAGAAGCTCGTCGACTACGAGGGTATTCCCGAAGAGGCTGAAGTTGAGAGTTTGACGAGTCTCCTGCGCACTATTGGTGCTCCTCTTGATGCTTCGGAGAAGGGTCACGCCTTTATGGATGCCTACTTCACACGCATCAACCTCATGGTCCAGACTCCTGGCTTGCCCAGTCGTCTGAGGTTCATGCTCATGGTAAGCCGCCAATTCCTATCTTGTCTTACTTTCATACTAATCATATCAGGACATCATCGATCTGCGTAATGCTCGCTGGCAGTCGAAGGACTCTGACAAGGGTCCCAAGACCATTCAGCAAATTCGTGAGGAGGTATGTTTTTCGCCGTGACCCTAGTCTCTGACATCCCACTAACTTTTCCAGGCTGCTCGTGCCCAACAAGAAGCCGAGATGGAGCGCCAGCGCCAGCAGGCCAACCGCGGACCTGGTGGACGTCCAACTATGGGTCGTGGTGACGCTCGTAGCTTCTCATCCGGCTACGGCCAGGCACCCCCGCCCGATTACGCTTCTAGCAAGGTTGGCAGTGACGATCTCCGCCGCCTTCGCACCGCCCGCAACCCCAACCAGCCCATGTCTTTTGGACCTTCTAGCATGCTCGGCTCCCGTAGCAACAGTGGACGCAAGAACCTCGGCCCTGGCGGCAACTTGGTTCGTGGCAGCGACGACAGTGGTGCCAGCAGCCGGACTGGGACACCCCCTGCCGGTAAGAAGGAAGACAAGGAAGCTGCTTCCTCCATGAACGCATTCAGGTATGATTATGACAATCATTCAATCATCTGTCTCGCCTACTAACTCCTTTTCTAGTGCTCTGGCCCAATTGCAAGACCAGGACAACATGGCCACCTCTCCCCCATCAAACCCTACCTCCCCCATGCTGACAAAATCACAACCCGCTGTTGAGCGCCGACCCTCGGCAACCCCGTCCAAGGACGGCGAGGAAGCATCATAGATCGTTTGTTCTTTGGCAATGATAATGAAAATGATTCCGTTCTTCTTCTGTTCTGGAAAGAGTTCTATTCTACTTTTTTCTCTTCTCATCCATTCCATCAATCATCTTTTTTGACACACCTAGCCATCCTTCCATCCATCATCGTCGTCATGTGAACTTATCAACCTACCTATCTAATCCTTCTTCGCTCGCCACGATCGTGTTACGTATCCGACGCTGCAGAAGAAAAAAACTTAAAAGTCGGGTCCCGGTCGTCGCTCACTTTCCTTCGTTGTTCGCTCGGCATGGTTTTATCATCATAGAAAGAGGGGTCATGTTTGTCTGTTCTTGTTCGTCTTACATTTCGATTGTACAATTTTTCTTGCACTGCGTTTTTTTGTTCCTGTTCTTGTTCTGTTCTTATGAAGAGATGGAGAGAGATCAAAAAGCGAAGCATGGCGAGATGAAAAAGAGCGCCCTGTCTGGTTCTGTCTTGTGTCTTCCTTCTATAGTCCCTAGTGAGATAGGTAGGTAGGTTCCAAGGCTATTTATTCAACTCGGTTTCTACTTCAGATTCGGATTTCTCTTTTGGTATTTTGGCAAAGTCCATGCATGGCATGACCATGGAATGGACGGACAGTCGGGCTTTCAGGAACCGATGTGTTTGCGTCTCTGTTTCGTTACTGTCTATCTATGTATGGTCTCAATTTAATAACCGATGGTTTTGGCGGTTACTTCTCCCCTCCAGTCCAGTGTCTACCATGTCGCGCCGTGCCTATTGAACGAATACCAAAGGGCAAGGGTTTTTCTCTATCCCCGAGGCCATGATCGAAATGTCCTGAGAACTGCGAGGAATCCAGAATCCAAGTTGCCAGTTTTGAAAATTGCATCCATCCATCAATTAATTCCACGAGCTAAAGAACAATAGCTGGTTGGGTACGTGTGCTGGCGGCGTTGAATTTGCTTCTGGCCCTTATGTCTTGTTTTGAATCTAGACGCAATGCAATCTCTCTACTTGAAAAAAGGTTACTTGGGTTCTGATTCTTATGACTTTTGTTCTTCGATGCGGTTCGTAGTCTGCTGAGGGGACCTCGCATACGGACTGGACAGCTGCCTCTATTTTCTCGTTGTTGGTTCCGTGGGGATATCATTAGACCATTATGCGTAGTGCCGAGTTACAGAAACCATGGGCCTGGTATGGTGCCTACATTGATCAAGATCGAGATTGCAGTGGACTACTAGTTGTGAAACGGGGAGGGCAGAGAGAGGAGAGAAGAGAAGAGTTGTATTTCTGCGAATGCCTAGAAATGCAAAGAGAAACTGAAAAGCCCACGCTCGCTTTAGGTGTATACCTGTATGTGTGTAGTGTATCTTATGCTATGATGTGTCGAATGCATCCATATTCCATAGACGCCTCGATTCTGCAATAACGGCCGTGATCTGTATCGGTAGTTGAGACAAATAGAAATGCTCGAATAGTTCTGAGATGAAATAAAGGGAATTCGTATGCAATGCATGCATGCATCACGTGTTCGCAATTACAGCGAACGACGCTTGGCCTTGGTGTCGTCAGGGATATCGTCTGTCACAATCACTGGGATGTTCACTTCTGGACTTCTTGCTTCTGGCGTGGGATCACCCGACCCATCTACCGGCGACGGGATATCACCAGCGGGGGACAATAAATCGTTAGGCGATGTACCGACGTTTCCATTGGCATTTGCGTTGTCGGCAAGAGAGAGATCTGATGCTAAAGATTTGTTGATAGCTTCCAGTGAATCGGCCATGGGAGTCAGAGGTCCATCATGGCTGACGCTGCTGCGCTCGGAAGTAGAAAGTGAAGATCGCGAGGTGGTATAGGTCTGGGGGAGACCGAGAGCAGCTGCTACAGCGGCCTCTTCGTCTGGCAATTTCGAAACGCTGCTATTTCGGCTTGATGGTGCAGAGAAGATGTGGCTTCCCCGTTGTTCGCTCAATTCTAAAATATGATTGTAGCTGCGCCTGGTGGGATCTGCAAGACGTTTCTTCTTCTTTTTCTCCCTCTTTGTCGGAGGACGCGCCACGATGACAGGGATTGGTGAAGTCTGCAAACACCACTTCGAGACAGAACCGGGAAGGAGGGCCTGGACTCCATTCAGATTTTTGCCCCTGGTGCCAACCACTAGGACGGCAGGTTCGTAGATTTTGATCTATGGTATGTTAACATAAGCAGCCTCAAGAGTGAGGACAGGTTATGAACGTACCATGCGCTGTATGATATCATGAACCTTGCCGACGGCCAACTCCAAGACCAGACTGATCGCCTTTTCATTCTGGCTATTTTTCTGGATGACCTGCTCGAACAGCCTCTCGGCCTCCTGGCGGTACTTTCCAGCCTCAACCGCAGCATCACTCGCAATGCTAGAGTCTTTTTCGACTACCCGCAGGCAGACGATTTCATCGCCATCGTCCACCAGTTCATCAATGAGCCATTCAAGGGCAAAGTCCGAGTAATCGTTTAGATCGGTGCCGCAGAGGAATGTACGGCTGCGACGGCTGAGCTGGTAGCCTTTGTGTTTGTAGTTAAGGGTGAGGGAGAAGTCCGGGGTATCCGGGTTATCAAAGTTATCGAAGGAAACACCTCGTTCGTAGGTCCTAACAAAGCAGTCGATTAGCAAAGTAGCACGTCAGTAACGGAGGCGTCAGTAACTCACTGAGGTGGTGGAGGTGAGTGGCCTCGTCCCGGAACCTTCAGATCCCTTTCATGTACATCAGGCTGCGAGTTCTTCCGGCCGGTCGTGCTACTAGAGCGTGAAGGGGGCTGTGACTCGGACAATCCGATGTTGAACTGGATTGATCTCCTCTGAGAATTGTCGGCCATGCTTGTGCTACCGGAGCGAGAGGATTCCGACATGCTGTTGGTCCGCTCGCGGGTTGGGACTAAGGACCCGTCTTCGGAGTCGGGCGACGGATATGGGGATATGGAGGAGGCCATGGTGTATGTTGCTGTCTCGGGTGATCAGGCAGGGGGGGGCGTAAGGTAACTGTGGTCGAAATATGCCGGTGTTGAAGTTCAGAAACTTAATCAATCACACGATTTGAACACAGATTGGCGGCTCAACCGCCATGAAGCTTCTGGAGTTCTTCTGCCGGTCGTACGATGCAGGAGCTGCAGATCATGGTTTGCGATAACGCATGAGTCGGACAGGAGCTCCGGGTAGATGCAGTGTCTTGCCCAGGGAGCTGGCGGCGGAAAAAAGAAAATAAAAAGGAAGTTCTAAGCGCAGGGATTGAGAGAAAAGGTAACAACATTCATCATTGGCGTGGAATGCCAGATGCAGGGCTATTATCGTCACGACTGCCGAGTCGCATGAGGAGACGATCAAGGGGAAGAGAGGGGCAAAACGCATTCGGAAGGCGGTACAGTAGCACTGTGCACGGAGTCTGGTGATGCTGATGTAAGAGTGCGTACCTCAGCATAATTATAGTTTTGGCATCATTATACTTCTTCGGCGGGACCAATGAACGACGTGGGATCATTTGTCCGTCAACATACTGGACCCACTGCATCCAGACAGCACCGTGAGGAACTATAAAGACATGGTTCATTGAGAAAAATCGGCATGAACATTAGTTTGAGGGTATGACGACTTCTGCTTGTCATAACTCTCAATGTCTATGTTGACTCTCGGACCCTTCTAGATAGAGGCAAATGTCCACGAAGAACACCGTATACGACCCATTCACCGACACTAGCAATAGACAAGACTCGAGAATCAGGCTCTATGGTTCGCCTGACCAACCAACAAGCTCCTTGCTTAACTCCAGCTCAGAGTGCTAGTTCATGCAAAGGATCTCGCCGGGGAGATCCGTTTGCAGCTGCCTAGCCTGCTCTAGAATAAGCTGCAACACCTCCTTTGCTATTGGAAACCGTATTGACAGCGTATGAAGAGCAGTATAGGAGCTTATGAAATGCCCTCTACTTTCCGAGTTGTCTAAGTCGGCAAGCAGGATGGACAATGCAATATTTGCGTAGCGTATATAGATGAAGGGCATGTATATCACAGACCAACGTGAAACAAAAATCTCGAGGAGGGAGCAGATGGTACGAGCGGAGGATAACCGCATGGCCTGGACCTTGTTTATGGGAGAAAGGCCGTCACTGAGGATCTTGATGCCATCATATATATTAATGACGGCACTATGGTAACTTAAGCTGGTAGGGCGGCAGTCTTAGTATAGTAAGAACAAGGGATGTGAGTATTTACTCACTGCATGTTGAGAACTGCCGGGATCGGCGTAATATCCACTAAGCTGGCCTGCGTCAGACATTCAGGAAGCTCGAGTGCCCATTGTTTTAATCGTTCGTGGAAGACGTCCGCCATCTCCTCTTTGGTGGAGCAAAGCTGCTCTATGCTCTGAAAAGGATTGTTCGAAATTTCCCATAATACCAGTTGAAGCTTGAACAGCTCAGCGCTGACGCAGTTCGAATGTGCTGGCACAGGTACCGGCATTATCTCTGATCCATCATCAACAGTATATGGCCACCACACATCTTTTGGGTTATGGTCTGGTGGAAGCAGGTTATATGTAGTAGGCTTCGGCATGTTCGACTGTTTATGAAGACTAGGGTACGCGATACTATAGGCCAGTCAGATGGTATCGGGGGGTCAATAGATGCACTTACGACAGAGCACTAAATGATCCAGTTATTGCAGTATCAAAAGCATAAAGTAGCTCAATGGCATTTTTGTCAGACTCCAGTGAGATGGCATTCCTTCGAGTCATGAGCTGCCGAGCACAGTCCGCAACATCGACCAAGTACTGCCATCCGAGCATGTGCTTGCCCATGATCCACGTGCTAGCAACCCAATTTAGCATGCCGTTCAGAAGTAGAAGGTGGACGTTGTCACCTCAAGTATAGTTCACAGCGGCCTTGAAAGCTTGTGAGAGAAAGCTTGTCCTCCTCCTGGTCAAGTAGCCGTTTTGCTTCGTCATGAAAATCTTGTTTCCCCGGTAAGGCAACGTCGAGCGCATAACTTGTTTCCGATATGTCGCAGTAGCACTAGTAGAGTCAGACTGGTAAATAACCATCGCGTTGGATGCTTTCCCATTCAGCAGGGGCAACACTTACGCAAGCAACCGCCAGGACCGCATTGACAAGAAAGGGAGAGCAGAACTGCGAGTCTTTGTTCCCACTCTGCATGTCTCTGATAAACAGATCGCGATCAATCCACTTTTGTACAGGAGAGTTCCAAGAGAAGTAGAGGGATATGAGATGGGAGATATAATTGCTATCATCCGTCACTGAAGTCCATGGCCAAGCCGGTACACGATAAAGAGGATTGAATCTCTACTAAAAACTAAGCACAAGGTCATAGTTTGTATGACTCGAACGGCAGGGATGAGATGGGTATTACCTGCTTGGGCACATGCTCACTATCGGCGGGTGACGAACTTTGTGACAGATAATGCCGAATGTCATCTAGTGAAGCGTCACTCCGAATGTAGCTCAGGACTCTACTAGCCTCTTCCTGGCTACCATCGCGAATGCTGTCCACCAACCTCACTAGTAGCGTGCGGTCTTGCTCCAAGGCATCTAATCTGCGCTCAAGGACGCCGCGACGACGACGGTCACTTTCTTCATCGAGGATACATTCTGTGTTTAGGCGACGGCAACGCTCGCAGGGCGGAGGAAGACCAACGCACTATGAAAAAAGTCAATAAAAGGAATCACGGCAAAGAAACGAACCAGAAGTCGGGTTGCCTTTGATTTGCGTTTCCGGCACTCCGTGCAAGCCAACGAAGCCTTCTTGACCCGAGGCCGGATGGTATTCCCCACTGGAGAAGCGACAGCAGACGGCACAGGCAGGAGAGGTCTTTCAAATGGCCGAGACGACATATCGTGATGTCTGCGAGCCGGCTAGGTGGGCATGGCTCCGTGGAGGATGGGTATAGGCGGGTAGTGTGATAAGTTGCGACAATTGGAGTCGGGGGTACCTGAGTTCTTCCAGAGGAAGAAAGACACTGGGCACACCACACAGATATTCGAGCTCCAGCAGTGGTTACCTAAGCTGCCACTAGCTGATGTGCTCGTGGATTGGGCGGACGACCCGTGACGTGACGGGGGTGGACTGGGGCCAGCATACGGATCCGCCACTCACAGCACCAGGAAGCTTTGTCCTGGGATGGTTTGGAGTTTAAGCTGCACCCTCGCGACTCGCCAAGCAATTTTCCCAGGGAAAGCTCTCCCTGCCGGCAGATTGAAGAAGCAACAACCCCACCAGCGCCCAACGCTCGAGTCTGGATCAGGCTACCGGGTGTCCGAGAAAGGTACGTACCGGCCGGGTGTCACTACCGGTGGCTTGCCCCTTGCCTAGAGCTTCTACGTTTATCTGCTGCGAATAATAGCACGCACGTCCAGGGTACCCTGTTTTGAGAAGAATGGATACGACGATGGTCACCGTATGACACCTGCGGACTCGACTGTCTAGCACTTTGGACTCTCTGGAGCGAGGCCGGATCTAAAATCCTCTAGTGTCAATTCGAGATTTTACCCCTTTCCATTTCTGTGGCATTCTTAAGGAGATATGCATACGAGGTCTCGGACAAAGAACTGGTTCGGCAGATAAGGGAGACCAGCAATGTCACAGTCACCTTGTGTTACAAAGCCCTGGAACAAGAAGCGCACTTTTCATCTCGAATAAAGGTCTTTACTTAGTCTCTTGGGCAAGGTAGTCCTTGAGGATGGCCCTCAAGTCCCCTAACTTCCCTTGCATTGACTAAGATGCTGGAACCACAGCCTGAGGTCCGGTTATATTACCCAGCGGCCAAGTAAGCCATGTCAGCAAGGTGGATCAGGCATAATGAAGTCTTCACCGCAGTGACCGCAGACACATCAATCCAGTACCCTTGCAGCTCTGAATCATCAGGTAGGATACCTGTCGCACTTATGTAAGCCTAGATAGCACAGCATAAGCGGACGTTGCTCTAGCCCTAAGTTTTTAAGGGCCCAGCCATCATGGAAAGATCAAGGATAACAAAAAGCAAGCAACGCAGATAAATTATGGGGAATTATCAAAAGCAAGCTGATTTTGTTGTGGATTTACTAAAGAACCTGGCCAGAATACGTAGGGCATCCGACTATCTGTTTGATACGATCACGATGCAGGCACTCAATGAAGTGCTTGATTGGCAGTTCCTTGTTTCTCAAAGTCTTCTATGGATACTAAATCTAAATAGTCTCTCTGGCAGAGGTATATTGTTCCTAACAGAGTCGTACGTTTCTAGGCTTATATATAAACTGGGTCTCCCCATATCCATACTAGTCCCCAACCCAATAGGCAAAAATAAAGAAGCATCATCTTTTTTTTCTGGGAATGGACTTCTTCGGCCTATTAGGGAGTTTTATGGCCATAGCTTGAAGGTTGAACTTGATATGTTGAAGAATTAAAGTACATGAAGCCGCCCAGATGGCATGTTACCTAATAAGGTATACTTTCTCTTTCCCTCCATGGTCCACGCCTTGCAGAGATGAGGACCTTAGAATCTCACCCAGTTCTGCGCTTTTGCAGTTGGTCCATTGGTGCTGCCAGACCCCAGGAATGCCCATCTCTACTTTGCCGTCAGTCTTCTATCAGCCGGCATCATGGCCTAGCCATAACCGATCAATATCTTTTTAGTCCTGGGCCACCGGGTTGTTAGTACTTACTTCTATTCATAAGTTACAGGTTGACACCAACAAAGTCCTTCCTAGTGTCAGCACCTTTTACCAACACCGGGTGGGGAGGATGACTGGTCTGGTCCCAGGCTGGGTCTGAGTCTAATCATGAATGGAGCTAAGTTGAGTGAACAGGCAAGACAAATTGTATGTCGAGCTTCAAAGTGCATAATGCCGAGATTTTCCAAGCTTCTAAGAGGTTTGTGGCCGCGGGTTCCAAGTAAAGCTTAGCAAAGAAAGCCATCTTAACTCCGCACTTCACCCTCCCACAACCCCGATGCTCTCCACACTTCAAATACCAGGTCTGCTACTAGACGACTAGCCTGACAGACTAATCATTTCTTTGCTTATACTGGATAGTCTCCTGCCAGATGAATTCATAATCCTGTGGGGATGCCGGCCCTTCCCCACGACTCCCCACGATTTCTTTACGCCTGTTATCTTACGCCCCTATTCCCACATCTCCCCAACCGTTTGTGTCAAGACTATATTGCGCTGCAGAAGGGATTGCGCAAGCTCGTGTGTTTGTCAGCCCGAGGTTCGCCACAGATCCTGGGGATGCTATATCTATGGCACCCCTCTCTCCAGTTCATCCGGGGGTGGACCTGCCATTACCCCAGATCACCCTTTCCTGATCTTCATCTCCATATTATTTTCTCTGCCGTTCATTGTAACTTGGTCATAGCAACATGGCATCTGAAGTTACCGAAGTCCCGTCCCAGCCTATTCCTATTAAGATCAATGCACCGGGCGAGGAAAAGGACGGCAGCGAGTTTGTCGAGGAAGCAGGAGAAAAGGACGGCGCTTCTGCATCCGAATCAGCCGCTTCTCATCTATCAGAGGCACATCGCGAGTATCTCCTCCAGCGCCATGGAACTCTAGACTTGGACCCTCTTCCAAGTGCATCCCACGCAGACCCTTACAACTGGCCTCGCTGGAAGGTACGATGTTGCAGTCCAGAGTAGCGGTTCATCACTGACGTGAGTCCGTGTTTTAGAAAGTGACAAACCTTATTCTCGTCGCCTTCCACGCATGCATGTCCACCTTCACGGCTTCTATAATCCCAGCATACGAAGATATCTCCGTCGACCTCGGAGTTAGCATACAGAGAGCCAGTTACCTGACTTCGCTGCAGATCGCTGTCTTGGGTGGAGCACCTTTATTCTGGAAGCCTCTATCCAATCGATACGGCCGTCGTCCTATATTCCTGTTATCAACTATTCTGAGTCTCGTTTGCAACATTGGTTGCGCGAAAAGCCCAGACTATGCCTCGATGGCAGCCTGCAGAGCCCTAACTGCGTTCTTCATCTCACCTGCTGCGGCTATTGGCAGTGCAGTTGTAACAGAAACTTTCTTCCGAAAGGAGCGTGGCCGATATATGGGCATCTGGACGTTGATGGTTACCCTAGGTGTTCCAGTCGGTTAGTCTCATTTCCGGAAACTACTTTATACTGCGGCCTGCTGATATATATCTGTCCAGGGCCCTTGATTTTCGGATTCGTCGCAAATCGTGCCGGGTATCGCTGGATATTCTGGGTCTTAGCAATAATCAACGGGGTGCAGTTTATCTTGTATGTGTTTTTTGGCGCCGAGACCCGCTATATCACCAGCAACGAGGAGAAAGGTTCTTCGTCCAACTTCTTCAGACGATATCTCTCCTTCCGCCGCATAGATCCAACGCCCCTGAGGTTAAGCGAGTTCTACCATCCCCTGACGCTAGTCGTCCAACCAACAGTTTTCATACCTGCTTTCGCATACGCCATGGTCTTCCTATTCGGAAGCGTCCTGATCACCGTTGAAGTCCCCCAACTCCTGCAGGAGAAATTCGGCCTCAACGCAGAACAGGTTGGGCTCCAATTCCTGGGCGTCATAATTGGCACCATTCTCGGCGAGCAAATCGGCGGTTCCATGTCTGATCTCTGGATGAACCGCCGCACCCGCAAACTCCGAGCTAGACCAGACCCAGAGTTTCGTCTCTGGCTCAGCTATCCCGGCGTTCTTCTAACAATTGTCGGGGTGATAGTATTCTTGGTGTGCACGCAGCAGGCACCTGAAGGTCATTGGCAGGTTTCGCCAATAGTTGGCACGGCGATAGCAGCTTTCGGGAACCAGCTGGTGACCACGGTGCTGGTCACGTACGCTGTGGACTCTTATCCCCAGGACTCTGGTAGTGTCGGGGTCTTCGTTACGTTTGTGAGACAAATATGGGGTTTCATTGGGCCGTTCTGGTATGCCTCCTGGTTCTTTATCTGCTGCTTGCATAAAGCGTATCTAACTAGCCGCGACATAGGTTCCCTGACATGTTTAGCAACGTCGGTGTTGCTGCGAGCTCGGGTGTTGCAGGTGGTCTTATGTTCGTTTTCAGCTTCCTCTTGATAATTCCGGTTCATGTTGCCGGATCGAAGTGGCGTTAGTACTCCGTCAGTGAAGGGATATATATCTCGGACATGTCTGCAATAACTATCGGAAGGACGACATTGTATACTCGATTTGACCTTCGTTCTCTATATGAGGATTCGAATAAGTAATTGATGCAATATAGTATCTATATGAGGCTGGCTAGCAAATAATGATAAGATATCGGAGTGTTGGTTGCGAGATCACCGAAGCTTTGTGTTGATTGCGGGGCCAACGGTTTGTAGTTTATCCACCTATGGGCCGGACTATATAAAGCAACGTCTGCCCCAGATAAGAGCAACATCCAAAATCCTATACCCAGCCGCTTTGGTACTTTGAATCTAGAAACACACGCCATGTCTTCTGCCGAGGACTCGTTGTACAAGCCCTACGATCAGTTTGTTCTCTTCGGAGACTCGATCACCCAGATGTCTTCTAGCCAAGACCAGGGATTTGGATTCCAGCCTGCGCTACAGGATGGTTAGTGCTATCTATTCTCATTTGCTTGTGTGGTACACCATCTCTAATATCTTCTCAAAGCCTACTCGAGAGCGCTAGATGTAATAAACCGCGGATTCGGGTGCGCCTATTCCTCGATGAGGTACCACCATGGTTTGTTTCACTAACCAAGTCCGCAGTGGGTATACGACTGCACATGCAGTCAAGGTGTTTCCGAAGTTCTTCCCGACTCCAGAAATAGCAACTGTCCGGTTCCTGGTGAGCTCAGATACCTGCCGAAGACTTCCCCAGCCAAGTGCAGGTGGCTAATACCTACTGTAGACAATCTGGTTCGGGGCCAACGACGCATCGCTCCTCGAATCCAACAACAATCAGCACGTCCCTTTGGACGTTTACAAGAAGAATCTCGCGGCAATTGTCCAACACCCCGCAACGGTTGCCCAGCAGCCGCGCATTCTAATCATTACTCCAACTCCGATTAATGAGTACCAACTTCAAAGCTTTGACGAGGGCAAGGGTAATGTCCACCCTACGCGGACGAACAGTCGCACGCGCGAGTACGCGCAAGCCGCGCGTGAGGTCGCCGAGTCTCTGAATGTCCCGGTTGTTGATCTTTGGACGGCGTTTATGACGGCCGTAGGTTGGAAGGAAGGGGATCCGCTTATCGGGTCGAGAGAGGTGTCGAATGACAAGAAGTTCGCGAGCTTATTCACGGATGGTGTGTGTTCCCTTTCCTGTATGGTGATACTATTACTAATTTGCCAATCAAGGGCTGCATCTCACGGCAGAGGGCTATCGGATTGTATACGACAAGGTTGTGGAGGCGATTGAGACGACTTGGCCGGACCAGGCACCGGGGAAGCTTCCCTACGTGTTCCCAGCATGGATGGAAGCCCCGAAATGATGTATAATCGCGGTTACTCCGTATTTAGCCGGATATGAATGTATATTTTAGACATGTTGAAAACATCAAATACTCGAGTTAAAGATAGATCCAAAAGCGGTCTAGAATTGAATTGAAGCCGCCAAGGCTGTGATGTAGTGTCGTTGATGTTACGATCCCCTCACGATTTCTCCGTCCAACATCCACCTCCGTGGCCTCTTGTGCTTCTATCTTGCCAGACCATTGGTCTTGTCTATCTGCTCCCAAAGCCTTTCATCTTAATATATCCTGCTGGCACCTGCCCATTCTCGAGTTCGAATCAAATCCCCGCCGACGAATTCGCTCCTGCCTCCTCCCTTCGAAACCCGTCGGAAGAGAAACATCCTCTGCAGCCCGTGCTCAGTCTCAGTGTTACGAAATAATCCGGAGCCCCGACCTGAGTCCAACAATCGATCGTTGTATTTGAACACTGCCCCGGACGCGCTGTCCTCGAACCGAACGCCTGTACTTCGTATACCCACGCCAAACCTACTTCTCGTCTCCAAAATCGACGCCTTCGCAACTTCCATCTATATCGCCGTGTCCCGAACCCTCGCCGCATCTTTAAATATACCGCTCGTTTACATCTCGCTTCTACAACAAATCAATTCCACGACTTGAAATAGGTTACCAATTTGTGAAACCACTACATACTTGTTCAGTGCATTTCGGGCGGACGGCCGGAGGGCCGTCTCAGTTTACGAGGGTGGAGGAGTTTCGAGTGATAACGTGGCCTCGCTAGACGGCATAGAGTGAGTTATCGTGGGCAACGATATTGATTCTGTCTGGGGTTCTTGCTTGATGTGTATGTTTGTTGGTTCGGCATTTGAGATACCCGCGAGCCACTCTTTGCTTAACGTCTTCGAGTGATTCCCCTCCAGCAAGGCTGCGTGTGCTGCTTGGTCTTTACGCTGCAGCCGGCAATGGATGCTCAGTATCCCTTTGCCTCACGCGACGATATTTGGCGCGTTTTTGAAGAGTTGAAAGACCTCCACGCCACGCAGATCGAGCAGGCGGAACGCATTGCAAGGCTTGAACGCCGGAGGGACGAGGATGCAAGGTTGAAAAGTGTCTGGGGCCCCCTTTCACCTTTCCCGAGCTCCGTTGGCGGCGCTGTACCGACAGGTATGGGAATTGCGTTTGCTGCCGTTTGTCACGATGAACTTGTTATTAATGCGTCTTGTGTCTTCACAGAACCCGCGTTCCAACCTACCGTCGATACTTTCAAGGGATTCGACCAAGGACAACATCAGAGTATGGGTGCCATGGCCCTAGATACTGAAGACGAGCCGAGGAGGGGGACGTCGAGAGCGAATAGTGTTCGGTTTGATGAGAGTGCCATACACGGGTATTACGGACAAGCCAATCGGTCTAGCAGTGAGCTTCCAATAAGAACTGGAAGTGGGATGGGAAGCCTTCCTTTAACCGAACGATCTCTATCCCATCGGTCAGACGGGAGACAAAGCTCATCGGGATATTCCCACCACTCAGCTCGGACTAATAGCCTTGGGTTAGAGACAACCAGCAGGTTAATGGGTTCGATGATGAGTGACTCGCCTATTGTTCCTCCGCCAGGTCTATTCCTCCTTGGGCCTGTGCCGGCGATAATACGGTGCTGGCTGACCACAAATTTCTCCAACGAATCACTTCTTTACGCGGCGGTTTGCAGTGGATCGTATAGATCTTGGCTGGGCTATTCTATGGTTCAAAAGCTAGGCCTAGAAGACCAGCTGGTACAAGAAGTGGACTCGCAATACATCAAGCTTCCAATGTACCTCCCTGAAGCTAGTGTGCATCAGGCTTCATCGCGCCCTAGTAGCCCTGAACCTCAAGTTCCCACCTTGACCATTCGCTTCCTTGTTCACCATGTTGGTACGGGCGACAACTCGGTCCAGATCATTCTTGGAAGCGATATTCTTCGTGCCCACAATGCTGACATCATGTTCTCGCAAGATAAGATTATTATGGTGGATGACGGTAGGAATAAGGTCTCTATCCCTCTGGTGCGGCCCGAAAATGATTCTGTTTTCAAGAATCTACACACGGCATCCAGAGTCGTGAACTCACCAGGAAATATTTCTCGAACGTCGCTTGACTTGAAGAGTGAACGTGTCGAGATAGATGGTCCATCCGCCGTCGGTGTAATTGGGAAGCTCTCTCGCCTTGGCCAAGATCCTCCACCGGCGCCTTCTTCAGGTCGAGATTTTGCCGCCGAGTTCGCAACTAATCGCACCACACGGCCCACGGATGAACTAGGGATCGGCAAGGACGACGGCCAGCAGGCTCCGGTCAAGGCTGCCGTACCAGTCGACACGCAAGGAGGAAACGTCGCGAAGGCAGAGCCCACTGGTGTATGGGGCTCATGGAAGCGCGACACAAAGTCCGATTTGAACACTCCTGGAGCGGGCAAATCTTCTCGACCACGTACGATGAAGGTGCTTCGACCGTCCAAAACCATGCATCGAAGTGTTTCGGGTACTGGACCGCCCGGTGGCTCAGGCAATGAGTCCACGGGGCCCTCATCATCACAGCCTGCCTCAACAATGACGTCGCCTGAAAGTCGATCGGGGAAGCCTCTCGCCCCCAATCCGATTGGAAGTGCCTCGGCCTTCCCGTGGCTTAATTCGTCCTGATTTTTGGGTTGGGTATGCCCTGAATGGAATATATCAGGGTATATCCATCAAATAGTGACGACATAGCCTGAACAACGACTTTATTGATCAGCGACAGCCAGCCAAGCAAATTTTTGGGATGAAGACGCTCTCCTTCATAAGTATCAGATTATGTTGTCATACACCGTGATAGCAGGCTTCTTAGCGTATTGATACATACATGAGATACACGTTCCTCTAACAATCCCTGCTCTAGATCTTTGAAAGCTTATCCAATGCCTCCTTAGTTTCCTCCTTTGTCTCCTTCACAAGTCCCGTAATTGCCTTGAAATGTTGGTGACTCGCGTCTCCCAGGATCTCAAACAGAATACTCTCACTCGTCGTGACAATGGCCCCCGCGTCCCGCAACCTCGCCAGCGCAATGGCTCTCTCCTCCACATTGATACTACTGACCCCATCGACAAGCACGTACACCCGATGTCCGCGCTCCAGCAGATCTAGCGTCGTCTGCGTCACACAGATATGCGTCTCGATACCGACAATAATCGCATCAAGCGGTGTCTCTCCTTTCGTCGGGAGTGGAAGCAGCGATTCGAGCTCCGGAGTGATCATCGAGAATAACGTCTTGTCGATGTCGGCGCGGACATTAGGGCCATTGAGGTGCTGCTGGAGCGCGGGAACAGTAGGGCCTAGTCGGGCGCGGTTCTGCGTTGTGACGAAGGTTGGTATTAAGAGGGTGTTTGTTGCGCGGAGGAGCTTCGTCGTTGTGGATACACTTTTTGGAGAACGAGTTAGAAGGGCACTGACACTGCGGGTTTATGGAGTCGTAGAGGAGGTAAAGGTGAGTAAGGTATGGATGCATACATCTTGGGAAATTCGAAGATGGCCTTTTCGAATTTCTCTTGCAGGTCGCAAATGCTGTCGGTGCGCCCTGGTTAGCATGGTTCAACGTAGTATAACCGGCCAGTATGGATAGGGGATGTGGCGTACAAGACCGCTGGGTTGCCTGGATTATTCTGCGGTTAGTTGAGATTGAGTTGGTTCATGACTCGACTGATCGAGGGGGAAACGTACGGATGCGACAGGCTCGGGATATGGCAGCCATTGTGTATAAAGATTATAGATCGTATACAAAGGGTGATTTTCTGATCAATAGTCGTAAAAGGGGCGGGTAGACAAAGCCATTGATTGCGGATTCGGAGTATTTAGGAGAGGGCGAGCGGGGGTCGTGCGGGGAAATAAATGGGTTTCTGCCTGATAGATCAGGCGAATATGTCTGCTCACGTGACTCGGCTCGGAGCTCGGTCGGAAGCTCGGCGCATTTGACCTGACTCAGCCGTGGGGTTTTTCGCATTTTTTCTTTTCCTGACTAAGAAGGAAAGACTCGATGCTTGGCGAAACCGTCGGTTCCTTTTATTCAATCTCGCTTTCTTTCTTTCTCCTCTTTTCTCACCACCACTGCCAACTCCTCATATCGGCTTCATTTGCTACCCATCAGCTTTGGACTTTGTTCCATCGTCAAAACCTCATTGCGGAAGCTGCAAATTCGCCTTCTCGGTTTTTCAGCTACAAATCTTCCTGGTTAGTACTGCACAGGCCGACTGTCGAATCACCAACAAAATCAAGGCGTCCTCAAGAGTCTGACTTTTCGCCCGCTTCGCTTTCTTCCAGAAGAACCACCCGCTGGTTTGTCTCTCTCCCGGCCAGAGAAAGCCACAGAATTAGAAAAGACCCGAGAAGTTGTCTATGTATTCGTCCTGCGTCAGAGATTTCGAACACCACCTGCCGCTCAAGCTGCAAACGTTTCGCTCTATACCGAAACCTTGTAGTTTCTACTCGAAGACCTGTGGCTGAAACCTCGCAAAGGCTTTCTGCTGCCTATTTCAAAATCTGTCCTAGTGGTTCTGTCTGAACAACCGCCACCATTTCACCACCAAGAAATAATCGAGTGACTCGCGGCGCATGTCTTGTCTCTTGAATATATCCTTTGTCCAGGTTTCCTTCCGCTTTTCGTCTCGTCCGTCGTCGCCTCTTTGAATTTGTTGAAAAAAATATTTCTCGTCAACAACAACCGTCATCATGGCTCCCAGCAACATCAACATCCGTCGTGATGTCTCCGACCCTTTCTACCGTTACAAGATGGAACCCTTGCAGTCCAAGATTGAAGGTAAGGGTAACGGTATCAAGACTGTCATCGTCAACCTTAACTCGGTTGCGGGATCCTTGAGCCGTCCTCCTGCCTATGTCATCAAGTACTTTGGCTTTGAACTCGGTGCCCAGGCCAATGCCAAGCCTACCGATGACCGCTGGATCATCAACGGTGCCCACGATGCCAGGAAGCTACAAGACTATCTTGACGGTTTCATTTCCAAGTTCGTTCTCTGCAAGAAGTGCAAGAACCCGGAAACCGATGTTATCATTAAGGACGAGAAAATCATCCTGGACTGCAAGGCTTGTGGTCAGCGCTCTGACGTTGATCCCCGTCTCAAGCTTAGCACCTTCATTCTTCGCAACAACACCTCCGGCAAAGGCAAGAAAGACAAGTCTTCCAAGAAGTCTCGCCGCGAGCGTAACAAGGAGAAGGATGCCACCAATGGAGAGACCAACGGCAGCCCAGGCGATAGTAACTCTGACAACGGCGACGACAACGAAGATGGCGCCCCCGAAGCAGGCAGCGATGATGAACTTACTCGTCGTATCAACAATGCCGCTCAGGATATCGAGGCTGAGGATGGGAATGAGGACGACAACTGGAACGTTGACGTCTCCGAAGAGGCCGTCAAGGCTCGTGCCAAGGAACTTCCCGATGACCTGAAGCGCGCCCTTGCTCTTGACGAAGGTGATGACGAGGGTGCCGACGGCCCTACCGCTTACGATGAACTTGGCAGCTGGGTCCTGGACACTGCTAAGGAGAAGGGCGGTATCACTAAGGTCGAAGACGTTGAGATTTACCTGAAGGCTAAGGAGCTCGGTATCGAGTCCAAGCACAGAACCCTGGCCGTTCTTGCTCAGACCATCTTCGATGAGAAGATTGCTAAGCAGATCGAAGGCCGCGCCCCTCTGCTCAAGAAGATGATCACCTCCGAGCGCCACGAGAAGGCCTTCCTTGGCGGTACCGAGCGCTTCCTCGGCAAGGAGCACCCTGAGCTTATCTCCCAGGTTCCCGCCGTTCTGCTCGGCTTCTACCAGAATGACTTGGTCTCGGAGGAAACTCTTAAGGCCTGGTGCTCCAAGGCTAGCAAGAAGTACGTCGACATCTCGACCAGCAAGAAGGTCCGCAAGGCTGCTGAGCCCTTCCTCCAGTGGCTCGAGAGCGCCGAGAGTGAGGAGGAAGACAGCGACGACGAGTAAATCCGTTGTCTACGGCAATAAACTGTCTTGCAGACAATTTTGGGGCTTTTTGATGCTGTCGCTTCTATTATTTCCGACCTTCGTCGCTCTTTTATGATATGCACCCAGAATGCCAGACTCAATGTTCATTCTTGTCAATTTCAGCTAGCTCAGAACAAAAGGCCTTAGGGTCGTAGTTTTAGCCCTGAATATTCATAGCAATCTCTGCTCTTATCATTTCGCGCATTGGTCCGAATATGTGTGTCTATTCTTGTCGCCGAGACATTTGAAACTCATTGTTCCACGCAGTATACACGTAATTTTTCAACTACTAGGACCACTCTGTTGCTAGCAGAGGCATATTTGCGATCGAAAACGTTCTATACATGAATTTATTTCCCAGAGAACTCCTGTATATCCTAAAAGCCGATCTCCGCGAACCGCACCTGATCCCCAGCGAAAGCCACTGAATCCAACGGCCCAAGGCCAGGACCGCAAGCCGGCTGCAAGTTTTCATCAACGGCCCTCACACCCTTCTTCACCTTCAAACTATCCCTAAACCTTGCATTCTGCTGCTTAAAGATGAACCACGTCAAATCCGGATTCCATGTCTCCATAGCCTGGATGACATTCTCGATTGACACGATCTCGGCTTCTGCACCAGCATTGGATGGGCTGCGGGAGAAGTAGTAGCCCGGCCCTGCGTAACGTGTTATCCATTCACCAAGGATATGGCAGATTCGGTCTCCGACTGCCAAGGGCAGACGGACGTGAGAGAGGAGTGTTAGGAAGAGCGAGATGAGAGCGCGCCAGAGGGTATGATGGGGCGTGAATGCTCGGGAGCCGGATGACGACCCCGCTTTTGTTAGGGAGAGGGATTGGATGAAGGACGTTGGTGGCGGTTGTGTGGTGATGAGCGCCCCTTCAGGCAGTGGTTGATCACTGGAACCGGAACCGTTGGAGCCTTTGAGAAGGTGCTGGTTTTGCTGCCGCTCGACGATCTTATCTGTATCCTGACGGACCCTTTCCCAGGCACGGTTGTAGATGCGCTCCCAGCGCGGGAATTCCGCTTCAACGCGGGACGCCATGAAATCGCCGGCTGAGGTGAACATTGCTTCGACGGCTTTGCATGCGGTCGTTGTGACGAAGGTTTCCTCTTTAAAGTCTAAGTCGTTGTCGAGGCCCTGGGTTTGGCGGTCCTTCTGGGTGCTGGTGTTGGTTTCGATGCCCAGGAGGGCTGTGGATGAGGATGATGCTGTACTGCCGAGGGAAGAAGGGAAAGTGATTTTTGAGACGACCGCTGGCCAGAGGTCGTTTAATAGTGGCAAAAAGCTTTTTTCGTCTGCTGCGAGGACGGGGAGGACGTCTATGAGGATGGAGAGTAAGGAGCGGCGGAGGTATGGTGATGGTGAGGATAAGTGCAAGGGCAAGGACCTCACGATGTGGAGGAGGAGCGAATGCGTTTTACTTAATGGTTTTTCGGCGTCGTCGGGTTCACGAGGTGGTGGTAGAGGCTCATCTGACTCGTCTCTGTTCAAGATATCTGACAGAGAATCCCCATCAAGGGCGTCTTTTTGGGCTTTTCCCTCACGTTCTTCAGCCCATGGCCGGGCTGGGTGAGACAGACGACCATCGTCTCCTGTTGACTGGGCACCTTCAAGACGCTTCGCTTTTCGACGGGCGAAGTCCTCCGCGAGGATAGAAATGCTTATTTCTTGATATTTTCGTTTGAAGTGATCTGGTGCCTTTCCGGTGCCATTTTCAATTGCTAGAATTGACGGGGTCTTTGTGCTTTCCTCGACAATAGCAGTCAATGTCTTGAACATCAATTCGACGAGCTTTGGGTATCCATGGTAAAGGTCTAGGATTCCAAATATCGAGTCCACAAGATCGTCCAGGTAAGGAACAAGCCGTGCACCGCATAACTTCACCATCATAAGCAGGACTTGAGGAGGGTACGGTGATACGTCGAACGTGTTCAACTTCAGAGCCACGGAGTTCACGAGGTAATCGACGTTTTCGACGATCATGGTACTAGTGTCAGGGTAGTTGCACGCCTGCGTGAGGATATTAAGGCACGCCATCGCATGTCTCTGTAAGGCTTGATTGTTGGACGCTAGCAGTTGCAGAACAGGATACAACGCATCCATGAGTTCAGGGCGGAAAGCTTCTCGCAACTCCTGAGACTGAAGGGCAACGGCTTCAAGAGCAAGCGCGGAGATTCGCCAATCGCCAGTTTCACCTATCGTTGGCTCGTTGAGGATGGGCAAGGAAACATAGTACAGCTCCTCAATCATATTAGCCCTAGTAGAGAATGGAGACGACGGCTCGATGTGATCCAACGAAATAAAATCGTCAAAGCTGTTTGCATACTGTGTTGTATCCTTCAGGAACGTGGTGGCCAGCCATAGCGGTGCGATGATTGAGTTTCCTTGTTCATGATGGATTCGGTTGACAATCAGGCGAGTGATTTCGCTAGCAGAATTGGAGAGGTTGAGCCGGGCGATCATTTCCCGGAGGTCCTTGAGAGTTTGCTGTTGACTTTTGTGCTCTAGCAGTACAGGCGAGAAGGTAATGGTCTCTTTCTCAGTACCCAGAACCTCCAATGTTTGATTGTTCGTCAGCTCGTGGTTCAACGGCTGAAGTGAGCTGGTCGCTTTATGAGCAATAACAGCAACACTGTCGCATAATCCAGCTGTTAGGCTGCTGGTGAGGAGATTTGAGCTTGACTGGATCTCAGAGAGGACCTGGAACGCAGTGGCTATCTGCTTGATAGCCCACTGTTTGGATGTTTCATCGTTGCTCTGCATCGTCCTCGGAAACGCAGTAAGCCAGCTATGCAGGGAATTTTTGAGCGAATCCAGAATTGCTGGATAAGTGGTAGCGAGGTGCTTTAGCGATGAGTATGCGTTGTTTGGAATCTGTTGCTCATTCAGCTCTGATAGGACAACAATGGTTTCGACCAGCACAGGTATCGATTCCTGTAACGTCGTGAGACAGTCCTCTATAACCATAATGCAGAGATGCAACAGTTGATCTTGCACTACCTCGCGCTCGTGTCGTCTTAGTTGAATAACTTGAGTTAATGCGAGCTTTATCTGAGTAGTCGTTGCCTTCAACCAGGACTCGTCCAATACCAGTCTCTCCTCGCGTTGTGGCTGGATGGCCTTTGCAGGCAATTGCGAGTTGGCCTGATCATTGAGAACTGCTTTCAACATATTGCAAAGTACACGTAAACAGATAGTAAGCAATTGATACGACCTCCGAATTTGCGTCGTCGGTTTCAGTACCTTTGTCAATGCTGAGACAGTCCGCGGCATTATACTTGCAAGAACAACACGATCAGTGATGCGACGGTAGAGTGCTTCGAGCGCTTTGGCGGCTGTGATACAAAGCTCGTCCGATCGGTCACTGGCAATTCCTTCTAACAAGAGATATACGGTCTGATCAACAACCGTAGCGGTACCAATCTCGTGGTACAAAGTCCGTTCTGCTACGGGCCCAGACAGCACATCAAATATGGCATTTAGACAGGTAAATCCCGCGATTTCCAGCTCAACAGAAGACGCCTGTAGGCTCTGGCTCTTCTTTGCGCTATCTGGAGCGCCGCCCGCAATTAGTGTCAACAGAATAACTAATTGCTTCCCCATTTGGGGCGATAGGCGCGCTTTCCATCCTTCCGAAACAAGAACTCGTAGGCAGTTGACGGCCAGCTCCAGGACGTTGACGGGTGCTCTCTTGGATTCGTTGAAAATATGTGCTAGAGGAAAGAAAGCGTACTGCGCCAGTTTCTCATCCAGAGCATGCTTGCCTGCGAGTTCATCCAACACATTGTACACAGAACGGAGTGCTTTGAGGACTTCAACAGGGCTAGCTTGGTGTCCTCGAAACTTCAGTCCAACGGAGCTTAATTCCACACATGGCTCTCGGACCTTTGATTTAGTCAGCTTCTATATCTTCACGTTTTCCACTTTCGAGAGATACCTTTCTGAAGGCTTCCTGGCGAGCGCTATCCATTTGGCCTATCGGCATACAGGGCGCGGGGGCTGAAGCGAGCCCTTATCCATCCAGACCAGCACAAGCAGTATATAGATAGCTTGTTACCAAGCCGAGTAAGGCATCAAGACACAAAAGGATATCTGACAAGGGAGGCTGATAGATGCTCTCTGTAGATGCGACATCTTCTTGGCTCTCCGCCTTTTGCCCGCACTTTCTGCCACTCTTATATGACGGTGAAGTGCGATATACCTGCAGCTCTTATCGATATGAGCTCACGTGCCTTAGTCGCGTCCTCGTCGCGTTCCCGTCATATTGAGCTCTTGCCGCCTACAGCCTGCCAGGCAGTCACCTCATTCTCAAGGCCACCAGCATGCTTGATCTTTGTTTTATAGACGATACCCAGTGCTATACTGTGTGAAAGCCTATGCTTCCACTCCGACACTCCGCAATCCCAATTGCGCTCGAATTGTCGATGACCCAAGCCCTATCCCGCAGCAAAGCTTCAATCGCTCTACGTGCTTGCCCTAATATCTGTGCCTTCCGTCTCCTTCACCCGCAGACACGAAGTATTGTGGATTATTCGGGGCGCCCAAACAAATCTATAACTTCATCCGTTGTCTTCCGTTCCTTGAACCAGCATTCTCTGAAAATGCCCGACTCCAAGGAAGGAAAGCAGGCGACTCTGGGGTACGTCAAAGACTCGCAATTGACTCTCGGGTGCGTCTTGCGAGACTATACCTGAGGCTTAGTGGGCTTGTGCTGTATTCTTCCATGTGCTTACCACAATTTTCAGGAGGTTCTTCGGGTCCGGTTCCGACGCACCTAAAAAGCAGACAACCCTCAGTTTCGGCGGTAATAGAAGCAAGTCGACTTCCGCAAGCAAAGCGAAGAAGGAAACATCTCCTGCACAGGAAAATGCGAAAAAGACATCAGCCGATGGAACAAGCGGTAACGATGTCAGTATGACAGAGGCTTCCGAGGTAAAGGCTGAAGTGAGCGAGGATGCAGATGAGAACCCATTGAAACGGGACAAGAGTCAGGAAGCAAGCGATAGCGACGCAAGCGATGATGTACAGCCCAGCAATAAGAGGCGACGAAAGTCTTCGAGCAAAGCCGCTGCAGCCAAACCACAAGCCAAACCCCCCACCAAGAGCACGAGTGGACGCAAACCACTGGCCAAAGAGCCTTCTCCTCCCAAGGTCGTGGAAAAAGCATCTGGCGAGGAAACACCAGAGGATCCAGATGTTTCCGAAGCGGAAGAAGGTCTATCTGCTAGTGAGGACGAGGTAGAGAAAAAGCCCGAGTTGAAGAAGAAGGAAATCGAGAAGGTTCAAGCCACTCTGAAAGGGAGCGGAAACGATCCGTATCCCGACTGGAAGGCTGGTGATCCTGTACCATACGCCGCTCTTTGCACTACGTTCTCTCTTATCGAAATGACGACGAAACGACTTCAAATTCTCGCACACTGTTCCCTCTTTCTCCGACAAGTTCTTCGTCTCACTCCTCAAGATTTTCTCCCCACAGTACAGCTCATGATCAACAAACTTGCCGCCGACTACGCTGGGATCGAGCTGGGTATTGGTGAATCGTTGATCATGAAAGCCATTGGCGAAAGCACTGGCCGTAGTCTGGCCGTGATTAAGGCAGACCAGCATGAAATCGGAGACCTGGGATTGGTTGCCGCCAAAAGCAGATCAAATCAGCCCACAATGTTCAAACCGAAAGCGTTGACTGTTCGAGGAGTGCACGAAGGTCTACTCGGTATTGCCAAGGTTCAAGGCCACGGCTCCCAGGACAAGAAGATATCCGGAATCAAGAAGTTACTCTCTGCTGCAGATACAGCAACTACAGGAAAGGGGAGCAAGGGAATTGATATCACCAAGAATAAAGGTGGCGCAAGCGAAGCCAAGTATATTGTGCGATTCTTGGAAGGCAAATTGCGACTTGGACTGGCCGAAAAAACTGTTCTTGTTGCCCTTGCTCAAGCCGTCGTTTCCCACGAGGCTGCTTTAAAGGGAAAGAAAGCCCCGTCTGCTGAGGAACTGGCCCAAGGTGAGTCAATCCTCAAGACGGTATACAGCGAGTTACCTGCCTATGAGGTTATTATTCCCGCCTTACTTGAGCACGGCCTGTCCAACTTGCGCGAACACTGCAAGCTGCAACCGGGTATCCCGATCAAGCCTATGCTTGCTAAGCCAACCAAGTCTATAACCGAGGTCCTGGACCGGTTTGAGGGCAAGGATTTCACGTGCGAGTATAAATACGACGGGGAGAGAGCTCAGATTCACTACGTCGCGCCCGATCAAACAAACAACTACCCAGGTGCTCAACTTACGTTGAAGAAGGAAAGTGCTGGACTTGCCGCTATTTTCTCTCGGAACTCCGAAGATCTTTCCAAGAAATACCCCGATGTCCTCGCTAAGCTTAGTACTTGGATCAAGCCCGAGGTCAAGAGCTTTGTGTTGGACTGCGAGACAGTCGCCTGGGACATGGAAGCAAAGAAGGTGCTTCCTTTCCAGCAACTGATGACGCGAAAGAGGAAGGACGTCAAGGCAGAGGACGTCAAGGTCAAAGTCTGCGTGTTCGCATTTGACCTCCTATTCCTCAATGGAGAGGTATATTCACCCTTCACGTTGTCAAAGTAATCCAAACACTGACCCTGATAACCCACAGCCCACCGTCAAAAAGTCTCTCCGTGAGCGCCGCGAGCTCCTCCACTCCACCTTCCAGCCAACAGAAGGCGAATTCCAATTTGCCCAATACGGCAACACAAATGACCTCGACCAAATCCAAACCCTCCTCGACGAATCTGTCAAAGCGTCCTGCGAAGGCCTCATGGTCAAGATGCTTGACACTGAAGAGAGCGGCTACGAACCCTCAAAACGCAGTCGCAACTGGCTGAAGGTGAAAAAGGACTACCTCGCCGGTGTCGGCGACTCGCTTGACCTCGTCGTCCTGGGCGCGTACTACGGCCGCGGAAAGCGCACTTCCGTATACGGTGCCTTCCTGCTAGCAGCATACAACCCGAACTCGCAGAAGTACGAAACGATTTGTAACATCGGCACTGGGTTCTCCGAAGCCATGCTCGACGAACTCCACGCAACCCTCTCGCCCCTCGTCATCGACCGCGCAAAGCCCTTCTACAGCCACTCCACCGTGCCCAAGGACCAACCAGACGTTTGGCTCGAGCCGCGCCATGTCTGGGAAGTCAAGACCGCCGATCTCACGCTTAGTCCGCGGTATAAGGCTGCTGCGGACGAATTTGTCGGGACGGCTGGTGGAGCTGGTGGGAAGGGTGTTTCGCTGCGCTTTCCGCGCTTTATCAAGGTGCGCGATGATAAGAAGCCTGATCAGGCGACGACTACCAGGGCTGTTGCGGAGATGTATCGGAAGCAGGAGGCTGTGGCGAAGGAGAGCTCTGGGAAGGGTGGAGTTGACGACGACTTTGAGTATTGAAGTTTTTCTCGTTGTTGCGATGCATTGACTAGATACAACTATGCATGAGGTTAGCTTTATTTGTTTTATTGTGATATGGGTACTGGGGTGTTTGTGGCAAGTCATGAGAAGCTATCTTAGTATATTAGTGGAAATACATTGCTTCTAGCAACTGCTTGGCGGGCCCCGGCAAGGACAATACTACACCTGCCTGCTCAGTGGTTTTTATGATTTTTTTTCTTTTATCACCCTTGTCTGGGATCTCATGTGTGTATGTGGCACTCATTCAGCCATGTTCATTGCTCCAATAATGCTATAACGAAAAGTTACCTACAAGTACACATAAATTTGTACAACTAGCCTAGTCCACACCTGTGCTACATAATAGCAGTCCGGCAGAAGAGGACAAAGGAACACAACCCCCCAAAACGATATATATATGCACAGTGCACACCCACAAATAACCCACGGAGATTGAAAAGCCATATCACAGGTCATCTCGGCCACCGGGTATAGTGCCATTGCTGGGGGTTCCAGGAACAGGGTAGCCAGGACTGGGTTCTTTCCTAGTAAATCCTGATTGCCGAACACGCAGCCCAAAGTTGACGAGCATGATTGCGACCAAGCCGAGACCGATGATTGTTGGGCCCCACTTCTCATAATAAACTCGTTTGACGTCTCGCCGTTTACGGATCTTGTCGACTCGCCAGATGTACAGCATAAGACTGTAGATAAGAGACAAGGCGGCAAGGATGGTGAACGCCCATGAACAGGCAAATGTGATGTAGTCCTCGCCGAAGTTTAGCAGGGCAGCGGCTACGGTTCCAAGCATAATGGAGAACTCCAGCCACGAGAGGAATGTCCTTTCGGCGGCGAAGTAGACCTTTGGCTCAACGCGGATGGGAACATGGATACCTATGACCTATTAGTAACGATGCAAGTGGAAAGGGTGTCCTTTTTGACTTACGTTTGCCTTTAGGGGCCTGGAACTTCTTAATGGTTCGTTTGTTCCCCATGACGGCAATGCCGTTCTGCTCAGGAGCTGGTATGTTTGTCGGCATGGGCCTGGGGATGAGGGCCTTGACCAATTCGAACCCTCCACTCGCAACCCGATGCACATAATACTTGGCCAGCTGCTTATAGTAGTATGTGCCACCAACCCGTCGCGCTTCTTCCAATTCATCGGAGTCGAAGGACTCATCATCAGAATCATACAGCGGGTAATCCTCATCTCCGGGAAGGGGCTGGGCAGCGATACGCTCCTCTATGTCCAGCGCGTTTCCGTCAGGCTCCTCAAACAATGCGGTTTGCTCGTAGCCGCCATTAGCAGAGCCACGTTGGGGTCTCGCATTTCTACCGTCGTCGAGCTCATCGTCGGTATCTTCGTCATCTTCTGGTGTGTCATTCACCGACAGAGAAGTGCTTGTCCATGGGCGCTGAATGCCGAAGTGACGTGATGCAGGCTTGCGAATATCAACATCCATTTGCGGCATCCAGAACGGCAGGAGATTGATGCGGTCAGGGAATAAAGTTGCAGTCCCATGAATGAACTTGCTATACTTCGGCACCGCTTCAACCAAGTGGCTGGCCGTCAGGTCACGAATCCACTTTGGCGGCTCCTGGCCGGCCTGCGTCTGAAGCTTGACTTCCAAAACAGCGTAGGGGAATCGCTCAACATCTTCGGGCGGCAATTGGGAAAATGGCCAATCAACCCCAATGTCCATCCTACGCCAGTTCTTGCCTGACCTCTGGCGTCCATCAAGATTATCCTCTCGAGTCATGGTGAGCTCCGTGTCGAGCGAGATTCGGACTCTGGCATCTCCGGGAAGCTGGAACGCAGTTCGATGGTAGAAGGACCTGGTGACCGGCACCAGCTTGCGGGTGATAACACGATACTGAATCTCTCGTGCCAGCTGCTCGTAATCAGCGATCTCAGCCTCACTCTTCTTCTTTTCCTTGCGCATCTTCTCGAAGACTTTCTCAACCGTCAGCTTACCAGCTAGGAAGTCATTCACATTCTTCTCCTTTATAGAAAAGCGTGCCTTTACTGACTTCTCGCCAGTCCAGTCTTCCCGGTGAGTTTTCCGTTCCACGAAAATCTGATCACTGCCCATACCGCCGTACCATCGTAGTCGAATAGCCTCGGCTCCCTCGGTTTTCTTGAGGCGCCCTTCATACAGCTCCCAGGTTTCGGGGTTATCATAATAGATGGACGAGATTGCAGAATCTTCTTCTTCAAACTCTTTGCTCGGATTGAAAACAAGAACGGGAAGATGCTAAGCGACATCAGCACGGGACGTAACATCCGGAAGGATACGACATACCTTCAGGATGATCAACTTGAGTTCGGTGATGTTATCCGGATGCACCCAGTACTTAGTTGTTTGACGAACGAAGTTCTGTTGAGAGCCGCCAGCGGCAGAGTCACCCTTGATGGGGTTTCCTTTGGTTCGGACAAGGTCATACAACTTGGACAATTTAACTACAAATGCATCATAGTTATCCTTGAAGAATGGTTTGGCATTGAGCCGGGCAGCGAAGACCGGCTTGAGATGCCATTGGGTTTGTTTCTAGGACGCGTTAGTAAGATTATGCCTTCCCGTAACTTCAGCCGGTCGAGTGCTTACATCGTGCTTCTTAATAATCTTTTGGAAGCCAGTATAGTTCAATTGCGTAAATTTCGCAAGGTCGTGAACATCCGCGATGATATCACTCAGAACCTGCTCGAGCATAAGAAACTCCTCATCGGAGGGAGGATTTATGCTCGACCGGCCGCTGTTGCGTGCTTCGTTACTGTTGTTCAGGCGGGTAACGACATCGTCGACATCCTTGTCACTCTCTTGTATCCGCCGAACGATCTCTTCGCTCTTGTATTGTTGGAACTTAAAGACCTTGTCGAGTTCGCTTTCCAGGAGAGTCACGAAATGCCGCTCATCGTCCTCCGTCCATGCCTTCCGATCGGGCTTTGTGTTTTCGGGGGTGGGTTCGGTAACGTAGCCGGTCTTGAGAGCTTTCTTTAAGCCTTCATAGTTGATGTAATTCCAGTAGTACTCCTTGATCATGGACGAGCGGAGATGCTCGCCAAACCTAAAGAAATAAACGTCAGTCAGTTGAGGTTCGGAGATCTGGCAGGGATTCGTCAGTTTACCTCATCGTGTGCGGCTTATCGCTGCGCGCAGGAGTAGCCGGTCTAATGAGCTAATCAGAGGCGGGGTGTAGCTTGGTCGACAGCTGAGAGCGCTGGGTCGGGATTGATCGCGGAAGAGGTGGGAGGGCGCAGAGAAAGAAAAGAAAGGTGCGAGGATATTTCAATTATAGCGCCTTGAACTTCTGAAAAAGAAAGCAGAGCGATAGACAGGGCCGCGAGTGGCGGGGATTGCCTTGCCAAATGTCATTGTCCGGAGCTCTGGAGGTGGAAACTCCCATTGGAGCTTGAGGCTGCAGTGGGACTAGCGTCGGCTCTGGACCGCACGTGCCTGCTAGTTTCATCCTCAGCCGGCCTCAACACCATCTCAATTTGCGACACTAGGCTTCCATTGGCATCGAACTCTTGGGTCTCCTTGGCTGACCGATCGTCTCATGCGAGATTCAGCCTCATGAAGCATCACGAGCTGGTGACCCCAAGAATTCAGATGCTAAAGTCGACGACTCGGCGTCTTCCGACCTGTCAATGCTTGCAAATCCACACGGGAGACCTGGTGCATGAGATTCATTCTCAGCCAGTCGATCGAGCAGGTGCTCTCTTAGTCTCTTTAGTTTTTCCACGCCAACCGACTCTAGTCTTCCTGGAAACACGCTAATAGTATACGGAGTACATTGCCTGACGATTTGGTGATGCTTTCGCAACTGTCAAGTTGTTACGACTGTAGGATTTTGTTCGACCGTAAGGACGTTTTGTTGTTATCTAGCCATCAATGAGATGGCTCAAAAAGATGACAAGCTGTTACACAACATGGCAAACGGGCCGGCGTTGTCGCCGTTGAGCTTTTCTTCAGTTAGCCCCATCGGCCTGTATAACCCGTGCCCTATAGGCATGGCAAGAACGGGACTCGAGCTCTCCCAATGGGTAGGGTTTGAATCATACTATCGGGTTGTATCCCGGCTTCTCCGCGGCCTGGAGAGCGAGCTATTTCTTCTGCCCGACGGCAAAATCTGTGTACAGATGTAGGTAGAATAGACGATCAATGTAGATACCATTTAACTCGACTAAGATATTCCGCATCGCAACCAAGCCATAACGCCAAACACCTCCTTTAGAACCCAGTCATTCGAGCGCATCGTTCGCATCAACTTGAAAAATATGTACTCCGTTGCATCGTATCCTCATCACCAACTGTGGCTGCTGCTACTAGCTCACACAACTGCGCCGGCTGCGCGGCGGATGCTTCTCCGCGCACCCTCACCCAGGATGTTCACAAGACCTTCAGACTCGAGCGCGCGAACAGCTTCCGTAAACTGGGCACTATCAACCTCGGAGCTGGACTGGTCATTCAGGACTCGATAAACTTCCGCCCAGCGAGCAGCACCTCCGCTCGCCAAGTCATCAATCAAGCCCAAGATGGCGCGCTTCAAATGCTCCTTGTTTCGTCTTTCGCTCGCACTTGTGCCCTCGGTGAGTAGACTCATATCAATCAATCCTGTTCGAGAATCGGTTGCCGCTTGTTTGATGGCAGACCGGATCAAGCGCACGGCCTCTTCAACATCGTCTGCGGTCACCTCTTCGGATAGGCGCATGCGAGCGTGAGCTTCAGCCAGACGAATCATTGACTCTAGTTGACGGGTAGTAGCGGTAATTCGGCGGTCGGTGGAGCGGATATCGTCTCCAAGCTTACGCATATTCACGTATGCGTCGGAGAGGGCTTTGCCGGCTGCCGGCGTAAGAACGGGGTGCACCTTGGTCTTGGCATAGGTAATGTAGGCTGTCAAGAATTCGATAGGCTGTACGTTCCAAGAAGTCAGAAAATGCACAGTAGTTTCATAGTTGGCGTGGACTTACCAGGACTTCACGCTCGCTCGCGTTCTCAGGCCTATCTTCAAGGTACATGTTGACAATGTGCTTTGCAAGTCGACGGTCCTCCATCTCGTCCACACGGTCAAGGACGAGGTAAACAAGGTCGAAACGAGACAGCAGGGTTGGTGGCAGGTCGATATTTTGCGGAACCGGTAAGTTCGGGTTGTATCTGCTGCCAATGGGGTTGGCTGAAGCAAGAATACTTGTTCTAGCGTTCAGAGTCGTGATGATACCCGCCTTGGCAATAGAGACTGTCTGCTGCTCCATGACTTCGTGCAAAACGGAGCGCGTGGATTCGTTCATTTTGTCGAATTCGTCAATGCAGCAGACACCTCCGTCGGACAAGACCAAAGCACCGGATTCGAGAACCATTTGGCGGGTTTCCGGGTCACGCGTGACATAGGCCGTAAGACCAACGGCGGATGAGCCTTTACCACTGGTGTAGACACCGCGCGGCGCAATCTTGTGCACATATCGGAGTAGTTGGGATTTCGATGTGGAGGGGTCACCGCAGAGGAGTACGTTGATATCGCCACGGTAGCGAGGGTTACCACCCTTTTGGAATGATTTGTTGGTCCCGCCAAACATTTGGAGCAAGATGCCCTTCTTCACATCATCCATTTCATAGATACTGGGCGCGAGAGACCGGGCGAGAAGCTCATACAGATCAGGCCTTGTAGATGTCCGGAGGATCTTTTCTTCCTCTTCCGCCGAGATCTTGCGAACCTGGTCTGCGTCTCCAGCAGCTTGCTCAGAGAGTTCCTGTTCGACGGTAGAAACATCGACACCAAGTTTCTTCCGATCAATCTTCTGGACATGCAGAACATCAATATATGTCTTGAATAGAGTCTTCTGTGTCCGCTGACGAGGGTTAACTCGCACGGGGTTGGAACGGAAGATTCCCGTCACCTCAACACGATCACCTGCCTTGCAAACATCTACTAACTCGTCGTAGACACACAGAGAAACCGAGTGAGGCGTCTGACCGTCAGGGATGCTGTCAGGAGTTTCCTGCAGCTTGATGACCTGCTTGTCGGCAAAGACACAGCGGTTGTGCACAATTTGCATTGAATTTCTCTCTTGGCATGCCTGACGGGGGCAAATGGTGGGCTCGGCTATCTTGCCGCGGTCTATATCGACCTGGACCGAGTGGTTACAGACTTGACAGCGGAAGAACGCCTCTTTCATGTCGGGAATAATGGGCGTGGCTCGGATGACCAATCCCTTGATACTCACCAATTTGTCCATATCGGCCGGGTCGAGGTCTCTCATGTTGATTGTGGAGTCGAGGCCGAACGGCAGAACCTTGTATGGTTTTGTCTCAGCCTCAGCAACCAAATCCGGAATCTCAGTTTGCGGCATCCTGCCCGACTCGCTCATAGCATCAGAGCTGGGAACAACAGGAGCTGAACTCAAGTCCCTGTGGTTGTTCTGGCCGCGTTGTAGTCGAGACCGCAGGCGATCCATTTCTTTGGCTGCCAGCTCGACCATGACATCCCGCACGCTTTGATCCATGAGAGGGATAATTTCCTGGGGGTAGGCCTGGAGCTGATGCCACAGCTTCAAGGTTGGCGGGTATGCCTTGAGGTTCTTTGCGTCCAAATTAAGACTGGTAACACCCAATTGGCGCATGGTGTTCAGCATGTCGATATACTCTCGTTCCTCCGCCGACTCTCCCATTCGACGTGTTTCATCTTCCGTGGCTCCGTCCGCCCATAGACGATACTTGGTGGTGAAATTGTGCAGAAAGTTCTTGAACGCCGACATGGAATCCTGAATGGAGATATTGGTACCCCAAATCACACGGGTGGAACTACCTCCCATAGCCTCTGCTTCTGAGGTGTCTGGGTGGATGTTGGAAAACGTAGCATCGGATTGAAGCTCGCCATCAGCGGCAGGAACTCCATTAGCATCCACGAAAACTCTGCGTCTGCGGCTTGGTGTTGACCCGAACCCTCCAGAATGGAGGTCGCTACGGCGGGAAGCGATACGCTGGCCGTCCAAGCCCTGGCGTGATGAAACGAATAGACCGCTGCTATCGCTGTGAATATCTGAGTGGCCTGTCTGCCGGCCGAAAGCACGTGTGGGGCTGGAACTGGATACATATCGGATAGGTGAGGAATCTTATCAAGCAGCATTAGCATCTGCAACCCATGCTTCGGAAGGATAGTGTCTACCTCGAAGAGCAGTTCCATTGGCACGGGGCGTCGTCTCTCCATCGTCCATAGTGGACGAAGCCCTGATAGGCGAACTGGGTTCTTCCATTCTAGCATCTGGTGTCTCAGCGGCGCTGCTGTTTCCTCTGGCGGGTGACGATTGGTAGAACATGGGGGAAGAGGAAGGGACGGCAGCCTCGCCCTGTAGTCGGCGCGAAGCACGAGGCGTCGTTTGAGAATTGGTTGTTTGAGATTGCTGCTGCGAGCGTGTTGAGCGAGTTGAGCGAGCCGGTGATGCGGTAGCCGAGTCCCTCGCCGGACGACCCCTGCGGCGGGAAGGAGCGGGAGAAGACATTGTATTTAGAGGTGAATAATTCAAATTAGTATGAAAAGGAAAACGGAATTAAGAGGAATAGAGGTCAGCTAAAACAAGGGTTTTGGTAATGCTGGTGTGAAGGTTCAGCAGTAAGAAGGGATATTTGGCGGGTGGACAACAAACGCTCAGCTTGGTCGCTCGAAGATTTTTGGACTGGTCGCGCCCCGACACGTCTCACGCGTAAAGTGACTACCAGTTTGGGCGAGCGCGTAGCGATCACGTGTTATCTTTTCTACATATATGATATCCCCGTGTAAAAATCACTCGCATCACAAGGTAAATCATCGCTGCATAAAAAAATGGCTATAGAATATTGCAGTGCATTGCATACCTCCTCTGGAATTCTGAGAGTTATCTGGTGCCTACTCCAAACAAGCGCTTGATTTCTGCCTTCCTGAACGTATCATGCCGCATGACGAGGGCCCTGTAGCTCTTTGACGAGTTACTACCCAAAAAGCCACCTTCGCAATCGTGGATCAGAATTCCAACCACCTATCTGCTGTTGCATCAGTCATAGCGCAGGAATCTGCACCCTGTCTCCCTGGTGTTGACTGTACTCCGTACTCGGAGAAGCCTTGGCAGACGTATTGGCACCGCCACTTGTACCACAGTGGAACCAGGTGGCTGACAGCTACACCAAATCAGGCCTAGCTCTTCTCCTTTCAACGTGGTTCGTGAGCTCTGCCAATGAAAATTGAAGGCTCATTCAGGAGAAAACGCACTAAGCCGTTTGAAGATACCCTCACGATCGAGGTCCCTTTATCAGCTTCCTGTCTGAATCTTCTAAAAGAGTTCATTGTAGTTGTTGTTATTTTCGGCTCTTAAGCGCCAGCTATTTCCTTATAAGGCGTCTGATTTCATCAGGGCCAATCCTTTGACTGGCAGCACAGGTTGAATGGGGAGAGGAGCGCCTCTGGGATCGGCCAAGTTTCAGCAGGCGCTTGATGTCATGCACTAAAACCCTTCGATCTGCGAATCCCACGAATAATGGGCAGCGCCTCTGCCTTAAGGGACAATTCGTGGAGATCGATGATGCCTTTATCTGCAACATCATTATATCTGGTAGTGGGCACCGAGGACGCTTTTCATAATCTTGGTTCTTCCGTTCTTCGCTTGCGGATCTTTATTCCTCTCCTGTCGCTCAAACAAACCGTCTTCTACCTCACCTGAGTCACCTCCCCTTCCTGATCGACTTCTCGATCGACTTCCTCATTTTCATTATCAACATTTGCGTACTCTGGAGTACTTTTTCGACATCACTCTCGGACCTTTAGAGCTTGTTTCCGCTTCGTTTCGGAATGCGTTGAACATCAACACTCGGTCGGTCGAATTACTGTATACTCGTCTCACCAATGCTTTAGCCGTTACTTCCAACTCATATTGCGAGTTCTTTCCATATACGTCACCGGTGCTGGAGGTCTGAGACCTTGCAATAATGGCAAACGACTTGGGTTCGGCCTTGGAGCACGCAGGCGGCAAAGGCCAAGAGAGAGAAGGCATCTCTCTCAAAACATTCATAGCATCTTTAGCGGCTGCGCTGATCATTTTTGCCGTTGAATTCCTCTTGTTCCTGGCTCTCAAAGGAAAGCTCACGCGCATCTAGTAAGTTTACTTGCCCAGTCACGCACATTGTCGGACTGTGTCGCTAACTCTGGGCTTTCTTCAAGCCAACCCCGAACATACCTGGTCCCCGACAGAGAACGTACTGAACCGTCGCCCCCCGGCCTATTCCATTGGATCAGCCCGATCTTTCGTACTTCCAGCTCCGAATTTGTGCAGAAATGTGGCCTGGACGCATATTTCTTTCTGCGCTATCTGCGAATGCTACTCAAGATCTTTCTTCCGCTCGGCTGCATCATCTTGCCGACGCTATTAACTGTTAATAGAGTAGACGGCAAAAACCAGTCATACAAGAATGGCACTGAAACCGGGGATCGCTGGAATGTGACTGGCTTGGACCAACTAGCCTGGGGTAACGTCGCCCCAGAAAACACACACCGTTACTGGGCTCATCTGGTTATGGCCATTATTCTTATCGTCTACGTCTGCTTTGTCTTCTTTGACGAACTAAGAGGCTACATACGTCTTCGCCAAGCCTACTTGACTTCTCCCCAGCATCGATTGCGCGCTTCCGCGACGACAGTTCTGGTGACTACCATTCCAGAGAAATGGCTTACTGTGGAGGCTTTGGAGGGACTGTACGATGTTTTCCCCGGTGGTATTCGGAACATCTGGATTAACCGAAATTTCGACGACCTTAACGAAAAAGTCAAAGAGCGGGATAAGCTTGCGTTGAAACTCGAGACTGCAGAGACGGAGCTAATCATCAAGTGCAAAAAGGCTCAAATGAAACAAGCCAAAACCGCTGCCAGAAAAGCTGGAGGTAAGGGCGCTGAGAAGAAAGAGCAGGATACAGCAAATTCCAAAGCTTCAAAATTGGCCATAGGAGCTGGTATCAGCTCCGGCGATCCACACCAGGCTCATACACTTCAAGAAGTCCTGCATCGCGATACAATGTCTTCAAACGATCCGAGAACTCACAAGCGGAGACATCTTAACCCGCTAGAGCCGGCTGTGGGACTGGCGGGTGCTGTCGGTCAGGGGGTCGGTAGGTTGGGTAAGACGGTCTTTGGCACCGTCAAAAGACACGATCATCGTACTTCGGATGGGGATATCAGTGGCTTGGAGAGCGCTACAGACGAGAATACTGCTGGTCATCCCACCGGAGAAGGACCTGCAGCCAGACCGAGTGCCGAAGGAGACAGCTCGCACCCAAAGCGGCCCTTTTGGAAAAGCCGGCCGTCCACCCTTTCTAAATCAAGTAACAGGACAGAGCCTGATGAGCTTCCGCTTACGGCTCCAGAGTCTCCTGTTGACGGTGAAGGTGACTATTCTAGTTCTAGCGAGGACTCACCGGTAAAGGCTCGTGCAGATAATGACATTAGCCTCTCGAGAAACGACGGCGCCGAAGTCGAAGATGACACCTACCCAGTGGCATATAACGAGAATTTCGAGAAAGAAGATCTCGGTGAACCACTATGGAAGAAGTACATCCGTCCAAAGGATCGAGATACCATGCGGTTGCCGATTTTTGGTATCAGTTGGATGCCTTCGATCTGGCTTCTGGGAAAGAAAGTTGACACTATCGACTATTGCCGCAAAGAGGTGGCTCGTTTGAATCTCGAAATTGAGATAGATCAGCAACACCCCGAGAAATTTCCGTTGATGAATTCGGCCTTCATCCAGTTCAACCACCAGGTGGCTGCGCATATGGCTTGTCAGGCTGTCAGTCACCATGTGCCCAAACAGATGGCTCCCCGCACAGTGGAAATTTCACCAGATGACGTTATCTGGGACAACATGTCCATCAAATGGTGGGAACGCTATCTACGCACATTTGGGATATACGCTATTGTCATTGGTATGGTGATAGGCTGGGCGTTTCCGGTAGCCTTTACTGGATTGCTGTCCCAGCTCTCGTATCTTGAAGGCGCATTCACATGGCTCTCCTGGATAAACAAAATGCCAGAATGGCTTATTTCCGCTGTTCAAGGTATCTTGCCTCCCTTGTTCCTGGCCATACTGATGGCCATCCTGCCATTGATGCTTCGCTTCCTATGTCGAGCACAGGGTCTTCAAACAGGCATGGGCATTGAGCTCACCGTGCAAAATTACTTCTTCGCATTTCTCTTCGTCCAGCTGTTCCTGGTTGTTGCAATCGCATCAAGTTTCTCAACCATCATCGATAATATCACCAACTTCACAAACTGGCCGGAGCTTCTAGCTCAGAATATCCCCTCGTCGAGCAATTACTTCTTCTCCTATATGATTTTGCAAGCGCTTTCCGTGAGTGCTGGAGCTCTGGTGCAAATATTCAGCCTTGTGAGTTGGTTTATTCTTGCTCCAATGTTGGATTCAACGGCACGCAGAAAATGGGCTCGAACCACCAACCTGAACCAGATGCAATGGGGTACATTCTTCCCAGTGTACACTACTCTTGCATCTATCGGTATGTTTAATCCCTCTTAACTCCTCTCTCTTTGAGATCTGACCAGGTGTTAGGGCTGATTTACTCCGTCATTGCGCCCCTTATCATGGTATTCAACGTGATCACTTTTGGCTTGTTCTGGTTCGTTTACCGCTATAACACCCTTTATGTCACGAAGTTCCGCTTCGACACTGGAGGATTACTTTTTCCCCGTGCCATCAACCAGTTGTTCACGGGTATCTATGTCATGGAGCTCAGTTTGATCGGCCTCTTCTTTTTGGTCCGTGATACCAACGGAGCTGTTTCGTGCAAGGGACAAGCAATCATCATGATCATCATGACAGCACTCACAGTGGGGTTCCAAGTTCTGCTAAATGACGCTTTTGGGCCTCTAATTCGTTACTTGCCCGTTACTCTGGAAGACGATGCCGTACGCCGCGATGAAGAATTTGCTCGCGTACAGAGGGCACGATTAGGTTTGGACGATGATGAGGAAGAAGAGGAAGCAGAGGGAGAGCCGGACACTCTCGAGCATCAACTGAAGGAACGTGAACGCGCCGAATTTCAGGCTAGTGAAGAAGCCCGCGATATTGAAATGAAGAAACTCGAAGGCGGCGTAAATAGGAGGGCGTCTGGGCTCAGGCACAAAGGACAGAGGCTTGACCCAGCGACCGCCGCCAACCTGAATGCCTCCTCTCGTCGACCATCTTGGGCCACTCAAACCGCCCAGTCTCCCCACCGACGATCTAAGTTCTTTGGTGCAAACTCAGCAGAGTCTGTGCCCACCATTCAACGGATGCGCGAAAAGCTCGATAAAGATGCTGAAGCTCAAGGTCCAGTAACGGGTCATTCCCGCAACTCTGCACTGTTTGCAGGCATCCACGATGAGCTGGAGGATCTTACCCCCGACGAACGCGATCAACTTGTCCAGCGAGCTTTCCAACACGACGCTCTTCGGTCCAAGCGTCCAGTCATCTGGATTCCTCGGGATGATCTCGGAGTCAGTGACGACGAGATTTACCGCACCCAGCGCTTCAGCAAGCACATCTGGATTAGCAACGAGTACCAAGCGCTTGATGGAAAGTGTCGCACCATCTTCAGCCGCAGTCCACCTGACTTCTCTGAAGTCGATCTCATTCAGCTATAGAAACTTTCCTTTATTAACTGTCACCTGTACATAACTCAGACGGCCTATCGACAACCCTTGACGTGATGATTGATTCGATTCCACAATTAGCGAATGGCGTTTTGCTTGGACATGAGCTTTGTTTTGCCTGCTGCTTGTTCCATTGTTTTATGTTCTGGGGGCATATCTCGCATCCCTGACCGAGGGCTCTTCATTTTGGATCAAGCGTGAATCACTTAGCGTCGAGCGAACCTATCATTGATTTGAAACAATAGTCCAATTAATGATTACATTGAATACAGTTTATGTCGCACTTCTACCGAGCATCCCCTACGTAGTGGTATAAATAATTACGTCGACATAACGTGTTCATTCTCAGGTATTCTGTTAAATGCCGGCCACCTATTATTATCTGCCCACATTTAATCCATGTACTTGCACAGCGGAAGCCGATACTTGTCTATACTCCAGTACGGCCGGCGAACACCGTTCCACTCTCCCTCCAGCTTCGGCACATCAATCTCCTCCCACTCGACATCAAATCCAGCCTCAAAGATATCCATCTCCACGACCTTCTGGTAGACATCATAGCTGATCTGTCGGTCTGCACCCATGCCATTGAAGAAACTCCATTTACCCTCCTGCTCCAACACACCAATAACCTGCTCCGTGAAGAAGTCCCGGAAATCGGCATACGACTCGGCAAAGGTATCGTAGTAGATGGCATCGAACATCACGCCCTCCGCGACCAGCCCAGGAAGAATATCCTGCCACTTGCCCTCGTGGATAGTGACGCCCGGCTTCTCGTGCCAGCCCTTCCGCTTCATTTCGGCGACTACGCCCGGATGTGCTTCGATGATGTGGTGTGCTAAGGGGGCCTGCTCCTGGATGAAACCGTCGACGATGCCCATTCCGTGTCCGACGTTGAGGACGCGGAGGCCCGGTGTTGGGAGAAGTTGTTTTGCGGATTTGGCCATGATCTCGGTTTCCCAGGCCATCATAACGCCGTTCTGGTCTTGGTCCAGCAGCCGGTCTTGTTGGAAGGTTAGGTCGGAGTTTAGGTAGCGGGAGCTGGTGACGCTGGGATCGGCTTCAGCTTCGGCTGTTTGTGTAGTCTCTGTGGTTGCGGCGGTTGTGGAATCGACTAGTTGCGGGACAGACTCGTCGTCTGCTGTGTTTGAGGCGCTTGCACCGGCATCGGTGATTTCCTGTTGTTCTTGCTCCTCTTCTTGGTCCTCTTCCATCTCTTCGTCTGACAATTGTTCGTATCCGTCGAGCCTGTTCAGCAGCAGCTCCGCCCTGACTCCGGCATCCACGATCATCTCATAAAGCTCGGTTAATCCCAGTCTCCTCGCAATACATCCCGGAGTCTCATTGTTCAGGTCCAGATCATTCCAAATAGCGCCCTCCTGCAGAAGAAGCCTCACAGTCTGCACGGCGGCCTGAACTGTGCTCTCCTGCTCACTGGTCTGTTCTTCTCCGTTTGTCTGGACGCCGTTAGGCGCGCCATTTGTCTTCACGTCTTCCTCCACGTCAGGCTCGCAAGCTGCAATGGCCGCGTGGAGCGGAGAGTAGCCGGTCTCCGGGTCCTTAACGTTGGCGGGGTTGCTGGCCGCATCGTTGGCACGGAGGAGCCGTCGGAGCTTTTGGGTGTCATGCTGGGAGGCTGCGAGGAGGACTTCTTGAACACTGAGGTCGACGTCGATTTCGGTCATTGGGTCTGCCATTCTGCTAGAGCGTCAGCTAAAGTTACAGCGTACACTTGTGCTCGTGTATGCACCTTGGCGCGAACGGGTGGTAGAAGGTGCGATATGCTCAAGGGCGAAAATAACTCACGTTAGAATTTGACCCTTAGATTACCCTGTCGTATGGGCGAATAGATGTAAAGATGATATATGCAGCTTATGTTTGCTGCGACCTGATGGTACGGTAAGAGAGCAGAGTAAAAAATGCTTCCCCGCCTGAGATATAAAATTTCCACCCGCCGCTCTCGTCCCCGCATTCAGTTGAATCAAGAACTGGAACCTACGATTCGGACAAAAGTTAAGTGCCGCGAGGTATAAGGCTTGCGGGCAAATGACCTTGAATTATGATAGAGAAGAGACACGATTCGCCTTTGCTGTGGTAACCTGAAAAACTATTTGTACAAATGATTTATTCGCAATAACTCCTGAGGGGAGTATTGCGCGGAAGGAAGATTCACTAGTCCCAGACAATCTTCCATATTTTCCCCCACCATTTTGTTCCTTATTTGGTGTCGCTATCCGCGCCAGCGTTGACGTTCAAGCCAAGACCTTCGCTATCCAGGTACAGCTTGTTCCTTCCGCCGTTCTCCTGGATGATCTGGGCAATGTGTCTAGCGTTCTCAATCCTCCGAAGCTCAATGTAGCTCTTGCTTTTCTTGATCGCTTCTCCGATAAGTTCGGCCGATCGGGCTTCACCCTGGGCGCGGACGATGAATGCTTGCTTCTCTTGACGGGCCTTGTCAACCAGGAAGGCCGCTCGTTGGGCTTCTTGTTGGGCGACTTGCTTGGCTTCGACAGCGGCAGTAAATTCGGGGGAGAAGGTCAGGTGCTAGAAGAACGGAAAGTACACATTAGAACCGGAAACTCAAGCTGCGGGGAATGTATGGAAGAACTCTGCTTACCGTAAGAGATACATCGTCCAGAGCGATGTTGAAGCGAGCTGCGCGACGAGCGAGGTTATCCCGGACAAGTCTTGCGACGTTCTCACGTTGAGTGATCAGTTGACTGGCGTTGAACTGAGCGACCACGCTCTTCAACACTTCGTTCACAATAGATGGAAGCACTCGCTCATCAAAATCTTGACCAAGTGTTCGGTAGATCTGAGGAAGAGCATCCACCCGTGGCCTCGACAGCACACGGCAGGTGATGTTCACCATCTGTAGATCCTTGGTGCCGGTCAGGGAAGCAATGTTTCTCGGCTTGGCTCGGACATCGTAGATGATCGGGGTCTCGATCAGAGGAATCGCGAAGTGAGTTCCTTGAGTAATAATATAGTCAGAACAGTATGCTAGCAGAATGGCCTGGGAAGCGGCGCTTACCTTCAGAGTAGATGTCCTTCTTGACACCACCGAATCGGGAGTATTTGATTGCGCGATGACCACCATCAACTGCAGCCAACCATTTAGCAAATTTTCTTGTCACAGCGCAAAGAACGAGAGAAATGAGAAAACAGTGTCCTACCGTTGAAGAGAGAGTTTGATAGAGCCCATCCTCCAACACCAAGTACAACCAGAGCTACGGTAGCACCCGCTCCTCCGCGTCCTCCGCCAGAAAAACCGCCGAAGCGCCTTTGGTTCTGCAGTATGAGCTGCAGCCGCTCCCACTGCTCTTTCGGGATCCGAGACATGATAGTTGTGGTATAAAGTAGGTTGGTGTCTGGATGACAAGGTCGGAAAGCCCTTGAGGTTCGTGCAGTTTCCGGCAGTTCTCCAGATTTGGACACCGCCTTGGCAGCTCTCTTTGCTCCCCTCAAGTCAGATGTAAATTGCTCCATCAAAGACAATTGTCTCAGAGAGTTCCAGAAGAAGGAGATTGTTGAAATTATAGAAGCAAGAGCTTTATATCAAACTAGAGACTACTCCCATTCTTCCCCTACCTCTCTGCTGTGGTCCCAGGATACACATCTTATTCACTCACATTGTTGCTTGACATAGCTTTGCGGCGCTTTGTACTATTCACTACTATTCAGCTTCACAATCGCAAAGATGGGTCCAGACAGAGCAGGCAAAAGTGTCTTCCTCGGAAACATACCTTACAGTACGCCCTTTCTCTCTTGCGCCCCAAAACCTAATATCCGGATTCAGCTAATAACATCCTTGCCTAAGACCTCACTGAGGAACAGGTCAAAGACATCCTTAGCACCGCCGGTACCGTGACGAAATTCCGCTTGATGATGAACCCCGAGACAGGAAAGCCTAAAGGCTATGGATTCGCAGACTTTGCAGACGCGGATGCCGCGGCCTCTGCCGTGCGCAATTTGAACGACTACGAGATCATGGGCCGCAAAATTCGCGTGGACTGGCCTCATAACAACGAAAAAGACTCTGTGCCCGAGGACTACTCACAGCCGGCGCAAATGCCAGGTCAGGACGGGCAGCTAGGAGGTCCGTCGTCGCTATCTGCCCCGCTCCCACCTCTCCCGCCAGGCGTCGAGTTGCCTCCGCATCTAGATTGCCCTAACGCGATCTCGCAAACACTCGCCGCTCTCCCTCCAAATCAGTTGCTTGATGTGCTTCAACAAATGAAGACTCTCGCTGTATCAGATCCAGCTCGTGCCACAGAACTCCTACGACAAGCACCTCAGCTTGCATACGCCATTTTCCAAGCACTACTCCTGTTGAACCTCGTCGACTACCAGACCCTGGGGGCTGTGGTGGAGCAAGCTGCACAGCCTACGGCACCACCACCTTCTGCCCCTCCTGCTGCCGCCGCGTTTCAACCTTTTGGCGCTGTCCCCGGACAAGTATCGACGCCGCCAATGATGAGTACACCCTTTGCTCAACCGCCCCCGCAGCAACCACAGCAACAGGTTCCCGGACAAGATGAGCTACTGCAGCAAGTTCTTAATATGCCCCAGTCGGCCATTGACGCTCTTCCACCCATGGAGCGCAGCCAAATCATGCTGCTGCGGCAGCAGCTAATGCAGGGTGGCCTGCGGTGATACGATTTCGTTATTCGGTTGATTAGGCGGTGATATCTATTTTTTTTTTGAACATTTCGAATTCATGGCGTACAGGGTTCGCTTGGGGGACTTAGGATTTGCCTCGGATGATACCTGAAAGTTAGCAGATCTCATACATTTCTTGTTTTCTGTATTATTCTACATTGTTATCTGTTTTCTCGAGGCACATATACAAACCAATGTACTTGCGCCGCGGCAGCTTGCTGAGGCGTTGAGAAGCTCTCAGAGACATCAAAAGTGGCTAAGTAGGAACCCAAAGTACGGCTGGTCAGCCAGCTTTTCATCAACGCCGTGATCATCTCTCCTATGCAGTTTGTAGACCTTTCCAATAGGCATGGATATGCGTTACCATCAAATTTCTATGCCCATCTGACTTGCTACCAGCCCTAATTAATGCAGCATGAGCGTCAATCCCACTAGATGCAGGTGCCACCTCGTACTTTTTCTCTTCTTTGCTTTTTCCACCTGCAAATTCTGCCCAGGAGTTACTCCGTACGGAGTACTGATCTCAGATCAAAGAATATCAACTTTCAGATCGTCGTGTACTAGCTGAACCTTACTCCGATTATCCGATATGAGCACGATGCTCCGGCCCGTCCGTTGCTGATCCTGCAGACAAACACTCTTTCGACCTCAGCTGCCCTTCCATCGTCCAACTTCCCTGCTTTTCGTGCTCTCGGCAGTTCCTTCCGATCATCTAATCGGTCGTCTTGTTTCATTTTTACTTTTTCTGATTCCGATCTCTCTGTCCCACACAGAGTCTCACCGACGCTTGTAAGAGTGCCCAAAATCAAGGTTCGCGGCGGAGGGCAAGACAAGCGAAGGAAGAGGACTGCTCTACCAAAAGTATGTTGAACGAATTAAACTTCTCTAAGACATTCAAACGGCCAGTGATTACTGAAACTTTCCACCCAAATTTAGGGAGATCTGAGCCACCGTGGCGAATCACGTACATCATGATGGACCAGTCACGGTTTCCTGAATCGCAAAGCTGGAAGACCAAGCCCTGCTTCTTCTCAACCGTTGCTTTTTCCGCCTTTACTCCGTACTTGGCTTCGACTCAGCGGCTGAGATACCCGACGACATTGACAAAGTACTAGCTTTGTGGATTATCCCTTCAAGGGAACGAGAGGAATGCAGAGGCAGGAACGACGGAAAGGGTATAAGTAGGAATGCTCAGGACGTACTCCGTACATCATGCACCTTGATCGTTACGCTTATTATTCCCCTACTATCCTTCAACCGCCGACTGCGCTATATCATGAGCGAGATGCTGGCTAAGAATCATCTAGAAACGAACTCTGCAGTCTGCCAGCCACATCTTAGCACTACAATCCAGGCTTGGTACCGACTGCAGCGCTTGATAAGAGATGGAGTAATCAAGATCGACGGTACTAAGCTTGATATACCTGGGGTGGTGGCGGTGGCCTAGTCAGTGAATCATGTCTGTATGATCCATTCGTCATGCTTATGGTTGCAGTCATAATTGCACACCGAAGATTACCGAGGACCCAAGCGTCTTAGAGGATATTGATGCAAGTATACAAATACTAAAGGAACATCTCGATGATGGCTACAGCGTCTATGGTTCGTATATCCTCGCAGGATTTGGTCTTATACTTACGATTGCAAAGGAGTCAATACTGGCTTTGGCGGGAGCGCAGACTCAAGGACAGACAAAGTGGTCGCTCTTCAATCCTCACTGCTCCAGTTGACGCAGGCCGGAGTCCTGCTGGAGTCAGATAAATCTGACAATCAGGGCACACTGCTGGACTCTCATGCTATGCCTGCCTCTTGGGTACGGGGTACAATGGTTGTCCGTTGCAACTCAAATCTTCGTGGACATTCCGCCGTGAAACTTCCCATACTTCAGACCATGGTCCAGCTGATACAGCATCGAGTTACGCCAATTGTTCCCCTTCGAGGCTCGATATCAGCGTCGGGAGATTTGATGCCATTGTCATATATTGCGGGAACGATAGAGGGGAACCCAGATGTGTACGTTCAGGTCGACGGCCCTGATAAGCTTCGAGTCATGAAGTCCAACGACGGGCTACAACACGTGGGCATGAAAGCTGAGAAGTTAGGCCCCAAGGAGGGACTAGGTTTGATAAATGGCACTTCAACATCAGCCGCAGTGGCTAGCTTGGCATTGTACGAAACACACCAGCTATCTGTACTTGTGCAGGCACTCTCAGCGATGGGTTTGGAGGCTCTCATTGGCACCACGGAAAGCTATCACCCATTCATTTCCGCTGTCCGGCCTCATGATGGGCAGATTGAATGCGCGAATAACCTACTTTCCTTGCTTCAAGGGTCAAAGCTGGCACAGAACTTGAATGGTAAGAAGGATCAAGACCGTCCAGGTCTAGTTCAAGATCGCTACTCCTTCCGTTGCGTACCCCAGTGGATTGGGCCTCAGCTGGAAGATCTCCTTCTAGCCCATCGGCAGGTTACGACCGAACTTAACTCAACATGCGACAACCCGCTCGTGGATGTAAAATCCAGGAACATCTTTTCTGGTGGTAATTTTCAGGCAGTTTCGATCACTTCGGCCATGGAGAAGACAAGATTATGCCTGCAGATGCTTGGCAGACTTATCTTCTCTCAGGCGACGGAGATGATTGATCCCAGTCTCAATAACGGTCTCCCTACCAATCTCGTTGCAGATGACCCAAGCTTGTCGTTTACTATGAAGGGGGTGGATATCAGCATGGCATCATACATGGCGGAGCTGGGGTATTTGTCAAATCCAGTGAGCTCGCATGTCCAGTCAGCGGAAATGCGCAATCAAGCTATCAACTCTATGGCGCTGGTATCTGCCCGATATAGTATGCAAGCAGTGGAGGTACTTTCCCTCATGTGCGCCTGTGACTTGTATATCGCCTGTCAAGCTCTGGACCTCCGTGCCCTTCATTTCGCTTTCTTGGGGAACGCAAAATTCCAACTACGCTCCGTCACAAAGAGCATATTCTCGAAATACTTACCGCAATATGCATTGGCAGGCTTGCACGAATTCCTGGACCAACATCTGACCCAATCCTGGCCAACAACGAATCGCCTCAGTCCCGCGGATCGGGTGCACACGGTAATAGAAAACGCTATCCCCGTTCTCTTAGACAGTCTCAAAAGTCATCAGGGGCCCGGTCTGACCGACTTGGATATGTGGAAGACCCAGGCCTGCGATCTACTCAACGTAGTGTACCAAGAAACCGCCGATGAATTCTTCCTGGAGCAGCACACCGCAGAGCTTCTCGGCGATGGCTCTAAGCTCCTTTATAAAACCGTTCGACAAGAGCTCGGTGTTCCGTTCCACCAAGGCTTCATTGAACATCCCACTGTTGGTGGCGAGACTTTGAATGGCCGCGTTAAGAAAACCATCGGATCGTGGATCGCGATAATCTACGAAGCGTTGCGAGACGGCCGTCTTATGGGCCCCTTGATTCAAACTCTCGCGTCTACAGGTTGTCAGTTTGCGGCTGAAACAGGCTGAAGGTGTTCCTCGAGTTCTGTTGCCTCCGGCACCGGACTTGACTAGGACTTCGTTGCTTCGCCCCCCAGTTGTTTAGGAGTAACTTTATGTCCTTTCTTCTAAGACCGTGTGTGCTTGATCCACATGTAAGCCTTATCATATTCTATTTACAGATCTTCTTGGAGGTGTTTAACTTTTCCCTTGAACCCGTGTTGTGTTATGTGTCTCAAAGCAATGAGCACATTTCCAAGCAGTGAATGGAAGGCCAGGGTGACACCCCAGCAACACAACCCCTCCAAGTTAGAACAGAAAAAAATCCGCTGAAAACCCCCAAAGGCTCTCTCCCCACATTTCCTTTCTACTCTTTCTTTCTGCCACCCCTCCTTTTTTGTTCTGCCCTTCCGCCCTCCTCACCCCCTTCTCCTTCCACGTGACCCTTCGTGCCCTACTTGGATATCTTCACTACTTCTCATGCACTTGCAAGTACAATTGGATTTCTGTTCGCGTACTCAAACACAGCGAGGGGGAAGATGCCGGCAAAGCGAAAGCGCCCGGTCATCGAGACCCTCGCCTCTACGCGGCGCAGACGGTATCCTCGTCGTCCTGCGCCTGAGATTGAATCTGGACTCGAACCTGGACCAGAGGCTCAACTTGAACGTGAAACTAAAGTCCGACCAGAATCTGGAGTCGAGGCAGGACCACAACCTGAGCTTCAGCTTGAAGCTAGAGCTCAGTCACACGATGATTCAGGTAATATCATCCGTCACAATTCAGATAACGGTCAGGATTCGATTCAGCGTCAGCCAAAGCCAGAACAGAACATGTTCGAAGTTGAAGATAATATCAACTGTCCGAGCATCGCTGAACGACCAAGCCTGATAGTTGTCCTACGTGTGCGCGTGCCTCCTTGCAGCTCAGAACCACAGTCTCAGCCTTCTCAGAAGCCTCAAGACGCGTCTGTCGAGAATGTCGAGTCCTCGTCCGGTGGGAAGACGATCATCAAGCTGCGTATAAAACGTTCTCAGCCCCCCGAGTCTGAAAATGCACCTATTGTTGTCAAGAAATTGAGACGGTCTCCTAGGCATCAGCCGCCTGACGAAGAAACCCAGATCGAAATAACAGAAGGAGGCCAGGATGAAGGCAAAGCCGATGCCAACATTAAAGATATGGAGATCAACGCGCCTACTACGTCCTCGAATACTGTCATCGCGCCGCCTGAGCCAGAAATCCAGATCAAGATCACAGACGGAGGCCAGGATGAAGACAAAGCCGATGTCAACATTGACGATATGGAAATGGATGCGTCTACTATGTCCTTGACCACCGTCGTCGCGCCGCCTGACGCAGAAATTCAGATCAAAATCACAGAAGCTGGCCAGGATGAAGCCAAAGCCGATTCCAACATTGAAGGTATGGAGATTGATACTTCTACTACGTCTTTGTCCACCATTGTCGTGCCGCCTGAGGCAGAAACCCAGATCAAAATCACAGAAGCAGGCCAGGATGAAGCCAATACCAATGCCGACGGCGAAGATATGGAGATCGATACTGCTACTACGGCCTCAGCCAGCGTCGAAACGACTTCTTCTCCGACTACGGTCACACCTACCCGCCAGCTAGCCATAGTTGTCCCCATTGATGACATAAAGCACAACGACTCTTCCCCCAAAGACAAGCCTGTGGAGCAACCGCAATCTCGCCCAGACTCCGAAGCCCTCCTTCTCGATGGAGACCTATCCGAACAGGCTCGGACTGACCCAGACCCCAACACCCCCGAACTCGTCCGGTCACTACCGTACTCCGGCCGTAGACGACCCCATACTCAGCTCGCTCATCACCTTCCGCCGCTCCACAAACTCAGTGATGTCTTCGAGTCTCTCACAAGACGGGCAATGGATCTACGTCTTGGTGATGTCTTGGATCACCTTAGTACTAGACGCCTTCGTGTTGCTACTGTTTGTTCTGGAACAGAAAGCCCGTTGTTGGCATTGGAGATGGTCAAGGATAGTAAGTCTTACTTACCATATACCTTCTATCTGCTATATTAAGGATCACTGCAGACTTACTAACATTGATACAGACTTGAAAAAATACTTCAACCGGGATCTAGACTTTGATCACCTCTTCAGTGCTGAAATCGTGCCCTTCAAGCAAGCGTATATCGAGCGGAACTTTCGACCTCGCCTTCTATTCCGTGACGTGGCTGAGCTTCAGAATCCACTTGCGTACGTGACACCTCTTGTTGTCTCCTTTCTAGTCTAGATTAAATTCATCTTACCATATCACATCATTTGAACTGACCCCAAAATGATGCTACCAGTCAAACCGCCTATGGCTCCCTCGAAGAAGTTCCCAAGAATGCCGACATTCTCATAGCGGGCTTCTCCTGCGTCGACTTCTCCGGCCTAAACAACTACCAAAAAACACTCGATGAGAAGGGCGAATCTGGCGATACATTCTGGGGCATAGTCTGCTACGCCAAAGCCTACCGTCCACGCATGGTCATTCTTGAGAACGTGAAAACAGCGCCCTGGGCAAAGATCGAAGAACATTGGCGCGATATCGATTACATTGCTGTTCATATGAATGTTGACACGAAGGCTTATTACCTCCCTCAGACCAGAGAGCGGGGTTACATGTTTTGTGTGGACAGCCGATCCCTTCCTGACATCGCAGGGAACCAGCTTGGTGCAGGCATGCGGCAGACTTGGAAAGACATCTTAGAGCAATTCAAGCGCCCCGCGAGCTCGCCGACTGGCATGTTCCTACTCGATGCTGATGATAGACGGCTCGAACAGATTGAGAGAAATATGGCACAGAAGCTTGCGGCTTCTGCGGCTTCGGCTCGCGCAACAGTCAACTGGGACCTGTACCAAGTGCGGCACCAGGGCTATCGACTCAAGAACGGCCTCGGTCATCGTCGTCCGATAAGTAAGTGGCAGGATGACGGGACTTGCAACATGCCGGACTTTGCGTGGCAGACTTGGGTGCGGTCTCTGCCGGAGCGGGTTTGGGATACAATCGATGCGAACTTTTTGCGGAAGTTGGTGGATGGGTATGATATGAACTACAAGGAGTACGCCTTCCTGGTTCTTTCCTGTCTCTGGATAAAAGCTGACTTGTTGATTTAGGCGATGTCTAGAATTATCGCAAGGCATAGACCGAGAAATGGATTCCCGCGCCTTTGGAATTGTCGGCTGCATCACGCCTTGTGGGATTCCATACATGACAACCCGAGGCGGCCCTCTATGTGGCCTTGAGTCACTTGCTCTACAAGGTCTACCTTTGGATAGGCTCCTTCTGACGCAAGAGTCCCAACGCGAGCTGCAAGATCTCGCCGGCAATGCTATGAGCTCGACTGTCGTCGGAGCAGCGATTCTCTCGGCTCTGATTGCTGGCTATAAGGTGCTGGAGCCCAAATTACTGGAACAAGACAATTCCTTGCAAGAATCGAAGTCTGATCATCAAGGTTGGAAACTCAAGCCTCATGATAAAGATAATCTGATTCCGAGCAACATGTATCTGGACTCGGACACCACCGTCGGCATCCTCAAGCTGCAAGAGCAGGCCACGAGCAGCGCTAGATACTGCACGTGCGAGGGACAGAGCTCGATTCGAACAGCGATTCTGAAATGCTCACTATGCTCGCACACAGCCTGTTCTGAATGCAGTGGGAACCCTCAGCACGCTTACAAGCGCTATACCGATCTAGTACGCACCCCGCCACTAGACTTCGTCAGCATGCTCCGGTCTATCCTCCCAGCTAGACTTGTGGTTCGCGGTATAACACCCGAATCCTACAAGGAGCTGCGTTCCAATTCGCGCATATCAACAGAAACTTGGTCTGTATTCTTGGATGCTGTGTCTAAAGCTGTTGGCGACGAGCTCCGTATTTTTGACATCAAGCGAAGCGAGACTTGGACTGTGACCTATGAAGGTAAATATTCCGTCTTAAAGTTGGTTATCGACTCAATTGGGAGTATCACTTGGCTTCTTTTTGCGAAACCGGGTGAGAATGAACCGGCGTTATGTCTAATCCGCGAGGTTCTTTCGAAACCGATTGCGCGTATGGTCGTGCCTTCTGTTCAGTCACCAGGATCCATTTTGAAAGGTGGAACTTGGGAGATCTGCACCCCCCTGTCTTCAAGCTGCTCCTTGGAATTTTTTGGATCAGGATTCCAGATTGACTCTTATGAAGCGAAGTGCGGCTTGCAATTGGACGGGTTCCAAGGCACGCGGGTATGGTCTCATATCACCGTTCAGGGGACCGAGAAAGACGTTGGAGATTTGGAAGTCGATGTGCGCGGTACTTATGAGCTCCTGCAGGACTGTGGAACTGCGAACGCCTGTCTGCATAGAAGGACGCCTGCAGATGGAAAGCCGGCGATCTACCTCTTTCTGGACCCGACGAAGCTGGGCGAGCCGAAGCATGACTCGTTTGTTTTTGCGTTGGAGCACAGACGGAATCCAGGCTACGCAGCTCGCATGTCTATTGCCGAGGTATGCCATGAATGGCGCTCTGCCAAAGCTTCAGACACAGCTGAGATTGTCACCGTTTATCACCGGAAGTGGATTGCTTGCCCGACTACCTCGCTGCAGTCATACGCCGGGGAGTCCAATCGTTTCATTCAGTGTCACAGCCTGGACCCAAGGACGTCCTTCTCCATTACTGACGATAGTGTGGCATCCCGATGCCACACTGCAAACACAACTTTGTTGAGATTCACCATCCCAGCAGATGTCATTGCGCCAAACTCCAGCTCGTCCACGGTAACAGACTGGGAAGTCACCAATCCACTCGAGTCTCCAGAACTCCTCCGAGAACACGCCTGGCTTTTCCAAAAGGCTGCCGGATACTCCGACTTCGAGGCTTGGGGTCAGATCGCAAACCCCAGCATTCATGGCCCATGCATGACTTGTGTCCCGCCCAAGCCTAGAATCATATGGGGCCGTGACGCAAAACTCCGAATCAAGGCATTTGAAGACCCGCATGACGCTGCTCGGTATGAACGTGCCATCAAGACTCGGCCGCCTGCATTCTTGATCTTCCGCAAGAATTGTAATCAAAACGCTGCCTCTGGCCTAGCGGAGCTTCGCGTTACCCTCAACATTCAGACTCTTCTGCATCAAGCTTTTAGCAGACTGCCAGATATTAGCCCGCAGGCTCCTGCGACCTTCCACTGGCGCCTTGTACCAAACTCGTACGATGTGCGCGGCAACCCTTACCCAAAGTTTGAGTTGAGGAGCAATAGAAATGACGCTCTGTACCCACAGCCGCCGAAATTTGAGAATAACCAGCTGCGGCCGGAGCAGCTGCGTTCGCTGTCGTGGATGGTAGCGCAGGAGGGTGAGGATGTTGAGCCTTTCATTGAAGAGGAAACAGAAGAAGCGCTCCTGGGGTCGTTGATGTGGCGTGCGGAAGGGAAAGTCACGGTGCCCAAGATTGTACGAGGTGGTATTTTGGCTGACGATGTCGGATACGGCAAGACGGCTATTGTCCTGGGCTTGATTGATGTGCTCTCGAAGAAGCCTGATGTTGACCTGTCCGCTGGCCTTAATGGAGCCGGCTTTATTCCCAGCAGAGCAACACTCATCGTTGTCCCTCGAATCATGGTGGAGCAGTGGCTCGACGAAATCACCAAGTTCCTAGGCCACAAGTACGACGTCCTCGCCTTCTCTTCGGCAGCGGCATTGAGAAAGACTTCTATCCAGAAGATTCGAAACGCCGACATAATTCTGGTGTCGTGGTCAATCTTTGACACCCAGGCCTATTATAAGCATCTACAAAAGTACACCGGTGCATCTGAAGTGCCTGACAAGCCGGGCCGGAACTTCAATGACTGGTTCCATCATGCGCATAAGCTGATGAAGCACCATGCTGGAGCCCTGACGAAATTTGGTCCAGCTAGTTTCTTGCATGCTTTACGCGAAAGTCGCGCTCGGACAGAAGACCCAGACGAGATCCATCGATTTGCGCCGTCAAAACGGCTACGGGGGAAACAATATGCGCTTGCACACAAGGATAGGGACATTAGGTCCAACGATGGTGTTCAGGATGCGCAAATACCCAACGGCAATAAGTCTGCTGATGCAAGCGACGGGGAGCATGAAAATTCGACCGTCCTTGAAGCCAAAATCGACGATCTCCCAATGGAAACAGCATTGCACGACGAAGAGACTTTCTGGCCGGAACAGACCTGTGACGACGGTAAATACTTCGGTATTGACGGCAAGCCCCAGAGCTGGGAAGATGTCCTAGGCCTCCCCTTCCACGCCTTCCACTTCAACCGCCTGGTCATTGACGAATTCACGTACGCCAAAACTGATCGCCTCACGCAGCTTTTGACATTGCAAGCTCGCTCAAAATGGGTCCTCTCGGGAACACCGCCCCTGAATGACTTCGCGGACGTAAACACCATAGCCCCCTTCCTAGGCGTGCATCTCGGTATTGATGCGGACGATGACAATAGCTCGCAGAATTTCCGACTCAAAGAGATCCGCAAGCACCGCTCTGATGCTGAGACATTTGAATCATTCCGCGCCCCGCGCAGTGAAGCATGGCACAGACGTCGACATGAAATCGCACAGACTTTCTTGAATAGGTTTGCTCGCAAGAACGTTGCAGAGATTGATGAAATCCCATCCACCGAGCACATTGTCCTCGTTCGACAGTCGCCCGCTGAAAAGGTCATCTACCTCGAGCTCTACAAGCAGCTGATGACGTATAATCGGCAGCTGAAACGGGCGAATGGTCGAGGAGGAGACCAAGCTGAGCGGCTGGACGAGATTATTGCAAATAGCTCAACGCCTGAAGAAGCACTGCTCAAACGGTGTACATCGCTCGCGCTCCAAGGTCGCTGGGACAGCAAAGGTAATCCCGAGATAGCCACCTGTGCCTCTCTCATCGAGACTCGCGAGGAGCAACTGGACCAGACCACGGAGACCCTCAAAAAGAAGCTAAAACTTGCCACATGGCTGTACTGCTCCGGGTGCGACGAAGACCACGAAAAGTTCAAGCAATTCAGGGAGAGTGTGATTGCGCACAATTTTGGGGATAAGCCTGTCACTGAGGAAGTCCTGGTACTCCTCAACACTGCTATCGAAGGATCTGAACCTCATGACTGGAAATCCTTCTACTCCGCTTCTGGTGTGGACTCGGAAACCAACAAAGAAGACCAAGATGCGGAAGTCGGCCGGAACAGAAACGATGTTGAGGAAGAGGAGGAGGAGGACGACGAAGAACACGAGCCAGCGCCAAAAGCAAAGGGCAGAGGCCAGCGTAAGGCTCGGCCAAAGCGTGTGGTTAGGCCCAAGCCCAAGCCCAAGTCCAAACCAAAGCCCAAGGCAAAATCACAGCCAAAAGGCAAGGACAAGCTCCTTCTCCCCGCCAAACCAACCCAGCCCCGGGAGTTCGACTCAGAGCTGCGAGACGCCACAGCCAACCTCCGCAAGCTGGTCTCCGAATGGGTCCAGCGCAAACGAGCCCTACGGTTCCTCACTGCTGTTCGCCAGATCCAAACTAACCAGGGCATTCCGACTTGCGACAATTGCCAAACGCAACCGGGTCTTCTGTCAAAACTGAACATACTCGGGTCATGCGGTCATGCTCTATGCGCAAACTCAAACTGCACGCAGCTGACCCTTGAGAAAGAGGAATGCGCCGTAGATGGATGTCGCGGCTCCGGGAAGTCCTTCAACGTCATCAGTGCCATGACGCTTGGATGCGACACCTCCTCGCAGAATGGGATTGGAGACGCCGACCACGTCTCGAAGCACGGCGGCACAAAACTCGACGCCCTAGTCGACATCCTCACTAACAGAGTTCCCATCACCGAGCGCGCCCTCCTCTTCATCCAGTTCCCCGACCTGATGGAAATCGCATCCAAGGCCCTCACCTCCGCGGGAATAAGCCACACGCTCATAACCCCCACAGACCTGAAGGCAAGCTCCAAGGTCCAGAAATTCCAGAAGGAAGGGTTCGGCGATAGCAAAGTGCTCATTCTGAATCTTGGTGGCGAAATGGCCGCCGGCTTGAACCTGCAATGCGCAAACCACATCATCTTCCTCTCCCCTCTTCTTTCCCAGACGCAGTACGACTACGACTCGGCGATGATCCAGGCTGTCGGAAGAAGTCGACGATACGGCCAGACGAAACACGTGCATGTGTACCATCTGCTCGCGAAGATGACGATCGACGTGAATATTTTCCAGGAGCGGCGCGGGAATCAGGTTCTTGTTGAGCGCGATGGACAGGCGGTTTTCGTTGATCCTGAAGATGCGCTGACGGAGGAGGCCATGACTTGTCAAGGTCCGACTATGGTTGCTGATCATGCGGTTTGAGTCTATCGTTTGGAGAGACGGTGCGTTGGTGCTTGGAAGATCCATCTGGATACGGACGTGTTTTGTATCGTCTTGCCTATCTCTGGCGAGTAAGATTGGTGCTTCTTGAGGTCACTGCGCGTGATATTTTGCCTCTGGCTTCCCTTGAATGTTGGAGTAGACAAGTCGAGATTGAAGCCTGTATCTAAATTGAATGGAAATCGAATATGAGTATGACAGATAAGAGTGCATTGGGTACTAAACCTTCTATAGAAGCTCCTGGATTCTTTCACGCAAGATCAGGAAACATCATAATATACATACAACCAGCACCCGATGGCCCAAGCCTTGTCCGTCAACCAGCTCGGGATGAAAGGAAAACGCGCGTAAACGGGAAACGGGACCGGGAACAGGAACATGAAACAAACCAACACCAACAAAGAAGAAACTAGTAGTATATTCTTTTCCTCTCGCTCCGAAAGTTATGTGTTAAAACATGAGGTGCGTTTATTGCGCCTGTGCCGCCTCCCCGTCAAGGGCACCGTCCTTCCGCATCATGGTCTCGGGGTCCCACACGGGGTTCTGCAGGTTCGTGAGGCCAGCGCTGTTCTCGCAGGTGTCTCGGCCGGACATGGGACCGGGGGCAGGAATCTTGGTCTGGCCGGAAGCAGTGGCGGCGGAGTCCTTGAGCGCGGTGAGGAGCTGCTTGATCGACTCGGGGGTCAGATCCTCGTAGTAGTCGTCGTTGATCTGGACCATGGGGGCGTTGACGCAGGCGCCGAGGCACTCGACCTCGATGAATGTGAACAGGCCGTCTTCGGTTGTGTGGCCGGGCGTGATGCCGAGGTGTTCTGTGATGGCCTTGACGATCTTGTCGCTTCCGCAGCCGCCGAGCTGGCATGGTGTCTGTATCGCACGTCATATCAGTCAGCCATTTATCCACCACACAGATGGTTTCTCAGAGAAGAGCTTTTGGGTGTAGCGTACCGTTGTGCAGAGCTGGACGAAGTATTTGCCGACTGGGTCACGGTTGTACATTGTGTAGAAGGTTGCGACTTCGTAGACGCGCATCGGGGGCATCTCGAGGATGCGGGCAACTTCGTTCATGACGCTGATGCTGGTGAAGCCGTGTTGGCGCTGGCCGAGGTCCAGCAGGGGCATGACGGCGGCCTTCTTGTATTGAGGGGGGTAGCGGGCGATGATTTCCTCGATGAGCTGGTTGTTCTGTTCGGAGAACTTGAAGGGGATGGAGGGGTTGTTTCCGGGGGTGTTGCGGTGCTATCCGGTCAATGTTAGTACCTCAATCCCTTCTAATCCCTTGTTCCCGGCTCTTGAGGGGCATCGCGAGTCCCACGTACCACTTGGAGAGCGTCGCTGAACCGTTGCGGAGCGGCGGAGAAGGGTCTGAATTGAGGCCGGGGAAGCTGGCGAGTGAACTGGCGGCCGACCCGAGGGACGGCGGGGAAGAATTTGGAAGCCATCGCCGCGAGAGGAGAGTGTGAGGGCGGGTAGGGGTGTGATTGACGGGGATGGGAGTGTTGATGAATGTTGGACTCTGAAGTCTGAACTCGCGGATTTGCGGGAGCTGCGATTGGCCAATCAGCGACGAGAGATTACTCCGCCCACCGCTCACTATAAAACGGCCATCTTCAATCTCTATACAAATCATCGAGTATCTTTAGTGTTTTCTATTATCGATAAAAACAAGTATCAAAACCGAATATGCCTACTGCATGCCCATATTGCACTAAGTACCATCGAACTCCACCCAACGCATCCTACCTGGGAACATAAGATGCCTTTGGCATCGTCTTCAATGCCGATAGCCATCGTACTACGCCCGGTAGACCCTGGATCAAAAGATGTACGTCGTCAGTGCTCAGCTGCTATTTGACGACATCACTGAGTAGGAGGGGCCCTCCGAGGGATACTCCTCCTGGTTGCATCTTCTAGTTCTTGTCTAACTGCCAGATGCTTAATGTTTATCAGTCGGCAGAAGTGAATGCTTTGGGTATCTAATGTCCCCTTGCCTGATATTTAAGCCGAGCATAGGACTACCCATCAAAGAAACACAGCAAGATCTCCGACGCAGGGTCAAACCGCACTTCCTGCCCTCAGCCCTTCAAGTCCAGATATACAGGGGCACACCGTTCAATGTCTCTGGTTGGCAGATCCAGACTTGCCCACCCCCATATATGAACTCATCTGCTCCTAGAGGCTTGTTAGTCATTCGTGTGTCTTCGTATGGCAAGATCTGTCTGTATACACTTATGAATTGCCTCCAGCCCTTTGTCATTCGAAGACCTGCTGCCTTGGAATTTTTCCTATCTGAATGAAGACGACTATCCTTTGGAAGGCTAACGGCTATTTGAGACAATCTTTCATATTTATTTCATGTTTCATCTCTAGTATTCCTGACTCGGGTTTTTTCGACCCCGTATAGTTCCCCAAGAGACATGTGCTTAGTCATTTAACCGACGTCATCGAAAGATTTTCCAAAAGATCGACGACAGCTTCAAATTCTCCATCGGACGCCGCAGTGTCTTGGCTTGGTAAGTTGTGGACTCAAGAAGCAGTATAGAAGGTGCCATGCTCACAGCTAACCCAATGGGGCAGTTGACAGTCTTTTCCGTACCTTACGCGCTCGATCTCCCGGCTTGACTCATCGGGCACCTTCGTCGGACTCACACAACCTCGTCAATTGCGGGGGAGGCAGTCAATCTGCTCCCTTTCGCGCATCGCCTTTTCGCTCGCGGCTTCCCGCGCAGCTTTACCAGGCTTCCTCCAGCTTCCAATACACTGATCGCCAAAATGCACTCCAGCTCGGAAACGACGCGCATCGCGTCAGTCGTCCGCCTGAACAAAGATGGCCCTGCAGAAAATCAGTCGCTTGCAGAATGGTGGGCTAGCGAACAGAGTCAGAACACGCCCGAGGCTGCCGCGATCGCAGAAGCCGCGAAACTTCTTCAGACGAGCGATATCCCCGTCGCATTTCCCACGGAGACAGTTTACGGTCTAGGCGCGGACGCCACGCGGAGTGATGCGGTGCAGGGCATATACAAGGCCAAGCAGAGGCCGTCGGATAACCCGCTCATTGTGCATGTCGACTCTCTGCAGATGCTCGAACGGCTGCTGAATCCCGCCTCGGATACTACCTGCCCGACGAAGATTGTTAAGAACACCATTCCTTCGATCTACGAGCCCCTGATCGAACGATTCTGGCCGGGCCCGCTTACAATTCTTCTCCCGAACCCGTCGGGTTCGCGTCTCGCGCCGGAGGTCACGTCTAATCTTACGACATTTGGTGTGCGCATGCCGTTGTCGCCTTTGGCGCGGCTGCTGATCCACGTTGCGGATAGGCCGTTGGCTGCGCCTTCGGCAAATGCATCTACAAAGCCATCGCCAACGGCGGCGGAACATGTCTTCCATGACCTGCAGAACCGGATTGAACTAATCCTAGACGGTGGGCCATGCGGTGTTGGTGTCGAGAGCACAGTCGTCGATGGGCTTTCCAACCCACCAAGCATCCTACGGCCCGGTGGCGTGGGACTTGAAGAGCTGCGGACCTGTCCTGGCTGGGAGAATGTACAACTCGCGTACCATGACGGAACGTACGATGTGAAAGAGGTCCCTCGCGCACCGGGGATGAAGTACAGACATTACTCGCCTAAAGCGCGAGTTGTTCTTTTTGAAGCCGGCTCGAACCCCCAGGCTATTGCTAACCACGTCAAACGCGATCTACAGGACACAGCCGTCGGTGCGCATTCGATCGGTCTTGTGCGGACGCAGACTTGGGAACGCGGACTCCAGCTCTTACCGGAGGAAGATGTTGAGAGGACGGCAAAGGCTATCCCGTCGCTTGTCAACAACCTAGTCCAGTTCGCTGTCCCCGTTGGTGGCAAGCCGAAGGAGGTTTTCGACTGCCATTTGGGCTCAGACGTTAAGGACGTTGCGCGAGGTCTATTTGCGGCTCTGCGCGCGATGGACGAGAAGGAGGTCGATGTTATCTACGTCGAGGGAGTCTTGGATACCGAGTACCTGGCTGCCGCGGTGATGAATCGACTTAGAAAGGCGGCTGGGTCAACTTTCAAGGTTTAGAAAAAATAGAGGGAGGTTTGCTTCATCCGGTTGACGTTCTTTTGCAGGGCGGTGCGATATAGACGAGTTCTACGAATCATGATTTCTTTTGTTTCTCTTTGCTCTTTCGCGTCATAACGTATACCTAATATGAATCTGTAGACTGACCATCTCCGCTCTCCGTCTCCGTCTTCGGCATCCCCCGGTGCAGATAGAAGTGTGGGTATACGACGGGCCAGGGGACCCACGGCTATCATCCCGGTTTTTATATCCATCCTCAATTTTTGAGTCACCAGCTTCGACTCCTTGACTCACGGCTATCTAGACTACCACGCAGCCTATTCATTGGCCCTGGGTCTTCGAGAAAGGCGTCCGCGGTTTCCAAAAGTTTGGATTGCGTTTTGCAGACTAAACTAGTTGCTGGATGATAGCAGCAAGATCCACTCCTTCCTGAAGCACTTTCCACTGCTCCAGCATATATAGTTCTAGCTTCCTCGGACTCTCTTTCTCGCTTGCGCTCTCTCTCCCTCTCTCTGCCTGATATTCCATTATAATACCTGCTACAGCACAAGGACAATCACCCATATACTTACAAAATGTGCCCCTCCGACGTCTCAACCCAATGGCACGCCTTCCTCTCCGCCCTCCCAAAATGCGAACACCACGTCCATTTGGAAGGCTGCCTAGAGCCAGATCTCATCTTCACCCTAGCCTCAAAGAACAACGTCTCCCTCCCCTCACCCTCAGAAAACCCGGCGTACACCTCAATCGAAACCCTCAGCGAGCGCTACGGCCACTTCAGCTCGCTAGACGACTTCCTCTCATTCTACTTCATCGGGATGACGGTCCTCAAGACGCAAAGCGACTTCGCCGAGCTGGCGTGGACGTACTTCAAGCGCGCGCATGAAGAAGGCGTGCACCATGCCGAGGTCTTCTTCGACCCGCAGGTCCACCTGGAGCGCGGAGTTGCGTATCGGACTGTCGTTGACGGCTATGTGCAGGGGTGTAAGCGGGCGGAGAGTGAGCTGGGGATCTCCACGCGTCTGATTATGTGCTTCCTCAAGCACCTGCCGCTGCAGTCTGCGCAGGATCTTTATCATACGGCGCTGAAGGAAGGTGATCTTGACTTTGAGGGGAGGGACCCCGTTATTCACGGCCTGGGCGCATCAAGCAGTGAGGTTGGGCCGCCGAAGGATCTGTTCCGCCCGATTTATCTCTCTGCGAAGGAGAGGGGCATCAATTTGACGGCGCATGCAGGGGAGGAGGGGGATGCGAGCTATATTCTTGCGGCGCTGGAGAAGGGCGCGACGAGGATCGACCATGGGATTCGGCTTGTTGAGGATCCGGCGCTTATGGAGAGGATTGCGAGGGAGGAGGTGCTCCTGACGGTTTGTCCGGTGTCGAATGTGCAGCTGAAGTGTGTGAAGAGTGTTGGGGAGGTGCCGATCAGGAAGTTCCTTGATGCCGGGGTGAGGTTTAGTATCAACAGTGATGATCCTGCGTACTTTGGGGCGTATATCCTAGAGTGCTATTGTGCGGTTCAGGAGGCGTTTGGCTTGAGTTTGGCGGAGTGGAAGACCATTGCTGAGAATGGAGTTAAGGGGAGCTGGATTGGGGAGGAGAGGAAGAACGAGCTGTTGGGGAGGATTGATGAGTGCGTTAAGAGGTTTGAGGGTGTTTTATAAATAAATTACCTGTGTGTATAGATCCGCATAGATATAGAGCATGTGCCATTAGCTGGTCCTTACTGGGAAACTCTCAACAGTACAGACTTTCTTCAGCTTCGTGGTTCTATCTACGTAGTCGTGGGATGTATCTTGCCTCAAGTCAAAAACGACTGACGATGGCATTAGGAGGCGATCTTGTAGAACGAGGCTGTTCGCCTTTCGATGATCAAGTCTCTCGAAGATGAACTGAGGAGTAGCAAATTGATTCTGGTTTGGGGATATTGTTGATATTATATGCAAGACCTTGCAACCACCTAGGAGAACGGCCTCTTATCACTGGCTGATAGCAGGACAGATCAGATGCAGATGCTAGGTTCCTTAATTAACAACCATATATAGATGCCAAAGTACTTCAAGGCTATTTCTTCTTCCCACCTTTGCCTCCCTTGTTACCACCACCCCCCTTCGCCTTCCCCTTGTCGCCACCACCACCAGCAATCATAATCCGTACTTTGCCTACCGGCACGGTGTTGATGATCTCCGTATCCTTCCACCCCTTAAGGAGTTCACCCTCTCTCGCTCTCAGCTTCTCCGCAGCAGCTCGACTAATGCCCGCATCCTCAGCATGTTCCTTCTTGGCCTTCCCAGTCGTAGTCTCAGACACCCAGCGGCCCAGAATCTCCTTGACGGCCTTGCCCTTCTTCACCGCACCAGGCTGCAGCTTAACGCGGTACTTATATTTCCCAAGCGACGACCAAGGCGCGCACACCGGGATAGCCGCGAGAACCTCGTCGTCGACATGAGGCGTCCCAACAAGTGCAGGCAGCCATTCAAGGTCCGCAGCCTCTGCGGCAGCAGTCTGCTCGTCGTAGTCATCGGTTGCTCCCTCCTCGAATAGAGCCTGGCGTTTGCGCTCCGCCTGTGCAGCCCGTTCGTGCTGCGCCTTGCGGCGCTTCTTTGCCTCCTCGGCTTCTTTTTCGCGCTTCGCCTTTGCTTCGGCTTCGGCGGCGGCTTTCTGTGCTTTGGCGCTGTTTGCGCCTAGGATGCGGAGGGCCAGTGCTCGTTCTTCTTCGTCTTGGTCTGCGTATTTGGATGCTGCTTTCTTTGCTTTACCTTTTCGGCCGCGGGCTGGGGCGGCGGCTGGTTTTGCGTCGGGCTTGGGGTTGTTTCCATTAGGCGCTGGTGTTGAGCGTCCGCTTGCTTCTTCTGACTTTTCCGTAGGTGTGTCAATGGGCTTCCCCTTTCGGAGTAGACGTTTTTCCCTTGCAGAGAGGTGTCGTTTCTCCTGGGTCTGTGAGGCAGCTACACTTGCGGCGTCGTCCATTGCTGACTGGTCATCTGCTGGGAGGTCTTCCTCAACCAGTTCACCCGCTTCTTCATCGGCCTCGGCTTGACCTTCTTTTCCTTCTTTCTCTTGTGAAACCTCTTCCTCAGCAGCATCCGCATCGCCCGACTCCTCATGTTCGTTCGGATCCGCTTCCTGCGTGACGTCCGGGCGGGGCTGCAATGGGTTCTCGGTGGAAACTGCGCCCTTAGCCTCTTCCTCATCGTCCGATCCAGAACCCTCTGCTTGCTCCTGTTCCTCAACATTCTCCGGTAATTCAACCGGTTCAGCTGATTTGCTTTCCTTCTGAACTTCAACGTTTTCGGTCTCGTTTGTCATCTGAGTCTGCTCCAGAGCCGGAGCAGCGTCTTCGGACCTAAGGCTCTTATGGTGGACGAGACTCTCCTTGCTGACCTGCCACATTACACCAAAGCCCAGAACAAGCTGGGAAGGAGCAAGGAAATTCTTCTCTCCCTTGACGAGAAATTCGCCGACGGGGAGAAGGTCACCTGCTACAGATGTCTTTGATACCTGGGCAGCATCGACCCAGTACGCGGACATGACCGCTTTGGAGTCCCACGCCGTCGATGTCGCGACACAGAGGTTGCCCGCCTGCGACAGAGTGGTAGGGGATATAGAAGAGCTCGAAGCTCCGGGTTTGTTCTTGACAATCATTGGTGTAGCACCTTCGAGATCGGCGTGTACGAACACATCCCCTTTGCGGAGATACCGGCGGTAGAGCATCTCGCTTTGCATGCCATCGCGGCCGCTGAGATAGTCAGCATAAGCAGGACTTGTGTATTGAAGGACCATACTCACCCGAGCACTAGATACCCTTCAGAAGAGATGAAGAACAGGAATTTCTCGAACCAGAAAGGATTTCTGGAAGGTCGTAGGACCTGTTTCTCCTGCTTCAAGTTTCGCTTGAGATCATCCTTGACCTTCTTTTCGTGGCTCTTCAACGCCTTTGCGGAAGACTGCGTTGTTTTCTCGGCCTTGACAGCAGCCACCCTCTTTTGCTCGAAGTATTGCGTGGCGTTTGCCCAAGGGCTAAGACCAAGGTCGATGTCTATCGTCAAACCTTCGGGCTTCTCCTTAGGGCTTGCTGCTTCTTTCTCTTCCTCTTCTTCCGAGTCTTCAGACTCGTCATCAGAGAACAACTCCTCTGCCTCGTCGCCTTCATCACCAGTTTCTCTTAACAAGAGCGTTATTGTGTTCTCGTAGAGCTTCAGCGGCAACTTTATGATGCTTGCAACAGGGTTTCCGCGTTTTTGCTCCATCTCAACCAAGCGCGCAATTTCCACCCAGTCCATCCCTTGCGCAATCAATCCGTTGACAGCATCCATGGCCTCTTGCACTCGGTAGACATTGTCCTGGATAGCGCTTGCCTTCCGGATATGTAGATCCTGAGCTTGCTCAAGAGCCCCAATGCGCTTTTCATGTTCATTTCTAAGCGCATTAAGCTTCTTCTTCGCCGTCTCCTCCCGTTCCGTTAGTCTCGATTCTAGCTTCTGAGACTCGATAGACGAGAAGTACTCATCGACCGTCGCGTTCATCGAGGGATATTCCAAGATAATGAACCCTTCCTTCCCTTCAAACTGTCGCGGCTTGAATGGATGGAAATCTTCGTAGAGCAAAGCAGGTTTCGAGGTCTCAGTCTCATTGTCCTTTTCAGAGTCCTGTTCCGGTGCCTTTGGACGTGTATCTTCTTTCGCAACAATAAACCCAGGATGGCTCTTCTCCGCAGACAAGTCAGCAGTCACGCCCTGTGCCTCCTCTAAGACTCCCGAGACTACATCGATAAGGCTTTCATCCCCCAGAACCTGGTCCAGCGGCGTCGCCGGATCAGCGCCCCGAGTCGCAAAGGCGTGATCTAGTAGAAGCGGCGGATACTCCGGGAATCCCTGGGACAGAGCCTTGCGCAGAACATCCGTATTCTTCTTCTTGGACTTCTTAGGCGCGCCGTCCTGCTGCGCAAAAAGCGTCTTCGCCTTCTCCAGCGTCTCCCGGATCCGATCTCGCGTGATCGGAGGCACACCGTTGTAGTTCTGCTTATTTGTCACCGTGTACTTCAGACCAACCTTCGCTTCCTCCGCCCCTTCGCCGCCTGGTACCTGACGGAGGAGCGCGATAATCGTGTAGTCTTGGTCGGTGATAATGATGTTCCCGCTCGCGAAGAACTCGAGCAACATATGATACATGCCATCGCTAAAGCTGAAGTCGATGATGCGGTCTGTGCCGATCTGCGTTACGGAGGTGATACGGCGGGATTTGAGGCATTTGCGCAGGCGGCTCACGAAGGTGGAGGGGGTTGCTGCTGTTGCTCGCGAGTATTGAGTCACATGGCATCGGAAGCCGGAGTCGACGATCAGTTGCTTGCGGTGGTCGGGTTTCGCGACTTTGAAGAGGAAGATCCTCTGGAACAAATACGAAGTCAGTATAAACAGCAACGAAATAGCGGTGCCGCGCAACTTACCGTGGACAGGTCATAGATGTTTGAGACCCGGAGGCCGACTAGCTCTGAGGCCAGTTCCTTGGATATTACCTGAAGACGTGCTTGTTAGGGAGCATTGCTTGAGGGCCAGCTTGCGGGCGCTTACCTGAACATCCAGGGAGGAATATCTTTGTTTCATCTTGTGGTCTGTTCTTCCAGTGCCTTTGAGCGAAGCTGTTGGAGAAGTCAAAGAGTTTTGCGCAAGCCCGATAATCTTAAAGCGTGACGTATGCGGGGCAGTTTCCCACTCATTCTGAATCATTCTAGGGCTTCTAGAAGCTTATGAATTACCGCTTTCTTCAAGTCCCATCAATAATCCACGTTTATTGGTTATATTCACGATTTTTTGTAGGCATGGTAGCTGCCCACTGCCCACAGTCCAGTCGCTATTGTCTACCCCAGGCGCACCAGCTAACCCCCAACACAGCCCAGCAAATCGGAGTATCTCTATAGAGCTCACAGCTCTTGAAAAAAAGCCATCATGAAAGGGAATCGAGTAAATAGTATGGAATCATGAATCAACAATGAGCAACGCATAGAACCGCGCCAAACCCAACCGGATCGCATAAAATAGAGAAAGCGAAACAAACGTTCATGCAATATTCATGCAGGTATAGAAGCATTCAACAAGGCTGCTTTTCCCTCCCTCATCTACATCTGCCTCAATCCCTCCGCCAGGCGCCGTTTTCCAAGCTCCCAGGCATTGAGCAAACCTTGTTCGGAAAGATCAATGCTCTTCAAGTTCGGTGCGTCGGGTTGAGGCGCCCGGCTGACACGGGACGCAATCAACACAGGATCCGTTTCGAGAATGATACCGTCGTCGATCAGTTCATCAATGGCCAGGGCGACCAGGTCGTAGTTCTCAACAATTGTGCGCTTGTCCGTGGCACCCCTAAGCAAGAACCAGGTTAGTCACCTCCGCCTCCGCAACTTCCATATAACAACACGGGCACGCACTTGAACAGTATTCCCAGGGCATCTCGCAGCGAGAGAACAACGTTGTAAAGTAGCACTTCGTTCTCCTCCGCACCGCCGACCACGTAGAGCATCACATCGCTCTCCAGCTTGAAAACAACAATACGATTGTCGTACAGGATGACATCGCTAGTCTGCTTGTTGGTCTTCTCTAACAGGCCCTTCTCGAATGCCTTCTGTTCTTTGAGTGTCGGGTAGGGGTTGGCTCCGGGGTAGTCGGTGGAATTGGGGGCAACGCCGGCCGGGGGGTGAGGTGGTGAGTAGTACTTGGCGAATATGCGAGAGCCGTCATCGGCCGACATCACAAGGACGGCATTGACGGAGAAGAGAGAGAGAGATCCCATCTTGAATTATTGTCGCCAGATGTTGAGATAAAGTGACCGAGTGAGTGGTTATTCACGGGGCTCCGTTTACTGTCAAGCTGTCCGCAATTCGGAAGCCGCCCCAATATTGTTCCGCGCTATACTCCTTCAGCCATGCTGTCGAGTAACTTGGAACTCGAGAAAGTATGAATACTTAGCATATATGAAATCGCGACTAGATTGTAGTTTTAGTAGACAATGGAAGTCTACAAGGACAGTTCGGTTGAATTTCGTGGATGTGTTCGTTAAGAATATCATTCAGTACCACTGCGGCTATATACGTTCGTTGGATAGATAATTGCATAAACTGAGGAATACCGTCTTCGAGAAGTGGCCTGAGCATGAGTAGAAAGGCATAATCATCATGATCAACATAAATCAAGGCCTGGGTATTCAAACAGGATGATAGCTCGATAGTCCAATTACAACAATCTCCAGGATCCAACAGCTGAATCTTCGTAGTATAAGAAAAAATACATAAAGGGCATCAAGACAATACAGAGAAGGGAAAGTATAAAGAGGAACGTTGGTCATCAAAAGTGCGTGAGAAGTGGATTAGTTCTGGGCGGACTCGCTCGAACCTGGACGGTTGAACCATGAGATCCAGCTTCCCCTGTTTGCCTTCTTTCGGGCAGCTTCCTCGTCCTCAGCAGCCTTAGTCTCGCTAACTAGTCGTAGCGGCCGTAGCTTGCTTTGAGTCATAACTGCACCCGTATAGTTCGTCATACCGTTGCTCGACCGAGGAGAGTTGGAAGTGGCACCGGTCGACGCGGTGTCATTAGGAGGGTCACTTGACACACTACCTGAGCTGCTTAGATGGCCGCGTTCAGGCTGACTGGACAGCGAGGGTGCACGACTGCTAACAGACATACCCCCTGGTGCATAGTTTGCTCCAGTGAAGGTGTTGCGTGAAACAGGTCCCATCATGGTGGGGCTAATAGGGCCGCCGGAGTTGCGTCCGCGGTACATCTGGCCGACAACGACTGCGGCGCCCAAATCCGTTGTCTGTTCAGACCTCGTCCTACGGTGGCCTCGTACAGACTGAGCACGGTTGATTGGGATGCTAGGCGCTGTTTGTGGGTTCTCGTGGGCGTTTATAGCACTTGGGGCGGATGGCGGCGGCATCATGCTGGTCGGACGCGACCGTGGCTGAGGCTGAGGCTTGTTGGTGTTCTGGCCAGAAACAACAGACTTGGCTCTCTGCAGGAAGGTCTGCTGGTCTTCTTTCTCCGGGGGAGTTGGCGGAAGGTCCTTGTCACTGCCGGCTGGCTTTGTACCAGCTGGCGGGTCGTTGTCGTTCTTATCTAGGATATGTTCAAACCCCTCATGTTGCAAGAGCCGACTGATGATTCGCTCAATATACAATGTCAGAGCTTTGTTTTGGTCCTTGAGTGCCTTGAGCTCTGACTCTAGTCTGCGGTTGTCGTCTGACTCGGGACGAGCATCCGCAGATTCCAGCTCATCGGCCAATGAGCCCAAGCCACCGGCAGTTTCCTTCGCATCCGAAGTGTCAGGGTGAACTTCTCGCATGAAGTCACCCTTGGCGAAGTCGCCGTTGAGAGTTCGTTCGCTAAGGAGTAGCTGGTAACTCTCATTATCCTCCATCAAACGAGCATTCGCCATTCGAGCCTCCAAGAGTTCCTTTTCCAACTCTCGTTGGCGGCCGCCGCCTTTGTTTTCCATCTCCACGAGCTTGATCTGGGATTCGGCTAACTCAAGCCGCAACGACTCGATCAATTTATCCTTCTGCAGGAGTAACTTGGAGTTGTTGCGCGAAGGGCTCCGTTCAATCTGAGACGAAGGCGCGAATTGCCCTTCGATGTCCGGAGAAGCTCGGTTGCGAAAACTGGCTGCATTACCATTAGTACTGGGTTCACGGAAAAGGCTCCAGAAGATTGCGATACTTACAAGAGCGGGACACATTCTTATCATTATCAGCGCTGATGCGCATGTCTTTCTGAGCAACAGCCTCCTTCAGGCGCTGGATGGTGGCCTGCATCTCTTCCTCGCGGCTGGCCTGTTGTTCCTTCTCCTGTAGCATGGCATTCCGTTCCAATTCATGAGCCTGCTCCAAATCGCGAATCTGCCGGACATGTTCACGGATCTCGCCGTTCAACGCTTCAATCTTATTACCCCTTTCATGGCTTTGGTCCTCCAACTTGGCTTGTTCGGTAACGGCCTCGTCCAGGCGCATTTGCAGAACGCCAAGTTGTTTGCGATACTGCTCGGAAGCAGTCTCGGCTTTTTGCAACTGCTCTTTCAGGTCTTCGATGAGTGCCGCATTTTGAGCCCTCGCTTCTTCTTCCGACGGGTCGGCAGCGATCTTGGGAACGCTTGACATGCTCAGATTGGAGCGGCCAGGCTTCCGGGCTGCCGCTCGTGCGGACACCGGGGCTGATCCTCTGAGAGAGGGAGTCCGGGACAAGCCATTCGTCGATGCAGCAGTGGGAGATCGGCTATGGCCTCGCGGCGGAGTGCCACTCGTTGTAGAATCTGTGGCGGAGGTCCTGTTGGCATTGGCGGGGGAGCCAGGCTTCCGAGGCGTCGCAGACATCTTGACCGAGATCGGGTATCAAAACGAAGGCTGCTTGCAGGTTGATTCGATAGGGGGGACGGAGGAAGACAAAGGGCCTTGAAGAACAAAGTCGGATGAAACGCTGGGAAATTAGCAGAAAAGTTTCAGGACGGGCGTCTCGAGGTTGTAGCCTAGTTGTAGTAGCGGTCAAAACACAGCCGGAGTAGTAGTGGAGGACTACCACTAACGACGGTGGGGGAGGCCGGCGTAAATTGGCTGGAAGGTCTCGTCACTTTTAATACAGAAGTGATAGAGAATCTGCCAAATGCTCAACACGAGTAAAGCATGAGAAGAAGAGAAACAAAGGAAGCGAGGAGCTTATGTGCAATGTTAGGGATTTGATGGCCAGCATGCGCGACGGAGGATAAATTATTATTCTGGGGGATGGGCCAATCTGCCGCAATCTGCCTAGCCCGCTGCCCCGTATGGCAACGCCGATGGCGTTCTTATCCTCCCCTTGCCAGCTACGAATAACATCATAATTATTGCTGCGATGGCAGGGTAATTTACGCAGCTGACGATATGTCTGAGAGCTGCTTATTGCGCCCTTGTCAGATTTCGGGCCTTATCCAGGTTATCCTCTCATCAGCTCGTGTTGGCGGTTGAGATCTGATCTGCAGGTCGTTGATACGAGACCGTTTTGGCCAAACGGCCCCTTTGCCTAGCGACGGACGATAAAGATAGCCCCAAGCAACCCTCCATCATCCTTGCGCCGTCCTCTAGACAACAGACAGTCCAGTAAGATCATTATTGACACAACAACGCATCATTTCCTGCCCCCAATATCGAGTCTGCGCCACTATGCGTGCATCATTGTCCCAGCCATCTGGATCCATCAGCGTAAAATACTTACATCAGCGGTATCAGGGGATCGATCGAAAGTAGATTAGCTCCAGCCCTGGGTGACTAAGGCTACTCGGCAACGGAGGAACAACGATCCGGTCCTCGCCAAACCCACAAAAAATCACCATACCCGTCTTTTTGCACCTCATCCCAATCAAAGACACGGCCGGAGCGCACGTATTTCAATTCACCTCAAAACTACATCCACAACAGCGCAACGATGGCCCCCAAGAGCAAGAAGGCTGGTGACACTATCTCCTCGCGCCTGGCGCTTGTGATGAAGAGTGGAAAGGGTATGTGCATCAATTGGCGTGTTATCGATTTTTATCGTCTCGGGATGGAGTTTCTAACCATGCTCGATTTTTACAGTCACCCTTGGCTACAAGACCACCATCAAGACCCTGCGTGTGAGTACCCGCGAACGAATCGACGAACACACGACATGAAAAGAAAGAAAACGCAAGATACTGACTCCAACAAAAGTCCGGCAAGGCCAAGCTGGTCATCATCGCCGCCAACACTCCTCCCCTCCGCAAGTCTGAGCTCGAGTACTACGCCATGCTTGCCAAGACTCCCGTTCACCACTTCTCCGGTAACAACGTGAGTGTCACCTCGTCCGAAATGGCCGTCGCTGTGCCGGTGCATGCAGACGGAATATGGGATGCTAATTATGGGACCAATAGATCGAGCTTGGTACTGCCTGCGGTCGTCTCTACCGCTGCTCCACCATGACTGTTCTGGATGCTGGTGACTCCGACATCCTTACCAGCCAGTAAGCGTGAGCGCTGGGATCGTTATGTCTGAATGATGAATGTCGGCGAAATGCCATATTTCAAGAGATTTTAGTCATGACAATATAAAAATTCAAAGACCCAGAACTATGCTCGTAGGTACTTGGTACAGGTACGGTGTACTCCGTAGAGATGGTATAGCGGCGAAGATCCATCAGCGTAGATAAACTGATAAAGACTCGGAGTAATCATTTACCACCATCATGAAACGCGCCGACGGCCTTTGAAGCCTGACAAATGGGTTAATGCGTCATATCCGCTGCGGGCGGTGATTGGCGGAGAGGCTAGGGCTTAGGGTTTTGCCACTCGTTAGCGGGAGTTGATTGGAAATCAAGCCAAAGTGCCCCCAGTCAAAAGAATCCCTTCTCTTTTCGCTCTTCGACACCACCCTTTCGACAAACCCATCACCCAGTTTGCATAAACAGCAGTCAAAATGGCTCGCCGTCCCGCCCGCTGCTACCGCTACTGCAAGAACAAGGTGCGTGCGATATTTCGAGATTCTGGATGTTTTTGTGTGGTTTTGGCGGGCGGTCTCGCTTGTGGGCCGCGATATGAAGAATGAACGAGGGAACAGAAGGACGAGAGGCCGCCCGAAAAAATCGCATCGCCAGCGATCTATCCGTCATAAACAGAAGTTGCGAAACGGAAACGATGAATGCTGACGAGCCTCTCGATCTAGCCCTACCCCAAGTCCCGGTTCAACCGTGGTGTTCCCGACCCCAAGATCCGTATCTTCGATCTGGGACGTAAGAAGGCCAACGTCGACGACTTCCCTCTCTGCGTTCACCTCGTCTCCAACGAATATGAACAGCTCTCCTCCGAGGCTCTCGAAGCCGCTCGTATCTGTGCCAACAAGTATGTCCCCGACAACCACCGAACCCGATCTTCGCGACAAAGGAATCAGAAGCAAAGGAATGAAAGGATCTAACATGGGAAAACAGGTACCTCGTGAAGATCGCCGGTAAGGAAGGTTTCCACCTCCGTGTCCGCGTCCACCCCTTCCACGTCATCCGTATCAACAAGATGTTGTCTTGCGCTGGTGCCGATCGTCTCCAAACCGGTATGCGTGGTGCTTTCGGAAAGCCCCAGGGTAAGGTCGCCCGTGTCAACATCGGTCAGATCATCCTGTCCGTCCGCACCCGTGACGCTCACCGCGCCACCGCCATCGAGGCTCTCCGCCGCTCCATGTACAAGTTCCCCGGTCGCCAAAAGATCATCGTCTCCAAGAACTGGGGTTTCACCCCCGTCCGCCGCGAGGACTACGTCCAGCTCCGCCAGGAGGGCAAGCTCAAGCAGGACGGTGCCTACGTCCAGTTCCTCCGTGGTCACGGTCTGATCGAGGAGAACATGCGCCGCTTCCCCGACGCCTACTCTGCTGAGGCTTAAATGTTTTGTTACGTTAGCGTTAGGATGAAAAGGAAAGGGATCTTGCAGAATAAATAATCGTTCATGTTCCACATCTCCACCGGTCTGGTGGTCCACTACGTAGCCGAAGCGTAGACGCCAAAGTCGCAAAATTCCTTACCCTTCATAATTCAACAACTGTCATTATTCCAAGTTGCTAGTCACCCGGAGCTCCCTTAGCTTACATACGTCCATAAACCATAGCTCAAACCCCAGATCACCTCATCTCCATGACCACCAACCTATCCACCTACAGGAACAACAGCTGAAGTCCACAGCCATCCCAAGCCCGAACTCGACAATCTAAACCTTCACCAAATCCCCCGGCTCAACCCGCAAGATATCGTCCGCATTACTCTCATTCTGGATCAAGACGCGGCCGCGCTCCGCGGCGCCAATGACTATGTAGTATGCGCTCTGGTAGCGCACGCGCGCGCCGGGTGCAAACTATATACAAGGCGAGTTAGTCAATCTGGAAGTAAACGTTGGGGGAGGGAGACGAACGGCCATGGCAGGGTTTACGTGAGGTGAGGTGAGGTTGTTGGTGTATATATTTGTAGTTTGATTTCGTCTGGAGAGGAAATAGGGTTGATAGAGTAGAGGCTGTGCTGATATACTTGTACTTGTGGATGATACAAGCAGGATGGGTAGGTGGTAAGAAGGTAAGACCGAGCCTTGGGGATATATATACTCCAAGTTGTCCAACCTTGACGAGGCTGAGCAGGTCGTATGAACTACGTAGCGAAGTGTTGGAGGCCTATAGCCAATTGGTTTTCATGGTCTAGCGATATGCTGACACGAAGTGCATCACGAGCAAGACATGGCTGATCTCGGCTGAACGACAGGACAAGGCTGGACACTTTGGGTTTATCTACAACCAATGCAAGCCTGGGGTTAGGGCACGAGACTGGCCTGGAATATATTTCAGTACTACCTATGGAGGTCGGGAGGCTTGGAATCATCACGCTACGATACGGGGTGGGTGTGAGATTGATACGTCTGGCGTCTCATCCAATGCGATGAGGCGGATGTATTAGATGCAATAGGTACTTTGTTTCGCAACACAGGGGGGATAGGATGTAGGGTCTCGGAAATATATGCCATGAGAGACGCAACGCCTTGATATCCACTCACGTCAGAGTGTTGCCATGATGATGTCAAGCTGCCGTGTGGACTTGTTAGAAGAGATGTCCGTCGCAGGGAAAAGAGCCATGAAAAATGCCATAAGTGAAGCGTGAAGTGATGCCGGGAAGATGACCAAGAGTAAACATTGTATATGTATGTAGGCTGAGTAAATAAGAGATTATGTGGCAGGCGAGTTGTGAAGTCTAAATAGACTTATATGCAAGGAAATTATAGTGAGGATGGCCAGCACCCAAAGGTATCTGGAAGATACCGTAATAAATGGTTAGGACACGTAGGCCTACACGTCGCCCCAAGCCCCGATACCAGGAGGTGCAGGGGCAATAGCACTCCCGCTATCCACGCTCCCGCCAATGTCCCAGTAATTGCGGCTGGAGCCGGTAAGAGTCCGGCGACTAGAGATAGCGGACATCTTTGCGCTCTGGCTGGCGCAGCTCGAGCTGGCACGGCGGATATGCTGGCGTAATACGGGGGAGGAGACACCAGTCGGGCCTGAGTATTGAGACTGGCGACGGATTTGGGCCTGAGACCTTGAGTGTGCGCGCGCAACAAGCGGGTGATGCTGACGGATGATGGCGGCGCGACGAGATGCATCTTGCGAAGCGCGACGTGTATTGTGGACGTCGGGGTTGCTCGGCCGCCGACCAAAGCGGCTCCGGAGGTAGCGGAAGACCATCATGATATCGACTTCGCGTTCCCAGTACTCTTTATCCTGCTGCTGCCGGGTGGATTCAGATAGTGGTTCCGTTGATCGAGTCGGAAGATCTTCGTCTTCGATGCCCCACTGAGCTGCGTGCTCAAGGTTTTGATCTTGGATGGTAGGCATAAATTGAGGAGATAATATTGAGTCATCGTTGCTTGCAGCCTCCGCCCTGGAATCCGCGCCTGTAGATGCGTGGTTGCTCTCTTCAGGTAAACTGCTCAGAGGGATTCCAGCGTACTGGTTAGGGATATCGTTAGCCATATTGAGGTATGTTGTGAATGCTCCTGGGTGTTCGCAAAGTTGGTTGACAAGGATTCCTAGCTCGCGGGCTATACGTTGAAGTAGTCTCGACTCCCAGCGGTCGTCGCCCGTAGCTGTTTCCGGCCCTTCGTTTAGTATCTCGTCTATTTGCTGCTTCATGTCTGTCCCAGGTTCGTCCTGTCCGTCAGACTCGGGTAAAGTCTCTCCAAAGATGACCGAAAGTAATGACTCGTCAATGCCTATTATATCTCGGATGACCTTTCGGGTGATCCGCTGCCAGAAGGATTCATCCTCTTCAACCGTGGGCTCAGAGGGTGCCTGACCCTCTTGGGGTATCGCCCGTACGCTAGGTGGCTGTTCTGAATGTCTAACCTGAGAGTCGGTCTCGACATTTGGAACGCTCAGGCGACTGTTGCGCCGTCGCCGCGTGGCTTTCTCGATCTCATGTAAAAGAACACGGCTCTGGTCCATCCTCCATTGCTCAATGCGCTGCCACCGTTCGCGATCGGCATCCGTTTGCTCCTCATCGGCAACAGCGTCCAAATGACGCTGCACGCTTGAGCGCCGCCGATGCCCGAGCGACGGCCGTCGAGTAGGGTTATACTGCTCATATTGCCACAGCTGGTTCTGCACGGTCTGATCAGACGCAAGGAAGCTTCCTAACCCATCGTGAGCGGGAAGTTGAGCAGGAGCTTGATCCCATCGCACACTATCCCAGCGCGTATTGGACTCGGAAGCGGGGGAAGGCGCTCTGAACGCGTGGAGGCCATCATCGAGACTATCTAGCTCCGTCCCATCTTCGTCTAGCGGGTCATCGAGCGTACCGCCGGCCTCACTCTCCAGCTCACGACCAGACCGTGTATATGCATTGAGAGAACCGAAGTCGCTGAGCCGCGATGCGCCTACAGTGCGTGGGCTCCGTGGGGTGCGCTCAGTGGAGGTCGTGTGAGTGCGGGCGGTGGCGGAGGGCTGCGACGGGGAGAAGAGCACCCATTCTTTGGAGTCGTTCTCGCGAACTTCAGGAAGAGATTGAGGAATATCAAGAGCGGAGGGTTGGGGAGCAGTATAGGACGGGCGCCGGCGCGGAACTTGTGGTGGTTGACGAAAAGCCATGGATTGTTGTTAAACTTGGGGTTGGAGTTGGAGACTCGAGATAAGATGAGAGTTTAGATAGCGGTGGGTCCCCGCATAGAAAGAAGCGTGAGCTATAATGCTATAGTTGTAGGTGAAAGGGGGTGAGAGTATATATAAGTGACGAAAAGGAGACAACTGCCGACTATGTATGCAGTAGAAAAAGCAAGTAAGAGAGGCCAGACAACGTGAAGAAGAGATAAATGAGGGCGACTTGTCACTCCGCAGGAGGTCAGACAGGCTGCTCTGCCCGATAAGCCGGTGATCGCCCCAACCGGTCAAGGTCGGGCGGAAAACGCGACTCAGGCGTGGCGCTGCAGCAGCTGAAAGTGTACCTAGTCAAGGCTAGTGATAATAATATAAAAGAAAAAGGGATAAGAAATAGTAACAAAGAGACGAGTTTGAGGTATGGTGGTGCTGGATGCGGCGATGATTGTTTGCGGATGATGCAAGAACGCCCAGTACGTAGTCACCAGACAGCCAACAATATCCTTAGTCGTACTCCTGCTGGTTACCTTTGTCCCTTTGTCGGGTATCAGGTAAGAATAGAACAGGCAATATACTTGAACAAAATATCCTGATTTCTCATCTCTGATTTATTATCCATCCACACACTGCGTATCCTGATCATCCCACTCCCTGGACATGTCATACAGACCGCAAGAGGGGGCGATATTCTGGGTCCTCGACTACAGTTCCACCGTGGAACACCGGGTTTCGAGTTGCTGTCTCCGCTGCAGGAGGGAATAGGCTTTCTTCTCCTGCTGCTGCAATTCTTCCGATGTTCGGCCAGGAGGCTGAAACAGCGCCCAGCTAGCCTATGCGAACGCGGAACGTCATCTCGATATCAGACGCCAAGCGTCGATATCAAGGTTGAGACTTGAGGGTCTTGAATCTATACATTATCTAAGTCTATGGTGTGTCGCTTGCTAATCATGATGCGAATGCGAGATAACGCCATATGCCAGATCACCTACTCCCCCGCTAGAGCCTCTCCCACCCAGTCCATCTGCACTGCACTCACCCCTCGCGCATAACTGCGGTTCGTGAACACAAACTCATTGTACAGGATCGCCTCCACTTTCTTCCCGAAAAGGACACTGGAGGGGTGAATCGCCACTGTCTGGTTCCCCACCACAGTACGGTAGCTACCGTCCGGGACCAGACGAGCGGTGTTCGTAGAGAACCCCCGCAGGAAGCTCTTCAAAATGAACACTGGCGACGGGTCCCGGATAGATGAGGATGCGTCTGAGCCCTGTGGCCCGGTCAAATTTGGAAGCAACTTGGCTTGTCGGCATTGAGCTGTCAGTTGTTTACGGACATCCTGGAATCCCGAATATTAGCCGTGCGCCCTGCTTAAGGCTATTAGGGTAATGTGTGGACTTACCATAACAGACTGCATCGCCCGATGTGAGACCAGATGCCGTTCTGCCCATGCCTTCCGATCGGTATTTTCTGACGCGTAGGCCCGTACCGTTGCAAGCATCGTAAGGTGGTCGCCTTCTCGTCGGTATAGATCTCGCCGAGCTGTCTCGGCAGCCTCCTTCTTTTCTTCCGATGTCGTGTTCAAAAATATGTTTTCCACGCTTAGGCACGATATAATATCAATCACATCGATCAGACAATCCGGTCCAAATTCGGACGCAGCGAGCAATACCCGTCCTAATGTCGGGGTGAGTGGAAGCTTAGCGATGTGCGACCCAATTGCACTGATGCTGCCCGTCTCATCGAGGGCTTCAATGCTCAGCAACTGAAGAAGCGCCTTCTCTAAAGCTTCCCGCGGAGGCCGTGTCAGGAATGGGAACTCAACAACGTTGTCTACCCCACGAGCTTTCATGTTGAGTAGAGCTTGGCTCAGGTCACATCGCAGTATTTCTGGCGTATTGACCTCATCCAAGCCCAAGTAATCTTTCTCTGTATATAGTCGGTAGCACTTTCCAGCCGCTTCTCGTCCCGCACGACCCTTACGCTGAATAGCAGCAGACTTTGAGATGGGCTTGACGAGCAGCGAATCTAAGCCCAACCGGGTCCGGAACTGCTTAATCTTGGCCTTTCCACAATCCACGACAAACCGTACACCAGATACTGTAACGGACGTTTCAGCGATGTTCGTAGCCAGAATGATCTTGCGCGTGCGTGGCGGCGCAGGAGCAAAGACTCGCTGCTGAGCTACCTGTGGAAGCGCTGCGAAGAGCGGAAGGACTTGGATCTTCGGCAAGGAAGGATCCATCCCTGTAGCATACTCGTTGACCAAATTCTCCAACGCTTCAACAGTCTCCTGACCTGTCAAGAAGACTAGTATATCACCAGGAATAGGCTCCTTGTAATGTATCTGGAAGATGACCTTCAGCGCCGCATCAACAAAATCATGCACAGGTTCCGGCGAGTATATCGTCTTGACCGGGAACTGGCGGCCCTTAATATGGCACACCGCAATGCCATCTTTCTCTTCCTTCTCGGCATCTTGCACGCCCTGGCGCCCCTTGAATCCCTCCACAAAGAACTCCTGTAAACTCTCCATATCAGCCGTAGCACTCATCACCACAGCCTTGAGCGGGACGCCTCCTCTCCCTTCCTTCTTCCCAGAGACCAGATTCCTCAAGAAGCCCATGACAAGATCAACATTCACACCGCGCTCGTGCACTTCATCAACCACAATGGCGCTATACTTCGTCAACCACGGATCATGCAGCATCTCCTGCAGTAGCATTCCCTCCGTCAAAAACTTCACTCTCGTCCCGGGCGCAACAGATGTATCAAATCGCACCGCGTAACCAACCTTACTCGCAGGCGACGAATTCCCCAGCGGCGTCCCCATCTCCTCCGCAACACGCCGCGCCAGCGAAATCGCAGCAACACGCCTGGGCTGCGTAATGGCAATGCACCCGCCAACTGCCACTTCCTTCTCAGACCCATCCTCCTGCACAACCGTAGTCTTCGTCGGCCGACACCACGCCTCGTCAACAAGGAACTGGGGTATCTGCGTACTCTTTCCGCTACCAGTCTCACCGATCAGCAGCATAACGTCGTTCTTCCGGAGGTTCTGCCGGATTTCGTCGCCGTGCGCGAAGATAGGTAGGTTCTTGCGGATCTCGTAGAGCTCCTGCGCCTTTTTCTTTAGCGATGCGAATCGCCCTCCTTTCTCGTTCTCATCTCTAACTGGGCGGTCATGCTTCTTCGCCTTGCGCTTCGGCTTATCAGGTCGCTGTTGTATGAGCAGATTCTTGTACACTGGGCCCCCTGTGCTCTTCACGGCCTTATCTCCATTTCCGCTCGCATCTTGCTCGGCCTTGGTAGTTTGCGACTTGGTTTTGGTCTCGGTCTCGTTGGACTTCTTCGATCTGGGAGGGCGGGATTCATCTGTGGGCTCGTCGCGCTTTCGTTTCTTGTTCTTCCGTGAGGCATTCTCTTTGTCCTTGCTTGTCTTCTCTCCGGAGTCTGGTTTCGGCGTTTTTGTTGGCTTCAATGGTTTCCCTTCTTGGACGATAGGTGCCGCGTCTTCGTCGGCGAAGACGGTGCGGACCCGCTCGGGCATGGCAGATTCGAGGGAATTATTTGGTGGTACTCTAGATTACTAGCCGTATACTTGAAATTTTGATTCGAGCGACTGCTTCCTTGCGCGGTAGTTCTTTTGTTGATTTTGACGTTGATGGATCTGCTGCCCCAGGAAAATTTTGGGTGGCAGTATCTTATCGATAAGCTTATCTTGGCAATGTCATACTCCCGGTCCTAGGACTCTGTCTCGACTTAGGAATCATTCATTTAATCTCATACTTCTGTAGTATTGGGATTATCATCCTGATGGTTCAAAGTGACACTTTTTGTTTATAACCTTATATATCTCCAGATGTGCGCCAATACCAGATATTCGCGTTTCTATACAGTTATATATATGTTTCCTTGTATATTCGCATCTCTATATGTCCACGGTAGAAATGACGGCATGTGGACGCTAGGTCGTCAAGTTATTAGTTCAGGCCCCAGCCTCTAACACGGCGGAAGACAAATGCGCGATCGTTCTTGAGGCCGAACTCAGCCCAGTCATCCGTGAGTTTATCGTAGCTCCAGTATCCCTTCCAAACTAATTTTGTGTTCCTCGACGGATTCGGATGTGAAGGGTTAGCATTGGTGGGTCGCGCAGTACTTGAGCGAAGAGCTAGATGGAGGACATAAACATATTTCGCTCCTACGCCTTCAGTCTCGACCACAAGGTCCCTTGGGTCCGGTGTGGCAGTAGGTCCATCTTTATTTGGAAATGAATTATCAGCCTCCTCAGGAGGATCCGTGGGTGATACTGGCTTGGACAGACGCCAACGGCCCCATTGAGCGCGCTTCAGCGCCTCCATAGCGATTGGAGGGACAGGTTCTTGAGTTCCGCTTCCCATGTCGGCGGCGTTTCGTGGGTTCTGTTTGCGGGTTGTCGCCCGCGCCGCAGTAACGTTCGCTTTGTTAATATGGGGGACCACATCAACCGGCTCCACGGTCGAAAGTATGTATATGACAGTCCCGTCTGGATAGAAACGGATGTAGCGGTAATATGTCACTATATGGATCGGGCTGTTCCAAGAGATATTCGAATATGCTGATGCCGCACCGGCCCGTGTATAATTTACCGTACTAATATAGATTCCGGTAAAACGTATGCGTGGGTAGGTGTGAAAAACCTCGCTCCATGAAGACAGTGGACTTGGGAGTTGAACTGGGATATCAGTAGGAAATGGAGTATATCGGCGCTGAGGCTCTAGCGTGTATTCGGGATTGCCGTGGATGTCGCATGCAAAAGAATAATGCATTGATTCAAAGCCGAATTTAGCGCTTTGACACAGGCGTTTCCAGATATGCTGTTCACGAGCGAAATGATACGCGAAACGTTTGCACACCAACGCCATCCGGGCAAAAGCTGCTGGATCTGCCAATGCAACATGACCGAGGATCTCGACTATGACTTCGGACGGAACGTGCGCAATGGGACATGGAGGACGGGGGTCGCCCTCGAAGATCGGGTCCGCGGATAGGATGGGAGCGCTGGCGAAAGAGTCAATAAGCTCCGGAGTCGGCACGACTGGTCCTTGCTCAGTCGAAGCTACTTTGGTGGGTTCGCTGGGTACAGCTGGCTGTGGTGTTTTCTTCCATGCGCCGGCGAAGTGCTTGTTCCGATACTCCTTATCGACAGCAGCATCAAGCTGGAAACGTCAGCAAGACTGCATCCCTGGTGCATGTAAAATACGAGTTGTCCCTACTCACTCGATATGCCTTGCGGTAATGTTGTAGACTGTCCCCCAAGTTGCCTTCTGCCTCTCTCTCGACCGCTCGTTCAAAATGCTCCAGAGCTGAGGTAGGCTCTGCTCGGGGCTTTCGCGAGTGTAGATGGAAGGCGTCTTCTTCTTCCGGTTTCGCTAGTGATAGTCGATCAAGTCGTTGCGCTATGTCATTCTGGCTATATGCTGCCGGTCCTTCCTCATCCTCTTCCTTGCGCGCAAATGCTTCATGACGGGTAGGCGGAAAGTGTCGGGGTTGAGCAGCGGTAGGTCTGCCGGGCGTCGACCGCGATGGTCCGGGAGCGTTGTTGGGCTTGGTTTTCCGCGAGACTTCTTCACGCCACTGGCGTCGAAAGGACTCGAGCTCCGCGTTGTCCGCCATCGTTGATTATCGATAGAGGCTTTGGCAGGTAGACAGGTCCACCGATTGATAAGCGAGCTTCAGTGGGGCAAGGATGAGGACCGAGAGGAAAGAAATCGAAGGGAAAACCGATAATAAAAAAGAAGATAGTGATCAAATCAAGATCAAGAGAGCCATTGCGCCTTCGGTAACTGCGAATAATGCGACCAACTCGCAGGTATAAGGGGTATAGAGCATGGGTGTAGGAGGAGTAGTCGATAGCCGATTGAAGGTTGAATGCTTATCTCCGGCAATCTTGGAATCCGACCGCCACCGACCGGGCCGGAGCATTCTTTTTCTTGCAGCATCATCGCTACGTTTCTGAGTCACTGATCGTCCTCCTACGTCCTCGAATACTCGGTGCGCTTGATGAATTGAAAAAACAGTATCTTCATCGCCCCCCTGGATTGACAGCGGATTTGAACTGCGCCGTTGAATGAATGTCCGCTCCGGGCACTCAAGGTACTTCCTGGGACCGATATCGCTCCAACGATTTGACCAGCATTGATTCCCAAAGCCACTCGGCAGAGACATGGAATTGGGTTGCAGAAGATACAGTCATGGCGGCTACTTCTGGGACAGGGTCGGCTTCTACAGCAGAGGCTAGCCCGGCAGTGGAGGCCTCTATCACTCAAAAGATGGTCTCTGCGACCTGTGGCAGCGTTCTCACCGGACTCCTAGGTACGTAATCACGAGCGCTTTCGAGCGTCAGCTTCGATTGCATCCGTCAGGGGTTTCTACGAGAAGGAGCTAACCATTTCTCAGTGACTCCTCTAGACGTTGTTCGCGTTCGATTACAATCTCAGTCCCCTATCAAAAATACCTCTCCATTTACGTCACACACCACAGCCACCCTAAAGAACGCGCCACCCAACCTCGGAGTCACTGCTTGCTGTCGTGAAGTGTTTTGGGGAGGGCAGAACTCACAAATATGTATGGTTGGACCTAACGGCAACACTCTGGGGGCCACCTCCCAGTCGGTCGCGGAGTGCGCGGTGGAAGAGACGCAGCGCAGGACGTTTACATCTACACTGGATGGTCTACGGAAGATTGCTCGAAACGAGGGCGTGTTGACACTCTGGCGTGGGCTGAGCCCTACACTAATGATGGGGATACCTGGAAACGTCATTTACTTTGCTGGGTACGATTGGTTGCGCACTGATGAAAGGAGCCCGATCAAACGCGTTATCCCTGGCGCATACGTGCCCTTCATTGCAGGCGCAGTTGCGCGAGTAGCCGCAGCCACGGCTATAAGTCCGATTGAGATGTTCCGGACACGCTTGCAGGCAACACCCGGTACTGGCGCAGGGCATTTCAAAGCCACGCTCGAGGGTCTGCACCAGATGACCAAAGCTAAAGGGTACGGCTCCTTGTGGCGTGGGTTCACTCTTACAATGTGGCGCGATGTACCCTTCTCTGGACTTTACTGGTGGGGGTACGAGGAAGTGAAGAAGTCCATAATCGAGATGCGCAAGAAGACACACGGGCTTAATCTGCCCAAGAGTGTGTCATCATCAACGCAGTTGGGGACCTCTGATATAGATGGAAACACATTCTTGGATAGCTTCGTTGCTGGATCTGTGTCGGGCGCATTGGCTGCGTTCGTGACGACGCCATTTGATGTCGGAAAAACACGCCAGCAGGTATTCCGGCATATGGGGGATGATGCGCCAAATGCTGTTGGCAGCAATGTCGCCAAGGGAGCCCTCCAACCGGAGCAGCTTTCATTACCCAAATTTCTTATGCACATCTTCCGTGAAGAAGGCGCAGCAGGTCTCTTCCGAGGCTGGGTGGCTCGTTGTCTCAAGGTGGCCCCGGCATGCGCTATTATGATCTCAACATATGAGGTGGGCAAGAAGTTTGCTCGAGACGTCAACGAGCGACGCCAGCCTTCGCCCGATGGCAAGGACTAAGAGGCATTTGATCCTTCTCGATTTTGACTCCGATTCCCAACTTTTCTTCTCGAAATCTGCACCTCGCAGATATATTGTCACAACCTATTTTCGACTTTTGAGCGATCTCTACTCGTGCGACTAATCTCCGCTATTCTTACGATCTAAGCATTTAGCCAACTTGCCGGTTCGCTTGTTGAGCGCAAGGGTTATTCTGATGATACCACATCCGATATGGAACATAGAGCTGTTTTGTTTCTTCAACATGTCTCAGGAAATAGAGGGGAGGAGCTTTTGTTCTGAAGTTCTGCATCAGCATATATGTACAGTACATACCTCAACCTTGTATTATTCCACCACAATATAACCGCGAAAAAGAAACATTATCACTTCCTTCTAGCTAACTCATAAGTCGCAAGTACTACTTACTATACATAGTAACAGCTCAGCCTTATTTATCCTGGTCGTTCGGATGCGCGTCACTGGACGAGCTCGCGCCATCGCGCGCGGGGCCATCTTTAGCTCGAGACGATCTCTTCGCCATGACCAGGAGGATTCAAGGCTCTCGCCATTACCCTCCTGAATCTCGGGAGGCTGAAATGCTAACCTTTGCGACGCTGACACAGCCTTCACAGATCACTCAGACACGAATGTCATCTGCCGTCGTATTGACTCAAACAATGTGTCAGATGATGCCCGGCGATGACTTTCTTTCACTCCAGCAGGGGTCATTTATATTAGGCAGCTAGATGGACCTGTTACGGACGTTCTCTCATCGCATCCTTTTGGCCAGAGTTGTTTTCCTACCGGTATGGCGAGCGACACCGTCACGAACGTGGAGTAAGTGACCAACTTACCCCCTTCGTTCTCCTTTACTTCTGGAGCTGCAAGCTAATTTTTCGCAGCATTGTCGCTATCCCTGCTATAGGTGCAGATCCGGAAAGAGCGTGGGCTACAGATGGCATCGAATCGCCTTGGTTGACAACAGAACTACCCGGATTCATCCCAAATGCGCGTGTGTTGCTCATCGACCATGGAGAATTAGACGGGGAAGACACGCTTGAATCTCTGGCGACTAGGCTGCTGAATCAACTGCAGGAAGCAAGGAAGTCGTCGGTTCGTAATATATATTGGAAACTGATTGTTCAGCCGTTAATGTTGACTCGTATAGAATCACAGGCGACCCATCTTCTTCCTATGCCACAGCACTGGGGGACTTGTAGCCACAACAGCGCTCGTCCAAGCCAGCCGATCACGCTCGCCTCTGGACTCCGTATTCTCCTGCTGTTATGGGATTGCATTCTTCGGTACTCCTCACTATGGCTCGAGTTACCTTTCAGCGCCCGAGTTTGGTCGGCCCATCCATCATCTACTACGCCTCAAATATGCAATACCGGTCGGATTGTGCGACATCTTTAGGCCGCGACATGAACAGTTGAAGCGCCTTGGTAGCCAGTTTAGGAGCATTTCTGCGGATATGAAAATATGGACGTTTCTGGAGACAGTCGACTCTGTCTTCACGATAACCGATACCGAGACTGGAAGCACGATCGACATGCACGTTCCTATCACATCCATCCGATCCGGACTATTAGGCTTCGAGCATGAGAGCGAACTGCCTCTGGCCACTGACCATGCCGGTACATCGTCGTTCAAAGGCCAGGAGACCACTGCGAGGATGGACTTCATCAGGAGCCTCCAGTCAAGCATAGCCACGGCGCTTGAATTATCTATAATGTCTGATGTGCCGCTCCAAGTGGAGCAAGAGGTCATGGTCCATGTAAATGGATTCTACGAAGACACGGCAAGAGGCGTCAGCCGGGACTCCCCTTTACAATTATGGTCTACGAAAGTGCCACTCGAGCAATTCCTGGACTCCGGGCCCACAAAGTGTCTAGAAGAGCGGCTCAAACACTCAAGCAGACTATCGTCTGGGACATTAGATTCCGATACAAGTGACTTTGGCAGCAGACCGACAAGCGCACATGCCGACTCGTCGCGTATCGACGCTCGTCTACGGGAGCCCGACATCATCCCCCTTGAGGTCGTTCCATCGAGGCCTTCAGTCAAGAGAAGTAGAAGTTTTCTCGCTGAACACCCTTCTCAGCAGGCTTCGCCCCGACTCCACGTCACTGAGCCAGCCCCGGAAGGATATTTTGATATCCAGTCCGAGGGCTCAGCGTCCCAAAGACGCGTTTCTCATGACGAGTTTGACGATGAAGATGCGGGCGAAGACGAAACTGAGACGGCAGATGATCTAGGCACGATTACCCCTGGCCAAAGGAATCTTTTGTGAGTGCTATCCCCAAGCATAAGAGAACCTCTGAGTAATGAGAATGCATGTATAGGACGAGTCTCTCTTCCAAATATCGAGAGTTCCTGAACGTTCCTTTTAGAGAACGTACACCGGAGGAACGACCTCGATTGGCCCCTAGGTTTGATAGACCCGAGCCAGGGACAGAGAGAATGATCTGGGTCCACGTCCCATACACCCATACTGATTGGGTGCCACATGTCCTGTCAAAGGTATGCAAGGGCAAAACGAAGCAAAACCTGTAGGTGTCATCGGTCTCTTGGACATCCTCAGTTCCAGATCCACTAACATGCTACCATTCCCATAGATTCAGGAAGCTTGTGAACAATGATAACTGGTTCTCGAATCTCATAACGGCTCGTCATTTGGAACCACATGCACGCTATGTACGCCCGGCGTGTATTCATTTCAAGATGGACTCCCCACCCATCAAGGCCTCGGAGCCTCATGGTCCTCAACTAGCGCTCTATGTAGGTTTCTCATACATATCCAAAAGCTATAATGAAAGGCTAACGAGGTCTAATAGCTACCATACGTATGTTTTTATGTTGTTGTCTGCCCTTGAATTATGCTGACGGTGACAGCTCCACTGGGACACATACTGGAACCTCCTACAGCGTCGAAAAGTAATTGAAGAACGACTACGACAGGGAAGATCCCGCCCAGTCCCAGATGACATATCCCGATCTAGCCTAGAATCGAAGCTGATATGGAAATACGTGGGAAACGAACCGCCGATCCACATCCGCCGAACATTAGACCAGTTCGGATATCCAAATCTGCGTTCCACCGTGGCACGAGATGACGACCAGATGCTCTGGAAGCGGACGAGGAAAGTCATTAACCTCAACGATGAGCTCAGCAATTCGATCCCATTAAGCGAGGGACTCGATCCTCAAAGCCCCGTGTTTGTGGACGGCAAAGTGCTTATGGTCGACCAGCTCTGGCTCTGGGTCGTGGATCAGAACACGGTCGTGACGTTCTTCCCCAAGCAGGAGCCTACGACCGTTGGAGGAAAATTTTACGAACAGACGAATCTGTTCAACAGTATCTATAACGAACTCAACGGCGATCTTGCAAGTCGTTTCGAAACGGCCGGTGACCTCGCCGCCCTGATTGTACAGCATGCCGTCACCGTCCTTCTTAGTAGCACTTTGCATAGTGATCTCCAGATCTTGCGTATATTCGAAGAGTCAATCAGTATCCTGGTGCGCAGCCCACCCTTAACTCCAACCAATTCAGATACAAAAACCTAATTAAACTCAACAGACGGAACTGACAACCAAATCGTTCAAACAATTTCGCAACCGGGGCTTCGTTACTAGGCCAGCAGAATATAATAAAACACCTGATGGACGCATTATGACCGCGGACGAACGTGAGGAACGAGACCGTGAATTAGCACTCCAGAACCGCAGCGATCTTTCTTCATTGTTGGAGTTGAGGGACATAGTGGATGAGCTGGGGACAATCATGAAACTGCTCGAACAGCAAACCACCACCATCAACGATATGGCTAAGTACTTCGAACAGAGGGGATATGGCAAGAGCTTCACCGCCGGCTCCCTGAAGAAATTAGATGAATATCATACTCATATCTCGGAGATGAGGGAGAATGCTATTGCAGCTCAGAAAGCCGTATGTATTGCACAGCTCCTACAATTTGGATATCTGATTAACACCACCCAGGTGGAAAACCTGCTCGATGTGAAGCAGAAACAAGCCAACGTGGACGAGGCAAAGCTAGCCAGATGGGAGGCAGAAGTGACGGCGAGTCAATCGCGCGCCGTCATGGTCTTCACGATCTTCACAGTCATGTAAGTCGCGCCTCAACCCACCCTATCTCATGTACTATCAGCTAATCATACCCATTTACACAATCAGCTTCCTCCCCCTCTCCTTCTTTACCTCCCTCTTCGGCATCAACGCCCGAGAATGGAGCGGCGAGCCCACGAACCTCACCTTACGAACTATGCTCACCATATCCGGTATACCCCTCCCTATTCCTTCCATTCCTACTTCCCCCATCAAAGACGCTAACCTAAAATAACAAACCACAGGCCCAACCTCCATAGCCGTTATCGTCTCCGCCCTCCTCATAGCCTTCAGCGAGCGCCTCCGGGACACGCTCCTAAAATTCCAAAAGATCCTATTCGGCCTCTGCAAAGATCTAATTTATCTTCCGCTTGCCGCAATCTTCCACCACGGTAACGGTTACAAAGCGTCGCGGAACTCGAAGACCTCGCTCGCCTCGACGACGAAGACGAGCAAGACTTCGCGCATGGGTGATCGGGTTAGCCGGTACCTTGCCTCCTGGCGGTATCGCGGGGACCTGGGAGAGGACTTTTGGAGGCGGGATGATGAGACTGAGAAGGAGAAGGGCGGGTATAGTACTAGTGGTGCGACTACTGCTAGTAACTTGACTGGAGTGGTTGGGAGGAGGACGGATGGAGCGGGTATGACGTTGCCGTCTGTGCTTGTTTCTGAGGCTAGTGGTGGTGGGCATTGGCATGCTGCTAACGGGAATTGGAATGGGAATGGACATGGGGTGCATATGGACAGGATGAGGGGTGGGTTGGAGGGGATGGTGAGGGAGAGGGATATTGCGTAGATAGTATGGAAGCAGACATAGGATGCTTTCGTTTCTAGTATACTATGGTGGACTGATGATGTAAATTAAACGAGGTGACAACTTTCTTTAGAATGATAACGATCATGAACTATGACACCATGCGTAGTATGTCCTCCATTTGAACAAGAAGTTATTGATGTTGTACTAGCGAACTGCATGGCTCTACGACTGTTTACAATGGGAAGATCTTGGAATGACATAGTCAATATTCGTTAAAAGGATATAGTACAGACTCCCCTGACTTTTATGCCAACAAGGTAGAGTGGAGATGATAACCAACAGAGTGAGTAGAGACAACAAGAGGTATAGGATATAGTAGGAGGGTTGAGAAGTCAGGAGAAGTAAGACAAGAGACATGTAACACATTAAAGACATAAGGAAAATAATACAGAAATAGAGATCTCAAAACATATCATGGATGAATGCCCATTGTATGCAAAGACACGCTTGAAAGAAAACCTCTAAAAAACACCGATATGGGTACAATAAGACGACGGGGTAGGTTAAGCAGTTTAGAACATGCCACCACCCATGCCGCCCATACCGCCCATACCACCCATGCCACCACCAGGGGCAGCAGGGGCCTTCTCCTCGGGAGCCTCAACGATGGCAACCTCGGTGGTACCGAGCAGGGAGGAGACACCGGAAGCGTCAACGAGAGCGGTGCGGACGACCTTGAGAGGGTCGACGATACCGGCGGCGATCATGTCGACGTATTCGCCCTTAGAGCTGTCGAAACCACGGTTGAAGTCCTTGGAGAACTCATCGGTCAACTTGCCGACAATGACGCTGCCCTCAAGACCGGCGTTCTCGACAATGGTGCGAGCAGGGCGGGTGATGGCGCTCTTGACAATGCTGACACCGAGCTGCTGGTCAAAGTTGGCGGGCTTGACGTTCTCAAGACCGTTGGCGGAGGCCTTGAGGAGAGCGGTACCACCACCGGGGAGGATACCCTCCTCAACGGCAGCACGGGTGGCGTTGAGAGCATCAACAACACGGTCCTTCTTCTCACCGACCTCGACCTCGGAAGCACCACCGACCTTAATGACGGCAACACCGCCGGACAGCTTGGCGAGACGCTCCTGGAGCTTCTCCTTCTCGTACTCGGAAGTGGTGGGGTCAGCCATGACGCCACGGATCTGCTCGCAGCGCTGAGCGATGGAGTCCTTGCTGCCCTCACCGTTCAGGATGATGGTGTCCTCCTTAGTGATGGTGATGGCACCGGTGGAACCGAGCATGTCGGGAGTAAGCTTCTCAAGCTTGATGTCGAGCTCGTCAGAGAAGACGGTACCGTTGGTGAGGACACCAAGATCACCGAGGATGCTCTTGCGGTTGTCACCGAAGCCGGGAGCCTTGACGGCAGCAACCTGGAGCTGGCCACGGAGCTTGTTCAGAATGCAGACGGCGAGAGCCTCACCCTCAATGTCCTCGGCGATGATAACCAGAGGGCGGCGGAGAGTGGTGGAAGCCTCAAGGGCAGGGATAATGTCCTGGACAGCGGAGATCTTCTTCTCGGAGAGGAGGATCAAAGGCTTCTCGAACTCGACCTTCTGGGACTTGGCGTCGGTGATGAAGTAGGGGGAGGTGTAACCGCGGTCGAATCGCATACCCTCAGTAACCTCAAGCTCGTCCTCAAGGGTCTTGCCCTCCTTAACGGTGATGACACCCTCCTTACCAACACGCTCCATGGCGGTAGAGATAAGCTTGCCGACGTGGGTATCGCCGTTAGCGGAGATGGTAGCGACCTGGGCGATCTCCTCTCCGGTAGTGATATCACGCTTGTTTTGCTGGAGGTAGTCGACAGCAGCCTCAACAGCGGCCTGGATACCGCGGCGCAGGTCCATGGGGTTGCAGCCCGCAGCAACGTTCTTGACGGTCTCGGAGAAGATAGCACGGGCGAGGACAGTAGCGGTGGTGGTACCGTCACCGGCAAGTTCGTTGGTCTTGGAAGCGACATCCTGGAGGAGACGGGCACCGAGGTTCTCGAACTTATCCTGGAGCTGAACGGCCTTGGCGACAGTCACACCATCTACGCAAGTCAGAACCTTTATTCGAGGCGTGGCAGTCGATTTTGTGAAGGGATGAAGATGAGATTGATGACTAAAGCGCGAACGTACCCTTGGTGATCTTGGGGGAGCCGTAGGGAGACTCAATCAGGACATTGCGACCCTTAGGACCTAGAGTAGATGTGACAGCCTTGGCGAGTGTGTCGACACCCTTGAGGAGCTGAGCGCGAGCTTCGACACCGAACTTGAGCTCCTACTCATTCGTTAGCAACGTTGCTGAAGCCGGTCCGGGACCTGCGGAAGGCCAATCGAGAGCTTGCAGAGCATCGACTGCGGCCGCAATTAAGATCAAGCTTGGCTTACCTTGTGAGCAAACCGTTGCTGCTGGAGGTTCAGGCCAGTGGGCTTGGAGAAAGAGGCGCGCTTAGAAGCAGCAGAGAGGACCGAGGTCCGGGAAGAGAGAGCTCGCTGCATGTTGACTAGGGAGAAAGGGAGAATAGACAATGAAAACAATGCAAAATCGAAGACCAAGGTATACAAAGAATCTGTCCGATCAAGACTCCCGGAGCAGAACGGATGCAGAGAAGAAGGAGGATGGAGAAACAAGAGGACAGGAGGATAAGAAGGTGAGAGATGAAGCCAAAGTCTCGAAAATTTTCCAGGCCTTTCTCGATCTCCGGATTTCTTGGCGGCAGAAGCTCCTAGAAGGTCACGTGGGCTCTCCATACTGGCATATCCGAGGGAAATCTTCGGGTTGTCGGAACGATCTATCAGCCGCCTCCATCTACTTCTCTTACGTAGTACATTCATGGGTCGGAGGTTTTAATAATAATTGCTCTTTGGATCAAAGGTAACTGCATCCTTTTCATAGGATCTTTAAATGAGCACATGCACCTGAGCTTTTGGCTATATTTCCGCCCCAGGCATATGTATCCCTTGACGGGCAACGTGCGATGAATGTGCTCCCGAAAACAAAGCAGACGAAACCAAGCATGTCAACCTTAAATCTCGTCAAAATGCCGCGCTCCTACTACGCTGACCCTAATATTCAGCTGTCCATTAACCACATCGGATCATCTTGCGTGCTAGGATAGTCCCCAAGCGTGTCTTGGAATCCTTGATCCTGACCGTACTGAACGCCCTGATGCGGCGTAAGGATGTCATGGTCCGGGAATGCGTTCAAGATTTCCCAACCATTTAAGAAGGCGTCCCAATTCCTGCCTGGGAATAAATCCATGTCTTTATTGCCAGTGTGGATATATTCCCCCTCCTCTTGCATCCGAGGTGGAAACGTGGCATTGGCATCGGATCCCAACTGTATTAAAGGGGCATGATTGCCATTGTCTGTGGTGGCAGCGAAGTCATGGCTGTAATCGGACGGGGTGGGAAAGAGCGCTGTGCTTGCAATAGAGCCATCTTGAAACCCGCCGTCCGATTCAAATGGCTCATGCTTCTCAAAAGACTCTTCCATTCGAACTGACCTTTTCTCAGTGTCTGGCTTTTCCTCCATAGGCTCCTTCTTCAGCTGTCCCTCTAAATACAGCTCGGGCGCTAAAGTTGGCTTTTGGGGCGTGGATGCCCTGGACACGATGCCTTTTGCTAGTCCGATAAGAAAAGGCTTCGGACATTTGTAGGTAACGATCTTGCTTGGTGGATGCGGAGTTGGTGATTGCGGCCTTTCCGTATGTCTGTCGTTAGGCAACTCAAGAAACGATGCTCCAGCTGCCACTATCTCCGAGTCGTCATCGTCAGAAAACTCTCCACACTCGGTATACGGGTCCTCTCGGTATTGAGCTCGAGTTCTTTTCCGCTTCTCTCCAGCCTTGCGTTGTGCTGAGGCCCTGTGCTCCAGCCATTCCTCGTCTGAGCTGTAAGAGGCCTCGTCCAGTCGAGTACTCTTCTTATAGCTTGTTGCAGTCGTTGTCCTTGCGGTCTTTGCATAACTGCCGCATGAGCCTCTTCTCAACGCTGGGGGAACCTCTTTATTTGCTTCAATTCGGCGAGCTCGAATTTTCGCCAAATGCTGGACAATGGCGCCTTCTGAGATGTTGTGGCCGATTGATTTTGCGACTTCGCCCCATGGGATCTTGATCGAATTCATGTTGCATACTGACTGTATGGTCAGAAGAAGAAGCTCGTCCAGGTTTTCTATGATAATGAGATAAAGGTTAGCAAAAGTGCCTTGGAAGCGAGCTGAACAGGTATTTTGAGAGAGCTTGTACCATCCCAGCGCACAATTGTGCGCTTCTTTGGCCTGGCCTGACTTTGCTTGCCCATTTGGTAGATGTAATCGCGAAGCACTGGAGTATGTGAGATCTTCCGGGAGGAAAGGCACAAGGCAGATCGAAGTGAGAGTTATAGCGTGTATGAATCAAGGGCGATTCTAGTTTCAAAGTCTTTGAAAGTAAGGCTGCTGGAATAGAGGCTGAGTGAAAGTGAGTAATGATGGGTACGTAGGTACGAAAGTGAGGCACCGATATTATGAAACAGGAGCTGAAGGAAAGTAAATGAACTGAGGCTAGACAAGTCGAGGAAGGAAGAGATGGAAAGAGGGAGAAGGATATGGAGAAATGATGGAGGTAGAGTGGGAGACGAGTATGTATGAATAGACGGATGGACGTGAAGGCAAACAAGGCAAAAGGTGTCAACAAAGCAAAAGGTGTCGACCTTGCTGGGTCATCTGCGTTTTAATTTTCTAGAATAAGCTGTCTTCTAAGATTGAAATAGACTCAAATGGACATGTCTGCACTAGCAAGAAGATAGTCGTCTTTACGGGCCAGAGCTCCAGCAGACTTCGGGCGACTGTAGAGTAAGCTCCGCAAAAAGTGTAGTAACAGTGAGATATCTCAAGATAAAGACGCTACAATATCTTGATCAGAAGTTACGTGCAAATTCTACGTCTTTTATGCAAATTTCTCTGGATGTTTCGAGTTGAGATTGGTCTTAGCACAAGACGACCTCACCCTGCGGCCTTTGACAGAGAGTTTATACGCCTGGAGTACTAGCTAGTACTTACTTCTGTATATATCAGAGCTCAAAACGGTGCTGTGTGGGATATTTTGCCGTATATTCATCGGGCGCGGTCGTCTAGTATATCCTAGAAATGCAATTGGTGGCTGCTGCTGAATGATCACGTGCATCACATGACCACGATCCCGATCCTCCGAACTCGACTCGGAAAGCATCACATCCCGATTGTTCCCTTGCACATTGAAACCTCCATCCTCCTCACACAGTCAAGATGGTCTTCGCGTGGAAATCCGCTGGTCTGACGTAGGCCGCCCCATGATATTCGTCCGCACTCTTCATTTGTGCGACGCCGCTGACATTGCCTGAACTTTTCTAGCTACAACCGCTACCTGGCCGTCGCTGCTCGCGCGGTCCGCCGCTCCCTCCAGGACGGCCCTCGTCTTGCTGCCGAGCGCCGCGGCAACATGGACCTGCGTTTCGCTAAGTGGGAGGTCCGTATACCCTTTCTACGCCCGCCGATCGGAATTCCAGGAGACAGTGACTAACCGGGCTTCGGAAACAGAACGGCAAGCAGGGTGAGGTCAAGAACCTTGCCGAAGCCAACGACCAGGCTCTCGCTGCCCAGGCCGAGAAGAAATAAGCGTTTTCCCTTGACCCTCGACTTCGCGGCGAATAGTTGTACTTTAGGACGTTGGAGCATACCTACGGGGAGGTCAGAGCCGGATGCAGGGGAGGACAGAATCTTTGTAACGATATGGCCTGTCGATAAGATATCAATAGAAGGGATGTTTCCCTCTTGTCCGCAATTCCGGGAATATAGTCACCTCTCCGATTTTATCTCGAAGCTTGTGGCACATAAATGTAGACACTTTGTATGCCACTGTCCGCTTCCAGGTTCTCGCTGGTCGGCAGGTTTTCGCAGGCCGCCCGAACACTCCACTCCCCGCCATCCCCTCACCCAACCTTTCCTCCTCACCATCTCTTAAAGCGACGCCGCATCTCGTTGTTTTGGTAGATCAAGCAGCTGGCTGCGGATGATCACATTTTCCTTATGCTACCAAACACCCAGGCCCGAGCTCCAACGACGCGAATCGTTTCGCAGTCTGTTGTCCCACGCGACATCACTGAGGAGTTTACGCAAGCTGCATCGAGTAAGAACTGCCTCCAGAGCTGTTTGTTTCTATTCCAAATTATATCTGTATAGAACTCGACTTACTTATTTTTTCCCCCAGAATTGAAAACCGGACAACTCGTCAAAGATGAATACTTTACGCTTTTCGAGGCCGTGGGCGCGCTGGAGGTAGGCCGCAATCATCTAGCTCTTGCGCATTGCGGCGAAATAGAGATGATAATTGATCTAATGGATACGTCGCATAAACAGATCATGGACCCCAAAATGGACAGCGGATACCTCGGTCCCGAAGAGAAAGGAAAGGGCTTAGAGGATGACTACGACGTCTTGCGCGATTTAGTCCCGGAGGAAGTTGTATGGATCATGGACGAGCTGCTTTGCCATGAGGTGCGTTGGCAATTGAGATGACCGCACGCTTTTAAATGTGCTAACTGGAACTGTGAACGGCAGATGGCGTGGCATAGGGGCCATCCTCTCTCGCAGACCCTCTTCACCTCGATCTACCTCGATAAGCTTCTATGGCCTATACCGCGAACATTTGACGACACCCATTTCGGATGTGGCAGCCTTGCTACGGAGAAACAAATTCCGGACCTTGTACATATAGTACTGCGCGCATATTGCCTTGCGCTGATCAAGTGCTGTGACTTTGTCCATGCGCGGGTGACCTCGGAGTTTTACTACGAGGTTAGTTCAGTCCAGATTGAGCGAATGTTACTGACTTTCTTTGAACTCGCACAGGAAGAGGATTTCAGCACGCAGCTCTACAACCGTACATTACTATCACATTTTGAATACGAACATTTCTCCGATGTCTTGAATCGGGCGATTTCTTGGATCGACGAGCAAGACACGATAGACGCAGCCGTGAGAAGCGCTATAAAGTCTCGATTACAATTTCGTCAAGAGTTTCTTTCGGGTCTGCAGCAGGATATCAATATCTTGGAGACAAGGTCCGTGGACAAGCTGGAGTCCTGTCTGTCAATAATACCTGCCCTGAGAGAGTCGAGCAATACGAGTCGGCCTGTCCCTGAATCTTTCAGCTGGAAAATACAAAGAAGATTGGCGAGTACAGTGCCTCCGCGGCCAGTGGTCAAGATCAGCTTTGAGGATGCGCTGGCGCATCTCAAACGGTTGTGCCAGGACGGAATCCACCTCAACCAAGTCTTGGATTACGGAGGGCCATACAATCTAAAAGTAAGCCTTAATGTATTCTTACCCCCAATACTGCCATTGCTGATTGTTTAGGTGGCCGTTTGGACTCTGCTCTCTCGAAAACCTCAGCCATCAGTGTATATTCGATCCCTTATTCAAACCATCATCATGAACAGATCAACCGTTCTTGGAGCTCTCCCAGTCAAACAGTTCATCTACGACGAGCTGGCTGCACTTGTTCTTCCCTCTAGTATACTGCTAGAAGCAAACTTGGATGAAACCGAAGTGCCTTCAGACCCTCGTTTCCAGATCGCCCAATTGATGGACGGCTTCGTCAGGCGTTTTTCCCAGGTACGTACCACCACTCCTCTTCTTGTAATAATGGCATATTTATATATTAACGGCAAAAACAGCCGTTTGTGGATACATTTCGAAGTGCTTGTTTGAACCGCTGCCGTATCCGCCGCACTGTCTGTCATACCCTTGCAGATTGGGATAATCTGCAAATGGAGGTACGTACCCAACAATGGCAGGTATGAACACGACTTACTGTCTATAGGCCGAGGATCTCGACGAACAACTTCGAACCCTGAGTGAAGAGCCTCCACTAGAGCTTCCAAACGGAGACACTACATACTCTTACCCTCTTAGTAGCTGGGCCTACCACCAGAAGCTGATTCAATTCCGGCTCATTCTCCAACTTGGGTTTGAACTAACCATATACGCCCCAGAGGAGCTACCCGGAATGTACTGGTACTTATCGCACATCTGCTCAACACACCTCGGACATATTGATCGAATTCGAACGTTCATCCTCGCGGCAGTACAGCGGGACCGACGTTCCCTGGCTAAGCATGCCACTCTTAGAAAGTCATTCCTCCTCTTTGATCGACTCACAACACATATCGTCGCCATTGACGCCTTTGCAATATCTCTACACGCCCTCTACGTCCTCCTATCTCGCCATAAAGTCCTACCGAGGGCCTTCGCGCCTAATGCGTACTCGAACGATCAATTCCGGTACGAGCTTCGCATGAAGCCCTTCCTCCAAATCACGCTACCCGAACTAGTACCATACGAAGAATACAACCGAGAAGCTACATTGCAAGGTGATAGCGACGAAGTTGTCCTGGAGCGTGCAACGAAGGCCATCGGGGAAGCCCGAAAGGCCTGGGAAGCGACCCTCGCCAACGGACCGTTCGATGATTTCAATGGTGAAAAGCCTAATGCGCCAGCCATAGAAGAAGACTGGAAACGCGACGTGAAGGATACGATGCGCGCCTGCATCGGTGCCAGTATTGCCATCGAGACCGTGAAGAAGGCACTTGTCAATGCCTCTGGTGCCGCGGAGCCGCTTAATCTTCGAGTCAACATTCCTGAGGCGGGCTCCAAGTCTCGCTGGCATGACTGGTGGGCCGTCCCGCAGGTTTCACAGGCGCAGACTCAGAGTACAAAGGCATGAGCATGAACATTCCCTTGAAGTACTGGATAGACATTTGATTCGCGCGGATATGTTTTCCTGCCCTATTTTTGAGCAGTGAGCCGTCACAACGTAATAGAGGACGGGGATGCTTGGGGTACTATTTGAATTTTGTTTCATTAGATGATAACGACGATTATGTGCACTAGACGAGACTTTAGAACCTGCAATGGATGGGTATGTTTTTTGGGCAGTCGAGAGTTGACAGGTACACTGGGCCCGACGGGGCTCGAGCCGAGTCTTTGGAATCGGACGGACGAACCACACTCGCAACCTCTCCACTTTCCACGATGACTTCACCACCTCTGCGACAACCGGCATCCCAGGGCAGACCCAGTCGGCTTCTTCCATCTCGAGTATTATCGTGAGATCTTTGTCAATAATTGACCTCTCCCTCCACCAATATCCGCGGACACTACATCTTGGGGGAGCGGCAGTCTTGGCAATCGCTTCTGAGCACAGACGCTCCTGGAATTCCGCAAGCACGGCAACAACGCAGCTTCTCTTGCATTCTCTCGCTGGGTATTGGTAAAAGGCAGATCAAGCTAAAAGTACCGCCTGTCTTCCCCGTTATCAACGGACTGCATTTTCCCGCTGATACTTGTCTCTTGCAAGGCTCTGCAGCGCCCCGTATCTATTCATGGCATTTTTAGCGAATTGAATCTGATCAATCCCGTCATTCCCCTCCCGCGACCGCGACCCAGCTGGCTGCTTCTTTTCCTCGATTCGATTTCGCGACGATCACGATCCTCCGCTTACCTACCGTATCGCTATCGCAGCATCGCTAGACCGAGACAGTCTCTGGAGTCGCGCCTGTTCTTAATACATGCTTTTAGAGTTTATTGTTGCACCGCGTGCCTGCGCTCTAGATCTAATGTCTGTGACACGCTTCTTGCTTTGTTAGACGGTTCGCTTCTCTCTTCCCTTCTCCCTCTCACTGCACCACTCGCCTTCGCTTCGCTCTCCCGTCCAGGCGTACTGGGAGAAGCCAGCGATTGCGATGCCAGTCTACCCTATTCGGCGCCGACCACGCGAGTGCAAAACGTGCCATCAGTGCCGTGCGAGCAAGGTCCGTTGTGATCGGAATGTACCATGCAGTAATTGTGTGAAACGCGGTTTCAACTGCACCTACGGCCGTCCGCCGCCTGCCTTGATCCCCCCTCGGCCATCCATAGCTTCGGAAAGCTTTGCTGTCCCAGAAACTCTAGGCATTGCACCCCAGGTTCACCTTCCGCCACCATATCCTACGAATGATGAAGATGTGCCCTACGCTGTCGATCCCGGGTTGGATGACCCGTCGTCCGATGCGGTCTCGATATCTCCGGTCGAGTGGGAGGAACTCAATAACAAGATGCAGGAGATGGCGCAGGCGATAGCGAGCATGAAGTCAATCGTCCAGGCACATTCCCAGCCATCGCGACCGCGCAGACCAACCAATCCCCTTTCGGATGTTTCTGGCGGAGGTTTAAGAAGATCATCGACGGAGCAGAGCAACATATATGGATCCACCACATTGAAAACAGGGTCGGTTCATATAGGGAATCGGTCTGCGTTGCATGATATTTTGGACCAGACGAAGGTGTCTGCAGACACAGCGGAGGCGCTTCCGAAGGACGATCTGCTTGCAGAGCTAGCCCTAGAAAACGATAACAGCACGTACCCTTTCCTCGATCTTTGGTCGTCGTCGTCGGATCCGCTGCATTTCAATATTGAAGGTGTATGTGAAGTGCTTCCCGATGACAATCAGTGTATGAAGTGAGTTGCAGCCCACCAGTTGTTCCGGGCCTGCATGAAGTCTAACTCCCCCAGATTTCTCGATTATTATAGGAATATTGCGGCTGTGCTGTATCCTGTACTTCCGGATGTTGATCAGTTCGAGAGCAACCTAAGACGGTTACTGGAGGGCCGGCGACGGGTGGGTGTGGTTCATAAGCCAGATATGCCGTATGGAATGAGTATACCTTTTCTTAGCCTCTGTTTTGCGGTCTTCGCATCCGGGTGTCAGCTATGTGACCTGCCGGGAATCCACCGAGAGATGACTTCCTGGGTTTATGGTAAGCTGCCTCTTGCAGGAGTGCTGCAATGTTCGGTTGGTGGCTAACGGCTCCAAGTTTCATGCTCGTACCAATGCCTGCGCGTGATGAATTATGTATCGAAGCCCACCGTGGAGGTGATCCAGATCCTGTTAATCATTAGCCACGTACTATCCTATAACATGAACGCCGGCGCTTCGTATACATTGCTTGGTGAGTGAGCGCCTGCAACTGTTGTCACCACAAAAGCTGACACCTTCACGATAGGGATGACGGAACGTATGTGCATGGTTCTCGGACTCCACGCCGAGGCGCCTGGATATACACCAGCGCTGCAAGAAGCGCGCAGACGCGTGTGGTACGTACCTCATTGCCTTGTCAAAAACGAATACCTATTGATGATAGTCTTTTGTTCGAGTAGGTGGGCCATGGCGTTTCAAAATAGTCACTTCTCCTTGGCGTACGACCGGCCTTCGATCACGATGATCAGTCAACCAGAAATCCCCTATGACCCGAAATCAATGCCCGGGCATCGATCCTATTTCGAAACACTATCTCGCATCCTTGGAGTCGTGCTTGAGACGCTTCGTATCCTGATGATGGAGAGACACTCCCACCTACAGCCGAAAGAAATTGGTGTGTACATCCACCGAATACGCAATGTCCTTGGCGAGGCCAAGGTGCACCTGCGGGACCGCGAGCGTTGCCTCAATATGGCGGAGTCTATCGAATGGGCGGAATTGAGGCTGCATTCTTCGTACTATATCTCCCTATTGTGCCGCTCTTCTTTAGACCCGGACGTGACAATGACTGCTGAGGACCGAGAGAAGATACGACATGACTGCTTGACGAATCTAATTGGAACGGTTGAAGCATTTATCGACTTGCACACGATCAATCCTTTTGCTTCGCGCACGTGGATCAGCGCTCAGCGGACGATCGCGTCGGCCTTCCTTTTCATCGCTAACACGAACGACCAGGTTTGGCCGCAGAGCCGAGACTTGCTTCTGCGACTTGAGAAAGTTCTCGAGGACCATGTTTATTCCGATGGGACTGTTAATCCGACCACGCGAACAGACACGGCCAAACACCTTTCATCGTCGCTGGAAGCACTCCGAGCCGTAAACTCCGGGTTCGGCAAGGGGAAGAGTCAAGCAAAGAAACAGGAAGCGCCCGTGAAGGGGGAGCCTGCGCCAGAGGCAAACATTCCCCCCACGACGCAGCTCCTGTCGTCGGCAGAATTCGCCAGCCTCGCGGCTTCAATGCCACCGTACCAAGAGGCATACAGCGGCACACTGGAAGAAGGCTACCTGGGCGACATTCTCAACGGGGTGTCCGGCGTAATGTTGTTTCCCAATATGAATCTAGGAAATCCATGATTGACATGCAATTATCTCGTCGTTAGCGTCAATACATGACGTAAATTGTGCTGGGACTGTCGCGACAAAGGGATGACCTGGAAGAAATGAAGGAGGGGTTCTTTATAGAATTCCGGGCGTTGGAGCGCCCCGTCCCGTCGGCGTTTGTTGGCCAGCCACTTGGGTTTTCTTGCCTGACTCCGAGCCCGAGCATCACCCGCTTCGGCCGAGGCGCACACGTATTGCCTGATTCAGCTCGAGGTGGCTTCGACCTTCTCCGCTGTAACTCCGAGCCCTTCCCTTGCATTCATTCTCAACTCCCGCGTATTCCGTATATCCTAGCTCTTGGACCTCCGGATATATTCTGATTGTCCAATTGTTGTCTTCAGATCTAGCTGTTCAGTTGGAGGTTGCATCATGGCTGATTGTGTTTTGGCTTCTGTGGAGGATAACTTGCTATGGATGGAGTACGTAGGTGGCTGCCTGCCTTTAAGACATGGAACAGCATGGCTAGTATCTTGCTTATGCTTATGAGTATGGGGGTCTGGCATCGGTTGCAAGGGCCCTGTCAGCTTTTTTTGGGTTTCTCTTCTTCGGGTTTCTCTTCTTCGCCTTGGAGTGCATCGCTAGCATTGATACTATCGATTACTGGTGCCGATCATTGATCATAAAGTTCAATAGATTAGGAAGGGAACTAGGTTATCCCTGTTAAGGGAGTGATTATACTCCGGTACCAGGCAATCAAACGCCCATGGAAACTACTAGCGAGGTTGATTCTGAGCCGGACATGGCAGACAAATGGAAGCACCTTACCTTGCACCTCTTGATCTCTTCCGAGATCCGACAGCATTGAATCCTAGGATATATTGCATATTTTGATGGAGTCTTAGTGGACATATATATTTGGTGTGCTGTGAGATGAGATGTATATACAATTCTGTAGATGCACTCTATATATATGTACTATACTGGGCTAACAAAGCTTGGAAGCCGACAAATCACCACTGTATTTCCCACGACCCTGTCCATCACTCATAATGCATCCATGCGCGTGTCATCGTAGAACCTCATAACATACCTAGCAAACCACAACGGCGTCTGCATCCCCCACTCAGTTACGGGTAAGAAGTCTTAAGCATCACTATCCGTCTCATAAAACGGATCATTCGGATCATAGGGGAATTTCCGAACCACCACATCCCCCTGGTACTTCCAGAGCTCGTCCTCGACAGACGTCACGCTAACACGACACGTCCCATTACTCTGGCCGAAGGTCTCAACGGCCGTCGCAGCGCCACCGCTATAATCCACCCGCACCATATTCACGGTCTCGCGGCTTGGATCACCGGCCAGGTAATTCATCGGCATGAAGGCGACGCTCGAGTGCGCGGTCGTGAAGACCGTGTTGGGGAGATCGCCTGTGTGCGGGACGTGGTGCATGCCTAGGTTCAGCCAGACTACTAGGTCGGTCTGGTTGAGGGACTCGCCGTTGAAAAAGGACTCGAAGTTCACGGGGGGGTCGTGGATGTCTTGGCTGTTGTAGGGGTGTGCGGCGAAGGGCTCGGTGTCGTGGTGTTGCGTGATCTGGACGTCGTATTCGGCCCAGTGGGCGGCGTGCGCGAGGTTGGTGCTGTTTAGGACGGTTAGGTGGGCTGTTCCTGAGGATGGGAGGATGCGGTAGCCGCGCGGTTCGCCGAAGGGGTTGGGTTTGGCTGTGTTGACGACGTGGAGCTGGGTTTGGCCGTTGAAGCTCCAGTTTAGGCGGGAGGTGTCTTCGGAGGCGATGAATGAGCGGTCCAGCTGCATTGTGTTGCGCGTTTTGTTGCCGTTCCAGGAGAAGTGTTTTGTTACGGGGACGACGGAGACGAGCTCGATGGAGTTGTTGAGGCCTAGAATGTCGAAGTCTGCTTTGAAGTTTAGGACGTGGTCGTGCATTGAGCCGGAGAGGGAGTCGTGGATCTGGTATCCGAAGTCCTGGTTGTTGGCGTAGTAGGCTGACTGGATGTAGCCTGAGGCGCGGACCTCGACGCCGATCGTGCCGTCCATGTGGAAGTTGTAGCTGAACATGTAGTCGTAGTTGCCGATGGTTGAGACGCTGCGGAGGGTGAAGTAGACGTTCTTTGTGACGGAGACAGACTCGGACGTGGAGTGCCGCGCGATGGGGTAGTCGGCGTCGAACTCAAAGAGGCAGAGGCTGTCGACGTGGGTGTGGGTTTCCTCGTCCTTGTAGAAGGAGGTGTTGAGGTAGGAGGCATACGAGGGGCAGTCGTAGCCTTTGAGGAGTTCGAAGGCGTAGGGGCCGAAGCCGTAGTAGGAGTCGAGGTAGGCGACGCTGGACTGGACGGGGTCGTTGGCAGCGTAGTGAGCGAGTGCTTCCTGGAGGCCTAGTTCGTATAGAACGCGCTGACCCTTGTACTTGATGTCGAATAGCGAGAGACCGGTGTCGCGGTTGAAGGCGATGTAGAAGGAGAAGTCCATCCATTCGACGTACTTGCGCTCCGTGTCGACTGAGTACCGGGCTCCGTCTGGAGCGACCATGACTGGGGGCTGCTTCCGGTCTTTGGGAGGAACAGGACCTCTCTGGTCGGTGTGGGCCCAGGCACCGTCAACATTGGGCTTGAGCTTGACGAATCCAGGAGACCAGTATGCTTCGCGGAACTCCTCTGTCGTTTCGTAGAAGATGTCGTTGTACATCCAACCGAGGAGCTTCCACTGGGATGGATCACGGCCAGTGACGTCGGACTTTAGGTAAAGACCCAAGGGCAAGAGGGTTCCGCTGTCGAATTGGTCACCAGCGATATTCCAGAACATGTCCCAGCGGACAATCCGGCCGTCATCCTGCCACAGTGGGTCAATGCCCCAGATGTCCAGGGTGTCGTTCTCCAGCCCTAATGCAGTTCCGTTCCACAAGTCCAGCGTGATGTCTGCGATTGATGCACTAATCTTGAACAGCCACTCCGAGTATACAGTCTCGCCGTCTGGCTCGACATTTCGCACTTGTCCTTGGGTCTTGCGGGTGTACGGGAATTCGAGAGCCTCCCACGCAGTGACGTTGCTGATGGGTAAAGGTCCAACCAGAAGGTCCGCGAAATAGGGATCTACCGTCGCACGGTTGTTCAGTCGGACGTGGGCGTACCGAGTCGGTGCTGGTCCGCTGCCGTCGAGGTATGGAATAGCCTCAGTCTTATTTGGGCGGTTCAGCTCGATGAGGGCACTTGAACCTCGTCAGAACCGCAGACTAAAGGCATGGTTCTGGACTTACATTGTGTTGTCCCACTCTCCAGCATCCTCGGTTGAAGTAAGATTCAACTCGGGCCGGCCAAACAGCCATTTGGCAACATCCGCCGTTTCATCGTCTGTGAGACCGTACCAGACATTCTCCTTCGGCGCGTCTATCTCCTGGGGAGGGGTATCTTCGCATGAAGCTGCATACTGGCTAGCATAGGATCTGGATTGGTGGCTTGTATGCTGGTACGAGCGGCCAACCAGGCTACGCATTTGGTTTTTTCGTCCCCGATTCTTCTCCCGCACCCGGTCACGACTGTGGTCAAGCTTGGTAGCGAGAACATCGCTTGCTAAGTTTTGAAGGAGAAGCAAAGAGGCAATGCCTCCATGTAAGGAAAAAGGAAGCTTCATTGCGGTCAGTGATTCCGCCGTCTGCCTTGATCACCTGGAGAGTACCTGATCTTGGGATTTATGTACCTTTTATATCTTGAAGCTCCATAGATCCTGGCCACCAACAATGTCGCCATCTTATCGAGCTATCGATACCGTCCACCCTCGGTGCAATGTCGGCCGCTCCACGAGATAAGCAGTTCCGCGTTCTCGGAACCTCAATCCTTGGAGTAAGTTAAACGACAAGCCCAGAGCAAAGTAATCGGAAGGACATACCGTAAGAAGCAGCGCTCATGGCCAAGAAAAGGCCAGGATCTGGCGGTATACAAAGACGATTGCTAAGCGGGCGAGATGGCAGGAATTGGGGTAGTCGTTCGCAGGCCGTGCCCTGGAAACGGTATCTCCAGCGAATCCGATGGCGGAATGGTGTTGGAGTTGATGGGGAAGTAGATAAGATGGAGGTTGAGATGAGATAGCGATAGACGGAGAGGAATGGAGCAAGAATGGGGAAAAGTTGGGGAAGATAAGCGGCAGAGGGGCGTGTGGCATGTCAGGTGATGTACGGCTTCCTTTCCTCTTACCCCTGTATCCATAACACACTGTCTGGTCCCTGAACCACAAAGTCTGCCTCCTGAAGCTGGTGCGAGTCTACTTCTCGGCGTCTACCATGCGAACCCTGCTTGCATGATGAACCTACCGGACGTTTGTCCCTGCCGCAGCATGTGCGGTCTTGGATGCCTCTTCGAGAGCCACAGAAACATCAACCACATCCACCATTCGTTAACCCACGGCAGCGGGTGACCGGTAAAGCACCGTGCATCAATCTGAACGGATACATCCAATATCAGGCTTCTCATGCCCATCCGATGGCCCACATGACCCATACGGCAACTTGCATAATGATTAGAAATGTGCCGGGGGAAGTATGTTGGAAAGCTCACTTTCCGGGTAGCTCTCAAAAATGAAGCATGTCGTATGATCTACCGACGCAGAGAGCGAGAGCTGGAAGACCTCATACCGAGAAGCGGAAGATTCCCATGGTGCAGAACGTCGCAGCACCGGCATAAGGATAAATCGCCGTATCGGGTCTGGCTAAAATTGACTTTCAGCAAGGGTAAAGCACGGGATAGAGGGAGAGGGCGGATAAAGCAATCCATCCGTGACGAAACTCCTTCACCAGGGAAGCCCTGCGTTGATTCCACACTTGGCGTTCCGAGGACGGAGTCTCGTTCCTTCTCGTGTCGCGCGTTTGGCCAGTATGTGATATATGAGGGTCTACAGAGGAAACAGCATGGGTGTCACAGACGGAAGGAGCTATATATGATGGCTCCCAGGAATTCCTGGCTGGAACGCTCGTTGTTTGACAGCCTCGCAGTCGACTGAGCTACAACCGCAGCAGCCATGATCAAGATGCAATACTTCCTATCTCTTCTTGTCTATGCGATAACCTGCACTGCCCTGGCGCTAACCCGACGTGCTCCAACCCCGGGGCAGTTCTCCCAGGTCACGGACTTCGGTGACAATCCTACTAACGTGGGCTTCTACATCTACGTCCCGCAAAACCTGGCGCCCAAACCTGCCATTATCGTGGCAATCCACTTCTGTATGTCCATCCTATACTGCTAAGGTCCATCTACTAATGAGTCTTCCAGGCGAAGGAACTGCCGAAGCATACTACGCCGTCACACCCCATGCACAGTATGCAGAGACCTACGGCTTTATCGTCATATACCCCCAAAGCCCCTACTCAGACAGATGCTGGGACGTCAGCTCCCAGAGATCACTGAGCCATAAGGGGGATGGAAACAGCCACTCCATCGTCAATATGGTGATATGGACAACCAAGCAATACCACGCCGATACCAGTCGCGTGTTTGTAACTGGAACCAGCTCCGGCGCAATGATGACCGTACGCTTATGCTCCCAGCCCTAGCTTCCTGAAGACTAACAGGTACAGAATGTGCTGGCAGCGACGCACCCCAAGCTCTTTGCCGCAGGTATCTCCTACTCCGGCGTGCCAGCCGGCTGCTACTACTCCGAAGCCAACGACGAAGACCGGTGGAACTTCACCTGCGCGAATGGCCAGTCCATCAGCGCATCGAAGCACTGGGCCCACATAGCAAAACAGATGTATCCCGGCTACGAGGGTCCTCGTCCGAGAATGCGGATTTACCACGGCAGCAATGATACTACGATATACCCGCAGAACTATTATGAGACGTGCAAGCAGTGGGCCGGTGTCTTTGGGCACGACTATGATAACCCTCGGAAGGTGCTGAATGATACCCCCTTGTCGAACTGGCACAAGACAATCTGGGGCAAGGATTTGCAGGGTATATGGGCTAATGGTGTGGGCCATACTATGGAGATTCAGGGAGAAGAGGACATGGAGTGGTTTGGGTTTACTAAATGTGCGAATTCGAAAAACGAAAACTGCCCTGGTGTGCCAAAATGATGGACAGCTGAGAGTCCCCCACATCACCCAGCCCAGGTGTGCACTTGACCAATAACCATCCAGGGTTAGTGTTGCGTACCTCGTGCGTATGATAGGTTTCGGTTATTCAAACAAACTCGTGACAAAAGGGAAAGCTTGATTGCCATTATAGGACTTGGTCTTTGTCTGGCTTTTGACCCAAGTAGCCTAGACTACCATATGTTTTCATTTTGAGAATGCAAAATACCTGGCCGGCCTCAGACCCAGTCTCTCGGTAGCCCTGTAGGACTTGAGGATTCGGACAGCTGCTTGCTTGATCTGCGTTTCAATCCTATGGATGTTGGCGACCGTAAGTCCGTAGGCGTGTTTGATGCGTTTTCAGGGGTGAGAGGCGCCGTGGTGCTTTGAGACTGATAGTGAAAACCGGAGGGCTGTACTAGTGAGGCATGGTTGAGCAGCTCGAGGAAGAGTTAGTACCGTGGACGATGAGTGGACGCCGGGGGTCTGGTTCGGTCCATACCGAGATCTGCGGGGAACTGACTCCAGGACCACGCACCTCCACTGCAGAACCTGCACACTTTCCATCCACAGGGCCCATCAATGCCTCCATCTCTACCCAAATGGCATCCGACTCGCAACCCCCCGCGCCAAAAGGCCGTCTGATCTCTCATTTCGAGAACCGGTGACCACTACCTCTAGTTACAGTCGTTCCCTATGGTAGCTAACTTCCCCAGCCCCGCCCCCTCCCACGCAAAAGCATGGTCCGACCTGTGGGACTCCGGCGAGGACTCGCTCTGGGATCGAGGGATGCCCTCGCCTGCGCTGATTGACCTGCTGGAGAACTATCAGGATACACTTCTCCATCCCATGGCAACTCAGGAAGGCAATGGGAATGGGAATGGGAATGGGAATGAGGGGCAAGCTAGGAAGAGGAAGAGGAAGAGGGCGCTCGTTCCGGTACGCTGTCCGCGTTTGTTGATTCTAGCTTAGCCATTGCCAAGACCAAGAGTTGATGGATTGATGGAGCAGGGCTGCGGGCGCGGCTACGATGTGCTCACGCTCGCGCTGCACGGGTTCGATGCGGTGGGCCTGGAGATCTCGGGCACGGCTGTTTCTGCGGCGAGGGAGTTTGCAGAGAGGGAACTTCAGCTTTCTTCTTCCGGTCCGCGTGCGAATGCGAAGTATTTCGGGGAGGATTTTGACGTTGATCGCGCACGCGCTAGACAGCTGGGCCTGGAAACTGGGACTGGGAAAGTGCACTTCTGCCAGGGAGATTTCTTCGATGATTCCTGGCTTGCCGAACTAGACGCTGACGAAGATGGAGATGGACTTGTCGGTGGCAGGAAATTCGATCTGGTGTACGACTATACCGTGAGTTACGTTCCCACACCCTTCTATGTTAGATTTGCTTCGATTAACGCACGCATCTACTATAGTTCCTCTGCGCCCTGCACCCATCTCAGCGCCCGCACTGGGCGAGGCGAATGCGCGACCTCCTACGACCCGGCGGACTGCTGGTCTGTCTTGAGTTCCCGATGTATAAGGATCCGGCGCTGCCTGGGCCGCCGTGGGGTGTGAATGGGGTGCATTGGGGGCTGTTGGCAAGTGAGTTTTCGAGGAGGGTGTATGTGCGTCCGCGGCGGACGTTTGAGGTTGGGACGGGGACGGATATGCTTAGTGTTTGGGAGAGGAGGGGGGAGGGATGTGGTTGTTGATTATTGACTGTTGATTGTTATGGCCGTAGCTTTGCTATCGAGAATATAATATCGTGTCGTCATATCGTTTATCGGTATCCCGCTCTGGTCTCAATGACCTTAAGACGGATCATCAGGATGTCTAGATTCTAAACCTTGTCTTTCCCACTTTGCCGCTGGCAATCTCAGTTCCGGCCTCCCTTCCGTAGATTTGCTAGGGAATTGGAGAGACTGTGCACCTGGGCTACCTAGTAGTCTACTGGGGTACCGTTCGCGGAGGCCTTCTTAACGCCGTACCTGGCTGCCATAACCTTATTGGGCGAGCTGCATTGCAGGTGTTGGTTGAACCTTGAAAACGAAGTCAGGGTTTGAAACGAACCCAAGGCGGGAGGGGAGGTGCGCAATAGTAGGCAGAGATGATGGTTGAATGCGAAAGAACAAATACGGTGAGAGATTGCGCAAGTCTCTATGTATCTGGTAGAGGAGGTTGCCGGGGAGTGTCGTCGTCTACGCACAGGAAGCTTAACGGAACTCAGAGTTCCAAGGTTGGTTGTTTGGCATGATCATAGCCCACTGAACAACATCAGTTGTCATCTACCACCAGATCGCTCATCGTCATCATTAAGATCAAGGCAAAGAACAGATTAGAACATGGCATGGCAGGGCCGTCGGCTAAGCCTTATCCACCCTCTCCAGCTCAACATTCTCCTGCCCCGGCTTAACATCCCCCTCCCCCTCCTCAAGATCAACCACCTTGGCCGTGCGATTCTGCTCCTGCATGCCCACCACAACCGTCTCAAAGCGCCTTCCACGCTTCTCCGGCCCAAACGCCGTCGTCACCATTATCCCCGTCGCAATGATCGCGGTGGCAACGCCCATCGTCGGCCCGTACGCTTCAACAGGCGTCCCAGAGGGCCCACGGATGAACGTCTTTTCGGCGATGGCGTTGATGATCTGCGCGGAGGGGGACGAGATCATGTTGCCGAGTTGGTAGGTTAGACCTATTTTCATTAACATTAACATACGCCTTATACAGCAGATTAGGTGGGTGGATAGGTATGGTATCGTACCAGGGAAGAGGGATCGGAAAGCAGGAGGGGACAGCTCGTTCAAATGAATGGGAATAACGCCCCAAGCACCCTGGATAAAGAACTGGATGAAGAAGCCCGTGGCGCTGAGCGAGCCCTCGGTCTTGGGCAGGATCCAGGCCGGAATCAGCAAGCCGGAGATGAAGGCCGCGACGATGATGGCGCGCCGCCGGCCCACGAACTGCGAGAGGTACCCGATTATCGTGCCGCCGACGCACGCGCCTGTCTTCATGATGATTGAGGCGCGCGACGCACCCGAGTTCTCGAGCTCTTTCTGCGTGAGCATGAAGGTTGTGTAGGAGTCTTGGGAGGTGTGGGAGTAGTAGTTGAACTGGGGTACGTTGTTAGAATGGGGGCTTGGTGGATAAGGGGGATCGCGCACCCAGGTCATGAGGATGATGCAGTAGACGGAGATCTTCCACTCCTGGCCGATCATCACTTTGGTCTCGCGCCAGAATTCGCCCGCGCTGACGGAGCGCTTGCCGGCTGCTTTTGCTTCGAGGAATTGTTTGGATTCGGGGAAGAGGACGCGGATGAAACCGATGCCGATGGAGATTCCGGCTGTTACTGTTAGCTATGTTCATGAAATAGGGCGGGAGACGTACCTGCGATCCAGAAGACGGTTTTGAAGGTCTCGGTTTCACCTCCGACTCCGAGGTTGGCGCATGCGGCGAATACGTAGCCGAGCGAGTAGCCCTGCTGGAGGATTCCGGACATGAGACCGCGGGCGCTGACACTGCGGCAGTTAGCACCGGACAAGTTATTTGTTGCAGGAGACTTGCGGGCAATGTTCCAACGCCATGGCGATGGCATTTCCATACACACCACCCATGAACAGGCCGAATAAACTTCTTACGGCAAGAAACTGCTGGAAGGTACTGCTGTAGATGGTCGCAATCTGCAAGACACCAAGAACGATCATGTTGATTACCATAGGCCACTTACGGCCCCATCTGTCACCCGCAAGACCGAAGAACGCAGCGCCTACACTTCGCAGAAGCAGAGTGAGAGTAATAGCCGTGGAAATGTCGGTCTTGGATTTGCCATAGTAGTCGGCAAGCTTGACTTGCTGGATGGACAGCGCGTGAAAGTCAAACGCATCGGCAGTCCAAGCGGCAAGGCCAACGAGGAAGAACAGCCAGTCACGAGCGCTCAGCAGCATAAACAGGCTGATTGGGTTCTTGAACGGCTCGGGGTCTTGCCACTCGGCGTAGCTCTCGCCCTGCTCGTTCTCGATGATGACGCGCTGCTTCCATCGGAAGAGGTCGCCCCAGGATTGTTTTGCCGTAGCAAGAATCCCGTCGGGAATGGGGTCAGCAGGCTCGTTTTGGGAAGGCATTGTCTGGACTAGCAAAAGAAAGGAAAGTTTTGAGGCAGGTCCCACGATGAGGAAGAAAGCGGCTGTACCTCAGTGGCGCGGTCCGACTTTATACCTTTGCCCTGCCCCTCTGACTGGCACGAACCCATGTTACACGCGGAGGATGTGCGACACCCCACGCAGGGATATCCCTCATAGACACGCCCCCCCATCCATAACCACCTGCATGACCTTGTGGCTGGCATTGCGTACAAATCCCACGGCGGGCTACCAAATCCACGCGAGCCAAGATTGCGCCAAGGGCCTAAGCAATCCGGGGTTGCACGCAAGACAACGAGCGCAGCCTGGAATGGCTGAATCCCGGGGAATGACTGGAGTCGACGTGGTGCCGAGACGCACTAGCTAACGTAAATTCTGCCATGGGCGTAGATGGCGAAAACAAGACAAAAGATGCAGTCAGCCAAGTTGAGAGAAGGATTGCCGAGCGGGAGATCAAAAGCACTGCATTTCGTGCACTCTGGTCTATGACGCTGCTGCCATTTCATATTGAGGGCGATGGAAGAGTCTCCTTGCCAAGAGTGGAAGGGGATAGCTGCTGGCCTGAACCCCGCGAAGGATTGTGCGTTATCAGGATACCTAGCAGTCCAGGCCAGTCAGGCCACGAGACCCTTGACCTTACCAGTGCGTATGCGCCGTGCGGCTTGTGCGTCGGAGATGACAACCCCAGACTGCGATACCGATGCCGGAGAATAACGGGTGGCATGACTAGGAGAAGCTCGGTGAGTTTCCGATCTCCTGCCTAACTGAGCGTGCCCAGATCTCGCGTTATGACAACGATAGCGGGGTTCTCCGGAGAAAAAGTTGGGGATACCGATCGACACCGCATTGACAGGTGTTTCTGGGGGCCGGTGGGGGCCAAACGTCGGGGGAAAGTTCCCATTTCCCAACATCGGGGCCTCGGTGTCTCGCCGGTGGGCTTGGCGGCGACACGAAAGAAGAGTTTTGGAGACGCTTACTCTGGTCAAACTCTGGCCAAGACTGCGGGCAATTGGATGGGAGGGTCTGCGAGGGGCGCCGGATACGAGGCTTGTCCGTCGTTGGCTGAGCCGACTCGCGCTCAATGCTAGGAGGTCGGGTGTATGCTTTGATTTTGCACATCACGGTCGATTTCGAATCAGACTGGTGATTGAAATCCGTTTCCGCCTCCGGGCTCGCCCGATGGGTGAAAAATAGAGGTCTTGGGAGTCGGGTTGGGGATCTTGGAAGGCGAGCGATGCGGCTGGAGGCGTCACGGAATGGGCTCCTGTCAAGGATGCCCCTTTGGTGAAGGCGGGCGTTGAAGAAATCCTCATCCCCGGTTGGGGACTTGACACCCAAAGTTGTAAGTACCGAGACAAAATGTGGAAGAAATGGGACGCTTTGGGAGGGAATCTTCCTAGGTATCATGCTTCGTTGAGCTTTGGCTCTCGGTGTGCCGTCTGGGGTCCAACCACAATCATTGGATGGAAAGACCATGGTCTGTTGACACCGTTCCCCTCACTCTTAGCACATGTGCCAAGTCACAATCTTTGAAGTACACAGCCTCTTAATCTCCGCTGACTTCGACATTACTCTGGAAGGCAACATTCCTATCTCCATCACCTAACGGACGCACAGGCTTTCAATGGGCATGGACAAACCGTGGACTCAGCAAGCTATTGACAAGTTCTTCGCGACCCGAGAATCTCCTACTCAAGCAGAGTGCGATGACCATGCCCGCAAGATCTCTGGTGCTTCCACAGTCCAGCAAGTTGCCGTTCCAGGCTCACTGAGCTACACAGTCCGCTGCAAAGATTTCCCTAGCGTAGAGCGTGATTTGATTGTGTCCTTTCGGCAAGTCGAGTCATCCCTAGATCATGGTGTCCTCAATTTGGCAAGATCTATCCACGGCGCATTAGTCCCAGAACCTGTCTTCCGTGGCAAAATGCCTAATTCAAACCCGCCCCTTCTGGTCTATACGATGCCATATTTGCCAGGCATCCCTTGCCTAGAGGCTCTCGCGAGCAAAACCGGGTTGAGCCTCGATGAGCAGAGCAGACATATATGTTTTGCCAAGCATCTAGCCAGGTATTCCTTCTTTCCTTTGTCCTTAGCTTTAGGAGTACAACAAAAGGAATACTGACACTCCTTCCCAGATATTTTGCTCGGTGTTGGTTAAGTCCGCAGCCGGTTGACCCTGAAGCGCAAGCAGACTTCCGGAAGAGAGTCTACCGCCAACTCATGAAATTCAAGACCTCCCCCCTTTCCTGCACGATAATCGTTGAATTAGAACGCAGCCTTCCGATTCTCTTCGGCCAGACGTACCCACAAGTCCTTACACACAACGACCTTTCTCAAACAAATATCTTGCTAAATGAGGAATCTTTTGAGATCACAGGTGTCGTCGATTGGTCCCTGGCCGGAGTGCAACCCTTTGGCATGGACCTAGACTCCCTTCTATTAGCGACTGGCTATATGGATCTCAACGGCTGGCACAATTACCCATGCCGCTTGCAAATGCTTAATGCCTTTTGGGACGAGTTTTGGATTCACTGCCAAATTCACGACGATATACGCCAGCGAGAGATCCGTGCCTCTGCAATGCAGGCCGCCAAAGTAGGCGCTGTGTTGCACTACGCATTCCAGCGCAACGCCAATGGTTCCCCATCCGAGGAGCTGACGACTTCTAAATGGGCCTTGAAAACTCTGAATGCTATGCTTACGGCCTAGTCATTGCGGGTGCCCGGACAGGCATTTTCTTGGGGTTGAAAAATTGATTCGCCACACATCCCGGGTTGTTATCTGTGCTTGTCAAGGGCGTGAGTGTTGGAATGGAGCAAGAACATTAGATGCCCCGTGTTCCCGAGGCAGATTGTTTCTGACGAAATAAAGCTGACGATGAGTATCCCATGTTCGTGGAAATGCCATTAGTGCGACGAGGAAACCTCCAACAGTCCATGTAAACAACTGAAAAAGATAGGAACTTTGCAGCAATGTATGTCCTCCCTTAGAAACATAGCTACTATCCATGTCCAAAGTTCCGTTAAGTGCACTTGATTTCTCCATCTTCCTCCGACTTGGCCGTTAGCATAAAAGCTAGCATATCCATGCTCTCTGTGTCTGTTCGCTACTGCATTCTCTTTCCATCCATTACTACTCGCTTTTCCGTGCCGCACAGGAGACTGGAGGTACAATGAATCACAGGCAGCACCATAACCATATATTTTAAATTTCTTGTTTATGTCAGGCTCTGTACTATATCCTTAGCTAATGCATGAACGCTCAGGGATTCATGGATCAAACGTTGCCTGTTGCAGGATTAATTCTGCGCCACGGGAGGTCCTCCTGGAGAAGGGAGAAGTTCCAATCCACTCTACACTATAGCCGCTTCTGGTCAGCCTTAGTTGTAGTCAACCCCAAGTGCGGTCTCTGGCTGAAGGTGTGGAGACCCCGGCTTGTCTGTTTGTGGGTTTCATAGTGCTTCGCGTGGCGATGCCCAGGCCTACTGTATGCCAGTAGGTATGGTGCCACCCTCGTATCCTGTCAGGGTCCACGAGCAATCCATTTGTCAGTTTATACGACCAGACGTTGCCCGCCGAGATTCTACCGGGCTCGGCTTCCTACTTGGTTATGACCCTCTGCGATTTCAGATCCCGCGAGCAAGACTGCGCAGTGCAATTTCACTCCCCTTCCGGCCAATATGCCGGCCTGACGAGCGAACTTCCAAGTCGCTTCTGCCATAACCTCCACTGCCGAATAATCTTGTTGCTTGCGATACCCCCTGCCTCCCTTTGAACCGAGCTGTTCAGCTGGGACGAATCCTACAGAACTGCAGCGATCAAATCTCGCTCAGATGGACTCTCTATGTTGTATTTGCACCATTGGACAGACTTTGTTCACTCGACCTTCGGTGTATTTCGCGAGCCTAGCATATCTTGCTCCTCAACGGCGCAAGAGGTTCGGCCCGATGAGTCGAGCATGTTACCCACGGTGCCGCGAGAACGATGATTTAAAGGACGCGCCAGCTTCACGTTGAACTTTCTCAATCACGTTTGATGCCTAGGGGGGATTGGGAGCCCTGAACTTACGGCTAGGTACTGGTCGTGGAGAGCCGAAGTCGAAGTATGGTTTCTTTTAGAGGATGAACATCCTCCGAGTCTATATCGAGGCAGCTAAGTAGGGAAGTCATTGACCCCCTTTGCCCCATTTTGAACAAAAACAAGGAACGTTCACTGTCGGAATTAGCATTGTAGATTCTAGTACCTTAATCATTGAAGTATATGCTCCTGGATGACTGCCAGTGTTCTTGGAATCTCGCGTGTAGAAGTCGCTACGATGGCCACTCTGCATGGGTTGACCTAGGTGCGTTGATACTTTATAGCTGCGAGCGGCCTTCAGGCACCGACAAAAGAGACCGCGTCGTGTCAAATGAGACTTCCATTTGTTCTGATCTAGGGGCTCGTGGAACCAAGCTGGTGCATTGCCTCCTCTTTTCATCCATAATGGGTAGTGGATTCTCGTGGCTTTGCACCGTTGCATACTCAATACAGGCCAACTGTGTTCATGTCCCGGGCAATAACTCAAACTCCAGCTTCAGAAAGTAACCATAAGCAGTAATCAAGCAGCTGCTGTGGCCGGGGATATGTTATGGTAGAATGCAAGTAGAAACTACTATGGCTCAGTGCCCAAGTTGTGCTTTAGACTTGTGATGCTCTCTTTAGTATGCCAGACTAGATAAGTTAATGCTATGCCCATGCAAAGTTGCTTGAGAAAAAGTTCCCCCATGCCATTCAGGGTGCTACCAGTACCTTCCATTCCAGAAGGGGCTTCTGCAGTGTTCTCATCATCCAAGGGTATTCACTAGTTGTCCCTTTGGCTGTGAAAGGCTAACACTTTTGGCAAATCTCAAGCTTGCAGGCCCACTTTCACCTCTGCTGTGAAGAACATCTTGCTTTGCTGAACGCCCATTGGTTATCTTACTTTGCTGAACGCCCATTGGTTATCTTGCTTTGCTAAACGCCAATTGGTTATTCAAGCAGCCTCTTTTCAGGGTCAGTGAATGAGGCCCCAGGATCAGTGAATGAGGGCCTGGGGTCAGTGTGTGTTAATGGAATCTCCATTCTGCAGAACTCCTCAGATCCAAGTATAAATACTGCCTTCTTCCCCCACGAAAAAAAAAAATATCCTCACCATCATCCTCTCCATCCTCTTCCATCTCGCTCTTCAGCCTTCAGCTTCTTCAGTCAAGCCATCCAAAACAAAACAAAGCCTCTTCCAAGGTCCATTCTTCAACCATCTCAAAAGTCTCGTCGTGGTATCATCTTCCCAATCAAATCGCCAAGATGCGTGTCACTATGACTCCCGTCATCATCTTCATGATGTTTGTCCTCTTCGCCATGATGGCCTCCGCCGTAAGTCTTCCCCTTCTATGCACTCCTCAATGAAGGCCCGGATATCCGTCCAAGTCCAGCACCACTGACTCTCCTCAGCATCACGTCCAATGCGCCGGAAAGGCTCTTGCCGCCCCCACCGGACAGGTCAAGCAGGCCGCCAAACACATCAAGGACATGGGCTCCATCGCCTGGTATCTCGATCCCAATTCGTGCGAGGTTATCGCTTGCAAGGGTCGTGCTCAGGTTCGCTGGTGCAATGAGGTTCGTGTTACTCCTTCCTTGGTCCTGGTATTAGGATAAAACATAGCATAGTTGGCTAATACGTTCATGTTGCTGTAGGATACTCGCAATGGCCGCTCGATTATGGCTGAGCACATTGCTGAGGGAGCTTACGTCCTGGCCAAAGACTGTGAGACACGCTACAATGGCAAGTCTGTTGCTGGTGGCTATCTTACCCACGATGACAACTGGTCCGTTATTGTGCAGGATGCACAGTGCTAGGGTCTGATCTGGCTTCGTTGATCTACTCCAGTATCCCCATCAACCTTCGATCATGCGTATGTCTTGAACAGACATGGCTTTTACCTGTTTCCTTTGCCTTTCTTCATTGTGGTTCTACAACAGAACAACTTTGAGATTTTCTTTTGTACGCAACCTGGATGTGTGAAAGTCTCTCAGCAGGCTACATGCAAGTCTCCTATGTTTTTCCTATGTTTTTCTTGTGAACCAATCAGCTATTCAACAAGGCACCTTCACGGACCAGCCTGTTTTTAGCTAGGGCACAGTTTTCAATCAAATTTGCAGCCTACATACTTTCTCGCAATAACAGTAGAGCTTTAAAAGAGTTCCCATATAGAGCTTTCAGTGTCTTATCCTCGCACCGTATCCTCTCCCTCTGAGATGGGCTGTCTGCGTAACTTGCTAGTTTTGCCTCGAGGCCTGCTCTGCCCATACGGCATCTCACGGCCAACCACCGCTTACATAGCAGAGTCACGATAGAAGCAGACAAAGCAAGAGAGCCACTAGACATCAGGATGCATCTGAAATATGTCCCATATACCCGCCCCTGGCCGTAAGAACACTTCCCGGTGAGAGACACCTGCCTAGAGCTCCGTAGAGTGCCTTCCCACTTAAGAATAAAACCCCCATTCATGCACCTCGCGGATCTATGGAGACCATGAATGGCAACATGGGATGCTTCTAAATACTTTGCAGACAAGGCAGTAGGTGGCGTTGCAGTACCTATTTCGATATTAACGCCGAGCGTTCTCCACCATCGGCTGACATTGGCACTGAGAAACCACGGAAGGTGTCCGTCCCGAAGGCATCATCTCATTGGAACTCGATATTGACATTCTGACTCCCCTGCTTCCTCCCGTCAATGTACACCGCACACTCAGCCGCTGCCCCGGACGGCACCATCTCAACCTTGTAGTACAGCTCCTTCTTCCTAGTCCCGTCGGCACGCCTGAACGTCTTCAGTTCTGACGTCGGCACGTCAAGCGAGCAATGGATCGTGCAGAGCAGTTTTACATTCGGGTCCTTCCGCGTGGGAGGGGCGTCAGCTTCGCACTGGAAGATGCGCACCCGGAACTGCCCGCTAAAGTCCCTGTCGACTATCTTGTGGTACCCATGGCTGACGCGGTGCTTGGTGGAGACATCGTCGCCCTGCATGACATGACACTATTAGCACATGGCCTGCCATGGAATCGAGAAATGCGGAGCGAATGGAGAAAGAGTGCGAATGCGAACCTTGCGGATGAACCACTGCATCTGGTGGTCGGCCCTCCATTTTTCCTGATTGTAGTCCCATTTCCGGTCCTCCTCGAGGTGCTTGGAGTCGTCGAAATCCGCCCAGTACATTTTGCCAATGCTGATGCGGGATATTGTGGAGACGACCTTGATGCTCTGGTAGTCGTAAGCCCCTTGGCTGTTGGGATTTGACTCAGATAGATGCAGGAATCCCTTGTAGATGGCCCCTCGGCAGATGGCTGTTCGTCTGCAGGGTAATATCAGTACCTTGGCTGCCGGCTTGGCTCGTCGGGTCCGACTCACGGCTTTATCCCGCTCGATTGCAGGACTGATATTCTTTCTTTCGTGTATCGAGCTTTCAGGTGCTCGTAGAGATATGGACTTGTGCCTAGACCGCCAACCAGGATGATTCCCTAGACTAATTAGCCGAGCAGTCCATGTACGCCAACGCAAAGAGTGAGACCTACCTTCACCTGCAGAGACTCTTGTTTTGCTTTCTGGATCTGCTTATCAACCAGCGCGTCGATACCAGCAAACGAGCTTGTAAAGGCCTGTTCAATATCGCAGCTGATTGTTCTAGTCAGGACGAACGATTATTGATGACAAAAGGTAAGTGTACTTACTCTCGAAAATGAATTCGGCCTTGTTTGATGTACGGCTGTTTGCTCATATCATCAAGATTAGACCTGCCAAATGCCTCTGCCGGGATTCCAACAATCCAATCGCCGTGAGTAGATCCAGGCTTGAACTGCGGCTTAATGTACTGTTCCCACTCCCCTCTCATCACGTCGTTGATTCCTTTCTTGCTGAGATTGTCCCAGCGTCGCCCGAGCCGGCGTTTGCATATAGCCTCAAAGGCTTCATCAATGAGTAGACCGCCACATAACCCTCCTATATGTCGTCAGTAACTTGGTCCTTGGAACCGAGAGACAAGCGCATACCTCTTCCCTCGACTGCCTCCCGCATCGCTATCGGGTTGGTGTCTTTGACCTCGTAGCTGATCAAATCCACCGTCCCACCACCAGCATCACAGATAACATAGACATCGCCCTTTTTAATCCTCCGTCCACGCTCGCAGAGCGTAGAAAGCGCCGCAGCTTCCGGCTCAGGAACAAAACTCAGCGTCGTCTCGCCCGCCTTCCTCGACTTTAGTATGCCCGCACTCTTCGCTGCATCTTGCATACTTTGCCTTGCATATGCTTTCCAGATTGCCGGGACAGTAATCACCACGTGGAACCGAAGCCCGTCCACAACAAAGTCCCCAAGAGCCTTGCTGATGGTATCCATCGTATGCTGCCAAAGTGCGCGGAGATAGTCCGCAATCAAACCAACGGGTGTTTTCCCAGTATCCCTCAGCATCCTGCGCGCTCGCAGGAAGAATTCCGACGCTTTGATGTCTTCGGTCAGGTCTTCATCGTGAAGGAGCAGAAGTTTGAACCCGCGGACGGTATCGGCCCCGCCGGGTATGGTGTATCCCCACATTGTTCTCCCTTCATCGTAGAGGAGTTCCGTTGGCGCCTTTCCTTCTTCTCGGCCGGTGCCAGGCCATGCGCTTATGAGGTTGATTTGGTCTGCTTCGAAATGCTCGGGGGTGGCCCAGGCGACGCCAGAGAACCTATGGGTAGAATCTCGATTAGTCGCTGTTTCCGCAAGGGCTTCGATCTTCGAGAACTCACGTCGTGCCAAAGTCAATTCCAATAACCAACTGGTCATCGTCGTCTTGTACTCTAAGCCCTTGCAGTGGCCAAGTGACGTCACCGTCAGCATCATTTTGGGCGTTGAGAGCGTTCAGGGCGCTCGCACTCAGAGAAGTGACTCTCGAGGCAGGCATTCTTAGATAACGGTCAATAAATACTTGAGAAACAGAGTCATGGGTGCATCCTAGCAGTTGGATCTGTCACGATGCGAGCTGAGACGAATAGCCTTTAAGTACTGTCCTGCTTCACCATATGGACGGCAACGAGGCTGCTTTTCGGGGCTCAGCGGCAGCCGAGGGGATAGATTATCGAACCTATCATGAGCTGACCAGGCGCTCGAGCCGTTCCTCGACACGATAGTAAATATTCAGCCTGGCCATGACGGGGATCGCTGGCCAATAGGCCGGCGGGATGTTGAGGCTAAAACTGCCCGAAAGGCTGAGATGGCTTGGCGTGGTGTTGCACACGAGGCTGCCCTCGATCTTCCACTCAGCCCCGCTCTCAGTCACCCGTATAACAATTCTACTATTCCCTGTCGTGTCATACAGCATGATCACACTGGCCCTCTTCCAACATGCCTCCAGGCACCCAACCATCTATCAAGAGGGTTGAATCCCCGTCGAAGCAACCGACACTTCCACAACGGCCAATGGACCAGAAAGGCGACCCGATGGACATCGACCCAGTGCCCCCTCAAGACCCTCGAACTCCATCGCGACCATCCTCTCGAGCCGCAACTCAGCCCAAGATTACAATCAAGGCTGGCCAGCCACAGCAAGCGCCGCAACAGAAACCTACAACGCGTTCGGCTCCCGACTCCATGAAAGGGAAGCAACCAATCAACACCACTGAAGATCTCCAACGACTTCAAGACAACAATGCCGAGTTGAACAAGAAAGTCCAGGACCTCGAGCGCCAACTAGACGAGCAGCGCGCGCTTACCGCAGAGTTCCTAGACGAACGAGACAAAGCCGCAGCGCAGGCCGAGGAGAACAGGAAACTATGGAAACAAACAGCCCGCGAACTCCGCAAGACAAAGCAAACACCCAGCCACCACCAGGTCACCGACAGCCAACTGACTGGTCTCATCCAGCAGCTGCGCTACAGCATCCGCGACTTCGCTGTCCAATACTTCACCGGGATCCCTCGAAGCCAGCTCAGCAGAGATGCACGGGACGCCTGGGAATCATGCATGGTTCCTACGACCCCAGGCACAACCGCATACCACGACTACATCAGGTCCCCAAGCCGCTGCGCCAGTATCATCCAAGCAATGCTGTGGCGCCTCCTGGACCGCCGCGTCTTTGGCAGTTTCGTATGGGCAGGCAAAGCCGGCGAAGCCCTTTGCGACTTGCGGTACTACCTGAAATACTGTATGCAGCTCTGCACGGAACTCCAAACACTAAAGCTAACGAGTACTCCAGCCTCCCGCCACGATCCCACACCGGACCTGGAGCTAGAACGCAAATACCAACTCTGGTCCGCCGAAGCCTCAGCCCTAATCCTGCAAATGTGCGATTTCGCCGAAGGCTCGCAGGAGTACAAGCGCATCCAGAGCACACGTAAGGAGATCCGCGAAGAGTTCTGGTCCATCGCAGCCCAGTACCTCTCCACACGAGGCCAGGCGCCAGGCCAGGATTTCCGGCGAATCCTCGACAATGCGATGATGCTCGACAGGGAAATTCATCGGCAGGCTGCCCGTGTCACATGGGAATTTCCGCCCGAGGACGCACTTCTGCGGTTTAATCCAAAGTTCATGGAAGCGGAGAAGGGGCAGCAGAGGCCCAAGATTGACCAGCAGGTACTTCTTGTTGTGGCGCCGGGTGTGACGAAGAGGGGGAAATCGGATGGGCAGGATTTCGGAGGTGAAGAGCAGCTCTTGGTACCTATGGAGGTTTCTTGCTTGCTTCCGAATGATGTCCTTGGTTCCGCGAGTTTAAGCTCGCATATTTCCTCGTGGCTAAGATAGGGCCAAGTTCTATGTTGCTGGATGGGTGCTACTAGCATATTTTCTGCGCGCTGACTCGAAAGTACCCGCGCTGACTTGCCCTGTTCTTAGATCTTCAAGATACACTTTGGAACCAGCTTGTCTTTGAAAAAGACTCATTGCACTCCTACCCACGCCGCACAAACTGAATCCGCAACGGCGGCAGCGTCGTAGTGAACGTATCTAGCGTCCTCCTCTCAAAATCCCCCCCATTCTCACCCTCCGCAAACCGCACATGAAACCGCTGCGCCAACTTCGACACCGAGATGCGCAGGCTCATCAAAGCCAAGTTCTTCCCAGGACAGACATAAGGCCCATACAAGAATGGAAAATACGGCGCCCCCTCCCTCACCATCTCCTTCCTCTCACACCACCGCTCAGGGACAAAGCTCTTCGCGTCAACATAGTACCGTTCATCCGTCTGAACCAGCTGCGTCGGCACGAACACATTCACGTCACCTGGTATGTACACCTCGTCGACCCTCATTCCTTCTGGTGGCGTAACGCGGTATCCGCCCGTCAGAATAGCGGGACGCAGCCGGAGCGTCTCGGTGATGATGTCGTCCAGGTAGGCGATGTTCTTGACATTCTTGTATGTCCAGTCCCCGGGACCGGATGGCATGGCTTCGTCGAGATGGCGCTGCAGCTTAGCTTGCACGTCGGGGTTCTTGGCGAGGAAGTATAGCACCGAGGTTAAGGTTGTGGCGGTGGTTTCGCTGCCGGCTACGAGTACGGCGCGGGAGTCTTCATGCAGGGCGTTTGCGGTTGGGGGCGCGGATGCGTCTTTTTCGACGTAGGCTTTTAGGAGCCAGGAGACTATGTCGCGGGGTGGTTCGTTGATGTTCCAGTTCTACGACACACTACTGATCAATACTTCTACCTAGCATCTGGGGGATGCCGGTGGTAAGCAGGACGTACCTTGTACTTCTGCACAATCTCGTCCTCGCACCATCTAAAGAACTCCGCCATCGCAGACGTCGCGCCGGGAAGGTGACTGATGATATTCAGAAGCCAGGGGATGTGGCCCATCACGCCTAGGATGGCCATGTGGCCGTGGACGGCCTTGATGCCTGGGTGTTCAACCCCCGTGGAAAGATTGTTGAATTCTTTCCCAAACCCGACATTGCCCATGATGTCAAAGCTGAGGAACATGGACCATTTTGTCGCGTCGACCGTGTGGTTCTCAGCCTTGTTTTCAATGTGTGAGATTAGAAGATCTGCCTTGGCTGCGACGTTTGGCTCGTATGTTGCGAGAGCTACAGAGAACGTGTTCAAGATAAGCCCCACTGCTCCTATGAGATCATCATGGAAAAGGACTCTTACCTTTCACGGTGAATCCGCGATCCCAAGCCTTCCGTCGCCTGCGATGGTCATCGAAGTCTCGCGTATGGTGGACATTGCAGTATTTTGACTCAGTCTGTGCTTGAGCATAGAACGTTGACTTGCCGCACTTGGACTGGGGTGATAGGAGCAGCGGGACGGCTGATGCGCGGACGATGCATATCTCTCTTGGACCAGTTCGGATAAAGTCACCGTACATCTCCTGCAACTTTGAGATCTCCTCATGATACTGGATGTTCCTCCCTGCAAGATACGCATCATAGAACCGCGATAGCTTCGACAGCCATGGACCCGGGAACCGGCGCAGACGATGGAAAAACAGCCGGTATATCGCGATGCTGGATGATAGGCCTATATTGAACGCGGAGACAACACATCCCACTCGAAAAAGAGTCTGTGAAATGGAAAATACGGTGAGAGAGAGATATGCGACTGTTATTAGGGCAACTGTTGCAGCGTATAAGCCCAGAAGACTGTACAGGTACTCCTCCACAGGTAACGTGCGAAAAATCGAGACATGAGACAAAACTCCAAGAGCTGCAACCGATAGGGAGAGATTGAGGGGGTCAATTTCCAGAGCCTGCTGAAGAGCTTCTGCCGGGAGGAAGGAAGCCATCGCGAAGGGCAGGTATGACCCAGCAAAGTGAATTCGGAAGGAGCGAGGATGTCGAGGCCGAACACTAATTATTTCCCAGATTCACACCGCATGACCAAGGCTGCTTGTTTCATTTTAGATGGCGGCGCTGCAGCAATGCATTAGCCTGCCCCATCTAATAACCTGCCAGGTCAATGGCATTGGCATCTGCGCTCCACCCACTGAGACGGCCCGGAAACCGTCCGCAGCCACCGCTGGGGTAGATCGTGCTCCGAGCGAATCATTGTGTCCTCTTATGTGGACTATCAAGATCGACTATCCGCTGAGGCAATGTCTAATCAAACATTCTCCACCTGGGCGAACGACTTTCCCATCCTTGGTAGGTATTCCGACCAATATGGAGTACGGCCTCGACTGCTGCGGTTCAGAGAACGAAAGGATTCAAGGTCGATCAAGCTCTTAGGCACCCTGACAGCCCTTGCACAGACAGATAAGGTTACATGAGCTCCAGACTGTTGGCATTGGCTCAGAGAAATATATCAGCAATGGCCCTGCACCTACCCATGTATACATTGACTTGATCATAGCACAACTGATGAGCGACCATGGCCGTCGACAACCTCCGACCGCTTGCCTACGCTGTCATTACCATCGCCTTCGCATTGGGCACTGCGTCTATCTTCCTTCGGCTTTACTGTCGATGGCGTCTTCGGACTTTTGGTCTGGATGATGCGGCTGCCATTTTCCTCTTCGTGCGTTATACTCTCTTTTTGCAAGCAACCTCTCTAATCTCTTGACTAGTGCGTCAACAATGTACAACAAGCGATTCTGTACATATTCCTTCATCACGGGTGCGGATTGTACGTACAAGTCTGCTCCTATCACTACTGTGCCATTCTAACCTTGTCTAGGCCGGCAGACAGAGCACCAGCGGGGATTCTCACCAACATCAGAAAGGTAGACCTTACGCCAATTTAGAACGTGTCGGTCAGCTAACCGACGCAGTTTCTTTTCGTAGAGGAGGTATTTTACATGTTTGTCCACTTCGTGCTCAAGCAGACCTTCCTCCTCTTCTACCTGCGCCTCTCACCGAGCCGGAGATTCCAGTGCGCCGTTTACACAACCATGGCCATATGCGTAATTTTCCTTACAGCAGAATGGCTTTTGGCCTTTCTGCAAGCCCGACCACTGGCTGCATACTTCCATCCGGAAAATTATCCAAATGCCAAGCGCCTCAGCGAGTACGTCGTGCAAATGGTCCCGACTGCATTGGTATGACCTGTCCCCAATTACCCTGCCGCTTGCAAGATACACCAATTCCGAGACTCTACTAATACCGCCTGCTTGATCTGCGCAGAACGCGTTCTCCGACGTCATCATCCTCATCCTTCCCGTTCCAACCGTTCTCAATTTGCAAATGAGCCCACGCCGCAAGATCGCCGTACTCGGAATCATCTGCTTCGGATCGCTATCCGTCGTCACAGCGCTATGCCGCTTCGTCGTGCAGAAGCAACTCATCTCAGAGCCTGATACTTCCTACATCATGGGCCGAATGGTCATCGTCGCGGGTATTGAGATTCAGATTGCAGTGGTGGCGGTCAACTTGCCGGCCCTTCGATCGCTCTTTACCAAAGTTTTAGGAAGTTCTCATGAAGCTTCAGGAAGCTATCCATACAATAATCAAAAAGGGGTGCATAGGCTTTCCAGTCTGAAGTCCCATTCAAAAGGTCCCGGCGTACGGAAAGGACTTAGGAGATCCGAGCCGCGCGATGGGGTGCTTGGAGCTACCCTGACTGGGTCCGAAGAGGAGCTGATGCGGCAACAAGGTGGAAGTGCCAGCCATATCCATGTTATTACAAACGTGGATGTGACATCTCACGAGGCCGTTGACGAGGATTGCAGGGGAGACATTGGCCTACCTTCGACGGAAAAGAATAAGCACGTCCACTGAGTTCCAGGAGACATCCACATTTTCTACGACAGTTAAATGGAAATTCTAAGAGCAAGCTCTGCATCTAACAATAATTTCAGCGATGTTTCGTTTCAGTCTTAACTATGCCTTCAAGCAAGGTCTTCCTCAATCTCAAATGCACCGCAATCTGTCTTCAGTTCAGGTATAAATACACAGAGCTGCAGTTGGACACGGCTGCTCTATTAACGAACTCGAGCCTCTCAATCCACAATGCCTACTACCACCTCGTCCACCCCCTCTCCATAGCCTGCTGCCACGGCTCCGTCGTCACATTCATCCTCTGCAAATTCGAGACGAGGTGCATTTCCTGCGCGACATCAACGAGGGGGTTAGATGATGAGTCTGGCGCGCTCGCAATCGGCAACCATCGCAAATGCATAGGCGGTTGAACCTCTGGCTCCGACTGACTGCGCCATTCGGCCCACTCTTCTGCGCTGAACGGGTCGAATAGCACGTGGCATATCTCCTGCCTGCCTGTGTTCCAGTCTTTTTCTGGGCAGACGTAGAGCATACCGTGGTACGTGCGATGGTAGTCGATATAGCTGGGCACGAAGCCCGGCGGACCTACCCTCGAGGTATCGGCTCCGGCTTCCTCACCTAGGGGACGAGAGGGAATCGATGACTCCCTAATCTCCAGCGCCGCGATCTGAACGCGGTAGTCCCCACGGCTATCCTTTTCGGCACGGTAATGCTCAACGCATTCTTCCACCGACGCGTTGCGCAAAAAGAACAATTCCAGTCTGATATCCAACGGCTCATGCATGGAATCGATCGCGCTGAAGAAGCCCGCTACATCCACGTTGTCCGGTGACGCATCGCCATGCGTGAAATAGATGGCAAAGGCGTAGAGGGGTGGTAGCGGGCATGAGACTAGGTTGCGGAATACGAGGAGAGCCGGGTTGCCGGCGTGGTCGGGGAAGGGAAGGGTGTGGGTTTGCGTGCGGATGCGGCGCTTGCGGGGGGCGCGGGGCGTGCCGGGTGGTAAGGATGCCATACGGAAAGAAAGTACTGCACCTTCAGGACTGGAGGATTATTGGGAGGACCTTATGCTACCAGTCAATGGGATCAAGTAGGTAATTACCACGCCACGATTATGACTCAGCGGGCTTGCCACCTACCGGTACTCTACTACCTAAGTTAACTCACCCAAGTATTGCAGGTACCTAGGGCTAATAGGACAAGACCTCATGTGAACAGGATCGCACAATGTTGATGGTGAGAGGGTAAGATGTCAACCGTCTTCTTCGCTCGGGAATGACAAGGGCTCTTATAAGGGCTGGTTATACCACCGGCCGAAGCCGACCGAGCCACGAGCAACGCACCTCCAGGGCTAGAAGCTATAACCTTCAAGGCAGCCCGGCATACATTTGAAGCAGGGCTATAAAGCGCCACGAGCCCTCATATACGACTCAATACATGTAGGAGCACGCGGGGTAAGCCATGACCAAGTATAATTGACCATGGATATACGTTGCATTGCGTATCAACCTAGCGCCTCGTATACATGGATCTTAGGACTCCTTGGCCCGCGGGCGTCGTACTCGGTTGCCATTCCTTGCCATAGTGGTTGATCTCGTATTCTATAAGACAAGACAAGTGGGGGAGGCAGCGGCCGCCTGGGTATATAACACCCCAAGACCCCTAGGAACCACCGCAAGCGCCAATCCGAGTGGCACCTATGTCAGATGGTACAAGTATCGAGGAAATGTCCCTTCCCACCCCCTCCGATAAGCCAAAACCAACGGGCTTCCACCCCATGGCCTGGATATCGTCGTCCCTGCAAGAAATCATCACAGAGGGACTGCAGCAAAGCGCAACATCCCGAGGAATCCTGCGCCACATCGCCTGCGAGCTCGACGGGAACCGCCGGTGGGCACGGAGCCGCGGCGTCCCAGTCTCTGCGGGACACAGGCAGGGGGCCGAGACGATGACGCAGGTACCTATGGCCCCGTATCAAAAAAAGCAATTACATTACTAACCGGATCGCAATCTTGTCAGATAGTCGAGACGGCATTCGGCTGCGGCGTGCAAGCCCTAACGCTGTACATCTTCAGCATCGAGAACTTCAAGCGCTCGGCCGACGAGATCCAGAGCATCATGGCCATTCTGGCCGACTGCCTTTCCCGGCTCTCGGACTCTGAAAACGGCCTCGCGAGGAGGCAGGGGTTTGCTATCCGCGTTCTTGGGAATTTGAAGTTGCTGGACGACGACATGCAGGCCGTTGTGCGGAGGACGGTTGAGAGCACGAAGGACAACGGGGCAAGGACTCTGAATTTCTGCATTGCGTATACGTCGCGCTATGAGATTACCGCTGCGGTTAGAAAGACCGTGATCGATGCATGTGCCACTAGGGACAAACAAGATCCGACGACAATCTCAGTCGACGATATAAATGCGAATATGATGACAGCTGACTGTCCGCCGGTGGACCTGCTGATCCGGACCTCGGGGACTACGAGACTGAGTGACTTTTTCATGTGGCAGTGTAATGGCTCGACGGATATCGTGTTTACGCAGACGCTGTGGCCGGAGTTTGGGCCGTTGCGGTTGTTGTTTGTTATCTGGAAGTGGCAGAATGGGTTGCTTTGACCTGGCTGCTGTTGGGTGACTCCCTCAGGGTTATACTTCACCCTATACATGCCCATTCTGCTCTCCACACCCCTGTGGTCGTATGTACCTGTCCGAAGAGCGTTTCTAATCCTGTTCTCTTAGTTGTTTAACATTTTCGCATAATACGGTAGACTCTGATATGGTGCCTAGTTCTCGGGCTGATAAGCAGATAATAGACCCATACGTCCAGCATTGCGCTCTAATGTATTCACTCCAGGCCGTCATTCAACTTCAGTTACAGGGCAGCACCCTCGTGACGGGTCCAGTAATTGGCGGCGGCATTGCAAGAATTAACTTTCGGAAAACGCCACCGAGATGCTACTGAAGTCACCTCGAGCCCAGAATATACCATGCTGAATATGTCACAGCCTTATATTCACTGCTTCTACCACAATGGAGAGGTTCAGAATGGGCGAAACTCATTGTTGTCCTGCCCAGTTGGCACTGAGTGAATATGGGAGTGAAGAAGCACAAAATGAGTAAGTGAAACAACACCCTGGCCCTTCCCTGCTGCTATATCTTCCAACCTCTTTCCTTCTGTCCTCGCGGCTTCTTCTTGCTACACCATCTTCACAAGTTCTATCTTCCTGACCCCAATATCTCAAAGAATCACGAACATGTCTGCACCTCGGGCTTGGGAGACCCCGGTCACCTTTCGCCCCCGAAATGTCCACATATTCGCTGGCAATGGCGATTACTTGGGAGGTAAGAAACTTTAACTCTAATGTCAAGATTCTAGTCTAAGAAGCCTTTCTCCCAGGTCTGTTTCTCAATAATCCTCCTCGGATCACAAATGCCCGGTTTCAGACGTACTGCGCTCGCTTTATTGTATTCGCCCAGGGCTCGCAATGGCGACTTTACGTATTGGGAGGCGATAATCAAGCCCAGTCCATGGTACTTAGGAATTCTAGTGCCATGCGACGAGGCCGTTATGTGATCCTGGGTCCCGAGAGGCAACAGATACCTGTTACCCTGCGGACAGACCCAGCGCAACGTCGAGTCCCTACCAACCAACCCCCAACATCTCGTTTACGCGGCAATCAGAGGCATTTTCGGCGAGCAGTCCTTGCGCGTGACGGTAGATGCGCTATTACAGGTGCTGAAGGTCCTCCGGAAAGACCAAATCGCGGATTGGTTGCCGCGCACATATACCCAGTTGCTAGGCAGAACGAATGGGCCAGAAACAATCTGCAACAAGCGTGGCTCACGGACACCAGCCCGGCACAGAGCATTTCTCCGAACGGCCTCTTTTCCGCCCAGAACGGTCTTCTATTGTCATCGGGCTATTTACATGAGTCCTTCGATTCATTCGATGTCGGGATTGACCCTGACGTAAGTGCTTTTGCTTTAAGACCCATGGACCACGAGATGCTAACCAGTTACACTACCCCTCTATAGGACAATTATCGTGTAGTGGTCTTCAATACGGACAGAATGAACCTTGGCGGACGATCCTTGAATGCCAGAACTAGACAGGGAAATGTCAATCATCGCGTCAGCGACCATTGCCTCCGCTGGCACTTCCAGCAGTGTATCCTTACACACATGCGCGGGGCCGGGGAACCCATATGGGATCTTTTCGATGATGACTATGAGGACACGAATGCTATTATGGAGCATGAGGACGCAGCCGAGTTGATGGAAGCTCAGCTCGCCACCCGTTTGGGTGCATTTATTGAAGTCAGCTGATCCTACTTGCCCTACTTGTCTACTCGCACGGCCGCAAGCTAATAAAGCTGCCTATCAGGATAGCGAGCCGAGTTCTTCTTGAACCTTGGAAATAAATACATGCTCTACCTCTTGGGTCCTGCAGACGCGGGCTCTGTCTGCACCCCGCGGAACAAACGCTTATCTTGCAGACTGTCTATCCAGATGAATTTCCGTTAATAAGTACGGCTCGGGCAGATTTTCGCCAGAGCTGGAGCTTGGAGGAGAACTTTCTTTCTCTCTTTTTATACATTTTTCTGTTTACATTCCGTTTCTTTCCGGTTTGTCTTTTTGCTTGTTTTTCTCTCTCCTCGTTTTCGTTACTGAGAACCGCATAATATGACATTATTCCAGACCTTCACAGGCAGCAGGCTACCCCTCCAGTTTCCCTTCTTGTAGTTCAAGAACATCAGGTCAAGTCCCAGTTCTTCCTGAAAGTACCCGGTATACCACATCACTACCGCCAAACATCGCTTTGGGTAGCAGTTGCGCCCGCACAGCCAGTCGAAACAGTATAGCTCCTGTTCGGATCACTCTCCCAGATAACACTGCCATCAGACTCCTTCTTGATGTACTTGTACTCGAACGTCGTCCCCACGGGAATCTGAAGCGTCACGGTCCAGAGCGGATTCGTAGACGTGTACTTGCTGGCCGAGAGAGCCACCGCAGAATCCGTATCCCACGAGCCAAGCTGCACGCTTGAGCCAACGATATACACGTTCTCGCCGTACGAGGTCGTCACCTTGGCGTCAAAGGTCACTGCAATTGCGGAAGCTGTCGCAGTGCAGGTGGACGTCGCCGACGTCGTAGTAGAAGTAGAAGTAGACGTCGTAGCTGAGCTTGTCGTCGTACTCCCACCCTCACTCCCATCTCCAACAATCCTAATATCCGCACACCCCAGATAAACCTGCGCCGTCTGAAACGAGTTCCACCGGAACCGCAGCAACGTATGCTCAGAGACATACTCCGGGATCCGAACCCTCTTCGTCACCGTATACCCGCCCGCAATCGTCGTCTCGCACGACCCCAGCCCCGCCCCATCAACCCCCTGACACCCGCGCACACTCCCATCCTCCGTCTGGAACTTCTTGCACGTGAACCAGTCGTTCCGGTAGCACGGCTCCCCGGGCGCACAGTCAGGATTATACGCGCATTCCTGGCCCCCAACGTCAAGACAGCTCAGCTCGCCTTCCAGAAAGCAGTCCTCGGCCGCCTGTTTCTCGGACTCGGTGGGGATATACCCCGGCGTCAAGAACAGGTCAATCAGGGCCTGGTCGGTACAGATCCCATACGTGAACATCCCGCCGTGGTCGCCGTTTGCGTCGACGCACCATTGCACTTCGATCACCGAGCCCGCGGTGTATGTGGCCACGGGCTCGGTGCCCCAGAGGCCCGAGGGGGAGGGCTGGTTGTAGTCGATGCTCACGCGCGCGTTGTACCCGCATGGTCCGCTGCGGCTGACTTGCGCGGCGGTTAGGTCGGGCCAGGCGGAGACGGGTTCCAGGATCGAGCATTCGGGGCAGGTGTCGAGTCCGGCCTGGGGGGTTAGCTTGAGTGGGAATGAAGGGGGGGGAAGGGTAGGGGTGTACCTCGAAGCCGAGGCGTGTGCGGCTGGATGGGATGGTGAGGTAGCCGTGCCCGGAGACGATGGTGAGGAGGGTGCTTGTGTAAAGGGCGAAGAGGGCCTTCATTGTGGGTAAGTTTGTTGCTGTACAGTTAGATACAATTTCTCCATCTGATACTGAGGAGCTTTAGGGGTCTTATACCCTAATCCTGAGGCTCGGACAACGGAAACTCTCCTGGACGGAAGGTGTGCCTGCATCAATATCAAGCTCTATTAGGATTGGATCGCATTCCGAGATTAATCTAATTGTCTTGGTATCCCCGGACTGCGGGGATTCTTCACAATGCACACTAGGAAGTAGGTAGCGGCAGGGGTTGCAGGGTTACAGGGGCCGGGCAATCCTCGGACAAACTAGTAGGACAAACTACTTCCTTGGACAAGGGGGTTACATCAGGCCATGTGCCCTGCTCGGTGAAGATTGCTTGGCTCGCTTTGCTTGCCTGCTGGTGTGGTTATGGTGTCCTCATAGTCAGCAGACATAACTGGGAATACGAATGTAATGCATGTGGTGAAGTTGTCGTAGCTCAGCCCTAAACACTTTGGTTCATGATTAGGATCGATAGTTCACCTTGAGGTATAACTATGGAATCCTTGACCTATCCGTCCCTAGTGATACACAGATTGGCCTCCAGCTCAAACGACGCCGCTTCCATGTCGATCTTGATTCCATGCGCGACCAGTGATACTCGAAGCACATGGAACACTCATGGGTGTCGGCCAAGGCCCGGTATATGTCCTAGCGTACAGACCATTGTGGGAATGGATTTCTGATCAGTGTATATAAGCCTAGCTTATCTTCAGTTCCTCTGTCATCAGCAAGATGTCCCACGTAGCATACTCTTTCAGTATGACACCGTCCACCTCCATTAGAACTCTCAATTTCGCGAACAATATACCCAAGTATTACGTATGTGGTAGTATCCTCATTCAGGCAGCGGCGGTTGTCAAAAAGGTCTCCCGTGCTGTATCGAACATTAGGGCAGCCCTTTAACTTTGGTTATCTATGGGATATCTGTCAGACATAATTAAAACCCTTCCGCATCGTACCTACTTAGATTATATGCGGTCTCAGCGTTTATTTTCACGGGTGGTTCAAAGATGGGAAGGAATCAGGTCACTTTAACCGGGTAAGGTGGTTCTTGCTGCCAGGTGCACATGGAGCTCTGTTAAGCGGATAGGGCATAATCATTGTCATCCATGAAGGAAGCCGCGACCAGATCCCGGCCGTTGCAGCACCTGTCGCCAAGGGCTTGCTAGGTCAAGTCCGTCCGGTAGAATGATTGTCTTTCATCACTTTCTGCCACGACGTAAAGCATCTTGTGTCTTGGTTATCTCGTTTTACCATCGCTCAGTTGGCGCGCAATAGGCCTCTCCTCGCTCATGTTCAGGCGACCCGCCCACGGGCACTCTGGCCACTACGGTACCTAGGTACCTAGACGGCAACCGGTCGTGGGCTTTCGCAGCAGGGGCACACTATGGGGAGTTCAGGGTGTCACACAAATACGAACCAGTCGGGGGGGAAACCTCACATCCGCCAATGATACTTCCCACATTCTTTCCAGGTGCACCGGGGTGGTACCGTCTCGGTTCAGAACTAAATCTCACTTTGGAACTGTGCTGCGAGCAAACTCGTCGAGCGGGGTACGCCATCTTTAAGACGCCCAACGATCCCCTGGGGTTCAACACGGATTTGTTCGACTCGGCAAGCTCCCAGTTATCTGCAATACTCAGAGACACAAAAAAGCGGGAAAATGCTAGGGCCCGAGTTGCTAGCCGCCGTCAGGGCAGAAGACGAAACCCGTGTCCGCCTACTCCTCCAACATGGCGCTGATATTCACGACCGCACCGGCACGAAGCAGACTGCCCTGATCCTCGCAGTAGAGGCCGGAAGCCGTGACATTGCTCGCCTCCTGCTCGCCACTGGTTTCGACATAGATGCATCGGATGCAGACGGTAACACGGCTTTACATCTTGCTGCTAAGCAGAGTCGTTATCAGATGGTGCGACTATTGCTCAGCAAAGGGGCGGATAAGGAGGTTTCAGATAATAGTGGGAGAACGCCACTGCATTCGGCATCCAAGTTGGGGGATGCAGTGCTGGTACAGCTGTTGGTAAACGACGGTGCCAACATCAGTGCTATCGATGATGATGGGAACACTGCAGTTGTGCTGGCTGAGGTGGAAGGCCATATTCATGTACTGAAAGCGCTTGGACACAGCCAGAGTATTGACAAGGGCAAGGAGGCTGATGAAGTGACTTCCTCTGATGGGAAGAAAGAAGACGACGTGACGGGGCTTGATGAACTGTCTGAGGAGAAAGGAGAGAAAGAGAGCCCAGCTGTTACCCTCGAAACACTCGAGCCGACGATGAAAGGCACTCCTGGGGATAGTTCCGACTCAGATGGTTCGGACGCTGAGTCCCCCATGGAGCCCTGGTCAGTGGTGAGAGACGTGCCTTCCATCATCAGAGCGGTCGCGTTCTCACCCAACGGTCGAGTTCTCGCCACTGGCCATGAGAGTGACGGCGTGATCTTATGGGACACAGACGAATGGGAGCAGCTGCATAGCCACAACATCGAGGGGGGTGTTGTGGACTTGTCCTTTTCTTCTGACGCACATCTAGCCGCTTGCAGCCACGACAAGGTTTTGCTGCTAGACATGTCAATCAGAGATAGGAACTGGATCACATTGACGGAAGAGAAGTCACAACGGGTGGCCTTTTCTCCCAGTGGCCGGTATTTTGTGACTGGCAATAACCAGTGCACAGATTCAGAGCCTGACATTTCCGTACACCAAATCCGAGTCCATACTACTAAAACAACAAAAGTTATATGGACAACCACCATGGGCAACAACGCCTGGTTTATTTTACCCAGTGATTCGATCGCGTTTCTAGACTACAAGCACCAACCTCTGGGCCTTGCCATCTGCAGTCTAGCCACAGGTCATGTTGAGGAGAGAATACCGCTGCCCGGCACCCTCATGTTGCCGAGGCTTTCTCCCTTCGCACAATCCAACAATGGGCATGTCCTTGCACTGGGTCGACGCATCTTCGATCTAGGTTCAAAAGAAACTAAAAGGACCGTCCTCCAGTACGATGCTTGGATACCAAACAACAAAAACAACAGATTCCCGAGCACTGCGGCATTATCGCCTAATGGAACTATTGCAGTGCGCAACATGACGCCTCATAGCGGATCTGAGGGCGGACTCGAGTCTATACTGGAATTTTTCGAAACAAGGACAGGCCGGTTTTTCTACCATTTGGACCACGAGCAAACGTTATTCTCGTCTTCCTTTTCTCCCGATGGGCGTTTTCTGGTCTTGGGGGGTACTAAACTTGTTATCATGACTAATTTAGAAAACTTACCATTCTCGTCTTTTGCTGAGAAGAAACTGTATCTCGGATATAGTGCGATGTTGATGTCTATGCGTTGGAGCAAGTAGGTGAATATGGGTTTACCTGATAGGATGGCCAAGCTGCCTTCATTAATTATTGCAGTGCTTATGATTTTGTTCCGAGTTACTTGATATCTCTCAATTGAACTTGTTCTGACTCAGTGCAGCTATACCTTTTGTGATATTGATGGGTAGAATTTACACAAGCAGATTTCCCAGGTGTCACGCCAGGGACCTTTGTCATGCATGCACCATGATTATCCTTTTTAGACACAAAAAGAATGAAACACATGTAGTAAAGCTGCTGTAAGGTTTTACCTAGTTTAAATTCAAACCCTTCAGCAGTTTATTAGCAAAAAATTGCAAAAGCCCAGCATTTACTTCTTCGATTCGATAGCCCCCTTTTTTACTAGCACAATATCACAGTACTGCTGGAATCAAGTACCCATAAGATGTTCTTGCCACAATACAACAAAATAAACCCATAAAGTATTTACCATCTCCTTCCTACTGCGCAAACTACCTGATCTAGAGAGCCTACGCCTCATTCGGTCCTTCATTCTGCTGTCAATCCCATGACACTCAATAGAACATCAGTTAGGTAGGGTATCCATCTAGCTGGAGACTAGACCCAGCTAGAAACTTCTCGCACGGACATACTAACCCATTATTACCCAACCCAGCGGTCGACGGTCGTTATACTCGCAGCTCGCTTCACGGTTGCGCCGTAACCGTTGCCATAGTGGAGACAGAATAGAGCCCGATACCCACCCTTCCCGACGAACGTTGAAAATTTTCATGGGTGCTCCTGCTCCGTGCTCCGGCGCTCTCGTCGGAGTCGGAGTCGGAGTCGGAGAGGGCACCTGATGAGGAAGTAACCCCATCAGCCCTGCTTTGGTGGCAAGAACTTGAAGATTGCAAGAGACGGGAAGCTTGGGAGATATCAGGAAGGCATTCAGAGCGTGGCTATGACTGTGCCTAAGAAACTATTGGGTCCGAAGTGAGAAGTGATGAGGAGACCGCACCTGGGCACTGGCGTTGATACATATATATATATTGAGGCTCTAGCTTAGGCTGGGCCTGTCTGCTAGTGTAGTCCGGCTACTGTAATCGTCGACAAATATCATATCGGTGACTACAAACTTGGAGCAATGATCGCCAATTATACTCCGTAGCTAGATAATTGCAACCGCAACAGGCGGACTCTGCGTTCAGAGTACCTTGAACCCTCCAGAGTATACTCAGTATAAGCCAGAGACTTCGGAGTTCGGAGCACCGCCGAGGCTGCGCCTCACTATTGGATTCTGATCTGCAGAGTGCAAACCGCAGAAGCAGAACGCCGAGAAACGGCGAGGGCGGAAGTCTCGGCATGATTTGACTGATTACCTAGGTAACGGCTAACAGCAACCTTAGGGTTTTCCTTGGAGACTGGAGTCACAGTGATATACCGGATAGCCGACTGTAGCCGCGACGGGGCCTACTCATATCAAATTTCGCCTGACTCAGCTTGGTGACAGTCAGACATACGACTCACAAACCTGAGAGTAATTTATCAAAGTCATCAGTCATACTCACCGGAACCTACCATCCATTGTCACTCAGAGTCATCATCAGTATTCGCAATTGGTGACGGCTAAGCTACCCCTGCTGAGCCATGAGTGAGTGAGTGACAGTCATGCTCTCCTCGAAGCCAAACCCACCACAGACACAGCGTTAAAAACAAGCAGGAACTGAGGAAACCCTTGCAGGTCCACCGGGCACCCTTTGCGAACAAAATTTCCCGATCGATCCGAGTGCCGGGCGCTGGAAGCCGCTGGCCCGCTGCGGGTCCGGAAAATTTTTCAGTCAGCGGCCTTAGACCCTCAGCTCAAGTTCAACCGAGCCACAGCCGGCGCCCAACCCAACTCCAAGAGCCTCGGAAGGGAAAGGGAGCTTGTTGAGCTCTGTAGGGCGAGCGGGATCCACGGTTCAGCTAATCAGCTTGCGTTGACAAGGCATGAGTAAGGATTTGATAAGGGCGGTTCGGAGGAATCGTGCCGGACTGGGAATAATTCAGAGGGCCATAGTGTGTACGATGTATCAGAAATTAGAAGGCTGGATGGTTCGATGGAAGATATCAATTGCGATGTCAGAAGTGTGAGGATTGGATTGAGAGTTGAGACGTTGAGCTTGGACGTGGAGGTTGCAGCCTTGGAGCCTGAAAGTCAGGTGGTCCATGCATCGGGAGCGTTGCCGAATCAGGTCACGTGGACAGAGGCTACTCCGCAGTTCATTTAAGAGTTGGGCCAGGTCCAACTCCAGACTCTGGGATTTGAAATCTGGAGTCGAGCACGTCACCAGTCGAACGCATGGTCAAGAGCCTACGGAGATAAAGCCACAACGCTTGTCGGCGACATTCTGTTCCCGCGTGCCAGTCGATAAACAGTGCGGGTGTTGAATGTTGACGTCATCAATTAGCGGGGATTAGAAATCCGCGACAAACCCTGGAGACGTCCGGGGTGACAGCTGCAAGTATTAATAATCGGGTCATTTTTGTCAGCGCGCCGACGAACAGGGGCCAGCGCAAGCGAGTCCAGCCGCAATTAATGGCAGCCCAGATAATCATCGTTTCGTACATCCATGGATGCGTATGCGCCTCGTATAGCCTTACCGGGAGTGACGGGATCAGACGGGCTCACACGTGGTGGTTGAGGCTGACCAGGTAAGCGAGTACGATAAGTGTTCATAAGATTGCAGATAAGATATGTGAAGGACATAATGTCATGGAGGTTGTCTTTTCCGACTTCCGGTGGCAAACATGTCGTCGCGGTGATGTCTTGTACCCAGATAGGCTTCATCAGGCAGATCTCGCAGGTATGTAGATCCGGAGGCAACAACTCATCGCAGCGGTGGCATCGCGCAGTCAGTCGCAGTTGTGTAGACAGAGTCACCATGAACCGCAGATGAACACGTCTGCGATAAGCGCTTGGCTGACCCGGGCAGTGCGGCTCCTCCGCATCTCAGCCCCGCTCAGTCAGAGTCAGAGGCAGTGTCAGTAAGGGATTGATTGATTGATTGGAGATAAGCCAATGAATGCGGCAGCCTGTAGAATCCAGACTCTCGGCCTCGTCAGGTTGTCGTACATTGTCCAGGCAACATTGTATACTATTTCTGCTGCTTTATGATCTCGGTTGCGTATTCGTTCCTACGCGAATGCGAGCAGACGAATGGAACGATCTCCTTTCAGTCAGCAGCCAAGTGTTTGATGCAGACTTGGCTTGTCGTCCTGATCGCATCATCCAGCCCTACGCTGAGACCCCGGGCACTCGGGTATTCGGATAGTATCATAAGCGGCGCATGGCAGCCTGGCTCATGGCTTGGTCTGAGAGCCTCAGAGCATCCAGACTGCAGGGTCGGTTGGCAGACCTGGAGTTCCGAGCATCAACCGGCGTTTGGAAATAAGAAAAAGCCAAAGAGTCATCTGCGGCTGAATCATAATAATGAGCATGGATGATTAGTTTCCGAATGGTTCTACGGTTGATGAGTTTGTCAGGCAGCCGGAGATTACCAATAGCCTAGAGCCATAGAATCACGGGAAATTGTTGCGATCCGATCTCCGGTGCTTTCCTTTTCGGGGTCATTTTGGGCTGGGCTGCTGTTTCTGGATCGGGTATAGCGGAGCGACGGCCACCCGTGACTCACTCTTTACAAGTGCTGATTGGGCCCAACAGCAGAGGCGGTGAATGTCAATCCTCAGGCTGCCCCGCTGATCGGATCCACGGAGCCCAGCTAGGGCGACTGAAATTTTATGCCTGCCCGGCCTGCGAATCACCCGGTCGGACTTACGGAGTGGAGAGTGGAATTAACAGGCTAACCAGGGAAAAAGAAGCAAATCGAACTAGCGTGCCTGCCGTCGGCGATGGGATTATGAATCAGAATTGATTCAGGAAACAAAGGCTAACAAAGAAGAAAAAAAAAGAGAAAAGCGGCCCACTGCTGGATATATCATCACGAAACCCATCCCTCGATCCCAGTCCTTTCTGACCGATCCCTTCTTCACCGACTCCCTGCCTTGCGACCCAGCTGCCTCCTACCTAAAGGCTAACCAGGAAGCCTCAGCCCTCCACGTATCTCAACATCAGCCACCGAACACTACGTCGACAGTCGACACGGACACTGCAGATTCGCATCGTCGCCAGCGTATCAAGACACGGGGTTACGAGACAAGACCGAAATCCTGGGCAGAAACGCGCAGGGTCCCATAATAATCATCGGTGGTATCAAGGAGATAAGGCTAAGGCAGTCAGCCTCTTCGATACACCGCCGCTGCGCCCCAGCCGCGATTGGACGATCGGAGGCCCGGCCGGATCAGTGCTGCCTGAGTCACAGCTGAGATCATAAACACGACAGGTCGCCCCGGATTCCACAAAATGTCAACAATTTTCTCTCCCACCTCTACTACTTCAACCGCCTCTGCTCCTGCTCCCGCCTCCTTCACCTCCTACTTCAACGCCCTCACTCGCAAGCGGCAACAGAAGAAGATGAGCATCACCCAGACATACTACCTCGCCCACACCGCCCGCCGGAAGCTCACCCGCGAAGCCTCCCGGGCGGACCACGACCTGCGCCTGCTGGTCGGCCACGCAAACCTCCTCGACTCGCTGATGCTCGACCTCGCCGACGCCGAGCAGGAACAAGAGCGCTGGTTCAACCAGACCGTCAGCGGAGCGACCAAGTCCGCCTACCGCGCCGACCAACAACACCACATCCAATGGGCCGAGACACTCGTCGAAGAGCCCGAGGAGGACTGGGACCCCGAGGACCTGTCAGAGACGGACTCGGATCTCAGTGAAGAAGATTCAGACTACGAAGAGGACTTCGCGCCCCTGCCCGTTGTCCGCCGACGCGCACCATCGCCCGTTGCTATCATCACGGAAACAGAGCTGGAAGACTACGACTCGGACTCGGACTCAGAGTATGAGTATGAGCACGACGACGCAGAGGATCTCGACGAGCTGGCGCTCACTCGCTCGCCATCACGGCAGCCACCGGAGCTGTCGCACGACGAGGACGACTCGGAAGACGACAGCATGCCGCCTTCACCACCACAACCGATCCTCGAGGCCTTCGACGAGAAGCAAGCACAAGCCGATCTTGCCCTCGCGGACTCGGACTTCGACCACCGATATTTCGTCCGAGCGCAGCAGCCGATGATCGAAGCATGTTGATCATGTCCTCTTATCTTCGGCTCTACTAAAAACGGAATATATAATACGTGATACCCTGACGATTGATGTTCGGCATTTAGCGTTTCGCACGCAAAAGGATTGGGAAGCATAGCCGTCGGCTTATATGCATGCATTGTTTGGCGTTTGGTTGGACTCGACACTCTTCTCTTGTTTACTTCGACTACATATACGAGATATATAGCATCGACCATATTTCTATATGGTGCAATCAAAATCATAATTATTCAATCTCAGTTTCAATCTCTACGAAATAGTAGTAGTAAACTCTAGAGCACTCCGTGCATTGACGCCTCGGCACGCGGCTGCTGATCGCACAAGCACACCGCTCGACCCTACCAGGATGCGCAGTCACATGCCGCCGTGACTGGTCACTGTGCACCGGCCATCCATGGCTCATCCGCGGAGTTCTCGATTATCTGATCTGATCGCTCGCTCGCTCGCGGCCTCGGAGTCGGACAGCAGGGATTCCATTTCCCGTCCGACACCGGCGGTTGTTCACAAATCACGAGGAAATGTAGACTACGCTACGTAGCACTAGCCGCAGGCATCCGCGGCATTGATTATGGTTATGAGCGTCAACATCCTGGCCGGGCTCTGAGGGTGCTTCCGGAGTAGAATATGCATGATCATCTGATCCAGATTCCATATCGCGTTGCGCCGGGATCAGAATCACATTCACATTCACCGGGCGGCGGGTGCAGGCGCAGGCGCCCTACGATGTGCTTTTGTTTTCGTTTTCTACACCGGACTCGAGGTCTGTATGCAGTTGCGCTATGCACGCTGCATGGAGCGTCCATGTGCTTGTGCTCCCTTCGTTACCCCTCACCCAGCTGTTCTACTAATCATCCAGGACCCAGTCGATATGGAGTTGGTCAGTGCCGCCGGAGCCCTGTTGGAACTTTCAACTTTTCCTTGAGTTTAATTCGCGGTCGCACAGAGTCAGATTGTATCTGTATCTTCATCTGATGAGATGAGATGAGGGAGATGGGACGAGAGTAGTCCTCGCAATCGGAAATCCGGAACGGAAGCTGGAGGAAGGAGGAACTTGGAAGGAAGCTCGGGGGGCTGTTATCCCCGAGTCCGAGGCCGGGTCCGTCCGTACTCCGTCCACTGGCACTGAGCCACTCTGATCGACGTGCACGGACTCTCTGGCAAAAGGGCGTCCGGCCTCCGCGGGTAAGGCGGGGACCTTGGGGCTGGGGCTTGACCCTTGGGCTAGGGAAGGTTCGGTTTGGTTGGACTGTTGGGGTGAAGTTTTATGTTTCCGAGGTTATGTTTTCGTGTTTTCACTACTACAACTATAGACTTTACGTGAGAGGAACACGAATATTGTGATTTATTGCTTTTGACCATGCACATCTACCAAGATGCCGTTGAGGTTGAATGTGTTTTCATATTCCTTTTTGCTCTTGATGCGTCCAAAAGTGCGGAGTCTTGGCTGCCTAACTCACTGCTTTCGCCTCCCCAACATGCTGCCGCGGTGATGCGGGGTAAAGGGTTAGAGTCATACAGATTACAGACGCTGAGACGCATATTGCAGAGTACTCCGTAGACTAGCTATGCATTATTATTGCGAGGGCCATATCTGTCCATGCAGTAGCAGGTAAATATTAAACAGGTCCCGCCGGCCATCTGATAAGGCTATATAAAGGTTTGGTCCAAGATGCCCCGCCGCCGTAGCTCTGAGACGCAAGGGCCAAGGCAATATAAGAGAAACTTGTTTTCTGCTTTGGTCTCAGCGTTGCTGAAGCATTGACTCCAAGCAGTTGCCCGGGGCTAGAGCTGCGCATCCAGTCCCGATACAGCAGATGAGAACTCCATCCATCCATTGGGATGTGCACCGAGTGGCCGGGGATAAGGGCCACCCTCGGCCATCTTTGGGATTATCTCGGATCAGATCAATGAGTTTAACCTTGCAGCATTGCATCTTGCGTTTTCTGCATTTTCTTACTTTGATCCGAGCTTAATCCATAGGTAGATTAGGGCTATGTCTACGTCGGGGTAGGCTCGGCGATCGCTCGGAATTGCAGTTCTGAGGGCGGGGTTGATAGAGATTTTTTGATCTGAGTTTCTGGTTGCCTGGATTACGAATGTATTTTGAGATTAAGGAGGACTTCATTACGCGACGCTGATGCAGAAGAAGTGGAAGGTGTGCCAGTTGACCGGATGCTCAATGGACACCTCTGTATGCGGACCACTCATGGAACTACTTACAAAGGCACTTTAGTAAGTCGTCGGGCTAACGACCGCTCTGCAGAAGTTGTCTCCTAAGATAATAGGCGAGAAATCATTGACCCGATACTCTAGATACCTAGACTAGAATCGATATCATCATGACCAAAAAAAACGCCTTGATTCTGATGAGTGGCGAGCGATGCATAGGAGGACGGAGTAGATATGTAGTTATACTCCGTGGATGACTCGACATCCCCACAAATTTCAAAGCTCATGATTCATGGGCTGGGATGCCGGCGGGAGTATACTCCGTAGCCTGGAGTAAATACGTACCCCAGAATGCGTAGCTCTGACTTCATGGCCCAGAACATGAACATCAGTTATGAAGTGTGTACTCGCCTCCCCACACTTTAACCTCGAACCCTCCTCTATATTATGTTTGTATAGCTACGGAGTACGTCAATGCATTTATGCACTCCGGGATGACCCTGCAAGGGACACCCCTATCCCTACCCGGACCAGCGGAGCACTCCCGGGCTCCCGAGGCAGGCGTCATGTACTCCGTATAACCTGAAGGCGCCACCCAATCCAAAGTTACTCAGTACGACATCTCATCATGATGTCGAAATCTCTCAAGCTAGGCAAAAAGATTAATGCAGCAGTTATACAACGTACGATGAATGATGTCGCTCGACGGGAGATACCGGGGATGACGTATTTGCCTCGACCGGTCTAGCCGAGCACCCGCACCCGGCCATCAACAAAACCGGACCTCATATGACCTCAACGTTCCTGACTGTCTCTGTTCCTGAACTTAAGGTTACGATCCCGTAGCTTGAAATATCCACCGCCCACATCCATCGCTGCCCTCACAATCACAACAAATAACAAGCTCCAGCTGAACTCATTAGCCCCAAGCCACTAGCATACTCTCTAGCCATCACCATGTCCCCCACACTCACAGTCCCCGCCTCAACCCCGCAAAATCCCAGATCACCAGACGCAACCGCGAACGCGAACGCAAACACAGACACAACACTCACGGGGACATGCCCCTGCGGCTCAATCTCAATTACAGTCCAGGCGTCCGACCCCTCACTACGAAACGACCAAGACAACAGCAAGAATGCCAACGCGCTCACCATCGACGCCGACAAAACCGCGATCCAGGACCGACGAAGTACGCTGAAGATGTACTTTGACCTGGAGATGATGAGCGGGCGGCAGATCGAGAAGTTCTTTTGTTCGAGCTGTGGGTCGTATGTCTCCTCTCCTTCCACTTTCACTTACATCAAGATCCATGGGTTGAGCTAGTTAGCTAACGCGCCGCCCAGACCCGTCATGTCCATGACGGCGCTCCTGCCCGGCCGCGTGAATCTCACAATGGGGTTGGCGCCGCGGGTTCCTGAGTCGGGGTTTGAGAACAGACAGACTGCGCTTCGGCCTCCTGCTCTTCCGAGGCATTCGCAGTCTGGGAAAGGGAAGCTTGATGATGCTGTTCAATGGAGCACCAAGGCGAATGCGGGGGTGGCATAGTTAAGATTAGAGTGATGGGAATAGATGAAGAAGGATGAGACGATTTAATTTGATCTGTAACGTAGCTAGATGGCTTCTTTATGTCATGAGTGATGAGATCCGGAACGATGAATGAATTGAAACATTCGAGGTTAAAACTTTCTTAGCTCTGGCTTTGTTGGTTTCGTATGGCCGGGACAATGTGTCGGGTATCGATAAAAAAAAAATAGCTGGGCAGATATGGTGGCTTCAAAGGCATCACAAAGCCCGTCCACTGTTATGGAAAGGCCAGACAAGGAAGGCAAAGCCATAAACAAAGAAAAGCTGAAAGCTGTGTCAGAATGCAGCATTAACTTCCACGACATGGATCTTTGACACCATCCCTTAAAACCACCTTATCCCTGCCTGTCTTATCCCGGCAAAACCACGCCCAATATTTCCAAGGTTGCCAATAATAGCACCAAACCAAACAAATTCGTAACAATACGTCTTCGCACTTACCTAGGGATAAACAAACCGTACACAATGCCGGCAAGCAGTGCCCAGCCGTATGACCCAACCTCCGGAGCCTTTGACATGGCCGTCAATGTCGCTCGCCGAGATATTACCCCCGGCCCGGGCATATACTATTTACTCCCGATAATCATCGTATGTCCGCTTGTCGCGGCATATATGGTCTGGATTTGGTGGGGTGATAGGAAGAGGATTAAGGAGGCGGAGCAACAGGAGCAGCAGCAGCAGCAGAGTGGTGTTTAGGTTATTGACGAGGTGGTGCAGCTGGGTCTGGGTTACCGTGATGAAAGCTGTCCTATAGGCTTAAGGGGAGGATTACGTGCGATTACTATTCTTTCAGAGCTATAAGTCTTGTAGAATCTGTTTTATATCCCTTGATTTTCTGATCGTAGAGCGGGATGCATTCCAAGGTTACTATGGTACTCAAAATGACATGATGTCTTACTGGCCCTATTCATCCAGGACCTGAAATAACCCTAGTTGGAGGCCTCACGTTCTCTGGGTACTTTCGGAATCGTATACTACATATAACAGTGAGTCTTGACAATGAGCTAGAAACTGTGTCTTCGGTGCGATTGTAAAGACCATTCCCCCGGATTAAGCTACGCATGCTAAACTCGCTAAGACGCAGGCCACTATGGGTCAACTTCACTACAAAATACATCGCTATGCCCCAGTGAATATTGTGGCTCTGATTGAAGACTTGATCTGTCTCCCTAATGCGCTCCGTGTCGGCTACAGCCTCCGCTCCCGATCCGGTTGTTCGGCTGGAGGGCCGTATTAGGGTTTGTGGAATGAGGGAAATGTAGCCGATGACAAGATCGTTAGATTGTTCGGGACAGGGGGTGGGCGCATCATCTGATGCTCTTTTAGTACCTGAGCTGTTTCTACAATGGAGTTCTCCAGCGCCGAGACACGCAATGGTGGGTTCTTTCTGCAGGAACCCACCCCGGTTTGCATCCCATGTGCATATGCATACCATACCTAACCCATCGGCGGATCGGCTCTTCTGCCGAGCAAGGATCGCAACTATGGAGTGTAAGTCATACGGAGATTTTGTACCCGCAATCTCCTTGGAGCATACTCCGCATTGGAAATGCCGGGGTATTCACAGACAGGGAGAGTCTCATGATGCGGAGAGTACCTCGTGGTGCGAGGCTATATAAACTCATCATATCTATCCACGGTCATCTGGATAGGTAGGTTTCTTCAGGCCGGCTGGTATCTACTCTCTTAGCATTGTCATGAAGAATCGCAGGCTCGCCCTCCTGGGCGCCATCGTCGCTTCGTGCATCGACGCAGCGTCCGGTGCATCGCAGTCCTATACCTGGAAGAATGTCGTTACTGGAGGTTCGTCACTACCAGCTTGACCTAATCAGATGCCAACTCTAATCGTTCAGGCGGCGGCGGCTTTGTGCCGGGGATCGTCTTCAACCCGTCCGAGCAAGGCCTGGCCTATGCCCGCACTGACATCGGCGGCGCATACCGTCTGAACTCAGACGATACATGGACGCCTTTGACGGACTTTGTGGGAAACAGCGATTGGTATGGTCATCTTCACCCTTTCTGGCTTCACTGAGTCTGACAAACGCCAGGAACCACTGGGGCATCGACGCCCTCGCTACAGACCCGGTCGACACAAACCGCGTGTACCTTGCGGTCGGAATGTACACCAACGAGTGGGACCCGAACAATGGAGCGATCTTGCGCTCAACGGATAAAGGCGAGACATGGACGGAGACGGCATTGCCGTTTAAGGTCGGTGGGAACATGCCTGGGCGGGGGATGGGAGAGGTAAGCACGTCGATATCTTAACAATGTCTGAGCTTCTCCTGGGCACTAACTACGCACAATGGCCATAGAGGCTTGCAGTTGACCCCAACGACAACCGCATCCTCTTCTTCGGAGCCAGGAGCGGCAACGGCCTCTGGAAGAGCACAGACTATGGCGCGACTTGGGCCAAGGTTTCGTCTTTTACGTGGACAGGCACGTACTTCCAGGACTCGAGCTCGACCTACACCTCTGCTGTTGTGGGCCTTGCTTGGGTGACGTTTGACTCTACGTCTGGCCAGTCGGGGTCTCCTACTCCACGGATCTTCGTTGGTTAGTAGATCCAACTTGCTTGCTCAGTCAGAGCTAATGATGGGACCAGGCGTCGCAGATACAGGCCAATCCGTCTTCGTGTCTGAAGATGCCGGTGCTACATGTAAGGCTCACCTGCACCCGATCCAACCGCTGCTGACCTTATAGGGAAATGGGTATCCGGCGAGCCCCAGTACGGCTTCCTCCCGCACAAAGGCGTCCTCTCTCCATCCGAGAATACGCTGTACATCTCGTACTCCAACGGCGCCGGCCCCTACGACGGCACAAACGGCACAGTCCACAAGTACGACATCTCCACGGCAACATGGACCGACATCAGTCCCACCTCCATGGCAGACACGTACTACGGCTACGGCGGCCTCACCGTCGACCTGCAAGCCCCCGGAACCCTCCTGGTCGCCACCCTCAACTCCTGGTGGCCGGACGCAATTATCTGGCGCAGCGTCGACTCCGGCGCAACCTGGTCGCCCATCTGGGAGTGGAACGGATACCCGAATATCAACTACTACTATGACTACGATGTTTCGAAGGCGCCGTGGCTGGAAGACTCGACGTCGACCGCTGAGTTCCCCGTCCGCGTGGGCTGGATGATCGAAGCGCTATCCATCGACCCCTTTGACTCGAACCACTGGCTGTACGGCACCGGCGCCACGATCTATGGAGGGCATGACCTGACAAACTGGGACTCAGGGAACAAGGTCACGCTGCAGTCTCTTGCAGTAGGCATTGAAGAGATGGCCGTGCAAGCGCTGATTGTTCCCCCCGGCGGCCCCCTGCTCTCCGCCGTCTTCGACGAAGGCGGCTTCTACCACTCGGACCTCGACAGCCCTCCATCCCAGAAATACCACACGCCCACATTCAGCTCGACGAACGGGCTCGACTACGCGGGCAACAAGCCCTCCAACATCGTCCGCTCGGGGTCTTCAGCCTCCGGCACCGACCCCACCGTCGCCCTGTCCAGCAACTTCGGCAGCACCTGGTCGGCCAACTACGCTGCGTCGTCGTCCACCGGAACCGGGAGCGTCGCCTTCTCAGCGGATGCCGACACTGTCCTCCTCATGTCGAGCACGCAGGGGGCCCTGAGATCCCAGTACCAGAGCACATTCACCGCCGTCTCGAGTCTCCCCTCCGGCGCGGTGATCGCGTCAGACAAGTCCGATAACGCGTACTTCTACGGTGGCGCGGGCGGAGCCATCTACGTCTCCAGCAACACGGGGTCCTCCTTCACAAAGACAGCAACTCTAGGCACCAGCTCGTCGGTAAACGCCATCCGCGCCCACCCCTCCATCGCAGGAGACATCTGGGCCACAACAGACACCGGACTCTGGCACTCAACCGACCACGGCGCAACGTTCACGCGTGTCTCCAGCGCCGTCACAGCGGGCTGGAGTTTCGGACTGGGTGCACCGTCGTCTAGTTCGTCATACGCCGTGCTGTACGGCTTCTTCACGATCGACGGCGTAACAGGCCTCTTCAAGACCGAAGACAGGGGCGTAAACTGGGCGGTTATCTCCGACGCAGAGAACGGGTTCGGCGCGGCGTCGGCGAATGTTGTGAATGCTGACCCGGAGACATACGGGCTTGTCTTTGTGGGCACCAATGGGCGCGGCATATTCTATGGCGAGCCGGCTGGGGCTCTGCCGACGGCGACGGCGACGGCTACAGCTACGGCGACGTCCACGGGTACGACTTTGACGTCGACGACTAGGACGAGTACCTCTACGGCTACGGCTACGTCTACGGCCACGCAGACTACGACGACGACGTCTACGAGAACGACCACAACTGCTACAACGACGACATCCACCACTGCGCCTACGGCAACCGCCGCGCCGTACGGACAGTGCGGAGGCAGTGGGTATACGGGGCCGACTGTGTGTCCGAGTGGATGGACGTGCACGTACGCGAACGAGTTCTACTCGCAGTGTAAGTCCGCTCTTTGATCTGTGTTGATGGGACTAGGGTTATCTGACTTGTGTTCGTGGAACAGGTACGCAAGCGTAGGTTGGTACTAGGTTGGTAGCCTGGTCTGAGATGTAGTTGGGATGTGGGTAATGTGCTTAGTACTATACTGTATGGTAGTATAGTAGCCCTACCATAGCTAAGAAGAGAATCAGCGTCCATGCTACACTGCACCTGGACAGGGAAGACCTAGGTGGGATGTCTTGGACTCACCACGCGAATCAAACCCTATAATAGTTGACCTCATGCTACGAAAGAGCCTTCGTATTTGTCTCCCAGAAGAAGAGACCTCGGGAGTAAAGGCTGATGCTAATCTCTCGATTCATAGACTGCCAATGCCTTGTTGTAACTCGGTTACTATGGAATCATATCGGCACTGGGAAATATATTTTAATAATTTCCGGGGTATCCCCGCCATCCCATCATTGTGGCACAGCCTATCCATGGACCCCTTGCATAACAGCGAGAGTCTTCTATGGATGCTCGGATTCCATCGATCAACCTTCCAATGTTTGTGACCGTGCATGCAGCAGTGGCCGGTTCCGCCTTCATTCCCTATAGTGCAGACCGAGCAATATGAATCTCGTGACAGGTTCTCGGCGACTACCAATGGATAGGGTCCACGGGTACATATCACTTGCATGGTCCATGCGTGAGCGGTAGCAGTCCTCACTGAAATTTCTCTGAAATAGCCGGCGAATCACATCCGAATGGCCATACTCGAGGCCTCGGATTCACCGGGCCCCAGATGATGGCAGGGGTCCTGTGGCTGACACGTAGCAACCCTATATCCCATTGGAATGCTCGGAGACCGTGACACACGCACGCAAGGGATAAACGTCACGATTTATTCCAGACAGCATTCCCCACGAACAGCTATTTATGGGCTCGCAGTCCCTCCACATCAAGGGGACCTCTTTTCCAAATCTGTGCCCTCCTCATTCTGTGCCCTCCTCATAGCCTTGATACCCCATCCCCATTCCACAATCGCAAGGACCCTTCAAACAAAGCACCATGAAGAAGTCTACCTCCACTGCTCTAGCCATCCAGGCCCTATCCAATCTAGCCACAGCGAGACTCATCACTATATCGACGACGGTCGGAGATACCGTCCTTCACCTACAGGAGCCGACCCTCGATAATTCAGTGACGTTTACCTCGGGCACCGCAGCAGTGATCAATATCCAGCAGGGCTCGTCTCCTGAAACGTTTACCTTTCAAGCCAACGGCAACAATGTTTTCATCAAGTGCGTAAGCGCAGAGGAGCCCGGTTCCTCAGAGCCGGAGCCCTGTACGGGTGTCGACGGGGATTCCTCGAGCTTCTCTCTACAGCAGGTTGGTCCTGGGGTATTTTCCATCCAGTTAAGCAACTCCGAATTGCTCTGGACGGTTGCCCAGGATGGGACTTTGACTGTGCGGCCTTTGGGCGCTCCCGGCCAGTTCTTTGCTATAGATGGTATGTGTTTTGATTCTAGATTGTGTTTAAGCCTTGTTGTTGCATCTTGCTGATGGCTGGGGATGTGGCAGGAGCCAAAGAGGGGGCTAGCAACAGTGATCTTTGATCTGACTGGGGGGGAATGTCATTTTTTTCGGGTCTTCCGTCTGCTGTTGTCCAGGTCTTTTGTATTTATCCATGCTCCGACGTGCCCAGGGGGGAAAGTATCCTGTCGGGTCATTTCGGGTCTTAATGTCTGCTGTTGCCCAGGCTTTTTGTATTTAGGTAGCCAACCTGAACCAACATAGCACAGCTTTAATGATTACAACCTAACTCTTTAACAAACAGAGCTTGATAGATTTAACCCGTTATTTACAATAAACTTGGCAATGAAGCAAATAAGGTTCTATTGTAAACTCACCTTCCAATACACCACAACTGGCTTGGCTCATGAGCTCAAGAGTAACAGGCAATGTAGGCAGCGGGCTCCACAGACGCAATTGCCTGGGGACATGCTCAGTCCCTGGTACAGAGGCTTGTCTGGGCAGGGAATTGGTGGGCGACCTTGGACCTGCGCGATTGAGGGGTTCGCATGGGAGCGTTGTACGGGCTCGCCGATCTTGCTTTTTTTTTTGTTTTCTTTTCTTGCGTGGCAATTCTGTATCTCCAGTAGATCCACATTACAAATCGAATTCAAACGGAGAGTATATGACTGGCCAGGGCTGTTTCGAGCACACGCCCAAGTCCCTGCATCGGGTCAACACGATCACCCACGCTAATGTATGCAGTCCAATGGGAAGGCACCAGTGCTCACGCGGTTCTGCCAGCGCAATAAGAATTGCCTCGACTCCTTGCTACAGACGCCAAGTGAACTGAACTGCCATAGGCGCTACAATGTGCAGTCAGTTCAGGGCCTTCAATCAGTGCTAGTTGTGCATAACGCCCCAACCCTACCCTACCTACCAGGTCTATCTTACGCATTGGGTGAGATTGTTGATTTCAGCGTCTGAGCCCAAACAGCTTGCACATAGAATGATTGAATTTCCCGTAGTCGTCCTGGATGACTTTGTCTTTCCAACCCACTTGCCGCCATTTGCTACTTAGGTAGGTAGTTGTTCGTTTCCACCGTCTGATTTTCAGCCTGTCCAGTGGATGCTTCAGACGTAGCCAGCGCCCACTATTGGTACCCGGACGGAAGCATCTTTCGTCCAGTGAAAAAGCTCGAATCGCAGTTATTATTTGTAAGCAGCAGCTATATTGATATCCGCATCGACGGTGTCACTTTTTATCAAGCTACTAGGCATCTTAACCACGATGTGAAGATAAGATCTTGGTAACCATTTCCGTAGCAGTTAGGAAATGCTTACAGGGTGCTTAGGACTACCTGGCAGAGTACAAACCAGGTTCTATTTAGGATGCAGGGAGCTCCCGGTACAAAATCCTCTTGCCTGTGTCTTGCGTCGAAATGCCGAGATCTAACTGGGCTACATCAGTCGACGCCCCTCGCAGGGAAATAGTCAGTGAGTCGCTCAAGGATTGGTAGTATACCTGGTACCCATGGTCCCCAAGGTACCCCGAGACACGGGAAAGCCTGCAGGTAGTCGAGAAACGGCCAAAATTAGCAACGCCAGTCACGAATTGATAGGGTGGGTCGTCACGGGTGAATCATTGTAGGTGTACTTGGCTTGCACTGCCTTGGTACCTTCTCAGACCTGAGGTGGGATCGCAAGATTCCTCCCTGGAAGGGTCCAGGACTCCAGAAGCACAGGCGTAGCAATTTGAGTGTGGCCGGACCCTTCGATCAAGTCGGGGTCTATTTGATTCTGATTCCCATCCGTGCTGATCGAGAACTGGCTTGAGTTAGGTCCTTCAGTGTTCTATCCTAGTCCGGTCGAATTTCAAGGAAACATGTTTGCAGACTTGTTCTTCGTGATCAAAATTAATTCAAGATAGATGAGAGAATAAGCATTAAGGGGTAAGGTGTGCAGAGAAAAGTCACGGGACGCGACAAGCCCTGAAAAGGCGCGATCTCGGCGCAAACAAGCTACCTATGCTAGCCACCTGCCCAACCAGGAGACCAGGTCGTCGCAGAGAATGGTCTGTGCTCGTAACCTAGCTCCCCTTTGTCCGCTGCAAGCGGCGAGCCAGAGGAGGTATGCCCTTTCCCCAATCCAGAAACTCGGAAGCACCCCAACCGGGCCCGAGTCAGTTCGAGACGACCCGAAACACGCCCCGCGATCGATCGCCAACTGATCCGTGTGGGGTGCTATCCCTGAACCAAGATGGCCTGCAGCAGTGGTGCGACCTCTGAATGGACAGGCTAGTTTCAAGCACAGACTAGGTCGATTCAGCCTCGATCGGTTCGAACCCTGGCATGACTCGAATGTGACTAGGGTCTCAATCTGACACGATGAATACCAGCGGTAAATTAGCAGGGTCTCAGGGTCCCCTGCTCTAGAGCTGTGCAAGTTTGGTTGAGACTAAGATAGCTAGGTACCATAGGTGGGATCGCTCGGAGAAGGCTGGGGGACTCCGGGGCGAGAGCTCGGAAGGTTCTTAGAGCCTGCCCGGGCCTGGGGAGCTCAATCTGAAACGGCCCTAGCTCCAGCATTCTGGGGCCTGCTAAGTATAGCCCGGGACCTAGGGTTGGATCTGTGATGCTCACCCGGCCCTGATCTTATTCTTGACCCTCAGGCTTGGATGGCGACTGTCCCATGTAGTTCTAGATAGACTCCTCAACCTTAACTATGGATAGGCATGGCAAGGCCATCGAGAATCGAACACACTGCCACGACGCAGAGCTTGCTAGGTGTTAAGGTCCGGTGTAATTTATACTGGAAAACAAACCTGCAGGTGCTTAGGCATCGAAGCCCCTGTGCAAAAATGGCAACTTGACTTGGCGAACCTGAATCACGCACTGACTCATGGTACCCTGAGTGTTCCCTTTTAAATTTGTTCCAGACCCTACCTTGGTAGCGCTCCACCCGTGGACTGTTTGACCCGTGTGCTCCGAGGGTTTGCGATCTGCGTCCTTGGCTTAAGGGTTGGTTGTATACAGGTTGTTGCAGCGCATTCAGTGGAGTACATACCCTAGGTGCTACAGCAGCTGCGGCGATCGGGTTCTCTATTGGAGGTAGACACCAAACTAAAATGCCCTAGCCTGGGCAGCCTTTATCCGCACATCCAAGCATCGCGGTTTGAAGATGTCATATTTTAGTTCTTCAGGAATCTCCAAAGGTAGCCATATGGATGCAGGTCCGGGTGCGCATGACGGCCCCCCAGGAGCAGGGACAGTGAGTCCATGCAGAACCAGACGGCCTAGGCGAGTCTAAGGGCCACGAAAGTCACCCTTGGCCTGGATGGTCTTGACTGGACCGTATCGCCTGGTCTCATTCTCAGACCTGTCCCGTGCGTTGCGGTGTTTGCGACTGAGACACCGAGTGGTCTTGTCCTCATGCGGGCCCTAGCTCTCTAGGGTTAACTCAGATTATGCATCCCCAGCTGGGTATCATAGCTGTCTCTCGGCGAAACGCGCTATGCTGTCGAGCTAGGGTGGTCGAGCTCGAGGAGAGAACCCAAGGAAGAGGTCAAGGCCCGGCTATATAAACCAGCATCTCCCCAGTCTCAGTCCTCCTCATCATCACCTTCAATTCGTTCCATTCCTCTTCAAATCCTCAACAGCCGTCTCGATCGCTGCGCGTTCGTTCGTTACTCTCATCTCTACTCGCTTCGCTCATATCTAAGCTGCGCTTAGTCCAACTTCCTTCTCACTCTTACCCTAATCAACAAACCAACCCCAACCACCTCAATCGCAATGAAGATCCCCGCCGTAACCCTCGCCCTCGTCGCCGCGGCCCTCAGCGCGCCTACCCCCAACAAGCGCGACAACAACCTCGCCGCGATCGACAAGCGCACCTTCGGCCTCCTCGCCGGTCTCGCCGGCCACGGACACGCGGGCCTAGGCGCGCACGCGGGCCTCAGCGGCTCCGCCTCTGGCTCTGCAGGTTCCAGCGGCGAAGACTGCGCTGAGGGTTCTGCGGCCGGTGGGATTGGTGGCTCGGCCTCTGGCTCTGCGGGTGCGTCTGGGTCTGCGGGACTCGGTGGACATGCTGGGCTTGGGGCCGGGGGGTGGGGTGGACTTGGCGGTTCTGCGGGTGGCAGTGCGTCTGGGCATGCTGGGCTCGGTGGATGGGGTGGTCTTGGTGGTAGTGGGGGATGGGGTGGTCATGCTGGTGGTTCTGCTGGCGGTTCGGCTGGTGTTGGTGGATCTGGATTTGCAGGTGCTGGCATCGGCGGTTCTGGTTCTGGCAGCGCTGGAGGATCCGCTGGGATTGGAGGCTCCGGCTCTGCTGGCGGTTCGGCTGGCATTGGAGGCTCCGGCTCCGCTGGCATCGGCGGTTCTGGTTCTGGCTCTGCTGGAGGGTCCGCTGGTATCGGGGGCTCTGGAAGCGCTGGCGGCTCTGCAGGCGGTTCCGCTGGCATCGGCGGCTCTGGCTCTGTTGAAGGGTCTACCGAAGGCTCCGGCAGCGTCGGTGGCTCCGGCAGTGCCGAGGGCTCTACTGGGGGATCTGCCAGCGGCTCGGTTGGTGGCTCTGCTGGTGGTTCAGGTGACATTGGAGGATCCGGATCCGCTGGTGCTTCTGGCGATGTTGGAGGCTCTGGCAGTGCCGAGGGCTCTACTGGAGTGTCCCCCACCGGCTCGGCTGGAGGATCTGCTGGTGGTTCAGCCGACGTCGGAGGATCTGGATCTGCTGGTGCTTCTGGTGACATTGGAGGCTCCGGCAGCGCCGGAGGCTCGACTGGAGGCTCAGCTGGTGCATCCGGCGACATTGGAGGCTCGGGCAGCGCCTCAGGCTCAACCGACGGCTCAACCGAAGGCTCTGGCTCCTCTGGCGGCGACACCTCCGGCTCCGGCAGCGCATCCACCACCGGCAACGGCGACGGTTCGGCCACGGTTGACGGCGACGGCAGCGCCTCCGGCTCCGGCGACGGCTCGGGCTCCTCCGATGTTTCTGGTACTTCAGCGTCCGCGAACGGCTCGGGCTCCTCTGACATCACCGGCTCGAGCAGCGCCTCTGGCTCCGGCAACGGCGACGGCTCCGCTGATGGCGAGGGTGGTAGCGCCTCGGCCTCGGGAAACGGCGATAGCTCTGCGGATGTTGATGGGGACGGCAGTGCTTCGGCCTCTGGGGATGGTGAGGGCTCGGCGGGTGTTGATGGGGGTAGTGCTTCTGCTTCGGCGAGCGGACATGGTGAGGCTAGCGTTACGGGTTCTGGGAGTGCGGAGGGGTCTGGGAGTGGGAGTGGCGAGGCGAGTGCTATCTAAGGCGCTTGTTGAAAGCATGTCTTTTGGATCGTCGTGCTACCGGGGCGGCTTCAGTGCACCCTGCAGTGAGGCAACGATCTGGACACTCTGCCTGGACGACGAGTTGTGAAAGACAAGATCAGCAGGTTGGATCATGTTCCTGGCGCAGGATCGAGACAAGTATATGTATCTAGTTAGCTGAATGGATCTGACTTTGACAAGCACGCAACTTTGGAATGATCATACTATTGACAGTGGTAATAGTCTAGCCATTTACCCTACCTACCTAGGTGAGCTTGGACTTATGCAAAAGATGGCTCAGATTGGACTTCACAAGGTCTGCTGATTGGCTGTTTATAGATGTACTTGAGGATCATGGAACATCGGACTAAATTACTATATCTTATTCACAAATCTTGCCCTCCACCATCAAAAGCAACCGACTCAAAACGACACCCCATCGACTGCACAATGCGAATGCAAACGCCGTCTACTCATCATCCCGGATATCAACAGTAGTCTGCTTCCACTTCCTCGCCGAGACCTTCCGCTTAAACAGAATGTCAATCTCACGATACGACCGGTCCTTCATCTCCGGAACCCACAGCCAAGCGGCAGCGGTGCAGATGAACGCCGTGCCAGCCCAGACATACCCGCTCTTGCCGCCGAGGTGCCACTTATCATCGTTGAGCATGTAGCTCGACAAGAAGATGCAGGGGATGTTAACCAGGTAGTAGGCGCCGCGTCCGATACCGGTGGTCAGGGGCCTGAGGCGGATGGACGAGGTCTCGCCGATGATGACCCAGGATGCAGGGGCCGGGCCCAGGCAGAAGAGCACGGAGACGATCAGGCCGAGGGATGCTTGCGCGTTGCTGGCGGCTTTGCTGACGCCCACGGACGCCGCGATGCCGAGCGCGACGAGGAACGCGCAGTTGATGAATTGGCCGTAGATGTAGATCGTGCGGCGGCCCAGGTAGGTCGTCAGGATCCACGAGAGCATGACCATGATCCACTGGAGGGCCGAGGTGATGAGGCCGAGTGCGAATGCGGTGTTGTCGGCCATGCCGGCCTCTGAGAGATGTTAGGACCATAGGTAACTAAGGTTATAAGCAATGGCAGGTGGACTCACGTTTGAAGAAGTAGACCGCTTGGTTGGCGATCAGATTGCCCGTTAGATTCTGCGACGCGTACACACCGCACACGATCAATGTGCGGTAGCGGTCGGTCCCTTTCCACAGCTCAATGAGACTGGGTTTCTTCTCTGTCTTCTCGAGCTCGATGGTGCGGCGCATCATGGCGACTGCGTCGGCGGGGTTCTCATTGGCGCTCGCCCGGCCCAGGCGCCGGATGGACTTCTCCGCCTCCGCCAGACGGCCCTGTCGGACGAGCCACCAGGGCGATTCAGGCGCAATGAAGAGGAGGATCGCGAGGGGAGTGGGGAACATCCACTGCAGCGCAATGGGCATCCTGTACGCGTCGGAGTGATTCTTGGATTGGTAGTGGTAGGTGATACCGCCGACGATGATCGACCCAATCGCCCAGAACATCTGCAGCATCTGCGTCGCGGGCGCTCTCAACCGCAAGGGCACGATCTCGGAGCAGTAGGCGGGTGCATTGGCGATGAAGATGCCCCATGGGATGCCTTCGAGGATCTGGGAGGCGAAGAACATGCCCTGGCTGTTGCCGAAGTAGAAGATGAAGATGAAGCCGTTCAGGGCCATCAGGCCGCCGATCGTGGCCCAGCGGTATCCGATCCAGCTGGTGATGGGGCCTGCGAGGAACACCCCGATGAAGGCACCGATCGGTCCACTGCACTGGAAGGCGGACTGCCATGAAGCCTCGATGATCCACTGGTTTGTTTCATTGCTCCAGACACCGAAGTCCTCGGCGAATTTCCGTGTGGCGATGAACTGGCCCATCAGGAACACACAGTAGGACTCCATGATCTATCGCAGGTTAGAATCTGCCTGTGGGATGCCTTGGAGGCAAGAGCTTACAATGGTGCATGACATGACGAAGGCCCACCAGCTGGCAGCGGGATAGGCCTTGACAGCCTGGATCACAGTCATGTCAAACTCGGCCCTCTCGGCATGCATGGCGCCCTCGCGGTCGTAGTCGACCTTCTCGTCGGCATCGTAGATGGGTTCGCCCTTGGAGGCCTCGACCTCGGACGCGGTCTGCTTCTCTGGGATGTCGCTATTCATGACGACTCGTGCTAGTCATGCGACGACTGGGGAGAGAAAGGGGAGAACAAGAGAGTGAAACGACCGGGGGTTCGATTTTATAAGTATTGGGAAAGCCGATGCTAGCTCAATTGGTGAAGCTTATACCGGACCATCCGGCCTTGACCACTCAAGCAACACAGCTGCCCCTTGCGTGTAACGGTGTGATTTGATTAGGCTGGGGTGGCGCGGAGGAAAGCCAGAACAGTGTTAGTCGGGGGGAGATGGCCCGACCCCATCGGCCTGATTTCCCCGGAGTGCTGCGGGGGCGGGTTCTCCAGCTGTTGCTTCGGCGGTTAATTCTATCCTGGACGCTCAGGCGATGTCTTATATTGATATTGGTCTCTATTATACTTGCTAGCGATCCTTCGCTGCCTCGGAATACCGTATACCAAGACGCTAATGATGGTTTATAATTTGATGATTAGCATGTTAGGGACAACACTTTGCTGATAATCGGAATTAGAAAGAGGTCGAGGGATAAGATGTACACAGAGATTGATAGAAGAATCTTTGTCTGCAAGACGCCAAATAACTTGCCTTTTCAAATGATCCCATTCAAGTACCAAGTCTCAAGGGATAATCCTTCGCCATGTGCACCAATCACTTGGGCATCCAATCTCAGCCGTACTCCATTTAATCCACCAACCAGGGAGCGAGAAGGTTAATTCCGAGATGCACCGGTCCATAACCCCCGCACTGTTCGGTTGAGTCGGTTAATTCCGCAGTGTGGAGGGCCGGGGTAAAGCACTCCAGCTGTTTTGCCTCTTCTCCGCTTCCTCACCTCCAGCTGAAATATCAAGGACAACACCTCCCAAATCCTGCTGAAGCCACTGGTCATCTGATTGAAAGATATCCATCTGCCCACTTTGCCGGAAATAACTACCATAGGTACATGGTAATGTGACACTGTGGTGCCCTCGGCTGCCCAGATAAATCGAAAAGCTTTTTTCAATAACCTCGCAGCTCATAAGTTCATTGTTAGGCTGAGCCTTGCATTGATAGTGCTTAACATAAGTTTGATTGACTTCTGCTCGTGTCACACTACCCACCCGGACGCTTAAGTTGCGGGCGACAATGGGCCGAGCGCTGCGGGATCCAAAAGCCTTTCTTATCATACACTGTTTTCCATGCGCCTTTTCCTTGCCTCGAGTCACCGGTCCGTTTTTGGGTGGACACAGAAGGTACCCTAGTGTTAAAACCGGCGGTAATCCAGCAAGCGGCGCTGTCATGGCTAACAACCAGCTAGAGCTTCTAATAAATTATCTAACTATGGGTGTGCGCAGTGGCACCCGATGAGTTGGTACATGCAGACAAGTATGATTAGGTACTTGTCCAAGGAAAAAAAAAATTAAAAAAATTAAAATTCTCGCTTGACCCCAAGCATCGCTATCGGGAGATTTGGCAGGGCTACCCAGGGGCAGGTGCAATCTCTCCTGCGTCATTATCGCCTGCCTCATGGCTAAACAGCCACCATCCGGGCCTGATCCTCGTGGATGCCACTATCCGCTCGGCTGTCCTGGACAGAGTGCCAGCTTAGGTATGTCCGTCTTTGCGCGACCTCCGTGGCCAGCCTGATCACATCCCGACCCGACGACCTCGCCATTCTTTTTTTCTGCGGTCGACACTTTCACAACTCAGATCCGTGGCACGGACCAAATGACCTTGTTCGCTCCCTCGTCGTGCAGCTGCTTATGGACCTCTTTTGTGACGAATTAGTTGACCTGGACTTCATCAATGACCGCGCTTATGGATTCTATCGGCATTGGAACACCACGATCTCGTCAGCCTCTGCCAATTCCGCCACTCGCTAGCATACCTAGGGTGGTTTCGCAGTTCCCCAGAGAAAACGGTGTACTGCATCATCGACTCGATTCGTACTATGGCAAGAACGCAACGTTTGAAGACCTCCAGGGCTGCGGATCGTGCTCGACTATCTGCACCGATCATCAACGACGCCTCGCTGCCTCCGTTGTTCAAGGTCCTATTAGCCAACCCTGCTCAAAGCAATAGGGTGAAAACGCTACTGCTCAAAGCAATAGGATGAAGACGTTGCCGCTGTTCCAGGAAGATATGTCACGGCTGGTTAACCTGTCCTCATGCAACTTGGTTCCAGCCGATATATCCCATTGCGCCGTCGAGGGCCACCCTTTGGCTTTCCAGTGTCCTGTGACTCCGACTACATCTATGCCCGTAGGGCCCGGGCTTGGAGTTATTAGGGTGCTTACGATAAAGGATACAATGACGAGTATGAGGAATCCTGGCAGAGGCATTGGGCACCTGCATAGTCATCAGGTTGAACATGCCTACTGAGAATCATTTTACTATGACATGATTGTCGTCCCCGTCCACAGAATGAACCGACCAGGCACACCAGATAGTAGGTCCTGCTGCCTGCCCTAAGTCCCCACAAGGCCCCTTGTAACTTGGGGTACATAACTCTCCTTTATCCTTCCACAGACTGAAAAAAGCAAGGGACAAAGATTGAGCGATGGCAGTAACCACCAACACAACCACCGACCCAGACAAAGCCATGCGCCTAGCCATCGCCCGCTTCCGGACCAGAATGTCCTCCGCAAACACGCACTTCATCCAAGCCCGCATCGCCGAGATCGAAGCCCGCACCCTCGTCCCAAAGAACGAGAAGCGGGGCGCAATCGACTCCGTTTCGACCGGTACCTAGACTCCCTCGAATGGGCCGACGACGACCCCGCAACCTTGCACAACGAGAACGCGATCCGTCCCCCAAGCGACACATCCCTACCTATGCGACATCGACGTCCCCGCCGTCCTCAACGCCCTAACCTACCCGGACCTCCACGCAGACGGCGTCCCCCGCCCTCTCCTCCACACAGACGCATGGCGCCAGATGTACATCGACACGCTGCAGCGCGCGTCCCAACGCCAGGCAGACGAGTGGGAGACCGGGGCGGCGGCGCAGTGTTCTACGAGAACACCCTAGCGATCCCGAACCGCTTTGCATCCCGGCGTGCACCGAGCTAGCCCTGTTCCTTACGTACGCGGGCGGCGTGAAGGACCCGATTTCAGGTACGCGGGGATCGCCTTGTTCAACCCGTCGCTTGGAACGGGATTCCGAAACCGAGCTGGCGGGGCTGGACGAGGACGCGAGGCGCGCGAAGCTCGCAGACCCGCAGCTTCTGCAGGGTGAGGCGCGGGCAGGAACGCCTCCAGGCGCTTTTGGCCGATGACTCGTGGCTTTCGGTTCTGGTTAACAAGGGCGCGCTTGGGGAGGTCCTTCCAAGGTTGTTGACGATGACCTCGAGGTCAGGGCGGGGTTTGTCACGGGGGCGGCGTATAATGTGCGGCATGAGTATCCGGAGTGGTTTAGTGCGTAGGGTATCTTTATTGTCGGCTGTTTCCGGATGAGGAGGAGGAGGGGGATGAGGCTAAGATGAAGATGAAGATCCCTGGGGTCGAGGACGGAGACGAAGACAAGGACGAAAAGGGAACCATCCAAGACGCCGCTGCTATCCGAGACTGGGGGTGGCGCGTCGTCTTCTTCCGAGCCGAAGCGGACAATCCCACGCCTCTGTACGGGCGCCGGGCACGCTTGTACTCCATCCCCAAGTTTCTGGATTGGTACGCCAGCTGGGCCGAGCATCTGGATGCACGGGGGCTGCGGAGTCTTGAGAATCATGTTCTTGGCTGTGAGACGGATTGCGAGTCTGATTGTGAGGAGCACTGTGGCTAGATTGGGACTCTTTGTCCGCACCGGTATATCAAAATCATTTCTTATCTATCATCCACAGACAAAATGAATATAGTACATATCATACAATGACCCGCAGGCTGGGCTATCACCAGTCTCGCCCTCGCTCCCTCTCCGCCAAATGAACTATGTGGACTTCTCCACCCTCAACTTTAGAGTATCCCGCCTCATTCGACCTCCCCATCCACGTCCACGTCAACACCCACGGTAAATAACCCAGAGACCGGACCCGCCTCCAAGCACCCACAGGAACACGACCAACCCTCGCCAGCAGCGGAGGAAGATATGCAGCGCCACGACCAAGAACCAAACCGGCCATAAACACAAGCGCAAGCAGCAGTAGCAGCACGGATACAGACAGACGGCCATCCAGCACAGATTCCGGCTCCGGCTCCAGTTCCAGTTCAGGCCTCGGTTGCAGAGCCGCGAGGATTTCTTCCGGATCATCAGGGCCAGGCGATTCTGCACCAGTCCCAGCAGCCCAATACGGCGGCGTGGTAACGACCTCCTCCTCGGAGAACCCCAGGATCCGGTTATTGACATCCAGCGCTTCAACTGAGATATGGCTCAGATACCCTGGCACCGTAAACGCCGTCTCGAAGCCGCTCTTGGGCACGCTCCCAATTTCAACCCGGGGATTCGTGAAGTTCATATACCCGTATGTAGCCGTGGAATTCGAGGGACGCGGAGCACGCGCGTAAAACCGCCACCGTCGAACCTCCGTCGCGCCGTTCCAGCTAACATACACCGTCGTCGACAGCGAAGAGAACGCGGACGTATTTGCGCGCATCCCATGCGCAAATGCCACTAGCGCAGGAGGCTGCGAAGGACGCCGACTGACCCACGGGAACTTGAAGGCGCGGTACGTGTCGAAGCGGTGCGAGGCGAAGCGCGCTTCCATTAGGAGCGTCCCAGCGAGCGTATGCTCGGAGATGTAGGCGTCGTTGCTCCAGTTCACGAGGGCGTTTGTGGTCTCTGTATCTGTATCCGTGCCGTTGGGACCGGGGACGGACGACGACGACAAGCCAGACGTTCGGATGGTCTGCACATTCCCCCGGCGGTTCGTGATCTTTCCATCCGGGCGTGGATACAGGGTTAGCAGTGTTGCCGTCATACTCGTAAGATCGAGCTCGACATGCATGGCAGAGCTAAACGGCTCAAAGACGGCGCGCTCATCAGCGGCGTTGTTCAGGAAGGTCAGGCTCATGTGCGTCTCATTGGCAGTTAGGAACCGCGCGTCGTGCTGGCGCTCGAAGTGGAAGTTCGCCGTGAACGAGGACCTCTTCCCGCCGAGTCGCCAGATGATGTGCCCCGTGCTGCCGTCGATGTAGTAGATCGTGTTGCAGTGGCGCGCGGAGAGCAGGTAGTTTCCGTTTCCCGTCTTCTGGACGGAATTGAGGTGCGCGTAGTCTGGGTTTGGGGTTTCATCTGTGTGATCGAAGACGAAGGACTCGTCTAGAGCGATGTGCTCGTCCGCGAACCATTGGAATGTTCGGTGTCCGGTATCCAGGTCGAACTCGATGAACCCGCCGGTGTCGATGTGTGTGGTTTTCTCGGGCTGGCCGAAGGCAGACAGGTTGAGCTGTTTTGGGTACAGCACGATGGAGATCCCCCTGCGCGGGTTCGAGGTGATTTGCAGCTCGTGCGTGTCGTAGTCTGCGGCTGGGATGGGGGTCCGCGAGACTTCTTGATAGCGGTCGTTTAGGAGGACCATGGACCCGTCGGTGCCTGGTTCGTCGGGACTGGCGACGAGGCGTAAGGCGAGATGCGGGGTGTTGTCGATATCGACGACCTTGAAGTTCCAGACGTTGCGGTTCTCGTATTTGCAGGAGCCCGCCCAGATGAGTTCCTATGTCGGTTAACACGTCTCGGTTCTTTGCGCAGAGTACGTAGTGGGTACGTACCCCGTCTTGGTCGTAGATGTATGGCCCGACCTGGCATGGCGTCCAGCGGTTCGAGTGCTTCTCGCCGAAGAGGTACCAGTAGGGAGCCACGAACCAGTAGCCTGGGGCGACGGCATCTCGGTCGTAGTAGGTGATGTTCCACTTCATCGCTCGCAGGTGTGGCATCTGCACATGTTAATGTCGATCCGAGGGACTGGAAAGATTGGGAACCGACGGTGTGGAATTGAACCTGGTCTGAATCATCAAACAGCGCCATTGACAGGCTGGTCGAAGTGACCTGGGCCAGCACTGCCGCTGCAAGGCTGAGCAGGGAAAGAATGGTTGCAAATGCCATGTTGCTTGCTATGAGTGTGCTACAAAGTCATTGTTGGGAGTATTGAAGAAAGAAGGGTGAACAAGGAGAATCTCCCCAAACTGGAGGAAAGAAAACCTCCCTACCGTCTTAAATCTTGGAGATAGATCAAAGCAAGCGATTGGACAACAGCAAGTTTATCGAGATCGCCAGGCCCAGATCGGTTCGAGTGGACCCGGTGGGCCTGCTGTGCACGAACTGCTTCGATTAGGGCTAGCCAGGCCTATCTTGATTCCAAATTGTTTAGATCCGGGCATGCAGGCCGAGGCTAACTGTGGCAATCCAGCCGATACTGTAGTAATCAAGAGTGATTGCTAAATTCAAGCACATAAGTCAACTAGGGTAATAGGATGGCGCCTGCCGTCCTTCTTACTCGCCCATTCACCAGAGCTACCATCTACTTCAGACACAGATAATCATACTCCCAGACGCCATTGGGATAGTCCATACGGAAGACATTCCGGTCAATAAACCTCCAGCCTTGCCGATTCCAGTTCACGCGAACCAAACAGCGCCTGTAAGACTCTTCATCTTCCCCCCTGGGATCCAGAAGAGCGACCGGAACCTCCCGGACCAGAACCTCGCAGCTCTCAAGGCTCGAGGGCTTATTTTCCACCGCATGATCTCCCACATATCCACATTGAGTAAGCTTAAGCCTCGTCAACCAGTAAAACCGCGCCAGCTGATCAAAGAGCGGTTTCCACGCGCCATCGGCCAGAAACACCTCCGTCAGCTCGAGGCTCTCCAGCGTGGGCTTGAAGAAGCGGATGCTGTTGAGCGTGTGAAACGGGAGCGTTACCCGGTTAAGCTGGAGGCTTCGGAGCGGCGCGTTGCTGGGACAGATCAGTCCGGTGGGGGAGAGCGATGGGGAGTCGAGAATGCCGAGTCCGGCAAGTTGCAGATGTTCTAGATTTCTTCCGTGCTGCAGGGCTTGGAATACAGCTGTTCTTAAGCTTGGGATGTTGCCGGCGTCGTGCGCGAAATACCGCATCTTAGACATTATCTGTTTCAGATCGGAGTCTTCGCCGGACGAGAACGGAAGCAGGACCTCTGTCTGTCTTGTGTCCAGCCATTCTAATTTCGGCAGCAGGTGCAGCTGGAGGGCTTGACGGACGGCCACGGTCAGCGCCGAATGCATCCTTGCGCTCGCACACTTCTCGGACTCTCCAGGGTTGATAGTAAGCCGTCTTAGGTTGGGAAAACACGAAAGAATCCTCGGTATCTCGTCTAGTGCACGAGCTTCCATCTCCCTTGCTTGGGCCCCGGCTTCCGGATACCCCTTCCCCAGCGCATCAGTGATATAGATGTGCTGAACGGCGAGTCTGTGCTCGCTACCAGCGAGCTGGGCCAGGCCCCTCGGGATCCAGCTCTTATTCTTTTCATTGTAGTTAAATACTATCTCTATACTCTGGAAGAGCAAGCGCGAGGCACTGTGGCAGAACTTGGAGTTCACCTGGCGCAGGGCCTTGAGAGCAAAGAGCCGACTGTGAGAATACCATCCTCTACCATTAACGGCGTATGCTGTGATCTCGTCGTACAGCTCCTGCGGTAGCTTGGCGATTCCTTTTCGCTTTGGGTGATAAGGTAGGTATTTTCCGACGAATTGTTGGACGCACCTTAAGGCACGGCGTACCTGGCGCAGAGTGTTCATTTCTATAATTTCGAGTATATTTCTTGAGGCAGGTAGGAGAAAAAAGCGAAGGTTGGAGCGTCGTTTAATCCTGGATTTCGTATTCTCCATAAAGCTTTTCCGCTGGACTAGAACGCTGCAGAGTCTGAGTCAACGGTCCCCTGTTCCCTTCCAATGATAAAAGTTCAGCATGGCTTCGGCCATGGCCGGGGCGTCCGTGCGGAATGAACCTCCGGGTACCTGTTCCCTTACTCCCGGTACCATCGTGAACAGGAGGATCTAAGCGGCTATGAACTGTATTTACCAGACACCGTTACAGCTAAATCCCTAGGTCGACTCAAGGGTATCAACATTGTTGGCTGAAAGATTCAGTCGGGGGGGTAGGTACTTTAGGTACCCTAGGGCTGTGACCCGCTCAGCCCTAACACCGCGTCTACTTGCTGCGTAGCGAGATAGGGAAGTTCAGGATACGAGCAAGAAAGATCCATATAGATATATTCCCACATGTTGAAGCACAGAAATGAATGGATTTGTTTACAGATACGAAGACAGCGTATCTCCACGGTTGCCTCGCTGCCTCTACATTTTGCACCTGCACTGGTATGTACCTATGGATGGTACCTAGGTAGATATGGGTAGGTACCTAATGCCGCGAGCGATCGGAACATTCGTGCAAGACGCGGACGCCCCGCGCTTAGATTTACATGAATATAGATCACTTGCTGATCTGTTCATGGATTACCTAGAGACCCGCAATAATGATGCCCTTTCCGAGTGCGCACTGGGGTGGGAATTGTCATAGGCTAAACCGAACAGATGGATCCTCTGAAGCCTAGGGTTACTTTGGGATAGACTATTTGCAATCCTCTGCTGGACGCTGTAAATGTATATATGCCTATCTACCTACCTAAGTACCATACCCTCCCATTGTACGCGCCTAAGCCCAATGGCCACCGCACCCAATACCTCCAACATGGATAGAAACTCCTGAATCCCTAATCAACATTACTCGCAAAGTCCTTAAAGTCATCACTCCGATGCTCCTCCGTCCACGCCATAAGCGCCGCATAATCCGCACAGATGTGCTCCGTATCCCAGCCCGCCGTGCGCCCATTCGGATCCATCGGCTCGAGCGTCGTGTCCGCGGAACACAGCACGCTTTGCCGCAGGTAGTCGATGCAGTGCGGGACGTGCGTCTTGCCCTGCGTTTCCTGCACGCTTTTCACGGCGTCGCTCGTGTTGGGGCTGCGGATGAGATTGTAGTACGCTTTTTGGATGTGGTACTGCCATGCAATCCATCCATTAGTTAAGGGTCATGTTGGGAATGGCTTTGGGAATGGCTTCGGGGAATGGTTGAGGATGAGGGAAGGAAGACGTACAAGGCAGTGGATCTGGTGGTAGACGGTGAACGCCCAGTGGTCTTCTTTGTAGCTTGTGCGGTGGTTGCTGGTTACGGGGTATTGGTCGGGTGTGAGGAGGATGCCGCCGTAGCCGACTGGTATTTGGGATATGGATTAGCTTGAACTGATGCTGAGTTGAAGGGATCCCATCATCTCATGGAGGTTGCGGGAACCCAGGGAACTCACCCGGCATGATGCTATTCCACGCGTCCACAGTGCGCGGGTTAGTTTTGGGGTCATCGACGAATGTGTGGTTGGCGTTGAAGATGACTTTGCGCGTGCCCATTGGGAGTTTCAGCGTTGATACTGCGGTAATTAAGTATTTATCCCTTAAAATTAATGTTGCAATGACACTCACGGCTCGGCATCGCGGCACACGATCGTGCAAGTCCCCCAGTAACCCTCCATACCATCAACCCACCTAGACTTCCCGAGACGAGGATCGTGATCAGGGCAAGAAGGACCAAGGTGGAGCTTGCCCTAGGCTGAGGCGTGACATCTGGGTCCTTTTCCCGTCCCCAGTGGACGTGCAGGCTTTTGCTCTTCGTCTCGCTGTGTCTGCCGCTTTCGTCGTCGCTGCTGATGCTGTTTGCGTTCTCGATGCGGCTGTATTCGGGTTTGGAGTCGAACATGGCGGTTGGCAACATGGTGACTGCCCCTGAATCTGGTAATCGAGGAAGGAAAATTCGAGGTCGGTTCCAGCAGTAATTGCAACGAACTGCCTTAGGCAAGGAGGGAGGGGGGAGCATGAAGTAGCCCACCTCAAAATAACAAGTTACAAATCCATGTCCTTCAATCGGCACTTACGGGACTTTTCAACCAATCACAGGGTCACAAAGAAACTCGCGGCTGCTGTGGCACCCAGTCGATAGGGCTGCTGATGAAGTTGGCGGCGCCACGAGAACAAAGGACTGGAGGCCAGCTTTAGATACGAAGGGGACCAAAGCAAATCAAATACTTAGCGCATCTAGTTATTGCTGTCAAGTGCATTGTTGATACTATTATTTCATAGTATCTGCCAGATACTATGTACTACTGCCCCCAGGCGCTCGAGTCTCTAAACCCATAAGCTTGGGAATACTCAGGGCCAAATACAACACCCGAGCCTGTCGGCAATTACAGACAAAGAAGAAAAGCTTAAGCCGGTACTTCGCTGCCATAATAATTCGAGTGGATCTGTCCAGCCCTAACCCAGTATGGCATCAATAGAGCGGCTCAATACGGAGCTTCTATTGTAGACCCCCGGCCCCGAGCTCCTGATCAATAAAGCCGTTGGAGGTCAACATCGTCATCTCAGCATCTCACCCGTTTTGAATAAGCTACCCCGGTAACTTCAACTGCAATGCATAAGGCTTATGGACTTGGCGTCAAATACAAGTACAATTCGTCAAAGCCATGTCAAAGGTCTTTGCCCTAGAGGGGACCAACGGCATCATAATGTATCTGCATACCATGGGGAAAATGATCAACATTTCCAACGATAATTCTATACCCCTAGTGTTAAACATAACATGATAAAGCCAATGGTGACTTTGGGGCCCTGGCAGTTGCAGAACTATGTCCTGACTTTGAGCATTGCCTGGTCAACCCTGCACCCTTAGTGGTCATGCTGCAAGTCGCTACCTTGAGGATAAAAGGGGAATTATATGCGCACGCGCTTTCTGTGAATCAGTGATACATTTTCCAGTATTAGTTCCCCCGTCTTCTTACATTTCTACAGTTGATGTTCTTCGAGCGAATAGAGACTAAGGAGAATACAGCTGTAAGTAAGCACTGGACCGTTCAGCATTCCCGGTCCAGATCGTTAGGGCACTGTGGCGGAATGCCAGCTAAGCAGGCCCCTTATCCTCTTGTCTAGGTACTGTTTGTCAGGTTCACCTGTCTCTCATCAGGCCATCCAGTTATTTGCATCTCGCAGATGACCCAAGCCGATATAGCCCTCCTTCCCCCCTCCCCCCCCCAACTGTTTAGCAGAAAGCTGCAGTATCTACAAGGTTAGGCAGCGACCTTGGCGGATAGCATCCGCCGGATCTTTCACTGTTCATGATGTACCACGTTTGGACGAATGAGCCAGTTACCTAGGTACTTGTGCAAAGGTCTAGAAACGTTGGCATGGGACTGCATTCAGCGGTTGAAGGGACAGATAAAGACCAGGCTTGTCATGCTAGAACTATGGTAGGTATCTGATTTCATCCGCGCATATCTCCTAACCGACAGCACTTGCTACTCAGTTAGGCAGCCTGTCAGGAATCCATGTATTTCAGCTGTTGCTTCCAGTGGCGTCTATGGTGGAAGGGAGAATGCAGTCGCGTCGATGTCGATCATTCAAGACATCTTCTCCCCGTTTATCTCTATCTAGCCCCGTTCATGTCCAATCTATTCTTCCCTTCTTCTTACTTTATTGAAGCGCTGCCATAGCATGAATGGCTCTTAACAAGCAACCTCCTTCATAACCCCCTGAATCAACTCTTTACTCTCCCCCTCAACCTTCAAAAACACCTCCAACGCATCCCTAATCCGCCCAGCCGCAATCGGATCAGCCCTTCTAGCAGCCTCAAGTTCCGCCCCATTATCCTCAAGATAATCAACAGTCGTGCTAGCAAGTCTCCCATCCCAGTCCACAGCAGCCAGCAGATCCGCGCCCGCAAGATGCGCCAGACGTTCTGGCGTCGAGGAGACGGTATTCTGGTGCGCGGGGTACTGCGGTTTCGGGACGTCGATGAGTCCGCTTGGACGCGTTGAGGCGTCGTAGGGGAGGTTGACGAGTTCCATCAGGACCTCGGCGGATACGGTCGCGGAGTCGACGCCGAATTCGCCCTGTGCGAGGGCTTCTTTGGGGCTTATGAAGCTGCACATAGGGTAGGCACTCATTAGCATTGTCTGAACTTTCATGTGCCAGGGTGAAGGGTGAGCAGGGCATACTTGGCGTTTTTGATCAGCGGCTGCGTCTTCCCCGTCTCTTTATACAGCTGCCGATACGTCTCGAGCATCTGGATGAGCCGCGCGGACATCGTATGCTGTGTCGCGGGGTCTTCGACGTTCGGCCAGAGGGAGAGGTCGAAGTTTGCTCGGATCTCTGTAACGTATTAGCCATCGCATTAACCCGCTACCCATTCTTCTAGTAGACCCTCGGAAGACAACGCACCGTTGAAGTAGGGACTAATATACAGACACTCCGCCTGACTCGCGGCAATCGCCTGCGCAAGCGAGAAGACGGCAGTCCCCAGTGTCCGAATCCCCTCAGCTTCAAGGGTCGAGCAAACGCTCAGCGCGGGGCCGGTCGAGGGAATCTTAATACAGAAGCGCTCCTTGCTTATCCCCACAGATTCGAACTCCTTCGCGTACAGCCGTGCGTGCTCGAGGACTTTCTGAGAATCATAGGCGTATGAAGGCAAAATCTGTAGCAGGACACGGCCCGAGATGAGGTCGATATTCTTCTTGCAGAGGAGAACGGCCTATTCTCACTTAGCAGGTAGTCCCCAATCCGCCTTCATTTCTGGCCTAAGGGTTAGGCATGGAGGGAAACGGGCCCAGCAACATACCGCACGCGTATAGATCTCCACCCAACTCTTCCCCTTATACTCGTGGGCGACATCAAGCAGCAACTGTCTGTTCTTAGGCTCGCTCATCTGCCCGTGCACGTGGATCTGGTTGCTTGTCATGTCGTGGGGGATGATGGGGAGGGCCTTGATGAAGTCCGGGTCCATGGCGTCGACGTCGACATTTACTGATACATTGTCAGCACCGGCTTTTGGGCACCTCTGTAGTTGGAGATGATAGAATTATGAACGTACCTTGTTCTTCCAGCTTATGAAGCCAGGTTGGAGCATTGGTGTCGGCGGCCATTTCGATCGGGGTTGCTCCGAGGGTTGCTTAGGGAGGTAGTGGAGAAAAGAGTCGGTAAGAATGAATGGCAGAGTAATGAATGAGGTGATTGAAGCGTTCTAAGTGTGCGAGAGAAGGGAGAAAGTTTTACATGTATGTATGTGTGTTGGAGAAGAGAACCGACGAGGGGTAACAGAAGTCGGGCCGTGAGGGAGAAGGAGAAACAGGAGATGGACCGAGTCGGCCAGCTCTTCCGGCTAAATGCTTCGGATGGGCTCACATGATGGAGATGTTACCCACCGATGGATATGGATGATGAATGGGGTTGGAGCTGGGGTCTGGGGGAGTGGGTCGTGCATGCATCTTACGTGGAGTTCCTTGTCTGGCCCAACATTTGCATCAGGAACAACCCAGCTAGGTAAACTCAGCGGCGTTGGCCATTCCCAAACATGCCAGTCATATCATATCTAGCTACCGTTCTCAAATAGTATACTATCACCTCCAGCTAAAGCACACTCAGCTGCTCCCACCGCGCAAGGGCCTTTCGATACCCGTCTCTTGTCCTCTCCAGTCTTTGCCGCGTAGAAACGTCGACTGCGTCCTCCCCAGCTATCCGGCCGAGTTGATCATCGTCAAGCCGAGTGAACGTCTCAGAAGAGACAGCACGTAGTGGACATTTCGGCCCCAGCACATGCCGCTCAATCACCTGAGTCGCCACATTATCCACAAACCTATAGACAGCAATGCGATAGTAGGTTTCGAGCTTGATCTTTGTTTGGAGGACGTTGTCCACCAAGCTGGGGAGGGGGCTTCCCTGGTTTGGTGTGCTGTCTGAACCAGGATCATCATTTTGTCTTTGATTGAAGAATTCATGTCGCCGCTTGTCCAGAGAGTCCAGTTTTTGCTGAAATTCAGGATCCCCAGTGTACAGTGGTCGGACTTGGTTGTCGTCGATGAGCTCTCGCAGAGCATTGTCCGTATCCTTATTCCACTCCTCCCGTTTCCCGCTGATGAGCTTGCTGACCTCCAATCGCACGCGGTTATTGGGTATCGCCAGATGAAGCAGGATGTTGTAGCAGTCTTTAACGCACAGCTTTGCGTCCTCGACCGCGTCCCTTGCGTAGCGTGCCCAATGCGTAGACATTTTGCGGAAGACTGTTTCTTCAACATCCGGGTGAACGCTGCCGGGCAGGCCTGTTCCAAGACTGACCAAGGCCTCGTGATATATGATCGAGCTTATGCCCTTTCCGTTCTTGATGTAATCCTCCCGTGAGTGAGGATCGGAATCCCGAAGGCCCTTCCAATGGCTCTCATGTTTACCGAAACTTACAGAGAGTGCCCGTATTTTAAAAACGTCCCCAGCGAAATCGTCTAGCCGCTTCCGTATAAGGTAACGGAGACGTCGACTGGGATCTGTCGAGGCAATATCCTGATATCTAGCACGCAGAGCAGCCTCAGTCATCTCCTGCATCTTGGTGCAGAATTGCCATACGAAAGCCCGCTGCGCGCCGGGCGTGGTTCTGGCCTCTCCCATTCTTGTAAGATCATTTTCGCACGCTTTGAGTTCCTGGCGAATCTCGGAAATGATCTGAGGCATGCCTTTTTGTAGCTGCACACGACGCTCTCGATCGACATAGTTCATCAAAGCCCTGATCCCAAACCGATCCTTGGGTGCATCCCGCCAGGAAGGTCGCGAGAACTCACGTTCTTCAGCTTCGTCGCGTTCGGCATCAGTAAGGTCAGATTCAATCGGCTTTCTGTTTCGAACCCCGAACCAGCCATGTTCCAGGTGAGGAACATTTGCAACTCGGTTGTTCTGCAGCAAAGAGACCATCTACCGCGGGTGGTCAGATCGAATATGGTATTTGATTGGGGTGGGACGCTAGTCCTTACCCATTCGCCTGATCCTTCCTCTCTCTTGTCGCACTTGCTAAGAACTCCAATAGACCTGCTTTGTGATCCTGGAATGCTCTGGGCAATCTCCAAACTTCTCTGGCGACGAACATCGACGTCGTCAACGACAAGTCTAATCGTCAATTAGCCCATGATGCAGCAAACTTTGTGAGTTCTGGCCTTACTCACAGAACAATGTTTCTCTCATTTTGCATGTATTTGCGCACCAGCGCCTCAGCAATAGCTCCATCTGTGGCCGATGTCACACCGTTACCAGTAGTAGGTGAGCCATTGGGCATGGTCGAAGCCCCGTTCCGGACCAAGCCTGGCAGATCAACTATGGACCAGTGCATCTCATCTGGGCCTGAACGTTCAATGCGAAGGACTGCGTCAGATAGACGGTCACTCTTGACCGTGTCTTTTTCGAAAATACACTCAGTAGCCTAGCCGGGTTAGCATACCAGTTCTAAGTCCAAGGGAACTATCCCGGGTTTACATACCTTGTCAATCATATCCTTCAAGGCGTCCTGCGTCAGGGCTTCGCTTTTAATGCAGAAACCCTTTGTCCTTGCGCGAAACGCATCATCTCTCGCCATGAGCCGCCCGGGAGTTATAGTTGCCTTGACAGGCAGAACGGCCACCTCGGCAGTTTGGCGGAAAGATATCTGTATTGGAAATCGAGTACAGGTGTCTTGCTTCACCGGAAAAGATATCTCAGTGATCGCTTGGAGGACGGAGCTCTTTCCAGTACTTTGATCACCAACAACAACAAGCTAACAAAGTTATTGAACTGTTGGTCAATGTCAAGGAGCATGAAGGAGTGAGCCGCACCTCGGGTAGTTCAATGCTGCTGCTAAGCCCAAGCTTGTGAAGCTCGTCAATGAACGCAAGCTGCTCGGAGCTTTCCACTCCAACGAAGTGGCGGATTCTTTTTCCCATAGCGAGTTCGAATACGTCTTGTTGAACGAGTTCGGAGCACAGGCTTTGGGAACAGGCCGGATGGTCAGTTTTAACCATTTCACACCCTGGTCGACTTTGCAGGCACCGCCCCCAACCGTGGAAGTACCTGCAAACACTGATCAGCAGGTTAAGGGCGCAAATAGCGCACCAGGGGCAATCACAGTGATTCCGCAGACACCTTGCAGGGACTACCCTATTCAGCTGGGATAGTGCCTAGCGTAAGCCAATCGATGACGGGCCTTTCCAGGATCAAGAAACCAACCAGGACGATACGGAGTACAACATGGTCACTGGTTATTTGTAGCATATCAGACCAGAATTGACAAATCACGGATCATGCACTTACATCCGGAGTTCTTTGTACAACCCTGTGTAGTAGTACGTGGTTGGCGAGAAGCATGGGTTTGCTGGCGTCATTGAACCGTAGGTGATACCGCCCCCACCTCTCGCGGTTGCAGCGCGTACTGATGCCCAGGTCCAGGTGGTAGATAATGACTGCTGCTTCGGAAATGATGCCCAGAGGTCTCGGGTTTGAGATCCGTGTTTGGGACAACGTGCGGATGGTTCGTGCATCGTCGATCTTTTGCGGGTGTGGGCGTGCATTTCCGCGACCATGGCTGCTCTTAACTCCAATCACAGTGTCTCAGTCCCAGGAGTGAACCAACCAAAGGGATGGTGTCAACGCGGACCTTGAGGAACGGGGGATTCAGGATTCAGGATCAGTAAATGTGAGCGAATCACCTGACTTGCCCTGTTCACCTTCTAAAAGCGGCAACAGCTGGAGCCCCGCCTCCGCAGCAACAACATTGGAAAGTGCACCCGAGCGGGGTCCGTTGCCTGCATAATGGTCAGTGATAAAACATAAGTTACAGTCGGCTGTCAAAGTAACGCGTGTATATATAGGTGTGATGATCATTTCATTAGGTACATACATGCTGAACCTCGCTCGAAAGAGCTCCGATTCAGAGAAGGTAAATAACAGAGATGCAAATACAGGGTGCAGTGAACAAAAAGAAAAGTAACAAATCAAACCAAGTTCCGCGAACTAGTCATTTCTCCGTATCGTCCTCTTCCCCTCGTGGTATCGTAAGCATTGACAACTCTCATCTGTCCGCCCTCATCGGCCTGACTGAACGCGTAACCTCGTTGCTTGCGCATCCGCTGCACCTGTCGCACCTTGCGGATAGCCTTCTGGAACTGCTCCATGCGGGGCCGGTAGTCCTGGACGTTGTACTTCTGGATCTCTTGGACGTGGTGGTAGTGCTGCGGGTAGTACATCCGCTTGGCATACTTCCAGGCGTAGTCGCGGAGAAGACAGATGCAGGGGAGGACAATGGCCATCAGATAGAAGATGGGCGAGGTGAAGAGACGAGGGATGGTGCCGTAGTATTCTTGTGAGAACCCGATAGCGGGTGCAGCGTATCCGTAAGCCGGGAGGAACGCGAGCCAGATAATCATCGAACCAGGAATGGCGATGAAAGTGTACTTGGTCCAGATGTTGGTAATAAGTGCGGCTTTACCAAGCACAGTCGCCAGGACGGCGGTGTATAGCGCTGAGCCCCAGACCCAGTGGCCGGCGACTTTGCCGTCGCCTTGTGGCAGGTCGTAGAGGAAAATGAGCTGAGAGACGATGTACAGGAGCAGGGAATGGTAGAACCCATTGGCGATCCATGACCAGAAACTGTGGCGTTTGAAAAACATTCCTTTCTGACCGAGCTGGTACAACTGGGGATATCGGTCTAAAAGACGAGCAGAGATGAATTGATCGCAAATACCCATGGCAAATGGAGGAAGCACAGTAAAAAAGACGTTGTAGAAGGAAAGCGTCCATGATTCGTAAATGACTTCACCAGAGAACGCGTTTTGAAAAGAGTACTGCGGTCTTTAGCTTAAGCATAGCAAAAAGAGGTGGTGAGCTTACCCAAAACTGCGTCATGTAGAGAGCAATATTCTTGTAGAACGAGTATAGAATGACGCGACTGATTCGATGATAACTCCAAGCACCATGCACAAGAAGCAGTTTTCGAAGATAACGGAACTGAGCAATGGAAACATCGGCAGATCTCGAGGCTTGCAGACCTTCCACGCCACTGATACCAACACCGACGTGAGCGGCTTGAATCATGGAGACATCGTTGGCACCATCACCAATAGCCAGAAGAAGCGACTTGAGATGACGCTTGACAAGCTTGACAACCAGTGCCTTTTGAAGGGGCGAAACACGACTACTACTATTAGCTTGATTTGTGGATATGAATGGGAGACATACCAGCAAACAACGGCCTTGCATTGGACGGCAAGGTCAAGGAACAACTTCTCCATATCCTTCTCGAGAGCAAAAGTCAGAGAACGGCCGTCAATAATAAGGGCCATTTGTTCGGCTTCAGTCTGGCTCTGAACAGCCTGCAGCTTTTTCGACAGATTATCCCTGGTGGCCACAGCGCTGTCCTCGTTGATAATCAAAAGAGTCATGTCCTCAGAAATCAATTTGCAGGACATGCCAATATTGATAGCAGTCTCCTGCCTGTCACCAGTCAGGACCCAAATTTTGATACCTGCGGTTTGCAGAGTGTGAATGGTATCCGGCACACCATCCTGCAGTTTGTCCTCGATAGCGGTGGCACCAAGCAGATACAAGTCCTTCTCAATGAGCTCAGCAGCTTTGTCAAGTTCGTCCGCACGATTGCCGCCAACTGTCGTTGCCGCTTTGTCAAAGATCTGGTACCATTGCTGGAATTCAGCCTCAGGGATTTCCCGCATAGCTAGGCATAGAGTACGAAGACCATCCGATGCATACTCCTCAAGGTGTTGCAGCGTTCCTTCAACAATGGGGTTGTCCTGGTGGAGACGCTCCAGAATGACAGTATCAGCACCTTTGATGTAGATGCGGATACGCCCATCCGGGCATCTGAAGATCGTGGACATTCGCTTTCTGGTGGAGTTGAATTCGCAGACTGCCAGTAGCTCGTACTCGTATTCTTGTCCTTCCACCGTGATAATCACGGATCTAGGCTTTCTGTTGCTGAACTTGTAACCCATCTGGGCCGCACCTTCGACAAGGGCTCCTTCGTCGGGAGATGCTGCTTGATATTTGATTTTGTCGGGATCTGCTTCGGAACGTTCGGGAATAACAGTATGACAAGTAGCGAGAAGCGTCAAGAAGTGGTGAATCGCATCTTTGCTGGGATGGGATTCCAGGTTTTGGCGGAGTCTCTTGAAGTCGTGTACGCCCACCTCAGCACCATCCTCGACCGTAGCTCGTCGGTCTTCGGCGACATCCTCTCCGTACTGAATGCCCCCTATCGTACACTCTTTAAACTCCATCATGTTGCATGTCAAAGTACCAGTCTTGTCCGAGAAGATGTACTCAATCTGACCAAGTTCTTCGACCAAAGACGAGGTTCTGCAAGTAGCCGGGGTATCCGTCACATCGTAGTAGATGTCCAGATCGGAATTGATCAAGAAAGCTTGCGAGTACTTGACGATTTCGATGGTGACAAAGAGCGAAATAGGGACCAAGTTGGAGTAGAGAACCCAGTATGTAAATATGTCCATGATAAACTGTTTCCCGGGGTTTGTGCTACCGTAGTCCAGGTAGGTGAGCTTATCCTTTTCCTTCTGACGAATAATCAAGTCGCCAACGGAACTGACCACACTGAGAGCGATGAGAATGCTGACCAACATCAAAATCTGGATATTGACCATGCGCTCCACTGCAGTACGCTTGATCGGAGTTGCAGTGGCATTTCGCATCAACTTCGTTTCATGGCCGGTGAACACAACAATGCCGTGAATCCACGGAGTGTTTCGAAGGGTTGCTCCTCGGAGCATAAGCTGATCTGGCGCTAGCGGGAGCTCCCTTTCGCCTCCACCCGCGTGCATGGTCAAAGTCGCCTCATACGTATACAGACTGCTGTTTGGCTGTTCGGAGCGTATGCGTCCACTAAGCCGGCTCAGATCAGCCGGGCTGACTAAATGCGAAGTCTCCGGGATGGCTTGTTTGATTTTGAGGTTAGTCTCGCCGTCGAGATTTGCTGTCTCAATATAACATAGACCCTCCGGTTCCGAGGAGGCCAAAAGGACCAAATCAGCCGGGAAAGGCTGCTCGGACTCAATTCGGACGATGTCTCCCACAGCCACATCGACCCATTTGGTCTCCTGGAACGAGGACCCTTTGAGAACTTGCGTTTTCGAGTAGTTCAGCGACTTGTCCGAAGACCTCCGCTTGTAGTCCTCAACCAATTCCTTGATAGCTGATACCAACAACACAATAACCAACGGACCAATAGTAGTATATCGATTTGTCGGTGACACGTTAGGAATCTGCTGCAAAACGGCGGTAAACAAGAAAAACAAGTTGGCGTATTTCGAGAACTGTTCGTACAAGAATTTCGGGATGAAGGTGACGACGTTGTACTTCGCCGTAGACACATGGTTGTCGACAAACTTGTGCACTGCATTGGCCGGCGGGTTGTTCAGCTGGATCATACGAGGACCGAGAGTAGATGGGTCGACAGTCCTTCGGCCAAATCCAAACTTGAATGACGGCTTGCTCGGTTTCTTCGGACGCGGGGCGCCCTCTTCGGAAACCGTACTGTCGGCTCGCGCAGCTCGTGCCCCGGCTTCGGTCAAGGGAAGGTCCATCTCGGAGTACTCAGGCTTCATTCCCAACATGTGCTTTGCCCTACCCATGAGCCCACCTCCCATACTCAGTATGCTGTTCCGCTCCCGCATTCGAGAATCCCCCTCCATCGGATCTTGGTGCGACATATCGTAGTACCCGCCGGCTCCGTCATATTCATCCATAGAATACCGCTGGTAATTGCTGAGCCCGGAAGACTGCGAGTACGTCCGGCTTCGGGACGCATCGTGTCCCGAGTAGGGGTCGTTCATGTATACACCGGCCTGCGCCGGAGGAGGCGCGGAACCCGTCGCATGAGCACCGGCGTGCGGTGTCACCCTTCCACCGACAAAGCTGTCATAAGAAACGGACGGACGAGGTTGTGCATCTTCGGAGTCGTCGATGTTGAACTGTCGCAAGAGGTGCTCGTCATTTACCGGCGGAGGCCGCCCGGTGTTGTAGATCGGGGCCGAGTCCTCCAACTCCAGCAGGTCATCATCCCGGCCAGCGGCGGGATGACGACCTGGAGCCCTACCGCTGGCCATGATGATCGGGGAGGGCTAACACCGTCAATGTGGTGGTGCGGCCCAGGGGGAGCATCGATTTCAGGTGGGTGCTTTTCTTTGTTTGGCCCGAAGGGGGAGCTGGAAAGCAGAGTAAACCACGTGGAATATGCAGACCGATCGATAAGACTGACAGAGTTGACGAAGTAAAGCAAGAAAATGCAGGACAAGAGAAGAAACAGCTCAAGAATCTGGTGATTGCCTGGAGGGAGAATTGAGGAGCAGAGTTCGGGATGCGCTAACAGTGGTTGGGTTTGGCGTGCGGCGGTGCTCCAGCCCCGTTGATCTTACTCAACTGAAGCTTGACGTGGGCAACTGACGAGAAGGATTTAGCGGCAGTGGCACCTATATACTAGGATAAGTCGATATTAATATTCTGGGGTAAATAGTTGCTATACTTGCACGGACTTTCTTCTATATTACTCATTTTCAATGCTCTTAAACAAGCGGAACCTCTTTGTTGTCTTCTATCTCTCCGGTGTCAAACCTATAGGTAACGCTGTCAAATGTCAATCCTTATTACGGACGCGGGAGATTTTCATTTGAAATACGAGTCGCTTCTATTTTTGTTTGTATCATGAGTTCATTCATCTATCATACATCAAATCAAGCCTTCCCTTGAAGAAAAGTACTCTTTGAAATTTAAGCTGACTACGCGACCGGCCGATCATTCTCCGCTCTGGCTTGCTCCGCGAGGCCGCCCTTAGATCGTTTTGCAAGATCAGCCTGCAGGGCCTTGTCAATAATGCCGTTGACATGCTTAACCTTTTCCAACGCGACAGTCGTCTTTGTGACAAACACCAGAGCATCCACCGGGGAGCCTTGGAATTTAGAGACGTAGCAGACATCTCCGGCATTGTTCATCCCGATCACCACGTCCGCTTCTGACGCTTGCTCTTCCTTCCGCGTCGCATCGAGGATAACGAGTTTCCCCTCGTCGAATGTGTGGAATGTGACCGAAAGAGGCTTGTGGGTGATGTTCAGGGGCGCGGGAACTCTTTCATCCAGTCCGTAAACGATCACTTGGCCGTCCTTGACCACCGCATCGGGGCGACGGAAGTGCTGCAGCCCGGCCATAACTCCAATGCAGGACGCATCAATGAGGTTGCCATCGTAGTCGGTGATGTGTACATCAGCACGTATCGTCCAGCAGCTGACGCCTTTGAGGATGCAGAGGGATTCGGTATCTAAAGCGTTGGAGTGGCGAATAACTCGGTCTAGCACGTTTGTAACGTATGTTTCGAGGTCTCCTTGTCTAATCCGCAAGCATCAGCCTTGTTCAATGACACACATCGGTATCCATACCGGCCATTCTCCCAGGCGGGGGAGCCCATCGCGGTCAACTCCATGGCGATGTTGAAGATGCCATCAAACGGTCGGTCATCGTGGGGTTTCGCGACTTCGGCGGAAATTCGAACGATCAAGCTATAAAGGTTAGCGGCACCATCAACAGCGCGACAGAAAACCAACCTCGTCTTCCCCAGCTGCACTTTCACATGGCCGTATTCCTCGCCAAACGAGAGTTTGAGCGGACGGAACTCATCAGCCCCACGGCCATCGAGCCTCACGTCCTCGCGGAGCGCATCGAGGATAAAGTCGCGCTCAGCAATCGAGAGCGGTGCTTCTTTGTTCATAATTGCGGGCAGACTCGGCCCCGATGAGGGGATCTAGACAGGACGGACTTGGAAATTTCCTATCTGCAGCGTCATTGAAGCTGGGCGGGTCATCGATGTTCCAGCCAATGGCAAGCATCACAGCTAGGCGGTGAGCGGACACTGACCTGAGGCTCCTTTATCGATTGATCACGAACTTTCAACTATCTCAGACCTACTATTGAACTCACACAACACTATGACTACCGGTAAGAAGCTCATACCTGCAATGCAAGCGCTCCTACTGACGCTTTCTAGCCCACAGACCCACATTTGATCCCGTACGTCGCAACTTTCTCGATCCAGGACCGTCGCTCACAGAATATAGGCACGAGGGAAAGAGGCCCTCCGCGGCCCTGCATACCACCAACGCCTCCTCCCCGCACACACTCACCTGAAAGTCCGGTAAGTCGCCCGCGTCTCGTCACGGTCTGACTCTTCTGACGGAATAAGTCAATCTGGTCAGGGAACTGAGGGCGAATCGGCGCATCGCGACCTGCGCGCGGAACTGCTCGCGGCAGAGGCTTCTCACTTTGCCAAGAAGAACGGAACTCCCTTGCCCGAGGCATCCGTTGAAAGCACACCCAAGCGTCAGCTGGAAGGCGGTCCCGCGAACGGAGAAGATGGAGAATTAGAAGAAGATCCGGAGGCGAAACGGCGGCGGATATTAGAGGAAACAAGAGATATAGATGCAGACTCAGACGGGTCGGAGGAAGAAAGTAGTGACGAAGAGAGGTTAGTTCCATGCTGAGCTTGAAGCGCTCCATGCTAAGAGGCCCAGTGACGATGAGGACGAGGCCGCGGAGCTTATGCGAGAGCTCGAGAAGATCAAGAAAGAACGGTTGGCACAGAAGGAAAAAGAGGTTGGTACATCAACATCATGCGGGTCCGCGTAGTATACTTACCAATTCCAGGAACGCGAACGCGCAGCGCAGGAGGAGGAACAACGAGAGGTCGATATTGCGCGAGGCAACCCGTTACTCAACCCGTCAGACTTCAACATGAAGCGGCGATGGGATGACGATGTCGTCTTCAAGAATCAAGCGCGCGGAACGGACGACAAACGAGGAAAGGAGTTTGTCAATGACCTGCTACGATCTGACTTCCACAAGAAGTTCATGTCCAAGTATGTGCGATAGGCGCATCGCCGCTATCTTTCTTGCAGGCCGGTCTGCGTCTTGCGCATACTAGCTCATGATTCGGATGGGTGTTCCAGTCATCATGTTGATCTGGCGTTAGGGCGTTTGAGCTGAGATAGAGAATTGTATTTAAGCACAACAACCCATTTCAATGGACAAACAACGCCCATATCATCCATTCAAATCACAAATATCTACCCCTATCTTGGAGCAGAAATCCACGGGTTTCTATATCTACTCTTATCCATAAATTCAGTAGTGCCGGCATAAATCCACCGCCGACCCCCGCTACGATAGGTATCTCACTTCCTACCAACCCATCCAACAACAAGAAAAGCTCCAAATTAGAGAAATCTCAAGATGGACCTGCAACCGACATCAAAGAATATGCACAGTACGTCCAATGTCCCATATTCGCCCGCCATATGACCATCCATCGCAAAAACCGAATGAACTGAACGCCGGGCTCACCTATCGCACCCCTCCAGATCGCATAAACAACGACATCTCGCAATTGCTCCAGCGGTTCGAGAACATTATGGCTACAGCTACGGTGCGCATTCTCTCCTTCTCCCAGACCCAGATATTCTGCATGCGCGGTGTTCCGAGATGGGATGGGATAATAGCGTGCTTGCTAACTCGATTGTCTTCACCAGGTCGAAAGCACAAGCCACACCACCACCGCCGTCGAGACATACCAGCTCGACGTTGAGTCCACAGCACTGGTGCGTTTGACCTATAAAAGGACCAGAACTATCTATTGCCTTTACCGCAAGCTAACACTCCTTCCCCGGCAACAGATCCGCGCCGCAGAAGACATCCTCTCGCTCACCCGCACCATGAAAGAGACCTGGCTGTTTGGGAAACTCGACACGCTGGGCGAAGACGAGTCCGAGACGAAGCGCCGCGAGGAGCTGGAGCGCGATGCGGCGGTCATTCAGAAGGTCATTGAGGATGCGGGGATTCTGAAGGCCGCGAAGGAGTGAGCAGTGCTTCTTCTGTGCTGCCGTGCCTGGGAATGCGTGATGGATTTAGTTATCGGGTGAAATGGCGTTTGTTTGGCGGGATTTTATTGATAGAGGGCAAGGGAGGGCTGGCGCTTGGTGTTTGGGTACTGGGTGCATCATTTATATATCTCTGAGGTTATGGTTGAAACTTGATACCCGGAGTTTGAGTTTTTTTCTCTAACTAGACCATGTTTTTGATTTAGCTCTTTCCGGGCCTTGAAACTTCATAACTCATCTCTATATTCTATGAAAGAATGGAGAGGATTGCTATAGTTTTATAAAGCATACCCCGTAGGCTATAGCCCGCGTATCGGACTCGGAGCTCGTTCGATAAGAAAAAAAAGCAAGCTCTCCGGACCCCGCCAGCTCCGCGCAGCTCCATCCCACCACCTCAATCCATCCTAAGCAATACCTCCAGCAAACCACGAATCCACGCGTCGGAGCTTCAACTATTCACCCCATCAGATTTCTTTCCACAACATCCTCGAGCTCCTATCCACTATTCACGCCCCAAAATGCCCAGCCCACCCGCAATCCCCCCGCTCCCCCTAACGCTAATCGTCGCAACAACGCCCATCCCCTCCGCCTCCTCCGCGTCCAACCCCACCATCCGAACGCGCCTAGGCATCGGCCTAAACGGAACATTGCCCTGGCCGCGCATAAAAACCGACATGTCGTTCTTCGCGCGCGTCACGGCGCGTCCGCCGTCACCACACACACCCGGAAAGAAGACACTTACAAACGCGCTCATCATGGGGCGCAAGACGTACGATTCCATCCCGGCTAAGCTCCGGCCGCTCGGGAAGAGGAACAATGTTGTTATTTCGCGCGATGGGGACGGGAGCGTTGCGGGGCGCGTGAGGGGGGATTTGGAGGGGAAGATTGGACGGGAGAGGGAGACTGCGCTGGCGAAGGCGAAGGCGGCGCAGGCGCAGTTGGAAGAGGTGCAGGCGGGTGAGAAGGAGGGGGAGAAGAGTGGGAGTGCGGTTGTGGGGGCGGCGATTGCTGCTCCTGCGCCTGTTGCGGAGGGGAAGACGGGGGCGTTTGTGGAGGGGAGTCTTGAGGGGGCGCTTGAGCGGTTGGATGGGCTTGCTGCTGCTGGTGGGGAGGAGGGAGACGGGGTTGGGCATGTGTATGTTATTGGGGGTGCGGAGATCTATAATGCTTCGATTAAGCTGGGCTGTGGCTCTGGCTCTGAAGCGGAAAGCAACCTTAAGCGGACGGTGCGGATTGTCGTGACGGATGTGGAGAAGCTTGATGGGAGTGGGTTTGAGTGTGATACGTTCTTTCCCGTTGACCGGGAGGAGCTGGACAGTGGGAAATGGAGGAAGGTTAGTCCTGCTGAGGTGACGGGGTGGGTTGGGGAGGAGGTTACGGGGGAGTGGATTGAGGAGGGGGATGTTAGGGTGAGGATGGTTGGGTATGAAAGGGTTTAGTCTAGGTATGTGTTTGGTACATTGAGGAGATGGATAGTAGATACCCCGTGGTTCAGATAAAATCCGAGACAAAAATATACATATATGCATCGAGTAGAGTCGTCATACTGAGTATGTAGGTCATCGCTGATCATGCACATGCAAATGCAACAAAACAAACATAAATGACAAGCAAGCAAAAAACAAAAAGCAAACCAAGGAAGACAAAAAGCCAACGCTAATATACAAACAAACATCTAGACGAACAAAAAGCAAAAATATCGTAAACAAATCGACTTGGTTCGAGTATCCAGAACGGAACGTCAAAACCCATGTCAAAGTCGTAACATGCATATATACGGAGTAGGCTCCGGAACTCAGGGTCGCCCCGAAATCTGCATCTGCAGTCATTCTAGTCGTGCTCTTTCATAAACTTTACAAAAGCCTTCTTGTGGACGAGCCCAGCATACTGCCCATCATGAAGGACACAAAGGTAGCGCAAGCCAAGCTTAACAAAGCACTGGTAAACAAGGTCTATGGGGGAGTGGATGTCGAGGGCGAGGGGTGCCTGGACGAGCCCACGTTAGTGATCTTGTCAGAAGAAAGGGAGGGGAGATAACATACCGGATCTATATATCTAGTGAAATCCACCTGCAGAGTATCCTCATCGTCTGTATCAGACATGACAGATGAGGTATCGGCGGCCATGAGGCACGAGGTTCGATCCTCGTCGTCAAGACTGTCAAGGGCGTACTCGAGGTCCGGCGCGGGTATAAGTCCGATCAAGACGCCATCACGCAGGATCGGAAGACCACTGTCTAGCTCTCCGGCCATGAGGAGGTGCTGGAGTTTGGAGCGCAGCTCGCGCGCCGGGACGAGCGGGGAATCGGTAATATCGATGAGGCGGCTGCGACGGACGGGGCGGACGATGTCGCCGAGTTCGGCGTCGGAGATGGTTTGCAGTTTGTTGTCGAGGAAGGGGTAGGAGTTCATTTCGGTCAGAAAGTCGTAGATGCTGTGAGGCTCAATGGCGTCGGCGGTCCACTTGGCGCAAAGAACGGCCAGCGAAAACGGCAGGACATGGTCCAAGCTACCGGTTAACTCGAATAGGATCACGGCAAGGGTGACGGATAGACGCGTGACGCCGCACATGGTTGCACCCGCAGCGACCATAGCGTAAACTCCCGGGGTTACACAAGATTCCATGCCTGCAGTAGCGGCGCACGACGATCCGAAGAGGAAGAAGTCGGGGTACTGCAGCGCCACGTACTGCGTAATGTGGCCAACAATGCGGCCCATCAGGCCACCGACCACCATTGACGGGACGTAGATGCCGGCGGGAACTTTGATACCGAATGTGATGATCGTCAAGAAACTCTTGATGACGAATGCAAATGTCAGTGCGCGGATCACCTCGCCGATTCCATCTGGGTGCGGACATAAACCGTCTGGATCTGATTGTTCGCACGGGCTGGCCAGCTGGAACAACAGTTCGGTTACTGGGAGCTTTGTGTAAGGGTTCCAGAAGCTGATTAATCCGGTAATCAAGGCAACAAGAACCACCTCAAAAAGTGGCCAACGCTTGATGGCAGGGATGCGGCGGAAAGACTTGGCCCAAATGCTGGAAGCCTTGATGAACAGAGCGCCCGCCGCACCACCGAGTACTCCCAAGAGCATGAAGATAGCCAGCTCAAAGATCTCCCAGTCGCCTAGATACCGCACTTGAAAGAGCACAATCTTGCCGGTGCCGTAGGGATTGAGGAACTTGAGTGACAGAGCAGCGGCAATACAGCAGAAGAACGTCCGGAACAGCGTCTTTGGCGGAAAGTAGTAGCTGACCTCCTCCAGGCTGAAGAGCACACCACCGATCGGCGCTCCAAAAGCTACAGCAACGCCACTGGCCGCACTAGCACTGAGGACCTCACGCCGCTTGCCGTCGTTGAGATTGTACTTGCTGAATAAACGGCAGCAAATGTTTCCAACACAGGTCGCAATGTGCACGTACGGGCCCTCCTTGCCGAGACTAAGACCCGAGGCGACACTGAAGATCAGAGCCAAGGTCTTGATAACCAACGTCTTAAAACCGAGATAACCGTGCAGGACAAAACCACTGTTGATGACCTTGACCTCAGCAACACCGCTACCAGCCGCAGAATAGTAGATCATGTCCGGACGCATAGGCAGCGGCGGATACGGCGACGTCCCAGACCCAGACCCAGGCGAAACATCAGCATCAGTCGCCCGCTTCGAGTTGCCGGCAGCCAGATTCTCATCCAGCGTAGTCAGGCGAATCGACGACGGGACAACCGTCTTAGTCGTCAACGTCAAAAGACAAGAAATAACAGCCAGAGCCACCGACCAAAGGACGTAAACCCCAAAGTCGACCGAGACACTCCCTCCACCATGATGGTTCATCAACGCCGACCACGACCGCCAAGAAGGACACTCTTCGTCAGGGCAACAGGTCTCCCGACTCCGCAGCCAATGCGTCGTGCACACCCCACTCTTCACCCCAAAAACAAACTCCTCCGAGATGTCGACAAAGTACGCTATCGCCGCGGTGATACATCCAATCAGCGCAACCAGAAGCCAGCCCTGGGCGCCGTCGAACAAGGCCAGAAGCCGGCCGCGGATGTCTTTCCTCCGCCGCAGCTCCCGCAGCCGCACCCCGTCCGCGACGCTATCGTGCACCCAGTCCGTCGACGTGAACTGGTCGTACCACAGCCGATCGTCCATGAACGACGCGGTCATGGCGTCCTTGACGGAAGCGGCCGCGCTCACGGCCTCAGCCACATCGGCATCGATGCTCTCCCGCCGGCTGAACCGCTGATGCATCGAGTTCGCCCGGCTGTGGTGCCGCGACCGGCGCAGACTACTCCCCAGCATTGTATGCCTGAACCCGGACTCTGGTCCCGAGGACGCAGAGAAAGTAGTGTAGGAGCGCTGCGGGTTTACGCGACCGGATCCGCCTTCCTTCGCCTTGCCCAGGAGGCTGGTGTTCTCGCCGGCCTCCAAGGGGGGCTCGAGGGACTGGTAGGCGGTATGGGATTCAGAGAGGTGGCTGTATGATCTCCGCATGGCGGAGGGAGAGGGAGGGGCGGTTCGGGGGTTATGCGGAGGGCGTGGGCTGGGGCTGGCATTCTCCGGGTCGCGGTGGTCTTCCGCCGTCGGAGCGGAAGTAAAGTAGGACGGAATCGATCGGGGCATGTTGAAGAACGCTTCCCCTTACTGTTCCTTGCGGTCTTGCAGGAGTTAGCTGGCTCGGAAAGTATGTGACTCGGCTGCAAATTACTCACAGACCGGCATGATCCCCTTGCAGACGAGGCGAGGGGTAGGGACGTGATTGTGTTTGTTGATTTGGTTCAGGCCCAATAATGAGGAACGGAATTAGCTTCAGCTCCCACGGTACCCGATCGCGGCGACCGTGGTATTTGTCGAAGATGAAACACGGACAAAGATGACCGAGAAACAAAATATACTTTAAGAACGACAGAGCAGAAAAGTCAACCAGGTGCAGGGAAGTGGGAGAAATTCTCAGGAGAAAGTCAGACAGACGGTGAGGAGAAAGTCGCGGAATGGCGTCTTAGCGGCAGATGACCCGCCAGCTCCCAACCCAAAACAGTCACTCACCCTCCACTCCGCCCATCCCATGACAAGCTAGATATACATGACATCCGACCCGATGATCAGATCGCCCTGATGTTTGAGTCGGACGTCATGGGTGCCTCGCTGTCTGCAAGCCAAGAGATAAGCGCGATCCTTTGTCGCTGTCTCGCTGATGCACCCTCGGTGGAACGGCGATCCCTAACAAAGACGACGCCCTGCGCTTCAGGCGTCGTCAGTACTCGCCATGTCAAACACGCTCAAACAAGCAACACACTCCCGGCACCACTCAGGGTGAATAGGCAGATGTATCCGGCTGCGAGGATCCTGCTTTACCCGGTTTCTGGGTTGCTCCTTGGAAGGATGCGCAGCTGGTTCGGGCAGATCTATCCCGTCGTTCTTTCGGTTCCCCGTGGGGTTACTTAGGAGTACTACTGCGTCCGTTTACTCCGTACCTACAGCAGTGTAGATATGTCAACTCTAGTATGTCCCTCGCTTCACCTACCCAGCGAAAAACTACCAGCGCCAAGACCATTGCCATTACCATTACCTTCTTGTTCTAGTGGGTAAACAGTTCTGCCCTCTTGGAAGTTGCTTACTACCTGTCTAGCGAAACTATTCCGTACATGTTTCCTCGATGACCTTCATCGCCCTTCCACTGCCTGGATCCCTGCAGAGATAGTAATAATCCAGCCAGAACTCACGAGCAGCACTATGATCGGGCATATGTTTTCTCAACAAAGACTTCCACTCTCTGTCTTCCTCACTATCGGCGACCGAGGTGCAAACATACTCCCACCATACCGGAAAGTATCCGGACATCTCCCAGTCAATGATACCGGTGACAGATCCGCTCTCAACCATGATATTTACGTTAGTGAGGTCGCCGTGGGTAAATGTGTAGGGCGCAGCAGACGGCATGCGCTCTCGGAGTCGTATCCGCACAGCCTCGGGTATACTCTCTCCCAGTCCACGCTCCATGTCAGCCCAGAGCTCGTCATCAGAAGCTAGAGGACCGTGGGGTACCTCGGAGCGTTGATGTTTGAACAGAAAGTTGGAATAGACGGGACAGCCACCAAGCGCTTGAATCCGATCGGACTGTAGCTTGCGAAGCTGCGCCAGATACTCAGCTGTTTGCTTGGCTATGCTTTCTTTTTCATCGGCAGAAAGGTTGTGCCAAACTCTGCTGAGAGGCTCCCCGGGGATCCGTTTCATAAGGATCAGAGTGTGTTGGCCTTCCTCCCATGATTCGACCACAGTGGGAACAGGGATAGATGTCGTTTCCTGGATAAAGAGAATGTTCGGCACTTCAGACGTCGGGAGGCTAGCTCCTCGGTCTTTGAGAATCAAGTTCGAACCCAACGACCAGACGCCACGGTCACCGGCTTCATAGAACAGTTTGACATGGCTTTCGTAGTTGCAATGCTTTTGGCGTTCATGGGTCCAGCTACACGCTGAGCAAGGGTAGGATGCCATATCAAATAGATGATTAAAGTATCACCGACGTAAGGGATATAAAGCATCAGAGTTTGCCTTAGTATCAGTAGCACCGGAGGATTGGGCAGGAATATGCAACAAGAGCGGGGTACCAAGCCTGCCACCTGGGCAACCTAGCATATACAGAGCAAGGATGACGAGAGGAGACAGAAGAGACAAAGGTGCAATCCACAAGCAGGTAAGAGGCCTTGAGGAGCCCAGCACTTTCCCCTTCCTTGGGTTTCCATGCTCTGCAGTTCAAATCAAGTCATCCCATGCTCCGCCCGCCTTGATTCCTTCGCCCAAGGATAGAAAACATCAGTATAACGACGCATCTTCCGCATGGAATTCTGTTCTTCGGTTGGATTCCGAATTCGAGTGACTACACTACAGTATACTTGCTTGTTGAGAACCTCCCCAAGTTTAAACCCTACCTAGCTGTGCAGACTCACAATGAATCAGGATCATTCCGTGCGCGTCGAACACGATTAACCACATGCTCAACAGTGTCGAGGTCCGGAATTGGATCAACAAGCATATCTTTATCCAGATCAAGGACAATGGAATGATCCCTGGTTCACCTCAGGGTCCTGGAAAGGTTCAATGTGTGGCTGGTGTAAAGCTTCGGCCAGTTCTTCGGACGACGGCCGGCTGGTTCGAGGTAGGCCATGATAACACGGTCGAAGTCTGTGGGACTGCTGGACTCGAATCCTTGCACACGGAGGCGCAGGATGATTCGCTTGGGTGTGGGAGATCCTCGCATTTTTTCTGATGCCGGCATCTGATCCGATGGTAGGGTTAATTCCTTGACTAGGGTTGTTGGCGATGAAGGAAGTAGTCAACCTTGGAAATGATCCGGCCTGTCGGGAGCAACTGGAGAGGGTCTTGTTGGAACAGTACCTACCTACCGCCTGCTCTGAAACCTCAGCATTGCTCATTCATGATTGAGGAACCTAGGCGCCTCCAAAGTACCTAACAAGGCATCCCACACATCATTGCTGTCGCATGGTGCGACATGACGACTCTGAGTCAGGGTGGGTTCCGATGCGTCAAGTCCACAAAGTTGGCGAGGCGTGAGCCTCGGTGGATGGGGCAAAGACTTTCCCTGGAAGAAGGTTGGACCATGGTTGTTGCACTGCAAATGGAAGGATAAGGCAGTGCATGGACAGACGGGATGAGACAGATAAGACAAATAGTTGCAACATGTGCTTGCTTGGCAGGGACACGCCAGGTAGGTAGACAGAGCTAGGATGCCGGGGCAGCACGACCTTTATGTATAAGGGACCTAGGCACCGCATCTATTGATATGCTGCATTGGATGTGATTATGACCGATATAACATGACTACTACTGATACTTGAAAGCATGATCAAGGTCCGGTCAAAGCTTGTTCTGGCCAGCCAGAACATCAACCCCCGTGCCCTGCGACACAGCATTATCCTAGGCAGCAGTCAGCCATCGGTACAAGATTGTTCGATAGTAGCAGGGGAACCTACAAGAAGCGACCCAGGCAGCAAAGCCGTCCCAAAGCGCATCGAGCCCGCGCCAGCTCCGCACCAAAACCTCGACGCGGTGCCGTTGATAATCTCATGCACAACCTTCTCGCTATACGCTCCCAGTTCTTCACGCCGGTTCCCATCGCCGCCCTGGGCACGGGCTGCAATCGTCGCTTCAACGGGCCTGTAAAGCGAGTCCTGCGGAAGCCGAAAGTCTTCGAAATACGTCTGTCCCATTGTTTTGACAGCGCCGGTGACGACGGACAGCACGCGCACGTGGAAGGGGGCGAGCTCGAGACGGAGAGTCTCGGCTATGATTTCGAGGGACCGCTTGGAGGCGGAGTAGGTGCCTGCGGTGGATGGGCGTGTCAGTTACGGTCTTCATTGGTTGTTCGCGTTCAGAAGAACCGCTTGCATGGACATACCCATGTAGGGGACGTTGAGGTGTCCTGCTATAGACGTGATGAAGGCGACGGTGCCGTGGGCCTGGATGAGGCGCGGGGCAAAGGCCTGCGTCAGGGCGAGAGGGCCCCAGACATTAGTATCGTAGAGCGTCTTTGTGGCCTCAGGTCTTCGTCGAGGATAGACATGAAGTGGTTGCGGCCGGCGTTGTTGACGAGGTAGTTGAGTTTGCCGCCGGTATCCAGATGTTGAGAGACAGCTTCAACGGCAGCAGCTATATGGTCCTTATTGCAAACGTCCAGAGCGAGCAGAGTCACGTTAGGGAGATCGCGGAGCTTCGATATCTTCTCGACATTGCGAGCGGTTGCGAAGACGTGGTAGTCTTGCTGCTGGAAGGTTAGGGCTAGGCCGGAGCCGATGCCGTCGTCGCTGCAGCCCGTGATGAGGACAGTCTTTCTGGACGCCATTTGGATTCTAGGAGAGTGAGGTGACGGAACCCTGGTCGAGCAGCAGAGCAGGAGGAGAGCTCTTTGCTTGCAGGGCCAGATCAAGGACAGCCTCCGATTGGCGTAAGCCTTAACTCCGCCACTGGTCACGGCCCGGAATAGGCATCCAAGTCCGTCCCCGGACTTTGAAGATCCGACCTCCTTCGCAACTGCTAGCCTAGCATACCGCTAGACCAGAAAAGTCAATTGGCTATAGGCCTGCCCTTGTGCTCCAAGTCTTCAACACTTCTAAGCCTTAAACTCCGCAGCTTAAGGTCTTTGTGGCATAGGAGGGGCCAATCCATGCTTGCTGCTGGGCGTACATTGGGGGCGGTTCTGTGCAGAGCTGTGTTACTTCTCAGTAATCATCTAGCAATTTCCGTACAACTCATCAAGAGAAGCCCGCTTAATTGGGAACCTGCTGCTTAACTCTGGATACTATATTCTTTGGATCATGATAACCGGTGCTGACACCCCAGAGGCAAAGCTTACCACATGTACATCATCGGGACACAGAGAATTACCACTCCTAGCCCAGATACCTATCAGCGAGATCAGGTTCAAAGTTGTGCAGTACAGGGTAAGTGATATCCTTGCCAGCCGTCTTGGTTTTGCTTGCAAATAATATCAAGACATGAAAATCACGCATACAATGATGCCTGACACCGAGTATTGTTATTTGGATTCTGTCCATGTTTCAAGGTTGTTTGCCAAAGGATATCAATTCAAACCAGCGCTTGTCCTTCAGCAAACGTGGGGGCCTCAGATCTCTGCCACTATAAAGTATTGTACAACACTGCACAAGCAGACTCCTCATTCCATCTATCCTTGAGACTGTCTGACATCTAATCTCCATCGGGACCTCAATACATCTGTCACCAAAACAATGTCGGACGCTCTTTCCTCCTGGCTCTTTGCAGCAGCCTGCGTATTCCTGATAGCAAACGAGCTGTACTACTCGGTGTTCAAGGTATGTCAACTGTGTCTCTGCTCCACGACACTGCAACTAAGCCATCCACCAAACAGAAGATTTCCATCTTCTCATCCATTTCTAGCATCAGGAAAATAACCCGCGACTTCGTACGTGCAAGTCCAACCACAGCATAACAAAGGAATGAACCCTGTCATAACATCCCCAGCGAAACCACCGGTATTACCGCCCCTGGGCCCCAAAGCCGATTCTGATTCCAGCAACGCGGAAAATGATGACCGAGCTGAGCGAGACACCAGTTCTCTCGCAGCGGGCTGCCTATGCAGATGTAAGTCCACCCAGCACAGGGTACCCACTCGCTCGCTCAGACAAGCTCTAACGAGCCTAGATGTTTGGCTTCAAGCATACCTTAAATGGCCATGACTCCGACGAGATCACCACGAGGAAGTCGCGCCTGTTTGGCCGCGTCCTGCAGGTGCGAGGGCCGGCCCAGTTCCAGGAGCTATACCCTTTTCTTCATCGTCACTTGAGGACCGCTCTGGATGAGGATCTTACGCTTGGTACGTTAGGCTCGCTCAGTGCAAGCTGACTACCATAGTTGAGTAGGGTGTCTTGCCTATGTATACGTGTCACTAATGAGCCCGCTTTTGAGAAGACATCACATCCATCCGGTTATCTTCATTCAGCGAAAAGATCCTCTCCCGTCTGATGGGCATGTGGTTTTTCGGGGAAACGATGGGTAAGTGTTCCAAGGTTTACTTCCGTTTCCCCAAATGACACCACGACACACTATCCTAGGATGAAATTGGATAACCTGTCTACGTAGCGTCTGACCCGCGCCTCCGAGACGCTCTTTTGAACTACCCACATCAGATAAAGGCATGCTCGGCCGCCTTCCAGCTAACTCCAAGAATCCTTGCACCGTACGTTAAGACCCAGCCCTGCAATGCCACGCGAGTGGTATAAATCCTCCCTACCTACTAACATGACGACTCCGCACGCAGTCTCATCCACGCAATAATCACCCGCCGCGGAGCAGCAATGCACCTGATCCAAAACACCCTAATCGACGCAATAACCGGTGGGATGGAAAGGCTAGATGAAAAGCCAGAGATCACGAAGGTCTGCGCTGGCCCCTGGAATCCCCTGCCCTTGCAGCACGGGCACGCATTCTGGTCTACCTTACCTACGCCGACTGACAAATGCCCATGACCAGTTAACGCTCCTCCACCACCTCCTCGATTCAACCGCGACAGACCGCACGTACTGGACCCCGGCGCGCCTCTCCCAATCAATTCTGGGCCTCTGGCTCGCAGCCTCACACCAGCCCTGGATCAATCTCCACGCGATCCTGATCGAGCTGTGCCTGCGTCCAGAGTGGCAGGATGCGCTTCGAGACGAGGCCTTGGCGCACCAGGCCGGGGACCTCGCGAGCAAGATCAACGCCCTCCCCCTCTTAGATAGTTTCATGCGCGAGACAGCGCGCGTGAATTCGTTGGATCGAGGTATGGACCCGCCCGCCCATCTCCCATGGGCAGTCAATTCCAGTCTGGCCGTTGCGCCAGTGGAATGAGGGAGTACCCTACCCTATATTTAACATCCACTAATCCACTGAGCAGTCTCAATCCGCCGCAAAGCCCTAACCGACTATACATTCTCGACACGGCTCCTCGTCCCCGCAGGCTCAACCCTAGCCGTATCCTCGTACGCCGTCTCCCGCAACGCCACGGTCTACGCGGACCCCGAGGCCTTCGACGGGAGGCGCTTCGTCAACGGCTGCAACGGGGCGCAGTGCAAAGACCCCGCGTCCAGATTCGCGGATGTCTCGGAGAACCACTTGATCTGGGGGTATGGGTCGCTTGCCTGGTTCGTTTGATCCTTCCAAGCTGGTCATGTATCAGGTGGAGCTTAAACTGACTGACTGAGTCTTTTAGCCCCGGGAGACACCATGCGAGTTTCATCCTCAAGATTGTTATCGTGCATATTGTTACCAACTATTCCTTGCAGTTGGTGGATGCCGAGGGTCCGAGGTGGTGGGCTTGGGAGGACTTCCGGATGCCGTATGCGTCGACGCGGGTGGTTTTTAGTAAGAGGACTAAAGCCAGGTGATGTCTGATAGTATTGAACAAGGCACAAGGGCGGGGAGCGGGGTCGAATTTGACGGTAGTACTCTATGGGTGCCACAATTGGATGGACGAATCTACTTGACCTTGGAATATCTTGACTGGCCCCAGCGAATCAGTATCTACCTACATCAAAGCCAGCTGAAAAGGACCTTTTTATTAAAGCAACCGCAGGTCCACTCAAGACAGTAAATGTAGGCTTGACACCCAATCGGTTTCGGAATCCGGTTCCAGCAGCACTATACCGTTACGACATGTAAAGACAGCCCAGTCGATACTTGGGGGCATTGGCTTACAGAGCGTGCTCGGGCCCGCCTTTACGCAAACAGACCCAGACGAGATACGAAATGGAGAACAAGTACAAGAACAAATGTGATTTTCAGGGCTTCCAACAAATTCAAGCAGGGCTAGTGACCGCGCAAAGAAGTGCTATGCAGACCGCAACCGCAAATCCTACTCGTCGTCTACAGTGACCGATGAATCCTCCACCTACGCCTCCATCGCGAGCTAACCCTACCACCTCCGGCTTCGACTCTTTAACCAGAGCAGGCCCCGACCTTCGAAGGCTCGCAGCCGCCAGCGCAGCCAGAGTACATCTGGCACGGTGTCTTGGCATCGGTGCAGACGTTGTTCAAGGTGCATCTGCGTTTGGATGTTAGATCATTATGGTCTTATGGCTGAGGGTCAAGGTTCAGGTAGGACCAGGGAAACATACGTGTCGCCGTAGTTCTGGTTGATGCCGCAGATCTCGCCGCCGTCGTACGCGGTGACGCCCTCGATGTAGACGTTGCGCTTGCACTGGGAGCTGCAGTTGCCGCAGGAGCGGTAGACCTTGCCGTAGTCTTCGGCGTAGAAGTTGATGATCTGGACCGTGTCAGTGGGATGGTATGAGTGGCATATTATTGGGTGTAGACTCACGTTGACGGTTCCGCAGCCGTTGTGCTGCACTATCTTATCGCTGGCGTGGTACGCACCTATCCGAGCAGGTTAGGAGCGGTTTGGCCAATGGATGCGGAGGGGAAGTCCGAGGAGGAGGGGGGTTGGGGATAGCTGTGCATTGCATAGTTGGGGCATGGTAGCGAGGACATGATGAAGGGTAAAGACACTTTGTTAAGAGGACTCAGTTACGTACCACCGCCAATGATCCAGGTGTGGTCTCCCGCCTTGTCGCCGCGCTACCAAAGAAGTAACCGTCAGTAATGAAATCCGGCAGCGGATGGAGATAGAGACATACAACAGTGATAGCATCCTCGCAGACGTCCTCGAACCAGACGAACTCCAGGGTGCAAGGGCCCTCACAGTGGACACCTTCCTTCTGGTTCTTGCCAATGATGACGTTCTTCAGGGTAGCACCGGACTGGAGAATGAAGACGGCGTCGTCGTTACCACCTTCGCCGTCACTGCAGGCGCCGGAGCCGCGGTCATACTTGGCCCAACCGGCATCAAAGGTCTGACCGGCGGCAATCTCGATAGGAGCGCTGTTGGAGTATGAACGGGTAGGTGTAGGGACTCCTCCCTCATAGCCCAGACAGGCAAGGGCAACGGGAATCAGAGCAGAGGCTAGAGCGAGTTTGGACAGCATGGTGGCTAGTGAAACTGATGATCAATGATGACACGAGCTGATTGCGCAAGCATGTCGATCGAGAGGTTCGCGCGGGTTCTTATACTGCGAATAGCGGTATATGCGACGACCGGCAGTTCGTACCTATTGGTGGAGCGATGAAAAGGAGATATCCCAAGCGGTCAGTATGTTTCATGAATCACGAGAACTCTTCGCAGCGGCATTACAGTCTTGGCCATGGTCATCTTTGTTTTGTTCCCTCCAATAGTAGAGGAAGACCTTGGGACATGGGCGGACACAGAGGAAGAACTCTGCATCGCGGGTCCTGGCGGTCCGGCAGATAGATTGACGAGGCGGGTGTTGGTTGGACTGCCAAGATGAGCAATATATCTCGTCCCAGCCAAGACTGGAGCGGTCTCGGGATTTGTCCTGCTTTGATGCATCACCGGTGGAGGGGTGGCGTCTGTCGCGACTCGAAGGTTGCTCTTGAAGAATCCCCTGCATATGATTATGATAAGGGTCTGTGGCGCTGCCCCTGGTTTGATGAAGGATCAGGGTCCGCTCAGGGTCCAAGAGACACCGGTGTTACATCGCGTAACCTATTCCGACATATGCGCCGTGATTGTCGTATCTATCGCTATATTCGGTCATGGACTTGAAGATGTAGGGTTCGGAGTACCCCACAATGCAGCAACCCCTGTCGAATTACCAGGATTCCCCAGGCTAAGCCACTGCCAAAAAGTTTTCCTGCATAAACGAATCTTCACGCGCAGGGATCAGGACATGATTAGTCCGTCCAGTGCAGACAGTATCCGTCTGCTCCGCATCAGATACGGATATGAACAGCAGCTGCCAGGTGGTCGAGTATTTCCACGTCGGAGAATCATTTCTTTGTCTTGGTCGAAGAGTTCGCTCGGCAGGGTTCTTAGCAGTCAGAGACTTGAGGGCCCGGCGTTTCAGAGTGCCGCCCTATCTTGGCCTCTAAATAAGCTTAGAATCCCATCCCCACAGATGTTTGAAGGTATTCTTCCTTGGTAGGCAAATCTGCTGGATAACGAGTATGAATGTCCGGCATTGTAGAATAAAAATCCAAAGCCAGGCCAGACTTGTCAAGTTCAGATAAGGTCTGTTCACTCTGTAAGATGAGAGTGATTTGCGCAGGGTGGCAGCAGTTGCGGAGGAGACGGAGCCCGGTCCGGTGGACTTTTGCTGCTGTGCGGATAATGCTGGGACCGGCCCATTTCTCCTAATCCCCAACTGTCACAATGCCCAGTTCACAAGTCTAATCCTGGCAAGTCAGCTGTTATGATAACAGTTATGCAACGGGCATGCAATGCAACACTGCTATCAGGCCAGATCGGTATGCACAGCTTGGGTCCATTGGCCATGAGCAATGAGCACTGTGACAAGAATCAATCTTTTTCATTCAATAAAAGGTTAAGCGCTGGATGCGACAACCTGCTTCATGGAGTTTAGCTGGTTTTTGAATAGCTGTGAAACAAGTATTTCCCAAGAGGGAAAACTAATCAACCAGTGTCAAAGCATCCGGCGCCAGCAATCCAAAACCTGCTTCCGCGAAAAGGGTTGGTTAGGGTACCAAGGATGTTGGGCACGCCCTTATTAAGGGGATCAGCTAAACTCTCAATGCGATTTGACTGCCTTTCGCTGCACCTTTTTGTCGCGCGTGGGGCATTGACCTCGCAGGACGAGATGCTTGCACACTGAGTATAGCTGCTGAGCAAAGTCATCAAACTCACATTGTCGTTGCATGCTTGCAATGTCATCGCTTTGGAATGAGCGAAGGACTTTCTGAAGAACGCGGCGAGAAGCATCTAGCCCTACCAAAATGGCACCGCTGCAGAAACACGGAGAGAGCCGTGGAGTACGTTAGAATGAGTAAGTGTCAGTTCCACCAGACGGATTAATTGCCTATATTCCTTGAGAGCGCCGAGAGTGGTAAGGACCAAGGAAACGGGGTCTAGCTCGTGAAGATTGCAGTCGGCGGATTGCGCCCAGGTACGGGAAAGATGAATGCGGTACAGCAAATTTGACTCAAGGGCCAAAGCCCGCTCCAAAAGATCTCCTGAGCCCTCAAGGACGCCAGATTTCCGGAAGTGAAATCTAGCTGGTAAACCGGGGAGATGGTGATATCGGCGGAGGCAAACTTTCCGTTAGTTCAAGGGTTGTTGGGTGATGCGGGTCCCCCCAAAGGATGTTGAGCTGCAAAAAAGTTTAGGATCGTGGGTATCGCCGCGCAAATCATGCAAAGAGGCCGTCCTAGATGGAAAGGGGTGGCCGACTGAACCACTGCTCAATCGGCCGATATAACCGTTTGATCACTTCCATTCGGAAGGGATATATTGTTTTCGAGAACACTATCCGCAAACATGGTCTGTGGTCATGCTGGCGCGAACGGTCTTGGAGATAGTAATAGTAAAGACCGCGGCAAGCATTGTCATTATCACCAAGGTAGTCAATTCGCGCAGAGAGCAGCTCCAATAATGTCGGCGTGAGTTCGAAGAAGATATCTCTGTGGTTTACTTGTGTAGTAGACAACGGGTAATCTCAATAGCCTTTTAGAACAAGGGTGCAATAATAGTATTGGCTCTGGAAGCGAGTCTCCAAGGGGACTCCCAAGGTGGGTTTGGCTGCGACCATTGGTTTGGGAAGACCGGGTTACTTGGTAGATCTCAGTGTCTCCTTCCCACATGGCCGAGGTGTGGGACGGGGTTCGTTTGGGGCACGAGAGGTGTAGACGCAGCCATGTTTCGAGGCTGACAGGCACTGCAGACTACTACGGGTAGGGTAGTCCACCAGAACATCGGATCTTCTTTGTGCAATCAGCAATGGACCCAGTGAGTTTTCCAGAGCAGAGCTCAGAATTAGGGGGTCCTTCAATGAAATGACAAGGGGTCGGCCGAATGATTCGAGCCAGCGCTTACCGAAACCTTGGAAACAGCTATTTATACTGTTTGCGGTTAGCCCTCCACAGCCAATGCGTGGCTCGGCCGTACTTATTAAGAGTCTAGACTAGTCCAGCGAGGATATATAAAAGGGGGACGGAGAGTTGAGAGTTGTAATGCAGAGGGATCAATCCAGTGTGAGGTGCCCAGCCTGCCCGACCTCGGGACGGGACTCGGGAGAGAGCAGTTGTTCCGAATTTGGAAGGCGCCCAAGATGAGCGGACGGAAGAACAGATCTTCCGGGGTCAAGCCCACCCTTGTACCTACCATAGTCGGATGTGGGGCAAGTCAACAATCACTTTATTCCACAGATGGACCGTCCATGTTCTTTGCAAGGTTCTCCTCACACTACTAGAGGCTAAGCTCTCACAATGCCTTGTGCATCTGCTTCTATTACCACGCCCTCCTCCAGTTGCTGTTCTGGACAGCGTGAAGAGACTAAGCTCGCTGATCTATGTTTTCCCCAGATTTCCGACCATGACCCACAGGAAGAGGATCCCAACACCCCCACTTAGGGATGGACAAAATGGCTGACGGTAATTACGGAAAGTTGAAATTTAAGGATTTTTTTGGTAAGGAATAATTCCTGATAAAAAAATAAAATCACGTGACTTACCGCCTTTTAATTAAGTTAGCACCATGGTAAAATTATTAAGCAAAAAACTACTAGTAAAGTAATAATTTTAACTTTATATATAAAATTAACTTTTTTTTAAAAAGCGTAAATGTAGGTAAGTTTAGATCTTTATAATATTACTTTTATTAACTAATAAAAAGTTTTTATTTAAAATATTATTATAAATATTACTGCGGCCGCTTTTTTTATATATATTTTTAAATTACTTACTTACTAGTTACTAAACTGCCTGTAAATTAGCCCCTAAACTTAATTAATATAAGGTTATTTATATAGCTAAAGGAATAGCGGCTAGTTAATAAGCTTATAAATTTATTTACTAAATATTTAAACTAGCTTTATAATATTTTTTTTATTTATGCTAATTAAAAAGTTACTAAGCTAAAGAAAACTTTTTTTTAACTCCTAATTTTTAATAAACATTATTTTATTAAATTTCTTTAATATAGGGGCCTGCGAAACACTAGGAATCTTATTAATAAAATAAATATTTTATTAAATAAAAGTAAGCTTTTTAACTTACTTTATCCCTAACTAGTTATAAAGTTTAGTATATTATAGCTTTATTATAAAAAATAATCTCTTGGCTACTACTAAATTAATAATTATATAATAAAAATAAAGGGCTAAATTAACAAGTTTTAAAGCAAGATATTTTTATTTAAGCACTTAAGTTAGTTTTTTTTTTATAAGATTTATATAATAAAAAGAACTTATTTACCTATTTTATTAATTAAAAGGCTATAAAAGTAGTTCCTTTTTTTAAATTACTTTATTATAAAAGTAGTCTTGCTAATTTTAAAATAAAAAAAAGTTATTTAAACCTTCCTGGTTGCTATACTTAACCAGCAACTTATTAATTTTTTTTATTTATTTTTAATTTACTAGCGGAACCTGCTTGTAAGTATTGTGGAGGGGCAGTGCTAGAGCATGGGAGCTAAAAAAGCTAAATAGTGGTGGAAACCTAGGACTGGACAGTACGTAGTACAGGTAGGAATAATAATAAAAAAAAAATATATATATTAAGGTAAATAATAAATTAGGTACAGGAGGCCGGTAGCAAGGCTATAAATATTATAAAAATTAATATTAAGGTGTAACCCTATTATATTTTTTTAAGGGGAAATTAAAACTTACTAGTAAATAAAACTTTTTTTTACTTATATTTTTTGCCCTTTTTTAAGATAATATTTTAAAATATAATAGCTAGCTATACTTTACTTAGCTAGCCTTTACTAGGCCTTTTTTTTTACCTTTTTTATTTTACTTTTTTTTTTATTAATGTTGTGTACAGGTAATAATTAAGTAGTTTAATAAATATATTTTAAAGCTTGTTAATTCCGCCAGGGTAAAAAGCATTAATAATAATTAATAGGTAACTTAGCTTTATTTAATACTTTTTTAATAATTATAGCTATATG